TTTGCTTTATGATTCCCACCGAAACGCCAAGCCTTTTGAACGCAGAGCATATATAAACCCATCTGTTCATCCTGATTATTCTCAATTCCAATAAAACAAAAAGACATTAATTGCACGTTATATCCCCATTTTCTTGCCCTTTTTAAAACCTCCTTCTAGTAGGCTCTGGTGTAGGCGATCGGCTGGCGCTCCGCTCATCCCGGCCACGCGACTTGAGCCACTTCTTTGTGCTGAGCGTGAGCTCGCGGTCGAGCTCCTCACTGGGGTTCTTGCGGTGGATGAAGTTGCAGAAGCCGCCGCGGACGCAGCCCTCGCCGGAATTCAAGCGGCAACAGGCCTCGCGGAAGTCTGTGACGGGGCTAAGCTCGCAGTATATGGGGCGCGCGGCGTACCAGCGGCTGTTGAGCGCGTCGGCAGCGACTTGGGCGCTGTCTTCATACTTGAATCGGGCGTAGACGTTGCCGATGAGGTCTATTGAAGGAAAAAAAAAAAAAAGGTTAGCTCTGTGAATATATCCTGGAGTTGAGGATATGAAAAAAAAAAAACATACGATCATTGTTGTTGTCGCATACGACGAGTTCTTCCAGCTCGCCATACTTGCACAGCTCGCACCAGATGTCCTCGTAGAAGGCGTCGAAGTGATTCTGCAGCTGCGAGGCGTTCATCCGGTTCTTGGGGTCGTAGGCGGGGTTCTGGTAGAGGTTGGGCATGAGGATAGTCTGACTGTAGGAGGGCTTGACGTGCTTTCTGGAGCAGCGATCGCCGTGGCGACAGGCGCCGATTTTCTAATCGCTGGTGTGTTAGCATTCAACTACCTTGCTTTTTTTTTCTTTGCCTTTTGCAAAGGCGCGGCGGGCGCGTGTGAAACTTACAAAGTAGAATGAGCAGTTGACTTTGTCAAGCTCTGTGCCGAAAATGGAGGCGAGGAAGTTGGCCATTGTGATTGATGGGAGGTGAGGTTGTTTTTTTGTTGTCACCTAAAGGCTGGATATATCGAAGCTTGGAAATGGTAATCGGGATGGCACGCTGTAGAGAAGTAGGAGTGGCGCGCCACATTCGAACGACGAGGCTGAGGTGGAGTATGTCACGTGATGTGGCTAATTGATAATTCAATAGAGGCTTCTCGACCCACTTGGAAGCATCCGTATTAAGGATGGGGTATATTACTCCGTAGACCCATGGGGCAATATTTAGAACCACGTTCCTGTTACTGTACTAGGTACTATCGGGTTATGCTTTGTATGTAGAGCAAGGAGATGCGGAGGTATATCGATATTTTGAAATGCTGCTCCTACACGCATCGGATTTCATAAGTAATGCCCTTTTTTCTAGATGAGAAAAATCCTGAACCTCCACCGTAGAGTCTAAATGAATCACTTGTCACTTGTCGAAAGCTTGAGAAGGAGAAACTGCTGCAGAAACGCGCCCCGACGCGCGCAACGGTGCTGGAAAAAACCTGGGACTAGGCCGGGACCTGCAGAACCATCAATGGACTATGCCGCATTGGGCACGATAGCAATCTAATCCCCTGATACTAGAGCTCGACTCGACTCGAGACTCCCACTGCAGTCGCCATATCCAACTAAGCGACACCGATAGCTGTCCTGAGCTACGGGTTTTCGCTTAACAAACCCGTCCTCTTTCAAAGCAATGATTTTATCATCGACGAACCATTACCAAAATACGTGCGTTTGGTGAACCTGATTCTTCTGCATCATCCACACGAACCAGCTTCGCTCCACCATGGACCAAGCAGACATCCCCGCGCTGCTCTCGAGGCTGGCCAGCGACGAAGATGCCGCCCGTAAGATGGCCGTCTTCAAGCTCCAGTCGTCGATCAACGACCCTGCCTTTGCCGACGTCTTTATATCCTCGGGCGGTCTCGTCATTCTACGACGACTCATCATGACCTCTGGCGGCAACACTCTCGCCTATGCGCTGCAGAGCTTGTCGCGGCTGCTGGAGGTGGACATGGGATGGGACATCTTCGAGGGCCCTACCGCGAGCGAGCTAGTGGAGCGCATTGTGGAACTTATTGTGACGAATCCTCTGGTTAATATCCTTAGAGGCGCCATGTCGATTCTGGTTGCTCTCGTTGGACATTCGCAGTCAAGCGGCGCTGAGTCGCCGATTCAGGATCAGGCCTTTGGCTTTCGTGCTCTCAAGCCGGCGGTGGCAATATACCCCCAGTTTTTTGACTTGGTTGTTCAGCAGCTGAATAGTGCCGACCATGCTCTTTGCGCGAATGCGCTCATGCTAGTCAATGCGCTGATTCGAGATGCTTTGTCAACTAAGAGTGTTATGGCAGGCGGCAACGGAAAGTCTGCTGGCGATGAGTGGCCGAAGCTGATGAAGCGGCTGCAGGACTTGGGCTTGATCAAAGCTGTTTATAAGCTGATGCAGGGCACCGGACTTCAGGATCTTGCGCACCCTGCACTGGAATTTCAGAACCTGAATAAAGTCATCCAGCGAAAGTGGAGAGATGTCAAGGTAGACCTAGAGCGTCCAGAACACAGGCGAGCGCTCAAGAGCTTGCATCTCTCAAGCGCCCCGGACCGGTCAACAACCAATGGTCATACCAGAGACAATTCAACGGACACTACCGCAACTAAGAAGGATGGTAGGAAGCACAGCCCGGAGAAATGGAGAAGGCTTGGTTTTGAGACGGAGAGCCCTGCGCAAGACTTTGATGTGGCTGGTTATCTAGGAATGATGGATATGACAGACTATGTGCGTAAGAACGAGGATCGATTTCAAAAGCTGCTGTTGGAACAGGCCACAAGGCCGATGAATGAGCGCTGCCCAGTTGCTCGAGCGAGCTTGGCCATGACCATGATTCTTTACGAGCATTTTGACGTGGATAAAGCAGACCTGGAGGACACAAAGGGATACCACCAAGGCGTCGATACGAAGGATTACGACAGGGTCTTTCAACCTCTGCTGCTTCAATGGCCCCGTCTGCATGTCGCTGGGCTACACAGCTTCTTCCGAATCTGGAAAGCCACAGGTGCTGTGCAGGAAGACTTTGACAAGGTGGCAGAGCTGGTACGCATCTTGATAGAAAAAGTGGCTGGCCAGGCTCCCCGGACCCGCGATATACTGGAGATTGAGGATGATTTACAGGAATACGACATTACGAGACTGCGAGAGCTCCAGATGGAGCTGTTGGAGATGTCATTTGAAGAAACATGGGGCAAGCATCTCTACCAGGTGCGAGACGTGCTGAAGCAAGAGGCCCTGCAGTTTGTGAAAGAGCAAAGAATCAGGTGTCTCCTCGAAGGCGCCTGGTTCCAGAAGAAGGAAGATGCGGCGGAAAAGAAGCCTTGGAGATTCGCCAGGTTGTCTCACAATCGTCGGTACCTGCACTATACCGACTTTGAGAAGCAGATGGCACAAGATCCCGGCCTCAACACCTTGATGGACAAGATTGACCTCTCTACTATCAGCTCTGTCGTGTCCAACGTCTCTGCAGCCAATGACGACTCCAAGACGACTGCTAGCGGGGCGACTATACAAAACATTACAAGCACCGCAGAAAAGGCACGGACCAAGATTACTATATACAGCTTCGTGAATCCTGCTGATGCGGCCGCTGGCGGTGGTGGTGATGCCAAAGAGCAAGCCGTGTTGTCTCTCTGGCCCACCAGTCACAGCGTCGCTTCCGAGTGGCTGGACGGATTGCTCCTCCTGCTTGGTCAAGCCCCGGTCACGACCGAGACGAGCAAGCTTGTCAATCTGGTAGGCGGGTATGGGCTAAAGATTAGGCTTCTCAACGTCAGGATGGACACTGTTGAAGGCCCTCCGGCTGGAGCTGGGATCGTGCCAAGCCGAGAAGGGCTGGATGAGGACTACTTTTATGAAGTCTAGACTGTGTTTTTCTGGGCTTCTTTTTTTCTTCTTTTTTTTTTTTTTTACCTTTACGACATTTATTCTCTATACCAGTCATTTATTTCTTTTCCTTTTGTTTGATATATACCCCCTCCTTTGTATGGCAGGCCCTGGCATAGCGTGGGAGCGTCAATAGATTATGTGTTGGATTCTCCTCCCAATTTTTTTCCCTTTTTCCTGATTCTTTTCTGTATGAATAGTATACATGTTGTGTAATACCACTGAGGGCATCCGCAATCCAGATGTGCTGCGTCCTTGTATGGGAATGGGTCCTGGTCTCTAATGAGATGTGGTGGGAGAAGAGGCCGTACATGTGTAATACAATGTGCTTTTGCCTAGCATCTGTGGAATGCTTCACGATGGTTGCTTTCTATGTATGCTTATAGTAGATGAAATGTCGTCATTGTCTCGATGTAGTAGTAGAGCCCATAGAACGAAAATGAGGATATTACTTATCATCTTTTTTTTTTCATTGGCACAAGTTCAAGGAAAGTGCCATAGAGTTCAAAGGCGTATACCAGACAGTATCTAGAAGTCGTCTCTCGTATAAGTTGCCTATCAACTCATGTGCACTACTCTACATTGCATACCTACCTCTAATCAGCCTGGCAGGCGAATGGCAGATATGCCGCATCACTCAATGCTGCTTCGACTCCACTAAGAGCGCCAAAGGCAGCAGTATATATGATAACGCTGGAATATTATCTAAGCGGGAGCCGCATTTTTCCTTTGGTGTCTGACATTGCTAGGTGCTTATGTCGTGATGCCTAGAGACGGCCAAGCATTGGTGCCCAAAGAACGGTGAGGGGCCCTCCACCGTGGGAACCTGTTCGCATAGAGAGGACTGGTAGGCAATGGCATGATGAGGAGATGACGTCGAAGTCAAGGTCAACATTGGCACGTACTTGGGGGTAGATGCTCAGTCGCAAGACGGATAGGAGTTGGGAGGATGCCAAGGTTACATTGAGATATCGGATGGTGGCAGCGCTCACCGTATAATTGGGACATCAAATTGGGAAGCTGGGCTGGATATTAGCGCTAGAAACGTGCTCGACAGACCTTCTGAAGCCACTGCAGCCGGCATATCCATACAAGTGTATGTGCTAACTATGGCCATCGAGGCATCGGCATGGAGGCCTGCTCTTAGTGGTTTCTGCAAGACAGCTGGTCTTGCGTCTCATTCGTCGACTCGGGCCAGCGAAGAGTTGCGGCTTGCATGAAGTGGATAATGGCGGTAGCAATTGAGACTCTGGGACATGTAGGTGCCCGAGCTCGCGGGTTCATTCTGTTCCGGCCCTCCTCCTCTCGCTTCTCGCTTGTTTTCTTTTTCTGCTTTTCCTCTTTCTTTCTTTTTTTCTTTCTCTCTCTCCCTCTTCTTTTTTTCCCCCTCTTCCTAGTCTCTTACTTCCTTTTCCTACGGCTTCTTTCTCCCATCAAGATAAGGTTTCGGGGGAGGAAACCGGGAGAAGAAAGCAGAAGACAGCGACAACCCCAGGTGTGGTGGCGCTGTGTGGCCGCTGGAGGCTGCGGAGCCTCCGAACCGACTGGCACTGAGGTGAGAGGACAGTGTACAGACTAATAATACGAGGTACGAATCTTACACCCGTGAAACCATTGGGGAGGAAGAGAGAAGAAGAACCAAAAAGGAAAGAGAAAAAAAGGGAGAGAAGAAGAAAAAGAAGAAGAAAGCAAATAGTCAAACGGTGATGATTGACACTTGGATACTTCCACGCCTCTCTTTTCCCTTTTCTTTTTTTTATTCTTTCTTCTCTTCCTCTTTTGCCTATTCCCACCATGACCGAGTACCTAGCTCACATGTCATTCTAGACTTTTTTTTAACCAAAACGAGAGGCGTGGTTTAGCCTAGTGCTAGCTGAGGCGGTACGTACTTACGTACTCTTTGCCACGTAAGGTATTCGCAGCACGTCCCTCTTGTACTCCGTGGCACAACTCTGCCGTGCTTGTACCTCCACCCCTGGCGCAATCCAGGAACCTCAAAACTTTAACAGCGATCGACGCCATTTACTCCTTTTCAAAAAATTAAGAAAGCCGACGCGCGACCTGTTCTTTCGCATCGCTACGAGTGTCTGACGTTCATTGACGCTGGTATGTATTTTTTTTTTTTCTCTTTAATTTCAGGGGCACTGCGCTTTACGTACTCTTGAGGGAGATTGAATGCGATGCTGCTAGCCTAGCCTCTCCCTCTCTCATCCATTGTTTTGACGCATTCACCCTCTCTGGGGATTCTGTACCCGCTCCGCCACGCAATCTTCCACGATCACACCTGCTAACCGGTCCCTCTTTTTGTTTAGTTGCGCATCCAAGCAAGCACCTTGCATATACATAAAACCCATACTGCTACCGTGGCTTCTACAATCGCGGCTGCCTGATTGCTCCATCGGTATTTACACGTATACAACAAGAAGCAGCGAACCTAGCTTGAGTCCAGCCCCGTGCGACCAATTCTACATATACAAGCTCTCACTGCGCCCGAGAAAGAAAACAAGAAGCATCAAACATGTCTCGCATTCAGATCCCTCTCGACCTCATCACGTCCCGCCTCAACCTTGGAGATCGCTTCCAGGGCTTGCGCGCGGGGCCTCTGAGCGGTCGATTTTCCAACCTGAGGCCAATCTCCGAGTTTTTCGACTTCAAGCGCTTGTCCAAGCCCGCCAACTTCGGTGAGGTGCAGTCGCGTGTCAACTACAACTTGAGCCACTTCTCGAGCAACTATGCCGTGGTTTTTGTTATGCTCAGCCTGTACGCCCTGTTGACCAACTGGCTACTGATGTTCGACATCATCCTGGTCGTCTTTGGCATGTGGTTTATCGGCAAGTTGGATGGAAGAGATTTGGAAATCGGCAGCTTCAAGGCTACTTCGTCGCAGCTCTACACTGGACTCCTCGTTGTCAGCATTCCCCTTGGACTGATTGCCTCTCCCTTCTCTACCCTGCTCTGGTTAATCGGCGCTTCTGGAACTGCAATTATTGTAAGTCGAGCTGTTTCCTAGGTCACTAGTGGTGCCCAATTGCTAACTGGATATAGGGTCATGCAAGCTTTATGGACAAGCCCATCGATGAGGCTTTTTCCGGGGAGGCGGTCTAAATGGTCGGCCGCGAGCTCCCAAATTTGCGCCCCAATGGGGAAGACCATCGCGGCGCGGGCGGAGGAAAACAAGTGGGGATGCTGCGCACTACGATGAGAGAGTCGAGGAGTTGCTCTCGGATGATGATAATGAGGATGGAGAAGGTTTAGGGGATAGAGAAACTGGCCTCGTGCGTCGCAATCAACGGCGATACGACTCGGGAGATGAAGAGGAGAGCTCGTCTGACGATAGCTATGACGAAGACTATTCGGATGATCAGCAAGATGAAGAAGATGAGTGGGAAGCGGCCTTGGTGGAAAAGGCGCTCTATCGAATCAATAAGGCACAGGCCAAAGGAAGGACAGACGTGAGGCTTAGCAAAGAAGAGATCAAAGCCCTCGAGCGAAGGCAACAACGCATGGAGGCGGAGGAGCGAAGAAATCGCAGGCGTCGCCAAGAGCGCGTGGCCATACCACTCTCTCAATTTGGATCGATGACTGGCTCCAACCCGGTATCAAGACAACCTTCGGGAAGCGAGGCGCATGACGGGACCTCTCCTCAGATGGGATACTTTCCCCCTCCATCCGGTTCGCGCCCTCGGCCAAAGTCTACCATTTCTACATCGCGGCCAACCAGCTTCCATGAGGAGTCTTCCAGGGACCCCTTTAAATACCAAACAGCTGGCCCTCGCTCTGCAAATGCTGCTCCCAAGCGCCATGGCTCTGGTCAGTCTGATTTCAGTTCCATGTCACGACACGGCAGGCCTGAGTCTGTGTCTGAACGGAGCCGGCAAGGATCGTCCAGACGGCAAAGCTCCGATGATACAAGTGAAGAACCGGCATTGGTGGAGGAAAGGTCTGGCAGAACGGAGAGTCTGAGTAGAGCAGCAAAGAGCAGAGAGGAAATCGTGGTCGAGGTGGAAGTTGAATCTCCTTCCGGGCCTGAGACGGCGCCCTCTCGCACGCGGTCGACAACCAGGAAGAGATCTGAGCCAGCACCGACGAAAAGGACAGTATCAAGTAGGACGGTTACTGGATCAGGGGCTTCCGCAGGAGTACGAAGGAAGAAGCGGGAATAAAAATAAAATGATTGCGTGCGCTGATGTTGGGTGTTTTCATATTTTCGTACGGGGACAAAAAGGAATTGTTTGATATACTAGCTCGTATTACCATGGCGAATATATGTTTAATCCAGGATACGATATGTTGCAAGAAGCTGCCTTGACCACACATGATGAAGAAATAATTATGAGACAATGCTTTTCCCATCGCTTCTGCCATGCGCATGCAGGGCCAGATGTATATTGTATGGATTAATTACAGTAGCCATGCTGCTTAATTGGCCGTCCATGTATACATACATTCAGTGAACTCGGCTCCAAGTTGACTCGACGGCTGCAAATCACGAGCTGACTCAGCTTCCCTGGAATGTCACCCGTAGCCGCGGTTGGACCCCTGCTCTCAGCTCCAAGCTCTAGCCGATAGCCTCGTTGTTGTTTGTTATTGTTTGCAATTTCACATCGTATATCCGCAGTACATGATATCCGCATAGAAGCGTTTCCAGTTCGCGCCTGTTTGATTTCGATTCCGCAAGCGAAAGCGATCCTCTTTCAACTGTACGCGACATTCTCCTCTTCCTTCGCAGCAATCCAGCAAAAAAACAAAAGCCTTAGCCGCGGCTTCTACCTGCGCCAAACATTGAGCGACGCCATTTCGCATCTGTTCTACCGAATACAAATTACAAAAAAAACCAACAACATCACACAATGTCTGCCAGCGCCAGAAGCGGAGCGAAACGGCTCATCAAGGAGATGGAGAATTGGCGCAAGGAGCAAAAGGACGAAAAGGGCGTGGAGAGGCTGGGCCCGGTGAATGAGGATGATTTGTTTGAGTGGGAGGCAGTCATTAATGGCAAGGGGATTGGATCCGGATACGATGGTGAGCTCTTGTGCTCTTGCCCCCTTTTCCCCTCTCTTTCTCTTTGATTTTTTTTTTTTTTTTTTAATGATGACTCGCGATTCGAAAACGTTTTACTAAATGAAATGCCAACAATAGAGGGCCGATGGCTCATCAACATCCAGCTGTCAACGTCGTACCCGCTGTCGCCCCCGAAGATGCGCTTCGTCACGCAAATCATCCACCCCAACATTGCGCTGCAGACGGGCGAGATCTGCCTGGACCTGCTCAAGGACAAGTGGACGCCGACGTACAGCGTGCTGCAGTGCGTGCGCGCGGTGCGCATGCTGCTGGGCTATCCCGAGACGGACAGCCCGCTGAACGTGGACGTTGCGGCGCTGCTGAGGGGCGGTGATGTCGTGGGGACGCGCAAGTTGGTGCAGTATTGGTGCTCGGAGCCGGAGGGGAGGTATGATGGGCCTTGATGATTTTGATGAGTGGAGAGAGGGGGGGGTTGCTGTTGTGGAAGATTCTTCGTATGTTTTGAACTTTTCTTTTTTATTTTTTTTTTATTTTTTTATTTTGTCAGTTCTTGGTTTGAATATATGACAAATGTAATCGGTTATAGTAGGTAGTCGATGTATTGTAATAGGTTTTGGGCATGTGGAAGGTTACATATAGGCTGGCTGGACGAGACTTCGAGTGGTTAGTTACTGCGACGACGGCTTTATATCACGGATTCAACGTTATCAATATTGGGGAAGAGAAAAAGAAAGAATTTGCAAAAAAAGCATATTGTGCATCGCTTTCCTTTGATTCTATCCCAACTTACATACAATACGTATAAAAACATAGCTCTACTGCCGCCATTTGTCCCATCCCAACATAACTTTGACTAAAGGGCATATAAGTAATAAGCACGCATCGCAAGGGAGGGTTCTGAAATCATCCCTTAACAACAACTTCGTCCAACTCTCTCCACTGTTTCGAGAAAAAACATCGGCTTCAACATCCACCACTAACAAAGAGAGAGTCACCTATTATCCTCCCTCTATCGCTCTCTCTGCCTCCCTTCCTGGTCCCTGCTGGTGCCTGCGATTCGACAATAGTGATTGAAAGATAAGATAAAAATAGTGAAGGGGAAGGAGAAGGGGGGAGGTTATCTATAGAAATTTCATATGCCAGAGGTTAATAGGTAGATGCTTTCAACGAGAAAAACGCCCGCGCCACACCGCGCCGTGCCTTTTTGGTTTTTTGCCTATGCCTTGCCCTTTGCCCTTGCCCTGCCCGGACTCCCCTAACCAAGACATCTTTCTTCTTTTTTTGTAATTCGATTCTAGAGATGCAAAGACAAACAAAAGATCAAATCAGTGGCCATTGATCTTGTAGCACCTCTTCAGTCGAGCCCAAATGCCATCAAGGCCTCAGCCCAACAAAGTCGTAATCGTAATGAAATAAAAGTGACAAGAGAGAAGAACTCCCTCGGCCGCTGTGAAGTAAAAGAAAAAGCATATTATGTATTTTTGATTTACTCATTATAATGGTAGACCTAAGGCATCAGGTTAGCTTGCTCCTCTGAATAATAGGAGGAGTTGCGGCGAGGACTCACTTTGTAGTTGGGAAGGCCATACGGTTGCCATCCCAGGCGCTTCGCCATCTTGGCAAAGCCTTCGCTCTCAATCAAGTGGTAGAAGGAAAAGGCAGGGAACATGGCTCCATCTCGGTGCACGTCGGCCTTGACCAGCAATGCGGTGCTGCCAACTCCGTCCAGAGGAATTGCCAGGTCCTTGGGGCTACCAGGATTGCTCATGTACGCCATGAGAGTCCTGTAAGTCGCAAGCTCCGCATAGCCCTCGAGAAGGATGTCATCAGGCCCCATCTGCTCAGCCATCTTGAGCGCAGTCTCGCTGTCTTGCCAGCTGTTGAAGTCGTAGGGCCGCTCAGCCATCTTTTTGGTTTCGGGGTCGTAGTATTTCTGGTAGCAGTTCGCAACAATGACGGGCTTATCGTGGGAGGCGAGATCCTGGATCAGGGTCGGAGGGGTCTCGACAATGTCGGCATCGAGCCACAGCACCCACGATGTAGATGGGCCTAGTGTCGTGAAGAGTAGCGAGTTGCGAGCCTTGGCCATGACCTCGCGACGGGCTTTTTGGTTGCCCAGCTTGTGTCGCTCGGATTCGTCCTGAGACACAACCGCAGGGTCAAAGTCTTGGCGCAGAATGATGATGCTCTTGAAACGGTCCTTCTCTGCGCCATGGTTCTGTATCTTTTGAATCTGCTGCTGCAGCGCCGCAGTAGCCTGGTTTCCCTCCTTCGTCTTGGGCAAGATGAAGCCCAGAGTAATCAGCTCATGGGGATAGCTCAGTCGTAAGAGATTGTCCCAATACTGTTGATAGAATCTGGCCATTGGCGTCAGAATGAGGATGTGCTCCTGATTCTTGACGGGATCGGCCGTGACCGTAACTTTGTTGAGGTCATATCGCGTAACTGGCGGGGGTCCTTGGACGCCTGATCGCGAGCTCTTGTACGGCGATGTAGGGGGCGACAGATGATGTTGGGCCGAGACGATGTTGGACAGCCTGCCCGCGGAGGCAGGACTTGACGGCGAAACGAGGAAGATGATTATGAAGATGCATAGCACAGCACCCAGGAGCAGGGTCGAGGAATTGGCCTTCTTGAGGCGGACTGACCCCATGGGTCGAGCCATGGAGCCTTATCTGGTGCGTTTTGGTGATTAGATATTAAGAGTCTGGCTCGGTAGGGCCTCGTTCGTTTTCGCGATCAATTCGACCGGAAATCAGCGCAGCGCAAAAGAAACGAAGATACTGCGTCCAGCTGAAACGAGCGTCGGGAAACTAGTTCTAGTCGAAAAGGTGGCCCGCGCTGGGGGAAATGTAAGAACGAAGAAGAGAAGAGAGAAAGAAGACAGAAGACAAGGCGTAATTGGTGCTCACACGCTGTATCTCGTACTCCCACCGAACCCTAAAAAAGGACAGAGTCAAGGAATACGAGCCAATCGCCGCCCAAACAAGGGATTTGCCTGTGAAATACGACGGCAAACGCTCTACTGGCCGGTGCTACTGCTAGTCGAGCATGCGATTGGCAACCTTGGAGGTTCAGGGGCACCGGATTAATTCTGGGGCCGAAGCCCATTTTCAGTTGCATTCTTCGACAGTGTTATCGGCCGCCTAAGCCGTTAGTGGTGGGACAGCTGTAGATGTGAGCCATTGTGTGCTGCAAGCATCCGTCCAAGCGTTGAGACTGCGGATTCCTCTTCTCCTGTATCGGAGATCTTCACAATATTCAGCTATGCTGTAACTCTGGCAATATCGCAGAACACATGTTTCAATCGTTTTGAGCACAATTTCCTTCGCCTAAGCGAATTTCGTAAGAAGCAGTAGGTAATAGGTACCTAGTACAGTAACACTGCAGTACAGTAACACTGCAGTATCATCTTACTAAGTAGCGCCTGAAATAGCAATTGGAAGGCTAAGAAGACAGCGATGGCTGGAGCCTTTTCCGGCCCAGCACGCTGAAGACCCCTAATCCTTCGGCGACCCCTACGCGCGGGTACTGTAGCGGCATGCTAGCAGCACTACTGTGTCTCCCATACCTGGCAAATCAACTAGCCTAACATTGCCGCCTCAGACTCACGATTCGACTGTTCTTCGTTTCCTTCACATCTCGCATCTTCTCCTATCCGCCCAGTCCAGAGCCGTGCACGTATCCGTCTGCGGCATTCCACACTTTCGTCTCTGCAATGGCTTCTGATAAAATGGACCGCGGCCTCGACGAAATCATTGCTGACAAGGTTGGTGCCTCCGTCCATCTCGAATCTGCCAGCCTCGCCTCCATTGCGAGGCCGCAAGACCAAGACCACGGCTAATCAGTCCATCAGCGCAGCAATGGATCTCGAAACCGACGCGGTGGCGACCGCCGCCGTGATCGCCAAGATTACCCCCGTGACGGGGTGAAAAAGGTACGTGCTACCGTCATCTCTGGGAGACATTGGGGGCTGCAAGTTGCCGCGTGAGGCTGACTCGCTGCTTAGGTTGAACTTCCTCTCCTCCTAGCACTCGACTTCGTCTGATGCTCTGCGCACTCCTTCGGTCAATCGATTTTCGGAGTTTTTGCCGATCCAGCAATGGATCTCACACTGTAAACTTCCTCGCTAACCAGCTCTTTGGTCGACCGTGCAGTCTAGTCGCAACGAACCTCGAAACCTGGACAGGTTGGTCATGAACCGGTGTATAATACTTCCCAGAGAGCCAATGCTGATCCAATTGTCACAGTGAATGGGTTCATGATCGATACGAAGAGAACAGTACAGTCACATCCTACCTCTACTCATCGTTTTCCCCTGCCATTGAACTCGACTCATCGTTTTCCCAGCCTATCGCAACAGCAGAGCAGCACCGCGTCGCAGGCGCGATTCCCCCAGCGGGTAAGTCAGTTGAAATAGAAGCGGGAAAGGCATATCGCAATAATCAGGACTAATGCTCTATTCTTAGAGGAGATGCTCGCGGCGCCCGGCTTCGCGTGGAGAATATCCACTACGATCTTACAGAGGAAGATCTCGATGTATGTCATACTTTACAATTCAACTCTATACGGAGGCTTTGGCTGACCCTTTCGTAGGAACTTTTCAGAAGAATTGGCCCCATCACAAAGCTACAATTGCGCTATGACCGCTCTGGTCGGTCTGAGGGTGTAGCCTTTGTCACATACGAAGATAGAGAAGACGCCGCTGAAGCTATTAAACAGTTTGATGGCGCAAACGCCAACGGTACATTATCCTCCGTCGAGCTCCAATATCCAAAGTCTGAGACTAATATGATGTAAAGGCCAGCCAATTCGACTGATTGCGCTGCCAAATGGCAATTCTCGAAACCCGTTCGATACCGCCGTGATGCCAGGAAAACCCCTATCAGAGCGCATTTCTGCTCCTGGAGGCAGATCCCGATCACTCTCCCCTCACCGAAGGTACGATGAAGAAGAAGCTGCTCGCAGGGGCATCGATCGATACGTTCCAGGTGGTGGTAGCCGCTCCAGGAGCCCTATGCCGCCTCGCCGCGGCGCAGGAGGACGTCGCCCTGGTGCTCGCCGAGAAGGTGGGAGAGATCAAGACGCGGCTCGCGGCGGCCGAGGTGGCCGTGGAGGAGCCCGTCCTGAGCGAACAAATACTCCTCGACCTAAGAAGACCCAAGAAGAATTGGACGCTGAGATGGAGGATTATTTCAACGCCAATGGTGGAGCTGCAGAGCCCGCTGCAGAAGCCGCTGCGCCAAGCGAAGCAGCCCCAGCGCCAGCTCACGCCGATGACATTGATATGATTGAGTAGTAATCACATATGGCAAAGGGAGTGTATTGCATGTAGGTGTTGGGATTCGACAGTATGGGACTCATTGTTTTAAGAAAATGCCATCTGAAGCATGGGAGACAGAGCATATATAATTCAGCATAGTCTGTTGTCATTACGAATGGATTGCTTTTCAGGTCGGGTTACGATGCTTGATGCCATGGAGCCATTTGTCGAGCTTTTTGTCTAAATATGTCTTTCCACTTAGTAATACCTACTACATACACCTTCAAATATGCAGGGGTTTTCAATAGCCCCTCCCACAATTGATGTTGGCCAGGAGTTTCTGCTAAATTCGTAGTTGAAATCCATATATTATATGGCTTACATTGGATATACGCAATCTCACTCTTGGGGGCCATTGGCTAATAGTAGATAGATCCACCCCAACGGTATAGCGGCCCGGATATACACCATTCGTCAACTAATTGGTTTACTGCGCCATTTTATCAAGTTATGGTGAACAGAGCATAAGCATCTTCTTTTCTCACTCTCTCGTTCCTATACTAGAATACAATTTCATCAAAATGTCTTCAAGTCAGAGCACACCGACCAAAGTCGGAATCTTGTCACTTGGTGATATGGGCGCTGGCATTGCCAGGCTCTTAATTGCTCATGGGTTCCCCGTAGCTACCAACGGCCAAAATCGGAGGTACGTCGAATCGCACGGGCCTTGGTCTTTACCATACGTGGGCCGAATTAGACAAGTTGGGGGCACAGAGACTAAACTTGGGTCATTAGCGAGGACACCCTCGAGAGAGCACGCAGTGCCAAGGTCGAGCTACTCTCGTCAGACTTGGAGCTCGTGCAGCAATGTTCCGTCATCTTCTCAGTAGTGCCGCCGCGGGATGCTGAAGCCACGGCTCAGCGAATCGTTGATGCACTGTCAGGTGGTTCCCAAAAGGAACCGATCTACTATGTTGATCTAAACGCCGTGGCACCGTCGACATGTAAGAGTATCGTGGCCTTGTTCGAAAAGGCAAGAGTGCCCGTCAGGTTCATCGATGCCTGCATCCTGGGTGGACCTCCCAGTCTCAAGAAATCAAGCAAAGAGGGCAAAGAAGCCGAGTGGGATCAGCCTAGCATCCCCATCTCGGGGCCTCACTCGTTATCAGCGTTGCCGGATGGAGAACGGCTCACGTCAGTCTTACAGCTGCGCTCTATTTCGCCGGAAATTGGCGCGGCCAGTGGCCTCAAGATGTGCTTTGCGTCAATAACGAAAGGCTTCACGGCGCTGGTTACGCAGTCCTTCACGACGGCACATCGCCTTGGGGTGAGTGATGAGCTGAAGCGGGAGTTGGATATCACGGTGCCGGCGATGTTGGCGAGAGCGGAGAAGGGCGTTCCAGGCATGCCACCAAAGGCCTATCGCTGGGTGAGAGAGATGGAGGAGATTTCCAAGACGTTCCACGAGGAGGGCCATTGGGATAGAACAGTGTTTGAAGGTATCGCTGGAATTTATAAAGCAGTTGCGGAAGATGGCGTTCTTGGACAAGAGAAGATTAAAAAGAGAAAGAGGGGGACCAGCATAGACGATGTTGCAGCGTTGATGGCTGAGGGACTAGAAAGAAAGAAAAAGAAGACTGAGTAGGTTGTTATGACTATGCAAATTGATTAGCAGAATGAGAGGCGATATATACAAATATTAGATAGAAATGGTGGTCGCCTCATCACTCAATATATGATACAATGAATCTACCCATATTCATACCCCCTTTTAATGCTTCAGGCCTGCTAGTACTATTGTCCCAGCATCTGCCAGCCCATACGCGAAGCTTTCAAAAGCACCCATCTTAACCTCAGGCTCTCTACCGTACACTCTAGAGTGCGGGACGCTCAGTTTCGTCTCTTTACCACCGGGCAGCCCTTTTCCAGAGAGATAGATGGCCGAGTTGGAAAGCGCACCAAAATGCTGTCCTACGAAGCCATTTACCGGCTCGGCCTCCTTTGGAACTGCAACATCCCCAGCAACGCCAAAGGCAACTCCAGGTGTGAAGGGCTCCGTGGTATTCTCTGGCAGAACTGGTGCAGACATGAAAAATTGGATCTGTGAGCCTTCGGGAGTGAAACCTCCGCCATTCATCGATTGTATAAAGTTATGCATCTCCTCTTCTTCTGAAAGAGAAAAGTGTGCCCGCTGAGGGTCTAGAGACAACAGTCCTTTTTTGGCACCCCATCCGCCGCCGCCGCTCACTAGATATCGGGGTTAGTATATGGGCTATTCTAAACGAGCCTGCTCAGGAAACAAAAAAAAAAAAAAAAAAACACGTACATATCTTGTATAAGCGACCGCCGTGGCTGTGAAGCAGCTTGAGATGCTGAGCTGTGGCTTTTACAGTTTCCCTGATATCGTCGACATCCGGCAACGCAGTTATTGGCTCAGGAGCTTCCTCAAGCCATTCTTCCAACGCGGCCGATGTGTTACGGTCAGGGGTAACCATTGCCCAGACTCCTACTGCGCCAGATAAAACTCCAGATGAGGCATTCTGCTTATGAAGTTTGTTCACGATATCTTCTAGTTCGGTAGATGCCGGAATAGTATTCCCGTCGACCTCGATACCTCGAATGATATTGCCAAAGCTTTCAGTCACAGTTCGGGGCTGGGTCAATGGCATCAGAGGAGCCCACATGTCAAGATGTGCCAGTGACTCGATATCATGGTCCAGTGAAACTTTCACAAATTGTGAGTACTTTTCGGCCTGTTGAGTGAGTCGAGCCGCGTTATGAGTCAGATCAAACTCGGATGTCAAAAGCGTGGATGGCCTGCTGTTGTGGAATGTAGTTCTAGCCAGGGGCAGCGTTACTGAGGGATCTCCAAGGCTAAATGTCAAAGCAGATACTGAATCTGCATCATCCTTAGACCTTGGAGCTAGCGGCTGCCATAAGTGCGGTAGCATATGGTCCAAGTGACCTCGTAGAACTGATATCCCCTGGAGAGATCTGAGTGACCCTGCTGGAGCTGCGAGATGGTCGACCACGGCACTTAGAACATGAAATTTCCCCACATCCGCGGAACCGGCCATCAATCTGGCAAATTGACTCATGAGATCTGCATTTTCGAGGTCTCTGGCAAAGTTTGGCGTTGTGAGGATGACTGCTGCGTTGTGACCGTCGGGATTATCTAGGATTTTCTTGCCTCTCACATTCTCGAAGAGCTCTTGATAGCTGACCTGAAGAATGGAAATAAATTAATAATCATGATTAACACTTTTCGGGAATTATAGTTTACTACTTTTTCATTCTCTAGCACAGCGTATGTGAATCTTGTTTGGCTACTTCCTGAAATGCTTGAATACGACTTTCTAAGAACAGATACACTCCGTCGTAAAGCCGAGCTTCTCACAGCTTGTGAATAGGCTCGAAGGATCATTTTAAAGTGGAACTAAATTTTCCGAGAGAATGGATTTTTGAAAAATCAGAATCGGTGATTTTCCATTGAAATAAACGAAGCACTTCGCCAATTTAGGTAAGAGGAAATATATCAAAGGATCAAGTGTAAGCTTGAGAACATCGCCCAACACACACTAGACATGCAAACGGCATGCACCCTGAGAGCATTTGTGGCGCGCCGTGTGGCTAGGTCGCTTATCGATTATTATTCAACCCCGCGGCACCGCCACACCCCTCCAACGCCCTGACTCAAATTTCAGATCCGAAGGATCTTTGTTGATGACTCTTTGCTTACATGCGGCCCGGTAACACTGGCTTACGCTGGTCTATTTAAAGTAAATATTGGCGCATAAGATTGACGAGGAGGCCAATTCGCAATAGGGCTTCCCCGAAAACCATCCGGCACCACGTTCAGATTCGCGGCTCGAGCACTTCGAGTGCGGCCACTTAGACGTACAAGACCTTTTGCTGCTACACGTGCTGCTACCATGGCGACAAACAGTGGACGAGGAAATCCCAGTATGCCTCCAGACAGATTTGTGAAATCCTCTGAAGCATGTAGCTAACGTGAATGATGTGCAGTCGCGGCGACCGAGGGTGTCGAGGAGAGAAGTGCAGCTCCCCCCAACGTTTCTGGTGAGACCAAGCAAGAGATTGCTACTTCAACTCAATCTGCCGCTCCTGGTGCTCATTCTTCAGGTCAAGATGCAGGTGCCGCGCCTGCTGCTCAGGGAGCCCCGAAAGTAAAGACTGAGAAAGAACGTAAGAGACTACCCCGCAATATTCCTCGGCGCCAGCTTCACTCCCCGAGAACCAATTGTCTAATTCGCTGGTGTAGTGGAAAAGGAGCGAAAGAAGGCTGAGAAGGCCGCGAAGCTCGAAGCAAAGAAGGCCAAGGCTGCTGCCGCCGCTACGGCTCCTGCAAAGGAGAAGAAGGCGAAGAAGGAGAAGGTGGAGGAAGAGCCGCTGCCCGAGTACGTCGAGGACACCCCTGTCGGAGAAAAGAAGCGTATTCGATCATTCGACGACCCTCATTTCAAGGCATACAACCCCATCGCCGTTGAGTCAGCCTGGTATAGTTGGTGGGAGAAGGAAGGCTTCTTCAAGCCCGAGTTCAAGGCGGATGGAAACGTCAAAGATGAGGGAAGTTTCGTCATTGTCCACCCGCCCCCCAACGTCACCGGCAGCCTGCATATGGGACATGCTCTGGGTGATTCGCTCCAGGATCTTATGATCCGATGGAACAGAATGCACGGCAAGACTACTCTGTGGCTTCCTGGATGTGATCACGCCGGTATCTCGACCCAGAGTGTTGTCGAGAACATGCTGTGGAGACGGAAACAACAGACCAGACATGATCTTGGCCGAGAGAAGTTTGTTGAGACTGTCTGGGAGTGGAAGGAGGATTACCACAAGCGAATCAACAAGGCCCTGACTAGTCTGGGCAGCTCCTTCGATTGGAGCCGAGAAGGTGTGTATCAATCCTAGCAGCCTAGGTTTAGATATTTTGCAACTAACGTTACGCAGCTTTCACTATGGATCCTAAGTTGACAAAGGCTGTCATGGAAACTTTTGTTCAACTTCACGAAGAGGGCATTCTCTACCGTGCAAACAGACTTGTCAACTGGTGCACAAAACTGAATACTGCCCTTTCGAACTTGGAGGTCCAGAACAAGGAGCTCACTGGAAGAACTCTCCTCGATGTCCCTGGATATGACAAGAAGGTTGAGTTTGGTGTCATTGTTCACTTCAAGTACCCGATCGAGGGTAGCAATGAAACTGTGGAAGTTGCTACAACTCGTATTGAAACCATGCTAGGTGATACCGGTATTGCTGTCCACCCCAAGGATTCCAGATATACTCATCTTGTTGGCAAGTATGCTGTCCACCCGTTCATCGAGGGCCGCAAGCTTCCCATCATCGCTGATGAGTATGTCGACATGGAGTTCGGAACTGGTGCTGTCAAGCTGACACCTGCCCACGACCCCAACGATTTCACTCTTGGCCAGAAGCACAACCTGGAGTTCATTAACATCCTCACAGACGACGGTTTGATGAACGAGAATGCCGGACCGTATAAGGGCCAGAAGCGCTTTGACGTTCGATATGCCATCCAGACCGCCCTGAAGGAGAAGGGCCTGTATGTGGACAAGAAGGACAACCCCATGAAGGTTCCCCTGTGCGAAAAGTCCAAGGATATTATTGAGCCCATCATGAAGCCCCAATGGTGGGTCAGAATGAAGGAGCTTGCTGAGCCCGCTCTCAAGGCCGTCCGAGATGGCAAGATCAAGATTCGACCTGAGAGTGCTGAGAAGAGCTACTACCGCTGGCTCGAGGATATCAACGACTGGTGTATTAGCCGACAGCTGTGGTGGGGTCACAGATGCCCTGCATACTTTGCCAAGATCGAAGGAGGCTCCGGCGACATCCCTGAGGAGAAGCTCTGGTTCGTTGGAAGGACCAGAGAAGAGGCTGAGAAGAAGGCTCAGGCGGCGCTGCCTGGCAAGACCTTTACCCTCGAACAAGATGAGGATGTTCTTGACAGTAAGTTGAGCCAGTTAGTTCCTGTGTAATTTGTCGTACTAATAACATCGATAGCATGGTTCTCATCGGGTCTATGGCCGTTCAGCACCTTGGGTTGGCCTGAGAAGACTATGGATCTTGATAAGTTGTTCCCTACAAGCGTCCTCGAGACTGGCTGGGATATTCTCTTCTTCTGGATTGCCAGAATGATCATGCTTAGCTTAAAGCTAACAGGAGAGGTTCCCTTCAAAGAGGTCTACTGCCACAGTCTTGTCAGAGATTCGGAAGGACGAAAGATGAGCAAGAGTCTGGGCAACGTTATCGACCCCCTGGATGTCATCTCCGGTATTAAACTGGAAGATCTTCACGAGAAGCTCAACCAGGGCAACCTGCATCCCAACGAGGTCCAGAAAGCCACCAAGTACCAGAAGTCTGCTTTCCCCGATGGTATCCCCGAGTGTGGAGCTGATGCCCTCCGTTTCACCATGATCAACGCCACAACCGGTGGTGGTGACATTAACTTGGAAGTCAAGATGTAAGCAACGTGCTGCTTCGGTGTTTTCTTTCAGCTCAACTAACCATTTGATTAGTATCCACGGCTACCGAAAGTTCTGTAACAAGATTGTATGTCATAGAGCTCTCAACAATCTATTATGGTTGTGCTAACACCAATTCTAGTTCCAAGCAACCAAGTATGTTCTGGGAAGTCTGCCCAAGGACTTTGTCCCCTCAAAAACTGGTGCTGTGCCTGGTAAGACTTTGGCAGAGAGATGGATTCTCCACAAGATGAACCAGGCTGCCAAGGAGATCAACAACGCCATTGCTGATCGCGAGTTCTCGAAATCTACCATCATCGTTTACCGTTACTGGTACAACGAACTCTGTGACGTGTACATTGAAAACTCCAAGGCCATCATCCGCGATGGTACCGAGGAGGAGCGCAACTCTGCCATCCAGACCCTGTACACTGCTTTGGAGGGAGCCTTGACTATGATCCACCCCTTCATGCCCTTCATCACCGAGGAGATGTGGCAGAGAATGCCCCGACGACCCAGCGATGAGACCAAGTCCATCATGGTTGCCAAGTACCCCACCTACAACGCCATCCTCGACGACCCGGCATCAGAGGCCGCCTATGAGCTTGTCCTCGACTGCACCAAGGCTTCGCGATCACTCATGTCAGAGTATGCTATCAAGGAGGACGCAGAGAGTAAGTGATATCTCATAATTAGCTGTTTTGCTGTTTTGTTCATCAACTAACATGGAAACAAAAGTCATCATCCAGGCGTATAACGCAGAGTCCCTCAAGACCTGCCAGAACGAGGTCTCTTCTATCAAGTCTCTCAGTGGCAAGGCCGTCAAGACCATGGAAATCGTCGGCCCTGACGCTCCCAGACCCCTTGGCAGCGTTGCTTACCCAGTTTCCACTGCCGCTTCCGTCTTCCTTCACGTCAAGGGCCGTGTAGACATGGATGCTGAGATTTCAAAAGCCCAGAAGAAGCTCGACAAGGCCTCCGCCACTATCCAGAAGCAGGAGAAGCTCCTTTCGGACCCTGGATACAAGGAGAAGGTGTCTGCGGCCGTTCAGGAAACTGAACAAAAGAGACTGGCCGATGCTAAGCAGGAGAAGCACAGCTTGGAGGAGACGATTAAGCAGTTTGAGCAACTCAAGTTGGAGTAGACAATGCGGGATCATATACCAAAAAAGTAGCCTGTGATTTTTAAAAAAAAAAGGCTATATAACTCTCCTGTAGACAGAAACAAAAGTAAAGATCTCTAGAGTACATGATGAGAGAAATAAAACACAGGTATCGAATAGGAAGTACAATTTCATTTTTGCCATGTGATAGGCAACAGACCTGAACTCCCTTTGTTGCGTAAAACATTATAATATATATCTAATTTAAGCCATGCTTTACACGGCATCATTGTAAGCAAATCACCAGGTTCCCTTGCCGCCTCCTCCCTTGCTGCCCTCAGAAGCGGCAGCCTCATCCTTCTTGCCAGCTCCGCCGCGAACTGGTCTCGACTGCGCCGCTTCATGTCTTCTAAGCTCATCCGGCACTTTGGAGATTGAGCTCTTGCTCAAGATCTGCTTGAGATCATACAGCACATCTGAGTCCTCGTTGCCCAAGAAGGTAATAGCCACACCGCTCTTTCCAGCACGACCAGTACGACCGATACGATGGGTGTAGCTCTCGATATTCGTCGCCATGTTGAAGTTGATGACGAGAGAAACATCCGGCACGTCGATACCACGACCAGCAAGATCCGTAGCGACGAGGACCTGAGTCTGACCCGAGCGGACAGACGCCAGGGCGGCCTCTCGCTGCTCCTGCGTCTTGGAACCGTGCAGTGTGACGACGGACCATCCCATAGACTTGATGTCGCGGGCAACGGCGTCGCAGTTGCGCTTGATGTTGACGAAGACGATGATGGGTGGCGCGTAGGCGGCCGAGCCGAGGATCTCCTGGAGGCGCTTCTTGCGCCGGTCCTCGCCGGCGATGAACTCGACGCGCTGCTCGACGGTGTCGACGGCTTCGCCAGCGTTACCGATTGTGACTATGGCGGGGCGGCGGAGATACTTCTTTGCAATCTTTTCGACCAAGGGGGGCATAGTAGCCGTGTACATCATGGTCTGTCTGTAGCGGTCTTTACCCACGTATCGCTTCATCAGCTGGGCGTTTTCCGCCTCGTCTGTGTCTGGCTTCTCGTTGGTCACGGGTAGAGCGTCGAGGATCTTATTGACCGAGTCTTCGAAGCCGAGATCGATCATGCGATCGGCTTCGTCCATGATGATGTAACAACACTGCACCAAGACGAGCAGCCTTCGCTCAATACAGTCCACGAGACGACCCGGCGTAGCGACGATGATTTCTGCACCGTTGCGGAGGGCAAAGACTTGTTCTTCTAGAGAGTGTCCACCGACGATGCTGACACATCTGAAGCCGAGAGGCTCGGCGAATTTCCTAGCTTCGGTCTCAATCTGCTGCACCAGTTCACGAGTGGGCGCGATGATGAGCGCATACGGACCATCGTTCTTGTTGGCTTCCGTCAGGGGCGGCAGGTCGGAGATGTACACCAGCAGAGGCAGCAGGAAAGCAGCAGTTTTACCGGAACCCGTGACGGCAACGCCAATGAGATCGCGGGCCTGCAAGGCAATGGGGATGGCGGCACGCTGAATAGCAGAAGGTTCCTTGTAGCCGACCTTGTCGACAATGTCAAGCAACCGCCGCGGCAGTCCGGATTCCCCCCAGCTGCGCATTGGGTTCGGGATGGCGCCGCCCTTTGTGGAAATGCCAAAGTCCTCCTTGAAGATGCGCCAGTCTCGCTCCCGCATCTCGTTGAGGTCCTTGTCCGACCAGTGCCGTCCCAGACCCGTCCTTTCCGCCCTCTCCTTTGCCCTGGCGCGCGCTCTGTAGAAGTCTTCCATGATACCCTTGGCTCGCTCTTTTCCGTGCTCTAGATCGCGCTGCTCAATCATCCTCGCTCGCTTGCGCGCCCGCTGCTCGGCCTCTTCGTCAAACTCGCCACCAACGCCAGCCAGCGAGCCACCTCTGTTGACGCTCTGGCTCGTATATAACGGGTCGTTATCTCTAGATGTGTCCTCATCGACGTCCCATTCAAAGTTGAACTTCTTCTCTGTCGTCCGCATGCGCTTCTTCTTGGCTGAAAAGTTGGACTGCTTGTTGACTTCCGGTCCGAGGTATCGCGACCGAAGTAACGAATCCTCAATCTCCGCCGCCGAGCGCTTGGCGTTTTCGGCCTTTGAGTTCTTCTTGCCATCCCTCCCTTCTCGCCCATCGCGCCCCCTGCCGCCAGACGCCTGGTTCATGGCTCTGGGACCTGTAGGAGGAGCGACAGTGCCGTTGGGGGCGCCGTTCGAGACTTGCAGGCCATTTGCGCGGGCTTCCCATTTCTTTTCCTCTTCTCGTCGCTTTTGTGAATCGTCAATCGTCTTGCGCTTCTTTTCTTCTTCTTCCTGCTTCGCCTTCTCGGCGGCTAGTCGCTCGCGTTCGGCCTTGGGGATGAATCTGGGTTTGGCGGCAGCAGCATCGGCCGCTTTCTTTTTTCTTAGGATCTCCTCCACATCGAGAGGCATCTCGATTTAGGTGCTTTTCCTGCAATATTTTGGGGGTTAATAAGTTAATAAGTTGTAACTTGCTCCAAGAGAAGTTATCGTCGAGGAATTTTTTGGTGCTGGAAGTTGGATTCAAGAAGTTGGATTGGGCAAGGCATCGAATCGTCGAGATCATTGGCAAGGCTATGAACTACGGGGGAGTTAGAGACCCACTTAAGCAAGCTAAGCCAATAAGCAGCTCTACTCTAGCGGGCCATTTTAGCGGGCGTTCAGCCTTGGGAATCTCGAATTCGATCAAATTAGGAACCTCTGAAAAGAACCTCCCCGCGATAGCCTCAATTCAGCGGAAGATCAGTCCTGGACTTTCCGCCGTCTCTCTCTTTCCGATCCAAGTCAATGCCAGGACCTGGATCTTCATAGCATCCATGGCTTCACCGTCAAATTTCGTCCAGCTCGCAAAGAGCCTGCCAGAGCCTCTCCAGCGCTTCTTTGCCCGCTGGCCGCCGGCAGCGCTCGTTGCTCCCGGCACTCCTCCGACGCCATTCCAAGAGCAGCGACCGAACCCCTTCCGATTCTACAAGCACCCCGTCACTGGACGATGGCAGGACCCGGTCTATTCGCAGAGGAGGCAGATGCAGCTCGTCAAGCTGGCACGAGAGCATGGAGTTGAGGAGCTGCTGCCAGAGACGAACAAGGGCACAGAATACCAACTGGCTCAGCGAGTTGAGCACGGTTTGAGAGTAAAGGGTACAGGTGTGGGACAGAAGGTCAAGGGCCACATCCACGAACGACACATGATTGCAAAGTACGTCGAAAATATATATATATCTCTCTCTCTCTTCATCTTTGGGGGGACCAAGTCATAGCTAACAAATCTTGTGCAGGATGGAACAGAGGAGAAAAGCCATGCTGGAAATGCCAAAGCTTATCCGTGCCTGGAAGAGTGTAAGAACCATTTGCAATTCCCCTATTCTTGTTATACAAAAAAAATGCGCATAATGGCTGACTCGTTAAAAACACAGGTCGGGAAGAGAAACTGGACCAAGTTCCCGAAATAAACAATGTAACGCAGAAAACTCTTTACTTTACCCTGGCGGGCATGTACATACGCCGTGTATTTCTATGTACAACAATGAGAAACGAATATTTGAATTCACCTGTTCTCGTTCCACATCATTTTGCCGTGATGAATTGCGATTTCCAACATCTGAGACTCAACAGCATCACGTGATTTCAATCTCTAAATTTGCCGCCTCAAAATATCTTCAAGTAAAAATTATATACCCAAGCCATATATAAATAATCCACGTATACATCGCCTCTCATGCTACCTTTTTCTAAATAAACCGCCTCAGAAAAGCCATTCTCCCAAATAAAATAAAATAAAATAAAATAAAATAAGATTAAAAAAAAAACCATGGCCCTCACCTCGCCATCTCACTACGACGTCCTCGGCCTCACCCCCACCATCCTCAGTTCCCAGCATGACCCCTCCACACTCATAAAACAGGCCTATCGCCGGGCCCTTCTGCGGCATCATCCAGACAAGGCCGCATCCTCATCAACGTCTTCATCATCAGCCTCCCTGCCGCCCCACGCAAGATCTTCAAATACTCAGCTCTACACCGTCGACCAAATCACACAAGCCTTCACAATCCTTTCATCACCTCACCAGCGCAACACTTACGACGCAGGGCTGCGCCTCTCTAGAGCCAACGCTGGCGATTCACAGGCCCGTTTTCAGACAGGTATTGAAAACGTGGATTTGGACGATTTACCGTTTGACGAAGAGGGAGAGCGTTGGTATAGGTCCTGTCGCTGTGGCAATGATCAGGGATACTCCTTTCAGGAAACAGACTTAGAGGAGGTTGAACACGAAGGGGTGCTCATGGTTGGCTGCCAAGATTGTAGCCTTTGGCTTAAAGTCCACTTTGCCGTTGTAGACGATGCAGAAGATGAGAATCATATATCAGCAACAAATAAGAAAGAGTCAAGTTGACCCAGCTCAGGAATTCGTTGGATCGGGAGAAAAAAAAAGTAATGTAAACGAGGAACATATAGAAAGGCAAGGCAAAGGTTGAATTAAGCAAGGCGCATCGTAGAAGGATCAACATTCAAGGGAAAATATGAGCGTTCTCGGTAATGTAATATAATATTAAAAAGCAATTTTAGTAGTTTTTATTTGTCCAGACGGCTACGCATCAAGAGTCTAAAAGCAGAACCTCCAATATGCTCTTCTTCATCCTCCCTGCCAGTCCGTAAAAGGGGAACCAAATCGATTCTCTCCCGAAAATAGTTTGCGTGTTTTACCTAAAACGATGCCGAAGCTCTTGATCAAAAACGAAGTCTTCCATCCACACCGTAGACACCAGCCCATCCGATAACAAAGCGACCAAAGCCTAGAGATTTATACCGCGCTCCCCTACTGAATTTACTCAGCCTTGGGTTCTTCGGCAGGAGCAGCGGCCTCAGCAGGGGTCTCTTCCTTAGCAGGGGCCTCAGCCTGGCCGGAGGTCTCGGCCTCGGAAGAGGTCCAGAGGGTCTTTGATCGAGTTAGCAAGAAACATGTAACTACCAGTGATTGGAATAGAGTATATACGTACGAGGTTGTCACGGAGCAGCTGCATGATGAGAGTGGAGTCCTTGTAGCTCTCCTCGCTGAGGGTGTCGAGCTCTGTAATGGGTGCGTTAGCAAAATAATAATTATCAAGCGCCAAGAACGCTCGTTCGTCTTCAGCAAGGTTAAAAAGAAACTCACCAGCAATAGCATCATCGAAGGCCTGCTTGGCGAGGTGGCAAGCCTGGTCGGGGGCGTTGAGAATCTCGTAGTAGAAGACGGAGAAGTTGAGGGCAAGACCCAGGCGGATGGGGTGGGTAGGAGGCAGCTCGGTCTGGGCAACCTCGGTGGCAGCCTTGTAAGCCTCGAGGGACTTGTCTGCAGAGTCCTTGCGGCGGTCGCCAATGGCGAACTCAGCGAGGTAACGGTGGTAGTCACCCTTCCTGTAACGAGTGAAAGAAAAATAATTAGCTCAATACGTCATGCTACGGTATTGGGTGGCATGGCGTGCGCACATCTTGTGGTAGAAGACCTTGGACTCGCCAGACTTGGCAGAGGGGATCAGGTGCTTGTCAAGAACGTCGAGGATGTCGTCGCAGATCTTGGCAAGCTCGTTCTCGATCTTCTGGCGGTACTCCTTGATAAGGGTGACCTGGGAAGAGTTGCCCTTAGACTCCTCCTTCTGCTCGATAGAAGTAACTATTCTCCAAGAGGCGCGGCGAGCACCAATGACGTTCTTGTAGGCGACGGAGAGAAGGTTGCGCTCCTCGACGGTCAGGTCGCGGTCCTCGGAGGCGACGATCTTCATGTTCTCAACCATCTCTATTGGCAGCTGCAGTCAGCGCAATCGATCCATCGAAGAGGGAGAGAGAATAAAGCGAGCAACGAACCCTCATATCGCTCAGCCTGCTCGGCGAGCTTGGCCAGGTAAACAGCATCTTCGTGACCCATTTTGACGGTAGATTTTTTTGAACTTTTTTTGTGGTTTTTTGGAGCAGCTGTTGTCAGTCGGTTAGCAAGATGTACGCGTCCCAAGTGGTGGCGTAATGCAATAGGCGTGGGTTCGTTTAGGAGTTGAACAACAGGTAATGCAGATGCAAATGGTAGATGAAAATTGCGAATGGGAGGAAAATCCGGCTTTAGGAGCAAGGCAACAGCCACAGCCTCATCCAGGCAGAAACGTGAATCTTTGCGCAAGAAAGGCACCGTGGCAGGAACAAGTGCCGCAGGGCTGACTCTACGACAAGGCCCAAAGTGAGGCTTGCTCCCCCGCTCCTAAACCCCACCAAAGGGGTTTCGAGAGCAGCAACGAATGCGCCAGCTACCGCGACAGACACGCAGGCCTCCAATCGACAGAGGCAAGGCGACCGGAGAGCGCTGATACAATCGCAAAGCAGATATCCGGCTGTCCCAACGCAACTGACGACCCTCGAAGCGCTGCTTCTGCTGAGCCAGGGGTGGTGCCAGCCCATGACGAAAGCGATGAGGGGCGCGCGCCATCCCATAAGGCGCTCACATACCGAATTGCGGGAATGCTGCCAGGCGGCAGCTGGGAGGAATATGGGCTGCTGTCGAGGGGGAAAGGGCAGGGACGGCGACTTCAACAAGATGCACGGGGAGAGGGAGATACGTACGGTCGATGGGACGCGGTTCAGAAAGGGGGTATTTGTTGTTTCGTTGAGACAAGAAAGGAAAAGAAAGGGCAAGATTAGAGAGAGCTGTAGATGAGGGTCCCGAGCAGCCAGCACCTTGGCTTTAACGTGGGAGCGGCTTTTGCACTCGTCTCACGTGCCGTACAGGAGCCTGGCGCCTCACCCTTTTCAAGGCACCGGGGGGGGCCAGGACGGCCGTGTACAAGGAGATACCAGGCGCTAGCTCAGACGCTCTGCAAGCTACGGGGGCTTTAGCACGTTTTAGCACCGCTGGACACACTGACTCAGCTGAGTATTTTGTATACCGCAGGTACCAGGCCCTCCAACCATCACGTCAGTGCATCTGTCCCTTACGGATACATCCCTGTGCCTAACGATGCTGCGAGCGGGTACCTTCAAGTAAATGAACTGCTAATGCACCTCGCGGGTGGCGTTGACGTATGGATTGGTTGCAAGGCAGTCCTATTTCCACGTAGCCGTTGGGCGTTGACGTCGTCATCGCCATCTACCTCCCTCGCAGTTTGTCGTGCCTTGGCTGCCGTGATTCGGTCCAAAGCGACCACCTTTCATGGTTTTCGTGATGGTGACTGGGTGCCCAATGCCATTGTCACCAATCTGCATTCACTCTCTCATCGCTACCAAGGAGCTGGATCATTGTCAAACGCAGCCCTCGGTTCATCTAGTACCGTACCATCGCAGCCTGATCTGATGCGATAAGTGGAATCTTTGACGGCCTGAGTGGCAAGAAGCTAGATCTTATCAACATTCTCGTTTTCCTCGACTCTCCCATTCAGCGCAGCATCTGGCTCTAATCTTAGCCCGGTGGCGAGCTACTACGGGAGTGAAAGAAGAAAGAATTCAGGATTTTGTCACGCGATGCATACAAGATTACCCTCGGAGAGCATGGGTACAGCTATCGCCGATTCAGTCTCCTTTCATCTTCGAACGTTCGGGCCAGTGGACTCCAAGCCGCCCTGGGCTGAAGCTAATCTCTCTGCACGGAGCCTATGAACCGTTACAGACGTTGGAGTTGGATCTATCATCACAGATGGAGCCTAGCTCGTAATAATATGAGTTTAATTACTCATGCTCCCTATTACACGTCCACGACATCTTCCACAAGATCTCCCGATCTGCTGGCTCTTGCTTTTCCGAAAATTATCCGGTGTCTTTCGCTGAGGAGCCGTTGCATAGCAGACATAAATGCGTGTCGTTTGTATTTATGTACGGCGTAATGCTCACTAATACCTATGTCTAGGGAATTGTTGTTCAGCATCCCTGTTTCATTGTCCAGCAGCCCAGCCATGACTTAACGAAGAACAAGGGAATCCATCCATGTATAACAGAATTCAACTACCAGATAAACTTGAAGTGGTAGAAGCAGCAGAAGAAGATTAAAATAGCTGTACTTTCGTGACATTAGCCACAGATAAGGTGCTGATAACGACGAAATAATAACCTCCTATTTCCATCTCTCATACAGAGCAATACCTACTAGGTAGTAGTGCCGGGAATGACGATATTCGGGGTGGGAGGGTACCCTGCCAGAATTCAGATGGATCCAAACGCGGCCACATTGAGGGAGTCCGGGTTAATCAGGATATCAATCTCAGTATACGTGTATGTTTGGATGATATGAGTATCAGAATAGCTGGGTAGGGATGGCCAGAGTTCGCTATCCCCGCTGGATGTAATTGTCGAGATCAGATACGCATGTACATACTAGTATCATCAGAGCATGGTAGCTCAGCGTCTTGGGATACGAATCCAGCTGCTCTGAGATATTCTTCGCCCGTGAGCCCGAGGACATACGCCTAACCCGGGAGATCTACCGTAATGTAGACTGCCAAGCAAGTCCCATGCAGCTTTTCACTACTTAGTAGGAATAAAGTTACAGGACATTCACGCTCTTGGCGGCGTCCAATTGCACATCTTTTTCCCGTTGTGCTTCATAAACCCTACCAATACCTACCCGGGACACCACTGCAGACAATCTGCCAAATGATTTCTTGTACATACATTGATTTACTTGCACAGTGGTCTGTTCCTAGCATTATTGCAGCTCTGGGTCCATGCAGATGCTGGACCTCGAAAGTTGGCTCGGTTTACCCGCATATGGCCATCTGCGCCAGAATCTCCCGACGCCTCTTGTCATGTGCCCCACGATTTTATCGCTGCTTCCGATCAGCCCACCAGAACGTATCGTGATGCGCGGAGCTTGATTTTGAGATTTAGGCCATTTTCCCCATATTCGCGAAGATGCGGTGCGTAACCCGCGTATATTTTCCTTGCGAGAGCTTTGCCATGAGCGTTTCACAAGCTTGTCTCTGACGCACACCCTGTGAAGAACATCGCCAGCAGACCTGCCTGTAATATTGCGCATATCTTAGTGCTTCCAAGGCTAGTACCAATACCCATTATATTCCGTGTGATGTATCTCTCAATTACATAAAATTGATCACCGTTTCAATCGACATTTCACAATTCGTGCCCTTGCAATTCCAATTCCAATCGCAATGCCGCCAAGTTTTCTTTTCTCCCCCACATGCCAAACTACGAAATCTCCATCAGCCCGCGTCGAACCACCTGCTGCCCCCATCCGAAAATAGTGGGCGGCTTCGATGACGCTGCGTTCAGCCCCTCACCTCACACCACTCCAGAGAGCTCTCTTGTGCTGCAATTAGCATTAGCTCCATTGCTCCAGCGATTCGGCTCCTCAGGCCAGCACCGCGGACAAGCTCCAGCCAATTACTGCAGGCACCGTTCCGTTCCGTTTATAACCTCATCTTCCCTCCTCCACCTTTCACTTTCTTCTCTTCCTTTCAGCAACAACAAGCAACCCTCCACGAAACCCTCCCACAACACAAAGATGCTCCGTACCACCCTCACCAAGACGGCCGTTTTCCGTCCCATGCGCGCTGCCTTCAGCACCACTGCTCGCGCCATGAGCGAAGGTGACACCGGTGCTCCTCCCAAGACCGGCGGCGCAGGGTAAGTGACCAAGGAATAAATCCTGTCCCCTCCTCCTTTTTGTTTTCAATTGCGATAATTTCCTTTCGGCTACAAGGCATCATCTCTAACAGCTTGCGTTTCGCAAATGACTTGCAGTGACGCCTTCCAGCGCCGTGAGCGGGCCTCCGAGGAGTACGCCATCCGCCAGCGCGAGAAGGAAAAGCTCGTCGAGCTCAGGAAGAAGCTCACCGAGCAGCAAGAGCACCTCGATCGCCTTGCCAAGCACATGTATGCGCATCAGAAGTCCTTGTAACCCCCCTCAATTCAAATTATGACGGCACCACTAATGAAGCTATGCTACTTCTCTAGCGATGAGATTACCAAGGACCAGGGCGGCGAGCAGAACTAAAGAGGAGACCAACACTCTAAAGGGATATCGGAACTTAGGAAGGACAAAAAAAGAAGAAAAGAAGAAAAACCACCCATCTCATGTCGGGCCATTCACTAAGCTGAGCTGTTTAAGCTGAAGTTTGTGAACAACAGCTGCCCTGGGTTGAACTGCGTTACATGTTGTCTCGATATGCTTGCGTATTTTCTTTCCCCCTGTTGCCGTCTAAGGTACTGTACAGCTACATGACTCTTCCCCATCTCACAGAAATAACCAAATGCACAAAGGAAAATAAAATAAAATAAAACAAGAGTTACTCCAATGTTGTTGTGTCCACCAGATGTACGTCCCTCAATTGGTCGCGCGTGTGAAAAGACCTTTATTAGATTCATTCTTTCCTGATGCCATCCCATAACTCCAATTTCAATCATCAATGCTCCATAATTACATCACCTCCGTCCCATGTAAGACCTGTAGAAGCTTTCCGCCACGTCGCTCTCTCCGCTACCGTAATGACTGCCCAAGTTGCTGCTGGACTTTTGCGCAGCCGTGACCTTGGCTTGCAGAGCCGAGGCATTGGCGTCGATCCATTGCAGTTGGGTAAGATGGCTGTTTAGCACACGAACAACCTGGCTCAGCTGCACTCTCGTGTTAGCATATACGTGGTTTGTGAAAATCTCGCTGGTAGTAAAACTTACTGGGTCCTCAGCCTTAGCTCCCTTGCTCAGTGTTCCAGAAATTTCGTTAATCTCCTTGACCATCTTGGATAGGTCTCGTGACTTTTCATCAAGTTGCTGTGTGAGCTTCTCCGCTAGCTTATAGGTGCGCTCACGTTCCTGGTCTGGCCCTCCAAGCTGTTCACCAGGACCCATCTGCTTAGAAAACATGTCCTGAACCTCTGATTCGTATCGGTTCAGCCAGGCCTCCAGCTCCTCCTGCTGGCTCTCCACAGCAGCAAGTTGGCGCTCAATCTCATGGCTGGCTCGCTCCGCTTCAAAGGTATCTAGATACAGTTTCTGGATCTTTTCACCATTGTCCACCAAATTTCTGTCCCAGTTGGACACGATAGTGGCTTGGTCCTTGAACTCCTTTTGGTATTTTGATAGATCCGAGGCCCATCGAGTGACAATATCCTCCATCGTCTTATTCTTTAGCCGGGCCATCTGAGAGGGAGGTCCGTTGGTGGACGCGCCCAATGCGCTTGTGGTGGTAGTTTGAGCGGCGGGCTTCGCCGCATCTTTGTCACCGGCGGGTTTGGCTCCGAATAGGCCACCGGCACCAGCAGCAGTGGTCGTGCCAGCCGCTGGTGCTGCCGTCGTTGAAGCCGCGGTGGTAGAGGTAGTGGCGGCAGGCTGAGGCGTGGCGGTACCGAACAGTGAGGCGGCCGGTTTGGAGGTGGCAGCAGGAGCTTGAGAAGTGGCGCCAAAGAGGCCACCAGTTGTGGCAGTTGTTGCTGGAGCTGCTGAAGATGTAGTCGTAGTAGCAGTGCTAGCAGGCTTCAGACCAAAGAGACCTCCTGCAGCAGCAGGTGCAGGAGTAGATGCCGAAGTTGCAGAGGTAGTAGTAGCGGTGGTACCGAAGAGGCCACCGCCAGATGCTGCTGCTGGGGTTGTAGCGGCGGCGGGCTTGGCCCCGAAGAGAGAATTCGTTGTTCCAGCACTGGCCGGCGCTGCGGCAGCTGCAGAAGCTGCAGGCTGCGCAGTACTAGCAGCCGCATTACCAAAGAGTCCTCCAGTAGCCGGTTTGGTAGCGGGAGTCGTAGTAGCAGTCGGTTTGTTGCCAAACAAACCACTCGTGGTTGATTGGGCTCCACCGCCGAATAGTCCTGATCCTGATGTAGTGGTGGCCGCAGGTTGCGTGGTCGTGGTCGAGGCAGCAGCAGGCTTAGCAGCTCCAAACAAACCACCAGTAGCTGGAGTAGTGCTGGCAGCGGTTCCGAACAAATTGCCGCTCGCAGGCTTGGCTGGGTTTGCGGGGGGTGCGCCGGCAGGCGTCGTTGATTGTGCGAATAATGGCCTGGCGGGTGTTGTTATTCCAGCAGCAGCAGTCGGGGTAGTTGTTTGGGCAGTAGGAGCCTGTGTTTTGTTTCCAAACAAGCCTACAGCTGGAGTTGGGGTAGTGCTTGGAGTCTGGCTGGCATTGTTTCCGAACAAGCCCCCAGTCGATGGAGTAGTAGATGAATTCTTATTGCCAAACAGACCGCCGGTGGTTGGTGCCGCAGTGCTTGTTTTCGTGTTGCCAAATAGCCCGCCCGTCGCTGGTGTGGTTGAGGCTGCTGTTGCAGTGGTCGCACCACCAAACAGGCCGCCTGTCGCGGGTGTGGTCGAGGCTCCTCCAAATAGGCCACCAGAAGTGGCCGGAGTAGTAGATGAAGAAGGGGCAGCAGCTCCACCAAAGAGACCGGCAGCAGGCTTGGATGCAGCGGCAGCGTTCTGACCTCCAAACAGGGATCCTGGAGGGTTGGTAGCAGGAGTTGTTGTATTTGTATTTCCAAAGGAAAACTTGGGCGCTCCAGATGTAGCAGGAGCGTTGCCAAACAATCCTCCACCGGCCGGCGCAGTGCTAGTTGTGCTGCTGGGTGCAGCACTTGAGGAGCTCGGGGTTGTAAAGAAAGACATGGCGATTGTCGCGAGTTTGTCTTCTTTTTATCTAAATCGTCGGTGGTCGCGAAAGGCGAGAGGCAGCAACTTGTGAAGAATTAGACTCAACAAGTTCTCATGATAGCCCAAAGCTCGGCCAAGGTAAAGGAAAGGAATTGAGAACCGTAGCGGACTGCCGAAAGCTCGCCTTGGGATGGTTCGGAGCCGATGTCGAAGAAAACAAAAGATCGAGGCGGTCCAAGGCAGACGGTTGACCTTTTTTCGCGGTAATGTTTTCTGGGAGCTTTAGATCAAGGCCCAGCACGCGCAGCCGTGGTGTGGCTGGGGAATCCACCATACTTGGATCCCTAGCCACACTGCTTGGCGCTGTAGAGCACCCAGCCACAGCTCACCCCTTGAAGCATGGCATAATGGCCATTCCCACGTGATGATAGTACTCCCACTGTCGAGAGCTTCCATGTTATCGGGAGGCTGATCGACTTGACTACCTCTGGCGACGACATAGACACCTCTACTTGCAGTTTTAGACATTTTGCCTCTCTTTTTCTTCGCAAATTCAACCGAATACACCATACACTGCCGAGCCATTGCACGGGACCGTTATGTCCTGAAGGCCCTCATGTGCCTGGCCTCGACGCCGAATAGAGAACCACAGCCTCGTTACTTCGAACCACACACCCAAAACTCACATCGGGCAATTGGAGACTGCAGTTGAATACTACCCCTTGGATCGTCTAGTATTTTCTCAGCTTTGTAGAGAACCAGCAGAACACAATGGCGGACTCCCGGGATCTTGAACCCCCGCCACAGACCCACGTCGAGGACCCGGGGGCCCATCAACTGGGTAGGTCATCAACTCTCAGCAAGTGTATCTTGGTGAGGTCGTGCTGACATAGGTATTTGGATAGCTGAGGCTTCAGATTCGGAAGATCAATTTACAGACGCACAGTCCGCACCTACGAGCCCCGGTGTCAGCTCACCGGTCCCCAAGACACGAGTGGAACTAGTGGACAACGAACCATCATATGGAGAAGTGCCTGGCACTGAAGCGTACGAGAAAAGAGAGCAAGATGCTGAACCTGATGAGATCGCCGTGGTACCCGAAAATGCTTCCGAATCACCACCACCTACCCCTCTCGAGCCGGCCGATATTCCTGTAACGATGGTTGAAGAGTCCGTTGGTGAATACCCTGGTCAGGACACTCCGCAGGAGCTGGAGAAGCATAAAGCAGATGCTACCCCTGATATTATATTGAGCCCTAATGGCGAGTTAAGGAGCGGTAATGAGGATGCTATTTCTGGTACGTATACGCCCAAAGCTTTCGAAATATCCCAAGACAACTTATTGACTCAATCAAAGACGCCCCTCTTTCACCCCCCTCCTCTGCAGCCTATTCGAGAAGAGAGTCTATATCATCCCAGCCAACGGTCTTGGCTGAGAAAAAAGAAGCAGCTGACCCTGGCAGTGGTGGTGGCGATGACAATGATATGGCAGTTGAGGAAGGTGATGAAAAATGTGGTGAAGAAGGTGGTGGTGGTGAAGGGGTTGAAGAAGTGGTTGAAGAAGGGCTTGAAAAAGGGATTGAAGAAGGGGGGGAAGAAGGCGGCGAGGATGACGATTTCGGAGATGACTTTGACGACTTTGAAGAGGGCGGCCACGATGATGACTTTGATGACTTTGAGGATGGTTTCCAACACGCTGAGCCTACTACGACTACAACACCGGCACCTCTTCCAGTCCAACCACAACACTCACTACCATTTGTACGTGCACCGCAAAGACACGCGTATATCAACTCAATGCTGACCCCTTTACAGTCGATACCCGACTTCGATGGGCTGAGCCCCGATGAAGTCACTTCCGCAATTGAACCATGTTTACATGACCTCTTTCCCCCCGAGGAACTCGACTTCCAGGCCTTCCCCCAGCTATCAAAAGACTCATCCATCTTCCTGACGCCCCGCTCCGCCTCCCTATGGTCTCAGCTTGTTGCTCCCCCACCCCTGGCACCCCCCGACTGGATTCGTTCGCGAACCCGCCGTCTATTTCTCGTCTCTCTCGGCGTTCCCGTAGACTTGGACGAGATTCTTCCGGCATCCAAGCAGAAGAAGCTTGTGCTGCCGTCGCTTAATATTCCCGCCGCCTCACCCAGAGGGTCAAGTGACCTGCGGTCGGCAACAAGACTAAATCAGGGTGATGGGAATGCTTCATCAACATCGGTAGACTCTCATGGCAAACCATCGGCGTCTAAGAGGAGGAAAGGACCGCCACCTCCGCCAGAGTTAGACCTGGTAGTGGCAAAACACGTCTGCCAGACAACAGACGAGGCGTTGAAAGGTATGACCGATCAGGAACTAAAGGACCATGTGGCCAAACTGGAGGCCATGCAGGGAGCAGCCAAGGAGGTGCTGGATTACTGGACAAAACGGACGGACGAAAAGATTGGGGATCGGGAGGCATTTGAAGGGGTTATAGAAAACCTGGTGGCACACGCACGTAAAGTACGAAAGTAGAAACTTGCATGATGATTTATATATTATGGATCGTCCAATTATTCAACTCATTGATTGGCCCAGCAGCGATTGTGCAATTCTCTTTTCACCGTATCATCCTGGTTAGAAAAAAAAAAAAACTTCTATAGCTTTATAGCACCCATGAAGGGGACTTTTCCTGACGCCGCTACCTAGCCCCTGGAAGACGCATTTTCAATCCTGCACTCTGTGGCTAGTTTGGAACCGACTAACTGCCGCCTCCCTTCTTTTTCCCCTCTCCTTCATCTTTCCCCTTTCTTCACATCGCTGCAAGAAAAATCGCTGATCAGGCCAAAAATTCTGCTGATATACTACTACCTGATGCATAGTTCTTTTTGCTTCCAGCCCAATATTCCATAATAACACATCGCTTTATAGACAAGTTGACTCTTTTCTAGCTCTATGCTTATGCTGAGCTAGGCTCCAGAGTAACACCGCTGTAAAGATTTACATTAGCTTTAGTTTCCCATGACGAAATAAAAGAGCTGGGAACGTAGTATTTGAAATAGTGGAGGGAGGGGAAAAACTTACGCAGCGATTGTGGCCCATCCAATAAGACGCCAGTGCTTGTCAATACGTCGGCTGAGGGCGACCTTCTCGCCGACATCCGTGCAGACAGGGCTGGTCAGGATCAGCTTGGCAGCATCGTTCTTGATAGCAGCAACCTTGGCACCGGTAGATGTGGAACCAATGTTAACCATGATGACTTCGTTCTTGGCCAGCTTGGCGACCTTGGCCTGCTTGCCATCGGCGGTCTTGACACCGAGCAGACGTCGGAGGAGGTAGAAGTTGATTTCGATTTCGCTGTAGATATCGGGGAGCTTGCCCTTAAGACCCAGGACGAAACCGACCAGACGATCGGCACGGCAAAGGGTAGGATCGATCTGGGTACCGACACCGATCAGACCACCGGGAACAGCGTACTTGAGGTCGTTGCCTTCTGAGTTGAGAGAGATGACTCTGCTGAAGAGAGGAGTGCACTTGAGAGCACCGCTGTTGTCGCGAGAAACGATACCAGGGCGAATCTCAATCTCATCACCCAGCTTAAGGACACCGTGCAGGATACTGCCACCGGCAACACCACCCTTGAGATCGTCAATCTCGGCACCGGGCTTGTTGACGTCGAAGGAACGAATGATGATCATGTGTGGCGAAAGGGAGAGATCTCTGACGGGAACAGGGATGGTGTTGACGATGGCATCGAGAACGGCATCGACGTTGACCTTGAGCTGAGCAGAGATGGGAATGACGGGAGACTTCTCAGCAACAGTTCCACGGATAAACTTGAGAATCGAGTCATAGTGCTGCTGAGTGATCTCTTCTCTCATCAGGTCGACCTTGTTCTGCAGGATGATGATGTTCTCGAGCTTCATGATCTCGATGGCGGCCAAATGCTCTGATGTCTGAGGCTGAGGGCAGGATTCGTTACCTGCGATCAACAGAAGTGCTGCGTCCATGACAGCGGCTCCTGACAACATGGTGCTCATGAGAATGTCGTGACCAGGGCAGTCGACAAAACTAAAAGGATTAGGTATCAATAATACAGCTCTTATCTAGCAATTATAGGTCTATGGGGGCGGGGGAGAAAGGGGAGAGCGGTGGACGTACGAAACATGTCGCAACAGACGGTATGTGCCACCACAACCATCTCTCTCGCAAGGAGGGTCAACCTCCTTCTCACTGCCGTAGCTTCGGTAGCAGCCAGGACGAGGGCATGCAGCGTTATCACACTGGTAGATCTTGGCGTTGGCGTAACCCAGCTTGATGGTAATGTTACGGATCAGCTCGTTCTTGAATCGAACTGTCTGGACACCAGAAATGGCCTTGACGACGGTGGACTTTCCGTGAGCGACATGACCAATGGTACCGATGTTGATGGTGGCTTGTCGAGCAATAATCTCGGGGGTGAGAGGCGTCAGGATGGAAACATCGAGATCCTTGGGATCGGTCTGTGGGGGCAGCGGGGGCTTTGCGACCGTCTTGTCGGGGATGACGGGGTTGGACTTCTTGATGGCCGGCTTGAGGGCCTTCTCTTCGACGACGTTGTCCTGGGCGTCGATGGACTCTCCAGAGTCAGAGTCGGACTGGATATCGTCGTACTTCGGATCGTCAGACATGGTCGCTAGGCGGGGCAGTCTCTGACAATTCTTGGGTAGTCGGGGTTGATTCCTCTGAGGGTAAGGGATTGTTTTCTTTCGGGCAGTCGAGGAGCTTCAGGGCTCTTGATATGTGACTGGAAAGAAAACAAGGGATGTTTATCGAAGAGGTGGAGAGAAAGGCAAAAGCCTACAAGGTTTTTGTCACTATAAAATTGCGGAGGTTTGCACAAGCACCCATTTCGCTGTCGAGTGGTCAAAATTCATCGTGTGCAGCTGGATGACTCTTACGCTAAGCCTAGTTTGGCTTGATAACCTGATAAGGATTATTGCCCCTCCACAGGTGTAGAGTTGGTAAGCCCCCTCTTTAAGCAGCTCTACTTTCGCCGGTAGCCTGGCGAGTGCTGGTACAACTCATAAGCAAAGTCATTTGACAATATTCCATCCAAAAGATTATAGAATATTTCCATGAGGTGTGAAAAAAAAAAAAAAAAAAAAAAAAAGACCAAAATCGGAAATGAAAATAGAAGAAAAAAAAATATAAAGAAAGTCAAATGACAATGCTTTGATGAGCACTGCTAGAGTGATGGGGATGTCTGGGTGCTTTGTGCCTAGCGATCGTTGTAAGCGCTTAAGCATATGATGATGAAGAAGGATATGTAACAAATGACTATTCTGAATATCTAATGTTGTAACTGTATTATGTAGAGCTTGACAATAAAAGCGACAGAGACTACACAGAAAGAATGGAGAATTGTAGAAAAAGACAGCGAAGAGTCGGCACAGAATGGGTATTGGCATAGAGGAGGGGAAGTATTCCGAGTGTTGCAAGGATGCCGGATAGCCACTCTTCTAATATAGCAATTGTGCTGGCAAGTGCTAAAGAAGTCGGATCAACCACCGACTTTCTTAATTGTTACTAAAGAAGCTCTAATCAAACACAGTTGCTTGTTAGACATTGGACATTTGAGATTCCGCATTCGTGAAATATAAATCACAACACGCTGCTTTATAATGCCCCGAAACCGTTGTCGCGATGTAGATACTCTTGGCAATTATGTTACTTGAATCCAATCCGAGCACTCTCATATAGGTAATTTGCACCGCCTTGGATGAGAGTATCTGTCATGTACATACCAAAGCTCTCAGATTGCTTTATGACTGTGATCTTTTCACATCATAATTCCACTTGGGCAAGCAGCTAAACTAACCTCGCAAAGCCCTAAACTCCAAAACTACTTGTTGGAGCTTTGCTTACACCTCCAAAGGCTATCATCAATGAGATGTCGGAGACTAAAGCAAGTCAACCGTGTCTACCAGCTGGTCGGGAGAAATCAATGCCGACCAGCAGGACCATCGCCTTCAGGCCACGGCTCATTCTGCAGAGGCTTTAATGCTGCGGCTAACATACTGTGCACGGTATGATGATGAATGAGTTGGTTGCCCATCCTCTATTTACCCGATGCACCCCACGGATGCGATGCAGTGCCTAGCACATGACGTGCCTGCTGCTGCTAGCAGACTGCAGTGTGTGCGATTCCCGGCGGGTGGAGTGGCATGAGGCGTCGACTTGGCCCCCAACAGAGCGACAAAAGGCTGAAGGATTTTTAAAGTAGAGCATGTTCCTGGCACTACTGTCTAGGGCGTCTGTCTACATTGTGATAACGGCCGCAGGGACGAAGCACAAGGCAAGCGCATTTCGATGATGACGAGGATGGCACACCAACGCAGAGATATTCCACCGCTAGGATCGATAGCCTTGTGCTTGGCGAGAAGCGTTTGTGTACTGTAAGTGTTTCGTAGCATGGATGCCATTATCAAGTATCGAGAGCGTGAAAGTACGTGAAAAGAACGTGCGCATGAACATGAAGGAGCGTGTGCACATATTGGATGCATTTACGCGATCCACTTGATATCCATCGAGCAAGCAAAGTCGGCCCCATCACCAACACATGTAACCTCTCTTTACCACCTGATATTAACCCATCCGCAAAGGATTCGTATAGGCAGCTTATGCACACATACACACAGAGATTAACACGATTAATAAACTGGCGAATGCATCTCGTTGACAAAACACGGCAAACGGGCAAATGCGTTTTACCGCCCCGGATAGCATAACCGCAAACCCGGAGATGCGCGCAGAAAAGGTACTAGCGGAGAAGAAGAAAACTGTCAGCGTCTGCTGACGGGCGCACTGGGGTTCCAAACGCCACGGCATGTGTTAGTGCTAGCGATTGCGGTTCAGAAGAAGCCGTGGAAACGGGTAAGAAAAAAAAAATTCCTAAGAAGCAAGGGAAAATAAAAGCATCGACTGATGATCTTCGCGAAAAAAGACGCAGGGCCGGGAGGGGGGTATGGCTGGGCTTGTGGTTGTGATGGCTTCCGCGCGCGGCTGCTGAAGTGCATTCTGTGTTTAAAATAGCAACGAAGTCGCTGGCAGGAAAAAAAAGAAACTGCATGGGTTCTCGTACTCGCACTACAGCAACCACCATTCCTGGCGAAAGAAAGACGGGCGGGACCTCTCTTCGCATGGCAAGCAGGGACGAATCCCAAAGAGCTCATTGCCGCCGACCAGCTGCGGTGGCTTGCCGCCCATCACAGCACTTTGCCCTCTAATTGGCTGCAGGGCAATAAATGCAGCCACAAGACAGCGCCCCCCGGTCCAGGCAAGGCCCTAAAAAGGCCCGCCGGCAGTCCCTTGCGCTGGGCCAATCAGGGCGTGCCGTCTGCCGTGGGCACTCGAGATATCGAACAGGCCCGGCGGCAAGGCAAGTTGAAGGGCGGAGAAGAAGAGGCAGAGACTCCATCTGGGCGTGTAATTTTTTTTTTTCTTGGCTTCCTGGGCGGCAGTGAAGAATCCGGGAGCTGGGATGAGAGATACGAGTAAGGATAAGATGATGATGGTAGCACCGAAAATGAAGGGCAACAGGCGATCTAGCAAGGGCTGCGGACTTTTTAGTGTAAGCCGCGGTGCTAGTTAGCTATTGTGCTGCCTCTTTTGACGTCCAACGACCAGCCATTTCCGGGGCCGCGCCCGCTCTCGCCAAGGGCAGACGAGAACTAAGACCGGCAGGCAAAATCAGAGAGCGGATGGATGGGGGAACGATGCGTGCTGTTGGTTGATGTGCGCCCTCCGCTCGGCTCGTGGGCGATTTAAGGTCCTGAGTGAGATAATAGTGCAGCCGGATGTAATAGCCTTGGCTCTGTCGTTGCTCTATCCCACACTGCTGCTCCTCCTCCTCCTCTCAACTCTCCATGTGTCGTGTCGTGCAGGCAGAATAACACAACGCACGAGCATCACTTTGCACTTAATCGCCAATCTGCTGAGCAACAAGGGCACGTACATACATACAGACCAGACCCGCCCATAGAAGCGCCAATCTGCAATCCCCCGTCCACATTGAGCCAATCTGCACCGCAGCTGGCCTGTCGTCGGTTTTTCTCGCCCGGCGGCTAGCCGCATACACCCTCTGGGCGCATCACACCCTCCTCCAATCGCCTATCAGATCGCCCTTTTCCTCGTCCCATCTCCAATGCCATTTAGCATTGGTCCCTCCCGTATGCACGCAGAACGAGAGAGCCGCCCGTCAGTAGGATCCGTCGTCTGCTAAACCGACGCCCCTCCTCCCAGTCTCAGAGGGAGGAATCCGCTTCTGTGCTTCCAGCTTTCTCCATCTCGCTATTGAATTTCCTTCTTTTGGCTCCGGCGCCTCGTGGTGGTCGAATGAGCTTCCTGCATCTCTTCTCTCGCCCTGCCGCCAGTCCTCCTCAAAACTCTTGCGCTCCCACTTCCACGTAGCGCTTCTAGAGTTCTTCTCCTTTTCTTGCTGTTCGATAGCTGGTCTCGTCACACTATTCAACAGTGATTACTGTATTTCGTCTTTCTTTTTCGTCTTTCGATCTTGTCTGCTTTGCTTTAACTACATCACTGTGCGGATTTTTCGTTTCCAGGCCTACTACTATCGACTGGCTCGAGAAGTTCGACTTACACGATCAAGCCCGCACATAATACCCCCCCTCCGCCCTCCCTACTACCTCAACCCCAATATAAAATAAAAACCAGAAATACCAAGAAGCTAGCTATAGCTCCCAATGTCCAACATGGACAACCAAGGTCCGTCCTCACTGACGCAGGAGACGATGCCGCAACAAGAGATGGCAGCACCAGAAGCGGCAGTCATTAACACGCCAGAGCCTACAGGCTTCAACTTCAATGAGAAGAAGCGGCCCGCCGCTCTCAACCTCACACACACCCGCACAGGAACTTCTTCAAGCTCATCATCAGAGAGCTCACTGAAGGTTCCGCGGACGCCTCGCTTCGCCGAAGCCACGTCCGTCCACTCCCCAGTCGACGACGACAAGATTTCACCCTTTGCCGACCCGGTCCCTGAAGCTTCAGAGTCCCAGCCCAGCGATGTCGGCTTTGGCTACATCGGCAGCACCTCCAACCGGGAGTCAATCCCCATGCCGCCAAAGTCCCCTCTCAAGAGCGCCATGAAGGTGCCCGGCACGCCAGCCAGAACGATGCACATTCTCAGCCCTACGTTCCGCGAGGAGGCGATCCTGGAGAAGCGCGAACTCGAGACAGAGAAGGAGCAGGCTAGGGATCTGGTAAGCCTTCTATCCTGCTCTCTCGAGAACCTGAATCTGTCAACTAACACTGCTTTCACAGAAACACAAGGTCCGCGTCCGTATGGCCAAGTTTGCCCTTCGTAGCGTCCATTTCAGCTGCTCTCTCATCATCCTCGCTATGCTCTCCTCATCCTTTGCCATCTTCAACGCCACCAAGAACCTCCCTTCGCAGAGCTCAATGCCTTCATGGGCCAACGGAACCGATCCCTGGGCACAGAAGCTCGTCCTCTCCATGGCCTGTCTCTCTCTCGCAATCTCCATCGTCGTCTTTATCGCTTACTGTCGCGGAGGACATCGCCGCGCTGAAAAGGTCGGCACATACTACACCATGTTTGCTATCGGATGGGTAAGTTATAATATTTGTTCATTCTTTCTTACCAGCTATAGACTGTTACTAAGGCGTGTATGCAGTTCATCGTCAGCTTGATTCTTTGGGTCCTTGCAGCCGCCGTCTTCTCCAACTCCAAGAACAACGGCAACAACAAGGACATGTGGGGATGGTCTTGCGTCCAAAACACCCGAGCCGTCGTCTTCTCTGACAAAGTCAAGTACAGCTTGGTCTGCCGTCTCCAGAACTGGTCCCTCATCTGCATCATCATCGAGGTCGTCATCGAGGTCATCAGCATCCTGCTCTACAGCATCGTCTTCTACCGATACTACTCCAAGCGCCGCCTGCACAAGTCCATGGACGTCCGAGACCGAGCCCGCTCCGACCTCTATCTCGCCCAGCTTCGCTCCCAGTCCGCTCCCAACACTCCTGGCTTCCCTCGCTCTCCTAGCTTTGGAGGCGCTCCCATGACTCCTGCCATGTTCCCGCCCAAGTCTCCCGCTCTGAGCCAGTATGCCTTGTCGCCTCGCCACGCTCCGGCCAACTTTGGCAGCCTCTCCAGCATCAACGAGAAGAGCACCTTTACCCCTGGTGTTCAAGTCATCGCTGAGCCTCCATCGGCGTTCGCGCCGCCTCCAGCTGCGTTCAAGCTGCAGGCTCCCCCCACCAAGGCTCCTTCGGCTACGCCCAAGACTCAGAGCCCTCTGACACAGGCAGCACCGCCGCTGCCATTTGCCTCGTCCTCTCAGGCACCTCCTCCCCCGTCAGAAAACGTTCAAGAGCACGGCCCTGTTGCTGCAAACGAGCCAACATATGATGCTGTGCCCATCCCTGGCGCATACGCCGCAGGTCCTGCATCATATGGGCAGGCGATGTAAAGTGATACTTGACACACACATACACACACACACACACACACACACAAAAAAAAAAAAAGGCAAAAAAAATCTCCAAAATTATGATGACTGTATAGTTGTTTTTTTCTTCTTTTTCTACTTCCTTTTGTTTTTTCCCTTTTTGATGATGCGGGCCAATAAAAATAGGTTCGAAGCAAGATGAGCTTTCCTCCTCGTCAAGAATGAGCTGAAACGTGGATTTTTTTTCTCTTACTATTTCGGGGGTTTTCAAGGAATCAGTGTCCTTAAATATATACCACTTGGGGCGTTTTTTGTTGTATTAATTCTCTTTTGGAAAGAGGCGGGCAGGCAAATTGAGCGGAATCTTTTGATTGTCGTAACTGGATTCGACGATAGCTAAACTGGACACACACACACACACATATATAAATATATTTTTACATATATTTTTACATATACTTAATTACATTGCACGTATTGATGCATTTGCATCGCTCATTTTCTCTCTTGTGTTGTGTGATAGATTAGTCAGACGCAAAACGACTACTTACCTAACTGTGTAATCGTCGACATCTTGTGCTGTATTTGGCGGTATGAAGTACGCTCTTTACCAGCAACTCCGAAAAGAGAGCTGCGAAAAGACTGTGAATAAGCAGAGTGATAGCCTGGTATAAACAAACTTGTAAATGGTTAGTCAATATATACTCACATGTCAAACAGATCGATGTCACATATCTTATTTACTACGCTCATACGGCAGACGCAATGTGAAGTTCAAGTTTTGCAATTTTTTTTTTAAAAAAAAAAAACCATACATCATCATGATAGCGACTCCTAGATACAGACACAAAGAGGCGACGAGAACAAGGTATTAAGAAAAAAGAGAATCATTGCATTACTTTTGGTTGCCCGCCGCACCTTCATATCATTAAGGTGCAAAGGACTTCCTGAGCCTTCGTCACGCAGCCAATACTGCCCCCCTTTTTTTCCCTTGCAAGTCACCTCCCCCTTTTGAGAACCGGCTTTTTCAAATGCCGTCTCGGATGGCCCCCTCTAGAAATGTGAATCTATCAGCAGCTAGGTTCAAAAAAACACCTTTTGGAACGATTTCCCTCCCACGAATGCCTTAACTACCATAAACAGGGCTACGCAATACCAACAAGGGTAGCCCGAAGCGGGTGAAAAAACTTGGATATGACGGGGAAATATTGCTTAGATCAGGTCGGCAACGTTCATGGGCATTTCCTCGATCTGGGTGCTGTAGAATTGTTCAATCTCACGCATCATGCGGACGTCGTCAGCGGTGACGAAGTTGATGGCAACACCCTTTCGGCCGAAACGACCACCACGACCGATACGGTGGATGTAGTTCTCCCGGTTAGCGGGGAGATCGTAGTTGATGACCAGGGAAACCTGCTGGACATCGATACCACGGGCCAGAAGGTCGGTGGCGATCAGGACACGAGAAGAACCGGATCGGAACTCCTTCATAATCAGGTCACGCTGAGCCTGGTCCATGTCACCGTGCATGGCGGAGACGGTGAAGTCACGGGCAGTCAGCTTGTCAGTCAGCCAGTCGACCTTTCTGCGGGTGTTGCAGAAGATGACGGCCTGGGTGATGGTGACGGTCTCGTAGAGATCAGACAGGGTGTCGAGCTTCCACTCCTCCTTCTCAACAGCAATGTAGAACTGCTTGATACCTTCCAGGGTAAGTTCGTCCTTCTTGACAAGGATACGAACGGGGTCACGCATGAATCGGGTGGTGACCTCAAGGACGTCCTGAGGCATGGTAGCGGAGAGCAGGACAACCTGGGTGGACTGGGGAAGGAGCTGGAAGATGTCGTAGATTTGGTCGGTGAAACCACGCTATTAGAGAAGAAACGTGTTAGTGAGACTGAGCTACGCATAAGATGGCGAATTGTGGCTAATGGGTTGTCCTTACAGAAAGCATCTCGTCGGCCTCGTCGAGGACAAACATCTTCATAGCGTCGGTCTTGAGGAAGCGACGCTGGATCATGTCGTGGACACGGCCGGGGGTACCGACAACGACCTGAGGGCCGTCCTGGAGGGCCTTCATGTCATCACGGACGCTGGTGCCACCAATGCAGGCGTGGCACTCAACGTTCATGAAGTCGCCGATAGCGACAACGACCTTCTGGATCTGCTGGGCCAGCTCACGGGTAGGGGCCAGAATCAGAGCCTGGCACTGCTTGACAGCAGGGTCGATCTTCTGGAGAACGGAGATGGAGAAAGTAGCGGTCTTGCCAGTACCGGACTGGGCCTGAGCAATGACGTCGTGGCCCTTGATAACAGGCATGATAGCACGCTGCTGAATAGCAGAGGGACGCTCAAAACCGTAGGCGTAAACTGGTCGTTGTTAGACATCGTCTTTCCCCCTTTTTTGTGTGTTTGAATCGCTTCGTTCAAGGCGTGGAAGAGGGACAGCACTCACCACCACGGAGGAGCTCAGACTTGAGGTTCATGTCGTCGAAAGAGTCGACAGTCTCATCGTAGTTGGACTCGATCTGTCCTGTAACGCAACCGCAGTCAGCAAACTGAAGAATCAGGGCGGGGCAGTAATAATAGGAGGCCCAGATTTGGGTATCGTGGGGTCAAAACGCCGCGACCGCTTTGCGCGCAGAAGCAAAATCCTCACGGAATTGTCGACACAGCGCTCAGCAGCCAGAGATGACGCAGATGTTGCGGTTGGACTCACCCTCGGGGACATCCTCGAGTCCCTTGTCAGCCATGATTGCGGTTGAAGAAGAAGAAAAGAATCTAGATCAAGCGCAGCTCGACCTAGAAATTATTGAAAAAGTTGGGCGGGGTGGAAGCAAAAAAGGCAGTCTTCTGTCGAGAGAAGGCTGCGGGTGTGTGATAAACTGAAAAGTAGTCGTCTAGATTCGAAGTTCTCGATAAATGCGAGAACAAAAAGAACCTAGGAAAAAAATCGTGATGATATATTTGTATGCCTTGAGAAGGTTGAGGAGAGAGAAAAAAGTGAACTGAGGGGCGATGTGGACTTGCTTTTTTTTTTCTCTCCCAGCCGCTTGTGGCCAATCAGTTCGGGGTTGCGCGGTGGGGCACACGGTTAGGGTACCTCAAGCCAGTGGATTTTTTTTTTTTTTTCCTCCAGAGCATTGTATGCAGCCTAGAGCCCAGCGTCCTTAGCGCTGCCAGCAGCACATTGTGGCGGATTCCCGCACAGGCTTGCAGCACGCTTCGCCCCATTTTACGGAGCAGCGCCTATCACCCAGTACTGCCAACGGTCATTGGGCAGAGGCGGAGGAAGGAAAAAAAAAAAAAAAAAAAAAGATGTCACTAACAATATCTAACTTCGTCAATACTTAACGAGCCATGTCTTACCCTGGCTAGCTGCTAACAAACAAACCAAAAAAAATTTTGCATGTGGCTTTACTTTTGCCATCAACGAGACAGTATAGCTCTTGTTCACTTACACGGCCTAGGCAAACTCACCTTGATTCCGCAGCCTCGAAACCTCCCTGCAGGCTCTCATCTCAAACCAACTAAATCCTCCCCAGATCTTAGCGGATGATGAGTCGACGCGAATAGCATCATGCCTTCTGCTGTTTCACATAAGAGTCACCAGTCCAGTGACTCAACTAGCGTCAGCCACTCTGACTCAATTCCAACTCACCCTCTCGGTGTCAAGCCCCTGGGCAATCAGTATCTCGCCAAGGGGCCAAACGCCCGCAGGAGCATCGGCGCATGGGCGTGTCTGCCTGATGAGCTCCTTGCTCTTGTTCTTGAGGGCTTCGACAAACAATCCCTGCTGAATCTCGGATCCACGTGCAAATTCCTATATGCCTTCTGCCACTCTGAGGAGCTCTGGAAGGCCCTGTATCTCCGGTAAGTTTTGACGATGCCTTCCTCCTTTCTTTTTTATTACATTTACACATTCGAGCACGCATGTCGAGTCCGATGTGCATGTGAGGGAGATGAGCCCCTGCATATCCCTGCATGAAGCATGCAACTACATGGCCAGCTTCTTGATAGTAGCCAAGTGGCTGGTTGAGGCATGCTACAAGTAGTATGATGTGATGATCTCACTCTGATACTCTCTCTCTTCTTTGCCCCTGGTAGGAAACTTTGTAAAGAATTTGTACCAAGTAGTGCATATAAGCGCAGTATATATCCAGCAATACTTAGTACATAACTTGTAACATCAAATACATGTGACAGGAGCTGACCTGCATCATGCTTCAGGTCTCAATCAACTAGCAGCCCATCTATAAACTGGCGGGGCTCATGGAGGTCGACGGTCATCGGGCTTCCTAGTGAAGACGAAGCCAAAGTTGACTGCAGCAATGTCTTCTCCGATGTTCTGCATCGACCGTTCGCCTGCAGCAATATCGATCTCGCAAACTTTGTCTCCAAGATACCAAAGGCAAATGAAATCCAACGATTTGAGAATCTCACGTACGAAGGATACTCCGAGAGGTGGACTGAGCAGCCCTTTGTCTTGACAAAATGCATACAAGAATGGCCAGTCTACTCCCAGTGGACCATTGATTCACTGCTCAAAAAATATGGCGAAGTCGAGTTCCGTGCTGAAGCAGTTGACTGGACCTTTTCACAGTATTGCGAGTATATGAATAGGAACAAAGACGAAAGTCCACTGTACCTGTTTGATCGAAAGTTTGCCGAAAAGATGGGGCTCGTAGTAGGACACTTGGAGGGCGCCGCGTATTGGCGGCCCGACTGCTTTGGACCGGATCTCTTTGAGGTTTTGGGAGATGAGCGGCCAGCTCACAGGTGGCTGATCATAGGACCAGAACGAAGTGGCTCTACCTTCCACAAGGATCCCAATGGAACAAGCGCCTGGAACGCGGTGATACAGGGGGCTAAGTACTGGATCATGTTTCCTCCAACCGCTGAAGTCCCTGGTGTTTATGTGTCCGAGGACAGCAGCGAGGTAACCAGCCCGCTAAGCATTGCCGAGTGGCTTCTCACGTTCCACAAGGAGGCAAGGCAGATGCCTGAATGCGTTGAGGGCATCTGCAATGCTGGGGAGATCCTCCATGTCCCAAGTGGATGGTGGCACCTGGTCGTGAACATTGAAAGCGGCATTGCGCTGACGCAAAACTTCGTTCCTCGGTCCCCCGGCCTCAACCTCGTCTCTGAAGTGCTATCGTTCTTGAGGGATAAGCCCGACCAGGTATCCGGCTTCTCTCGAGATGTCGAAGATCCATTTGGGCTTTTTACGGCCAGGCTCAAACAGGATTATCCAGATATTTTGGAGAGAGCACTTGAATTAGCTGATAAGAAGAGTGGCAAGAAGAGGAAATGGGATGCTGCAGTAGGCCGAGATGAAGAGCAGGCAGAAGGGTTCAGTTTCGGCTTTGGCGGTGATGATGATGAAGAGATACCTTGACGGATATCGGCATATGTACAATAGAAGCGAGATAGCGCCTTTATGATTTACGGCTGTAAATTGATATAGATGATTGGTACACTACGGAGTTCCTGTACTGCCGGTAATATCTGTACTATGGGTAGATGATATGCCTAGTAATAGGTCTGGGGTATGCAGCAAAAAGCGTGCCCTTTGCGGGGGCTCTCTGCGGGACGATTTTTCGTCTGGGGATCCGCCCTACTTTTCGTATGTGATCGTTTGTAAGCAGAGGCACATCCCTGGCAACCATTCACGATAAACTGCTGGAGGTTGCTTCGACGAGTCAAGCAATCGCTAATTGCACGATAGTGGTAGTGAGAAGGCGTCGACGGAATCAATTTTGACGCTCTTCGGCCCCTCCTCCAGCTGCTATTCATGTAAGGCGATGTTGGAGATGAGATTTGGACCGCTGGTTGAAGAACGACGGAGAATACTAAACACAACTGCTAGGGTAAGATGCCGGAGTTGGCAATATTTAGCACAAGTATACAAAGTAGAGACTGGGAGTAACACCAACACCAGGCTAGGTACAGGAGCCATCTACAGAAAGCAAATACTGTACGTCTTTATTATGTTGCCCATAATTCAAAGAACGCCAGCCACCCAAGGTTATCCAGACGTTAACCGTATGCAAGACTCGACGCAGCGTGTTGCGTCTGTTCGGAGGGTTTGAAACAAAGCGTCCAGGGGGGAAAGTACATGTGTTGAGGTGTTGGCACTAGCAAGCAGTAAGCCGAACGGGAAGATGGTGTGCCGGACAAACACTGCTTGTCCCTAATTAGATTGTAGATGCGATACCTGACGGGCTGCAGAGCAACACAGCTGTCGATACACACCCACCTAGGCAGTAGTGATTATATGCATTTGCCCACTCTGCAAACCGCTCTTTCGGAGCAAGAGCCCACTTGCTGACCACGTCACCACTGAGCAAGTTGTTACAGCAGCAGCAGCCGGGAGAGGAAACCGGACTCGGCACTGATTGAAGGCGCTGAAGTGCGCTGCTAGGGAGCTCTGCCCGCTGCAAAAAGGATGGATTGCTAGCGCCCGTCTCAGCACAGCTCTCCTATGCTCCCGTTGGTCGCTGTGCGGTGCTAGTCAGTTAGTTCTAGACTGCCTTCCAATTGTAGCCCAGGAGCCAATCAGTTGACAACCCCCTTGCGATCCGAGTAAAGAGAGAGAGAGAGACAGACAATGACAGAGACAGAGACAGAGACAGCTAGATTGGCGATTCACACACTAGAAGTAAATGTACCAAGACAGCGCCTACAACAACAGGCCAGCAAAGGCTAACAAGCACGCCATTTGCGGCTCTCTTGGAGTTGTTGCCCAACTGCACGCGGTACCGCCCATCCTGCCTGCAGCGCCGCATCCCGTCCAGGTACCGCCCACGTTCCCCTCCGCCTCCAGGTGCCCAAAAGGCCGGGCAGCCATTAGGGGCTTATTACTGGGCCGCCGCAGGGGCTATTTCGCCTCCACCACGACCTGTCGCGAGTCTCGTCCTCCCAGCGTCAGAGCCGCCTCTCTTTCCCTTCGACTTCGCATCTCGTCTGCCTTCACCGGTGCAGGGCCTTCTGGAGGAGGGCAATCCTTTCGAAAACACTCTTCGCCCATCGCCAGGGCGAGTGCGACGCACCTCTGAAACCCTCTTCTCAGCTCTTTTCTCTTCTGCTCTTTGGAAAGCTGGCGGGGTTTGCGGCGCAATGTAAGCTTTCGTCGTCCGCCTCCTCTCCGCCCTTTTCTTCACCGTCGTCCACCGCGCGCTCCTGGGTTCCTGTCTTTCCTTGTCCGGTTTTTCTTCGTTTCATCTTTTCTGCCCGTCTACGATATCGTTTGAAGCACTGTCGTCGTCATCGTTGTCTAGCCAATAGCTTCCCAAACTGTAAGTGCTTGTGGCCCCAGGCTGTGGCTGCCCCCCTAGCTTGAATTATAGGCAGCTGGCAAGCTTCATGCGAAAGCATCTTTTGCCAAACGCAAGCTAACGGCATGAATCTACTTAGGCGCTTGTTCTTTGTTCTCTATTTACCGCTTGCCTTTGTGCTTCTTTCTTTTATTTATCCCCCACAGCTTCCAAAGCTCAAACTATCCACCTCTCTTCTCTTCTTCGTCTACCTTCTTACAACTATCCGACACTTTACGAAGTATCATACTGCAACAGATCAAAGCGCAAGCGTTAGACTTCCCTAGTCTTGCCCTTGTCTCGATTTCTGCGGAATATACCACTCGCCAACTTGGTCTTCTCGCCTTAATATCTGCGTTGGTCTGCGTTATCAGGCCCGACCACCCGCAATCATGGTGTTAGACGAGCATTACGAGATGTGCCTGCCCATCTTGCAGGACCCCGCGCTCGAAGATGAGGATAAGACCGATAAAATAGAAGAGCTGTTCAAAAAGGAAACCAACATGGTTGGCTCGTCTTTGGAGAATGCCATTCTCGATGTCATGTGGAGATGGCGTGAATGCGGAGGCACCTCCACGTCACCGCCTCCCATCCGTCAGACCATCCTGCGACGACCGTCGCCGGCTTCGTGGAGGGGCGGAACGCCGTTATCAGGCTCGCCTCGCCTGGCCGTCAGTCCCCTCGCTCCGCCTGGATATATCCCCGCCACCTTTGGCAGGACCAAATCGGTTACAGCCTCTCCCTTCGGCTCTCCACGAGCCTCTCCTCGGCTAGCTTTTGCGACCCCTGTGATTCCCCATAGCCCAAATCTCAATGCATATGAGTTCGCTAGCGACCCCACCCCCGCCACTGAGATCCTCGGAGAGTACCAGATCGAGAATGTCGACTGGCTCGTCAATGATGATACCATCAGTCTCTCCTCGTCTGTGGGGACTACCAAGAGCCTCAATGCCGCCGCTCCGGAGTTTTCGTCAATGTCCTCGCAGCAAATCGACATGTCTCCTTACGACATGCTCAGGTCAATCCTGGGACATACAAGAACAGACGAAGAGATAGAATCTGCTCTTGCGGCACACAACTACGATTTGAGCGCTACTATTACGTCCATGATGGAGATTCAGCAAGATGGCGGCGTCCGGCTCGATGAGCCCAAAAATGTCCTCATTGGCAAATCTATATCTGCAGAGGGTCGTCCATCAACCCCAGTGAACCAAAAGGCTGGTGTTATTTGCAAATTCTACATGTCTACTGGACAGTGTCTGCGCGCAGACTGTCGTTTCAGTCATGACCTCAGTAACCACCTTTGCAAGTAAGTCTATAGAGTAATCCCAGTTGTGGCATTTTATCAGCAAAGTATAGCCTGCTAATGTTCTTCAACTTAGATATTGGGTTATGGGTAACTGCTTGGCGGGCGAGACATGCATCTTCTCGCACGACCCGTCCAAGCTTGTAAGCAAAATGTCCCTGGAAAGCGGCTCTAATACTCCTACTAGGAGTCACAGCAGCTTGATGCTCCAGGATATGAATTCTTTTCCCTCTTTACATGGCGATTCAGACCATCATGGAAGTTATTCAGGTAGTCCCAACTTTGCTTCGTCGCCAGGAATGCGGTCCCTGCGGGCCGAGAGTCCACGCCCTAGGTCACGACCCGGAAGCCGACACCAGCTGAAAGAAAACTATACAGCTGCTCCCGCCCTCGATGACAACGAGGCTTTCCCATCCCTTGGCGCGGCTATCGCAAAGCAGGGGAAGAAGCATCATGGTAAACGTGGTGGCCATGGTCACAAGGAGAACGGCACCCCTAGCTCTTTGGCCGACATCGTCAAGATGAATCCACCTGCATCTCCCAGACTCGAAGTGCGCAAGCCTGTTACCAACGGTAACGGCGTCGTCGGCAGAGATGGCGAACATAGCGCTGCAGCTCTGGCGATACCTAGCCCAAAGCATGTTCCCTGGCTTGAAACTGGAGAACGGGCCAACAAAGCATATCTCAAGGCTCGCCAGGAAGCTATTAAACATGGTGGCCTGAGGAACAAGTTTTTACAAAGGTATGTTTCCGATCATTAATCATCATCCGGCTGTGTTTCTAACAAGACTGCCAGCGCTGCACAAGCATGGAATCGCAACGACGCTCGGGCTGCCAAGGCTCTCAGTCTCCGCGGCCAGAGCGAGAATGACCTGATGAGAAAGGCTCACAGGGAGGCAGCTCGCGAACTATACGAGGAGCGAAACAAGAATCTGGACGCCGTGTCGGAAGTGTATGTCGACCTCCATGGCCTCCATCCAGAAGAGGCTGTAGAGTACCTGGAAAAAGTCCTCCTGGAGAATGAAAAGGGAAACCGACCTGTTTACGCTATCACCGGCACCGGCCATCACAGCAAGAATGGCAAGGATAAAGTAGGCAAAGCGATCCGAGCATTCTTGAATGAGTGGCGATATGCGTACCGAGAATTCTCCGTGCCAGGAGACCGCAATAGCATGGGCGGCATCTTGGGAGTGGACGCCAGCAGCTGGGACAAATCACTGGCAAGGGATGGAGCTGACGAAGAGAAATCCACTGTTGACATTCTCAGCCAAGGTGTTGAGATTGGCGACGGCAAAGTCAGGATGTTGGTCAGGGAGCCTCCCAAGGGTCCTAGTCGCCGGTGACAAACCGGAGCCTAAAGAAGTAAAAGACTCAAAAGCATAAAAAAAAAAGGCAAAGACTTGAGATTATGTAGCGAAATTAAGCAAAGAGCTCCCCATTGGGGGAGGAGTCGTAATGTTAGGTAGACGCTATCTCAAGACAACTTCAACTATTCTACTCACTTGATGCGCATAGCCCTTTTGACTGTTCTAAGTGAATTGCATGATATACTAGGCCATAGAGCATTCTTTTTATAGTTGGAACTGAGCGATAGAATATATTATCTTTTCGGCTTTCAAAAAAAAAAAAAATAAGCCTATTCAAGTCGCCTACACAGCATCTACTCCTATATTCGGAGTGCGTGAAGTGACCGCAACGTTGCGCAAAGCGGGCTCCTCATTGGGTTTCCAGGTCAGCAGAGTCTGACGTAAGTTACTGCTAGTGCCTGTGCCTGCCTCAGGTACAGGTACCATTCCATATAGCATTAGCGCCGGGGTACCTTCTTATCGGGCGACACCGCCACGGGGAAGGATGACGAGGAGAAGGCCTTATCCGAGACATTTCGCCTCCGATGATTCGCAGCTTTCTTTGTCTCCGTGTTTTTGTCGCTGCGTCGGCCGTTTTTCTTCTCTGCCAGGATTTCATTCGTCTTCTTCCTCTTTGATTGGACCCATTCTTAATTGATCCTAATTGACCTATTTTTTTTAAGCTTGATTTGCACCATCGGCAGACGATTTTTAAGCTCGTGGGAATAACCCGAGAGTCTCGACATCGACCGAGCGATCCGCCTACAATCACAAATAGGGTTCGAGACTTTTTTGCGAAATACTACAAACATTGATTGGATACGGAATGGAGAGCTAGCCGTTTGAGAGACCAATATTTTTTTCCTCCTCCTCCTCCTCCTCCTCCTCCTCCTCCTCCTCCTCCTCTTCTTCTTTCTTGTTTCGATATCCTTTTCGTCGTCTTCTTTGATATCGAGTGTCCTTGTGGATTATACGACTACCGTTCCTGCGACAAACCCGCCTTCTCTCTCCATCCAGCTGCATCTCCCTCGACATCGAGATCAACGACTACCAGCTGCAACGGCGGACATACAAAGAAGATAAAAGAAACAATAAACAAAAAATGGCAGGCGGATATCAGGACGCAAGGAGCGACAGTGTCTCTTCTGACTCCTCATCGCCTACCACTCCTCCTCTCTCTTCCTCCGAAACCCGATTCCCCCATCCGCAACAATGGTCTCGCTCCAGCAGAGACGCAAGCCGCCGTCTGTCAGGCAACGTCTCGCGGTCGTCACGGCAGATATCCTCTGATGCGCGGGACTGGTTGCGAGGCCAGTGGGATGCGTATATCAAATGGAGCCAGAAGATGATTGCGACGTTCTGGAAGCTCTCGCCCTTGTACCGCGCCCTGGTCATCCTCGTTATCCTAATAGGCTGGACGTTCATCATCCTCTCCTTGCTCTACTCGGAGGCCTTCTTCCGATGGCTGGCGACGGTGTCCAAGACATGGCGCGAGATCCCCGGCGGCTGGCTCATCGCCTTCATGCTCATCTTCGTGACGTCGGTGCCCCCCATCGTGGGCTACTCGACCGCAAACACCATTGCAGGCTTCGTCTACGGATTCCCCGTGGGCTGGCCCATTGCCGCCTCGGCGTGCGTTATCGGAAGCTTGGCTGCCTTTATGGCCTGCCGGACGGTGCTGAGCGGCCAGGTCAACAGGCTGATTGGCAACGATCACCGCTTCGTCGCGCTGGGCCAGGTTCTGCGTCGGGATGGAATTCTCTACTTGACGGGCATTAGATTCTGTCCTCTGCCTTTCAGCTTGAGCAATGGCTTCCTTGCTACCATCCCGAGCATATCGCCCCTCTCCTTTGTTATTTCTACAGCGCTGTCAACGTAAGAGAAACCTCTCTTCTTTCTTTCATAAAGCCATGGGGGGCCTGACTTTATTTTTACTAACTGTTCTGCCCAACTTATTCTAGGCCCAAACTCCTCATCCACATATTCATCGGCAGCCGGCTTGCCATCATCGCCGAAGCAGGCGATTCCATGACCCTCCGCGACAAAATGGTCAATTACGCTAGCATGATCATCGGCGGGGCGATCGGCGCAGCTGCCGGCATCATCATCTATCGCCGCACCATGGCCCGTGCCGCAGAGCTCGCCCGCGAAGAAGCCACCATCAATGCCGCCGAGGAGGGCGAGGGCGGCTACGAGGACACCGTTGATACGCTCCTGGATCCCGAGGATGCGGCTCATGCAATGGGCGACGATGATGTTTCCTTGTGGGACACGCAGGTGGATGATGGCTGGGGTGATGCGTATGACGATGATGAGGATGACGGTAATGCGAAAACGACAAAGTTTAATAAAGACTAGACATTGTTATAGCCTTGAGGTAAAACGTCATGATTGGGTTTTTCTGATTTTACTCTAGGATTTATAAAAACGCGGTTGTTGGGATAGAATAAGTACTGTTATCTTTTAGATATGATGCATTTCACAAGGCGTATTTCATGCTAAAGGTTTCCATAACGACAATATGAATGTCATGTCAATACGGACGATAGCTGTCATTCCATTCTATGCTATAGCTTGTTGGGGCACTATCCCTTGATATCCCAAATCCGATAAATCGCAGTCCGCTTGCTACCATGTCGTAATAAAACAAATCCGCAGACTCAGTCAAGTCATACGGCGGAAAAATAAAACTCGCTAAAACCAATAAAAAACAAACCCCAATTCTGTGTCATCTCTCAACATTCTCAAAGAAGCGAGAAGAAAGTCATAACGCCACCGCTATAAAGAGAATATAGAAAATGTACTAAAACAGAGTAAAATCTTTAAAATAAAGCATCATAGTCGCTGAAACAAACATCCGTTAACTTGAAACGTCAAGTAATAGAAAGTGCGTTAGAGAGGAAAAGAGACATAGGCTTGAAAAGTCCGTCTCATCAAGTCCGTTGGTACTGATTCATAAATTGGATGGCTTGCTCCATTGGATACCCGATAAAAACAGGGCCGGTGAAAATCATCTGCGGACCGTTCGGGGCTTTCGATAAATCTGGGTTGATAAAGGTAGGTTGCGGTATGAAAGTGCGGTTCTCATGAGTGGCCTGATTCTCCGGGTGTCCCTTTGTAGACGTAGAAGGCATTTGATCTTGGGTGTTGGAGACGGTATCATTCTTGACCTGTGGGTCGGGCGAGGAGGTGATGTTCAATCCAGCAAAAGCAGGCTGCTTCATTGCTGTATGGTCAAAAGGGCATTTCCCTGTTGGTTTCGCTGGTGCCTCCGTGTTCCGTGCTGGGCTCGGCATACGTACAGGGGCAGGAGGCGGCGACATAGGCTCGTTTCTGGGCTGTTTATATGTCGGTACAGAGATACCCCAAGGACGGCTTGGTGATTCTCCTACTCGCACCTCCTTCAGTGGCCGGTCAAAATGACTTAGTCGGTCTTCGTCGACATCGACTGGCGGCTCAGCGGGGACTTCCGGGTCTGTGCTTGCGCTAACAGCATGTGCCCAGCTCTCCACTCGGTCGTTTGAATTTTTCGAGGTATTGCTGTGACGGCGTGTGCGCTCCTCGTCTCCGGGCAGCATCGGCTTGTGGAGATGGCTTAGGTCTTCAATCATGCTCACAATATTTCCGTACTTTGCATCCAATTTCCTAACCTGCTGCTCGTTACCCTGATATCTCCGCACACAGATTTCGTGGCTTCGAGGAATCTCATTTTTGTGAACTTCAACGTATTGAGCAATCTCCTGTGGAGAGTCTAGAAATCGGATAGGGCATTTGCTGGGCTGAGTTTCGTTTACGGCGTCTTGCTGAAACGTCTCTTCTTCGCACATGGCAACACAAACAGGGTCTTCAGATTGATTTGGAGTCAAGTCCGGGCCGGTTTCAGGCTTCGGTTCTTTGTTCCCATTAGCAGCAGCATCCTTAGCAAAGGGGCACTGCAATTTGCCTTTCTTATCTTCAACTGTGAAGTCTTGTTCCAAAGCAGTTGTCGACATGGAGGTTTCTACATGGGAGGTTTGAGACAGCGTATCTCTGGATGATGCTGTGGTCTTACTGGCTTCACCTAGCGAGGCAACCAGTTTGTTCGCAGCGCGGCGTCCGTCACGAATGATGAGGGCAACTTGAGCCTGGGACTGCGGAGTTCGATGCTTAGGGAGAGGCACAGGCAAAGTATCATCGACGGTAGTCTGCGCTGGAAGCTGCAACTTCGCTATAGTTTCTTCTATTTCTGGTGTAACTGGCGCATATTTATCGGCCAAATACTGGAACTATTGAGAAAGAGTCATGTTAGCCACAGAGAGCCCACTAAAGACAAAATTTGACTCAGAATGTGTCTTGAGCCCTTGGCCAAGATAAAGAGAAAAAGGAGAGGGGGACAGTGCAGATCAGTGATAAAAAGGTTGTCAATCTCAGCAGCATTGGCTGCTCTTGATCTAGAGCTAAGATATCTCATCATGTTGCGTGTCCCGAAAGACGGATCCCGGCCAATGCGAACATACGCACCCGTACATGCAAGGGCTGTACAATCGTACAGGGGACAAAATTTTACAACAAAAAGAAAATCCAAGGAAGAAGAGTCTCTTCTGGGAGCTTACCTGTTCATGCGCGAAACGCAGCTTGTGCTCCAGTATCGTCTTGCGATCGGACAAAATCTGCACCTCGTCCGCAAGCGCGTTGAATGCGTCCGCTACGGTCTGGGTAAGATGTAAATATGCCATTCCGGATGGCTCCAGTTGTCAAGCCTTGGCCACGACAAGCAGAAGAGAAGGCAGAAATCGGGAAGACGGGAAGTAGGGAGAAAAGAGTCGTGCGGTGATGGAGCGAGTTTTAACAGGCAAAAGTGGGGCACGGGCGGGCCGATTCCGGGTTTGCGAAATGTGCGAGGCCGTGTCGAGATTCGTCAGCGGAGATCTGCCCAAGTATCTTGTACTCTACTGCCTCAAAAACAATTAGCAGCTGCCGTTGCATTAGTAGTATTCGATGGAGTGACGAGCATGGCCTGAAGACACCTTGGAGAATCTAGCATTACGTCACCCACAACTTTGCCTGCAGGTTGTAGGTAGCGGCTGTAGCTAACACTAGCACTCACCTGTATGGGTACGGCATGCATGTGTTTCTGGCCCTGCTCGGTAATAGCAGGCAGGGTCAGCAGCCAAGTTTGGGTGCAGAATGCTACGATCCGAGGCCCTCTCACGCTGGAATCATCCGATTCTAGCACGCATGCAACACCTTATCTGAGACGGGAGAGACCCCATCAGTGGGAGCACCATCGTGATTGACGCGCCTTTCCGTCCAGAGCCAGACTAGGCCCTACGGAATGCTACCTCCATAGCAGCAGCAGCAGCAGCAGCAGCAGCAGCAGTACGCAGTATCAATATCCACGATCAGGCGTCAAATAGTAGGAAGGACTAGAAGTAAGTAGGTAAGTACCTAGTAGCCTCGAGTTCTCAAGTTCCAGCTTTACTTTGGGCTACGCAAATGTCGATCTGCTTGAGCCGCATCAAGCCACAAGCCAGCGGTACAGACAAGTAGTGCTACGTAGCTCCAGCAAAGGGTCCTGCCATGCATACCTCCAATGCCCATTCCCCCCATACCCCAGCTCAAATACTATTATCAGAGATCCGAGTGGCTGGTATACCTTGGCAAGCTACTTATCCCGAGGCTGTGAAACAGAGTGAAAACGCGGGCATTGCGCTCTTCAGAGGCTTTTCAACGCTGTAAGTAGGTTTCATTGTCTTTGGCTGGCTTTTGGCGGGGTGATAAGGGATGGCTTCAAAGCCCCTCCACCTCACATTGGCCATTAGCACCTCGACGCACCGAGCTGAAGCTCACATCGTTGCACAGCGGTGCCGCGTATATCTGCGCCCCTCTTCTACTTTACAAGAAGCGGAGAACATCAAATAGAAAAAATCAGTTCCGCAGCAGTAGGTATCAGCATATAATAACCGCCCGTCGCCATGGCCCTCCAACGATTCGCCATCCCCGCGGCAAAGCTACTTCGCAGTAAGAGCCACATCGTCCCTGGCCAGCTCCTCGTCACCGAGCACTTCTTCCAAGTGCCCCTGGACTACTCCAACCCGGCTGCCGGCTCCATTACTCTCTTCGGCCGCAGCGCAACCAAACATGAGACTCCCGTCTTCCCTCCAGACGAGCCTCCCTCTCCCAAGCCATGGATCGTATATCTCGAGGGCGGCCCCGGCTTTGGAAATCGTGAGCCCCAAGACCACCCGCTGACTCGGACGGCGCTGTCTCGCGGCTATCAGGTGCTTTATCTCGACCATCGCGGCGTTGGCTTCAGCACGCCTGTCTCAACAGCAATGCTTGCTCGCCTCCCTGGTGGTAATGGCCCCAATGCCGTCGATGTCCAGGCCAACTATCTGAAACTCATGCGCCAGGATAACACTGTACGGGATTGCGAATCAGTCCGCAAGCTCCTTACTGATGGGCTACCTGAGCACAAGGCCCGTTGGTCTATTTTCGGACAGTCTTATGGCGGCTTCGTCTCCATCTCGTACCTGTCTCTCCACCCCGAGGGCCTGCGCGAGGTCTTTCTGACCGGAGGCCTGGCCCCCGTTGGCAAAACCCCTGACCAAGTCTATGAGGCTACTTTCCGAAAAACTATTGAGCGTAACGCCCTGTATTACAAAAAGTTCCCAGAAGATGCTGAGACCGTGCGTCAGATAGCCACCTATATTGAACAGGAGGGCGGAAGTCAGGGCGTTCCCTTGCCTGGAGGAGGCTTCTTGACAGTGCCTCGCCTACTGACTATTGGTATTGCCTTTGGTGGCCACGGTGGCTTTGATCAGGTCCACTCTATACTACTCCATCTGAAGTCTTCGCTCGACCAGTTTGGCTTCCTCACGCGAGCCTCTCTTACTCCCTTGGAGAGCTTCACCTCGTTTGATACCAACATCATCTACGCAATTCTTCATGAGGCCATCTACTGCAATGGTCCCGGCAGTGCTTCAAATTGGTCTGCTTACCGTGTCGGCCAATCTCTCGCGCAATTCTCCTGGCTCTGCAAGACCAATGACTCGATTACCTCATCCGCCTCGCCCGACCAGCCGATCCTCTTCTCCGGAGAGATGATCTTCCCCTTCCACTTCGAAACTTACCCCGAGCTGATCCCCCTACGAGCTGTCGCCGACCGGCTCGCCAGCACATCTGACTGGCCAGCTCTTTATGACGTCGATCAGTTGCGCAAGAACAAAGTCCCTGTCTATGCGGCCTCGTACATCCACGACATGTATGTGGACTATGGCTTTGCCAAGGACACCGCGAATCTGATTCCAGGCGTAAAGACGTTTGAGACGAATCTCATGCACCACAATGCCGTGCGGGCAAAGGCTGAAGAAGTCATGCAGAACTTATTCGGCCTTAGAGACGACGTATTGGATTGATTTATAGAATCCGGCTCTCGAGCAACTCCAGGTTTGGGAACATGGCATGAGTAAATAAGAAGAGATAAATGTCATAAATGACCAGGGTTTGAATAAATAAACAGTTAACCATTTGGTGATAGGATAGACAGCTGTGGCTTTAAAATCTTGGCTCTATTTTTTATTTTATTTTCTCTTTTTTCTTTTTTCTTTTGCTCCTTTTTCCGTGGGTAGAAGAGATATATGCCTAACAAGATTCCCATGTCCATTCATTCCCCCGTTTCTCCATAATAGTGTCAATAAGTACATAAGTAAAGAGAAATACTCATTATCTCATTTTCACATTTGGTTTAAAAAAAAAAAATAAAGCATAGCTAGAAATGACCAGCGGATTCTCAGATCCGTGCCCACTTTAGCGCCTCTACCTCTTCTTGGTGGACTTGCGCTTGACAGACTTTCCTCCCTGCGAACCAGACGACTTTGCTTTGCTTAGCGAATCTGTGCTCTTGTCTAACAGCTCAAAGTCTTCGCCAGCAGATTCAGAGCTTGGGGGCGTGTGCTGGGGAACGTCCGAGTCCTCCTCGCCCTCTGCGGCCTCAGCTGACGCAGAGCCTGGGAGATAACGGCCAATGGTTAGCTGGAAGATCCAGGCGGGTACGCGGACCACGGCGGTATCTCTCAAGGTCGGCTTGAGAAGTTCATTCGGCTACATTGTTGGTATTAGCATTTGAACACTAGACCTGGCTTGGTTTGGTCCATCTTTGGGTACTTACGTCCAAGAGATATTCATTGACGTTGCCCTCTTCGTCCTCCTCTTCCAGAAAGACGTCACCCTGAGAGTCTACCACGAGAATCTTTCCATTCTCAGCGACAACTCTCTTGCGAGCACCAGCAGGGGCGGGCGCTGAAGACGCATCTCGCGACGAACTCTTGGAGCTCGCACCCTTGCGGCTCTTCTTGGAAGAAGACTTGCTGTCCTCTTTCCGGGACTCTTTCTCCTGCATGCGCCTCTCCTTTCTGTTCCTCGGCTGGGGCGCGGCAGCGGCTTCGTCCTCTTCGGCAGCAGGAGCTGGCTCAGGCGCAGGTGCAGCGTCGACTCCGGGAATCCCCGTGCCGCCGCCCCAAGCCGTGTTCCTCGCAAATGTGACGTAGCGTTCCACAAACTCCCTCTGGCGCTTCCAGCTCATGTACAGCGCGAGGTAGTGGATCGCGCCGCCGCCCACGATGAAGACGCCCACCAGGACTGTTCCCAACCCCGGGCGGTATCGGTTGTAGTAGTAGTCGGTGCCCTTCCACAGGGGGAAGCCATTGGCGAGGAAGTGGTCGTAGCGGTCGCGGGCAGGGCCTCGGAGGATGTTGGCGATGAGCGAGAGGCGGGCCTGGCGCTCCGACGCCTCCTTAATGGCTTTGCGGATCTGCGCCTGGGAAGGGCCCTTGGATGCCGCCGGGCCGGAACCCTCCTTCTTGCTCTTCTTCTTGGCTGCTTGGGCGTCGGCGCGAAGCTGCTGCTTCACCTTGTCGGGGTGAAGTGAACGCGACTTCTTGCGGTAGGCCTTGTTGATGTCGTCCAAGGAGGCTGACGCCGCCACGCCGAGGACCTCGTAGAACGTAGCGCCAGTTTCGGCTTCGTGAGCCGCTATTTCGTCGCGGATTCGAAAGATTTCTCGATCTGCACAGCTCAATTCGTCAATTGATAAAACTCCCCACATGCCAGGAACATCAACCAACAAAGGTCATGAACACGGGCTGCCATTTGATTCTTCCATACCTTCTTTACTCCATGCTGCTGATAATGGGGTCAACAGGGATAGAACCCCGACGACCAGATACTCAAACCTCATGATTGCAAGGCTCGGCGCGCTTACCCTTGCATCTATGAAGCCAAGTTTCTGATAATCGTTTGTTTGGAGTGTCGCAGAACCTTGAGGGGCGAATAGACGTGCTTTTTATGTGGGACGGTGAACAAGGCCAGATAGCTGAAAGTGCTGGGCCAGGAAGGGTTACGGGGTACGTTCCGTCACGCCTGCCGCCCCTGCATGCGCGAAGTATTGGTTACATGGATCTGCATTCGATCTTCTTGCTACCCTGAATCTGCTCTGTAGGTTTTGGTGTGTCGTCGAGCACCCAAAAGGTTATAGAACTATGCCACAAAAAGGGGGCTTTTATTTTGGTAATTAATTCCTTTTTTTTTTTTTTTTAAACTGAATAAGCCATGAATGCAGCTTTGTATTGAACTACCTAGTCATTTGCATTGTACGTGCAAAACAAGCTGATACGCAAAAGTAAGATTTCGCTTACCGTACATTGGACACACGAGACGACAAATAAAAGGCGACGGAGGGCGAGATATTGAAAGAAGCACATTGCTGTGAGGAAACGAGTAAAACAATAGATGTTGAGCAATTAAAATGAAAAAAAAAGGGAGAAAGGAGAAAAAGGGAGTTCTAAATTTTGTACAATACATGATGCTCTACGGAGCAGAAAAAAAAACATAAAAAAACAAGTGTGTAGCAATTGCACGTTTCGATCGTGCGACCTCCGGGTTATGAGCCCGGCGCGCTTCCACTGCGCCAAATTGCTTTGTTGACTTGTTGAATATTCCGAACACTAAAATTAACTATATACCTATACTATGCGCTAGGCGCACCAAACTGTAAATTCGCAAGCTGCTGATGGCTCTCTGACATAAGGTATCCACATTATTTTGCTTCACATCAATGTTCTCACCCAATTTCTTCTCTTTATCTTTGTCATATGGAAAGATGTTTAAGTATTAATCGGAGCAGTATAATTATTTAACGCACTTATTAATATGAGCTATACAAATAGAACATGGGCGATGGTAGGCCTACATTGAGGTTGAAATGAACACACTTCATTAAATAGTATATGGATGAAACTATATATACATCTATCTGCGAGAATTCGCTCGCTTCCGTGCTTTTGCCTCCCTCTCGTAATTGTTTGCCTCTCGTCCCTCTTCGTTTTGAATTTCGGCAACAAGTCTCTTGTACTTCTTCTCGTAAGCCTCGTCCTTCGCCTTCTTGATGCGAAGGTTCTCTCTCGCCATAAAGTTGGCGTCCTTCCGCAGCTCCCGCATGGCACCCTTGCGCTCCTTCTTGTGCTCGGCCTTGAGCTTGGCCATTTCGGCCCTTTCGCGGTCGGGATCGTAGTGTTTGTCGGGATCGAATGTGTCCTCGAACTTGGGTATATAGGTCTTGATCGAGAGGGGTTTGTGGTGGTGGAGCTCCAGAGGCCGGCGTGACAATTGAGAGACTCTAGACATTCGCTTTAGCTTCTCTTCTAATCTCTCTGCCTTCTCGCTGGCAGCCGCCGGTAGATGCTCCCGTGATAGCTTGCTGTTGACATGGCTCAAGACCTCAAGAACCTGGCTGAATGTCTCTAAAAATGCGGGCTTTCCCGTCCATAAATCTGCAGCCGCGTCGAGTACTTGAATGGTTGTAATTAGCAGAGCAATTTTCAGAGAGTTGCCACCCTCCTGAGAATTCTCAGCAAGGCAATCGGAGAAGTTTAGACGCCTTAATTCAACCTTCTTTGCCTTTTGGATTCGACTGCCTGCGGAAGGTTCGTGTACCGGGAAGCTACCCAATAATTTTGATGGGGCTGTTGGTGAAAGCGAGCAGATGGTGTTTAAGGCGAAATTAATTACCTCGGGAACGTATCGCTTAGATAGCTGTTGATACTGCAGACACAGAATGGACAAGTACGTTCCAATCGCATAATCTGACAACTCTCGAGGCACCTTCTGGCCGATATACCGGCCAATTGTTAACATCGCTGGAGTCACAACCTGATGGAAGTGATCAGATGTTGGGAATATAGTTCCAATGGCTGTGAGCACCGTCAAATCGGAAGCTAGCAGCGCAATGGGCCGAGACTGGCTAATTTCTTCAAGATGTTGGCGAAACTGCTTGGCAATTTCAACAGGAAACATCTTGGAAAGAGAGTGAATGTGACGAATGAGACTTTCCAAGACGGAGAAAGGCGGTGATGTCGCCGCATTCCATGGAAGGGCAACAAAATCCACCAAAGCCACAGAGAAATTTGCCAATCTCTCTTTATTTTTGCTGTCCAGCTTGGGATGATGTAACGCACGAATTCGTTGGACAATCTTGGGCAAGTTCGCATAATCATAATCCTTAGTGATGGATACAAATTCGGCGCATGACTGAGGACAGGGGAATGTGAATGGCAATCCGTTTTCATCGCTCTTCTCCTTGGAAGAGAAATTTGCTTGGAATATAGGATCTTTCGTTTCTGATTCGTTGAGGAGTCCTTTTGTGAATTCGTCATCGTCGTCTTCATCGGCCCCAGCTTGGTTTCCGGAATCACTATCGTCCTCCTCTTCCTCCTCGTCAAGCTCATCATCGCTTTCCACAAGTTCCAGATCAGATCCGCTGGCTACTAAGTCGTCGTCGATGACAAAGTCGTCTTCATCGTCAAAGCCCAATTCAGTTGCCGTTGGTCTGGTTTTGATACCACGTCCTAACCCAAATCCATCATCATCGTCTTCATCATCATCGTCCTCCTCTCTGCCAGCCGCATTGTCTTTCTTCTTTTCGTCTTCATCTTCTTCGCTATCTGACACCTCTTCTCCCATCATTCGCTTTTGGCGTTTTTCTTCAAGCTTTTTTAGTCGGTTGGATTCTTCTTCTGCCTTTTCCTCGTCTGTTTTGGTACGATTAGACGGTTGCGCCTTCTTATCCTGAGCAAGTTTTTTCACTTGTATATCGAAATTCTTGTCAAACGCATCCCGGTCGACGCCTGCTATAGTGGATAGCGGCGCATTCTCCTGATGCTTTCCACCGTTGAGGCCAGACCATAGAAGCTCTCGGATATTAGGAAGTTCTTTGTCAAGCTCCATCCGAAGGTCATCGTCATCGTCTTTAGCCGCCTGCCGCTCGTACTTGTGGAGTTTTGACTTGGCGATTACCTCTTCCATGACTTCCTTCTTCGTCTTTTTGCGCTCCGGCTCACCATCCTCGCCCTCCTCCTCACCAGCTGCGATGATGGCGCGTAGTCGTTTGAGTCGCTTCTCCCGGGTGTCTCCATCGCTGTCCTCGTCATCTTTAAGGTCGTCTTCTTGAAAGTCGTCCACCAGTTCCTCCTCTTCACCAAAATCAAGTGATCTTCCCATATGTGTCAAGCCATCCATAGGCTCGTCATCCTCCAAATCAAAGGTGGAGTTCTTCTTGTGCGTCTTCTGCTTCTCACGAGCAAATCGTTCCAGCATTTTCTCCTCAGGAGTCATTGTTGGGTCGTTCTCACCGAATCGTCGATCGAGGATGCCTCCGACCTTATTGCGGCGCTGCATATCTACAAGAAGAGTTTGTTTGCGCTGTTTGATGGAAAGTCAGACAAATGTTTCGCAGACTAGAGAGAGAAGGTCTTTTTACCTTTTCCTCGCTGGCGGCTTTGGCCAGACCAGGTCGCCCCTTGATAGAGGCATTTGAAGTCTTTGGCTTATTGGTGGTCACTTCAAACTTGGGTCCGCGCGCGGCATGCTTGAGGTCGAATGGATTGAACTGCTCTCGGATTCCTTCCAAGACAACGCCTCTCTGCAAGCGCTTGTCGTTTCGAGCCTGATCATCTTGAGCCAACTTTCGTCGTTGCTTCTTAGATTTTTGTGGACCAGTGATTCCTTGATCTCTCAGTGACGCCTTTAGGCGCTTGAGCTGGGAACCGGCCATAGTGGACGGCGTTTGTATCTACGATCAAAATTTTGATCACAGAATTGGCATGCTCATAAGATGGCCCATTACAAAGGCCTGCTGTAAATTTTTTGATAATGGCTTATCGATAGTGGCGCCTAACACCCATTCCGCTAGTGGAGGCCAGGGCCGCATAGTGGATACGTACCTTTTCTTAAGGTGTGGAGCCACTCGAGCACTTCGTCAGGAAGCTTCCGCTCAGTCAACACTTCATAATCAACGGGCTATTGTATCCGTATGCGTGCCTCTCCCATGCGATCCCGCCGGAGAAGCGACCTCCGTGGGACGACATGAACTGGACAAGCCGCCTATTATCGTTTTCACGCGATGAGCGAGTAATCTTAGTGAGCATCGGGCTGGCCACGTTTGGCTTGGTTAGCTCGATGATCACAGCTCTCACATTTATCCGAGACGACAATGAAATTCCGCCGTCGGAGCCCAAGACCCAGTACATCACGCAGGATACGGAAGACTCGCTCCAGCTAGATACGCTAGAAAAGCTCTTGGATCACCCAAATTTCTCAATAAAGGAAATTGCCATCAAGATACTTTGCGATAGGGCGGCCAACGACCCTGAAGTAATAAAATACATCTGGTTCGGAATCACTCGGCCAGAATATGAAGAGCGCATGAACTCTCTTAGAACGCTAGCCATATTAACGAGCCAAACCGGTAAGAAACTCAAGGGCCACCATATTGAACCGCGTGCTCACAGTCATCATAGGTAACGAGGGATTGGCAAGGCTGCATGATGAAAGAGCCTATTCAGCCTTGGTGAGGTGCATGGAGCTGTGCATGGAAAGCACCGACCTCCCAATTGTCACTGATGTCCATTGGGATGAATACTATCTTCGTGATATGGGCGAGAGATTCTGTCTCATGTTTCTAACAGAGCTGATCAACAAATACGGGGCTACCATGCTTGTCAAGGCCAAATTTGTTGAAAAGTGGCTTTCAAAGCAAGATTGGGGAAGCACTGGCGAGGAAAGGCGGCGCAATTTTAAGGATTATACAGACCTTCGAAACAACAGAATAACGGATATTATTAATCGCATCAAGCACTCTCGGCGTGGACTACGTGCCTTGGAAAAAGCCGGGTTGATTGACAAAGAAAGCTCTCGGCGGAGAATGAGAGAACTTCCTGATCTTCTCATGGAAGTGGAAGAAGAAATTGCAGGAGAGCAGCAAAGCCGACGAGCTAGGGAACATTCCGCTGAGGAACAAAGACTTCGACGCCAGCATCGCGAGGCTATGGTTCTGAATGATGGAACACGGCCACTGGGGCGAGAAGACATAATCGAACGCGATGCATCTCCGTCATGATGGAGGGTTATATATGTATAGAAATGACCGTCGAAAACGGTTGAAAACTCGTCTCAGAGATTCTGAGCGAAGCAACGCAGCGATAATGGAATAAAGAAAAGGCTGGATGCAAAATATATTCAAATGGTCTGTTCTCATTCCACTTGATCATGCATCGGTCGATATGACTCGAACGCAACAGGGAAGAGACGCTCATGGTATGGTATCTATTACTCGAAAGTGACATCACAGACAGACGTACACAGCTGTAATACCAAGCTTATTAATTTTCACTACAAAAATGCCAAGGAAATAAAGGCTGTCTTGGCTTACACTCCACGCTTATCTATGCTATACCATTTGGCTTCTTTTAGTAGGTAGCCGGAGGGAGGCTTAAGTTTGGTGCGTGTTATCATCACATGCGATATCCTTGCGGACGAAATGCCCGTGACATGTGATATTCTCCACTGAATGTATCATGCTCTATGTGAATCAAGAAGCTGGTAGATTGTATGGAGGTTTCAGCTTGACAGAATATTCCTGCACCTTTTGCTCATGACCTTCGACTGGCTGGATGTACCCTTGCTATGATCGGATTCGAGCTGGAGCTGGATGCTTCAGGGGCCATTATAGTGCCGTAGCAACAATCATCTTGCGCCCGATAATTACGAACCCCCCCCATCGTTAGTAACATCAGAGTAGATAGGACGCATGAGGAGCGTGATTATCAACTGCATGTGAGCATCTCCTTTGGATGAAGCCAAGATTGGTGGGATGGCACAGCACAGCTGCCGTAATAGGTACCTGAAGAGGGGGCTTAAGAGACTTGGGAAGACTCATGCTAGGGAGAAGACTTCTCTGGTGTCTCCTGAAATTCGTTTCATTAATATTGCCTCGAGTAAATTCTATTCGCCACCATTCTTTGTCTTGTAATGCTACTCGTATTCCACACCAAGCCCCTTTATCTGCTGACGTACTCATCAGTGTGATCTGCTCCATCCAGAGGCTCGGCGTGAAGGGGGGGCTGCCAGTGCCCAAAATGCCCAATGACTCCTGCTTGCCCCGTATCGAATTTACTGACCAGCAACTCGCTACCAAGGAACAGACAGACATGGTCGTCATGTACTCCGTACTATTACCCGCTAGACCTGCAAGTAAAAGTCGATGCATGCCGCTCGCTACAGGCTGCGCTCTAGGCTGTGCTTCAGGCGGCCCGGCGACCGTCTAGCAGCCATGATAGGCTGGGCCAGCTGCAGCCCCCGGCTCTTTGCAATATCGCTCGCAATATCCAGGTAAACAAACAAATGAGCTGGCGCAGCGTCTTTCCTTTCCATTGGCCTCCTGCCATTTCGCCTTTCTATCTGCTTCTTTTCTTTTCCATCTTCTCTTCTACTTCTCCAAACCAGAGCGATTTTTCTGTGCGAAACTTGTCTCCCTTTCTCAGCTTTTCCAGGCCACACCTTACGGTTTGCGACGTACATTTTCACCTTTCCTTTTTCTTCCGCTTTTAATTACGGTAGTCGTTGATCCCCAGTTTGGCGTCCAGGTACCCGCAACCATCAACCCGGCAGCTCATTTTGCCCCCTTGTCGCTCGCCCAGTCTACCAAGAGTTGCGGGAAGCCAGCAACCACAGCTGGCTGTTGTTCCTGTCAAACTACTGCAGAAGGGAAGTCTAATCGGTGCTAAGTCATATTGGACGAGGGGAAGCCCCTTTTGACACACCCTCTGCGACCTCATACAGCGGCAGCACCACTTTCGGAATAGGAACCACTACCGGTACCTGTCCAGGCGTGGGGTACCCTCAGCCGACCGGCACGCCCCGTCCAGAGTGCTGCTAATTTTTGCTGGATCCCCAACGCCAGCGCCATGTCCTTTTCCACGACTGCCACTTCCACAGCTGTCAAGCCGGCCAGGTCCAACTTCTCGCGCTCGCTGCGCCGGCCATCCAACATTTCGTCGACACCCGACCTGGGATCGCTCTACTCAGCCCAGCCGAAGCTGCTGCGCAAGACGTCGCTTGCGGCCCTGACTCCGAGCTCCTTGGCCAGCATCCCCGATGGGAGCGAGAGCTACGCCATCGACTCCGTTCTGAACGAGATTTCCGAAAACACCATTCCCGAGGAGGATCCTGCGACGCCGCCCGCCATGGAACTATCTGTCGGCGACTCTGTCAACGTGCCGGGAGGCATGGTCGGTACCGTCCGCTTTGTCGGCACCGTCCAGGGGAAGAAAGGCACCTTCGTCGGCGTCGAGCTAGATTCGGAATTTGCGGCGAGGGGGAAGAACAACGGCGACGTTGATGGGTAAGAATAATGCTTCGCACCACCACCCGTCGCATCAGGAGTTGACCGCTAACCCATCTGTCTGCCCGACTTCACAGCGTCTCCTATTTTTCGACCAATGTCTCTGGCGCCGGTATCTTCGTCCCGGTCGCCAAAGCTCTTCGAAGGCCCTCCGGCTCATCACCCAAGACGCCAACGCCAAATGCTGCGAGCGGCCTGAAGCTTGGCAAGAGCAATTCAGTCAGCCTGAAATCCCCAACATCAAGCCTGTCCAAGTTAAGCGCCTCGGTTGGGGCTGGTTCTCGGGTTCAAAGCCCAAAAGGTAAAAAGTCGCAACCCTCGCTCCAACGCCCCGAGTCCGAGTCGCCACAACGGAAGTTGGCCATGTCACCCGGGCCACGGCCGTCCATTTCAGCGCCCGGAATCAAAGCTCCTCCAAGATACGGTAGCCCGACAAATCGACTTGCGCAGAGCGTGCGCGGAACTGCTGGGCACATGGGCGATCCCAACAAGGGCGCGGCGATGGAACGACGGCCAAGCTTTGGGCCTCGTAGCACATCCTCTCTGGGCCCCGAGCCACTCTTTGACGAGGAACCTAACCCAATAACAATGCCCCCTCTGCCGACAAAGAGCAACACAGGCTTGGGATCGCTATCATTGCGGCCGCCATCTCGAGCGACTAGCATTAACGACGAGGAGCTCGAACGATTGCGCGCCCAATTAGAGGATAGGGATCGGCAACTCAAAGAACAGGCCGCAACATTGGCAGAAATGGAGAGCAGTCTAACTGAGCTTCAAACGCTAATAGAGCACCCCGATGGACTAAGGCGGAGCAGCATAGACGACAAAGATGCAACTCAGCTTCGACACATGCTACGAGAAAAGAATGAAAAAATTGCCATGCTTGCAGCGGAATTCGATGCCCATCGAGCGGATTTCCGGAGTACCATTGACACGCTTGAAATGGCCAGCACAGAAACTGAACGAGTATATGAGAAACGTATAGAAGAGCTTATAGCAGATATCCGTGAGCTTGAATCGAGAAACTTGGATGTCGACTCTGTAGCAACACAACTGAAACAGCTAGAAGAGCTGGTGCAAGAGCTTGAAGAAGGGTTAGAAGACGCTCGCCGTGGCGAGGCTGAGGCTCGCGGAGAGGCCGAATTTTTGCGAGGGGAGGTCGAGAGAACTCGGTCAGAGCTTCGGCGAGAGAAGGAAAAAGTCGTTCCTCATAATATATCGGCTTTGAGTGGCGACTCCGCGGTGCTGGCCAAGGAGCTGGAGCAGAAGGAAGACGAGATTCGAGGACTGAAGGCTATTATCCATTCCCTTAGTCGAGACTCAATTCCTGGCGCCGAGGGCCACGCTCCTAGGCCGCGACCCGGCTCATTAATTGGCGAAAAAGATGCTATTGAGAACAAAATTGCTCGAGATAATCTAGAGAGACAAGTCGCTGAGCTTCAACATATAATCAAGGAGAAGAATCACAAAGAGGAGGAGCTGCAGCATGAGATTGCGTTCTTGCGCTCAAACAGCATCAACTCGAGTCGTGATTCAGCCCCTATTCGGCGATCATCCATACGGAACTCTCGAGAAACGGTTACACCCGTCCAGCCTCAGGAGCCAAAATCTCCGAATCTCTCACACAAGCGAGCAAGCACCCTCGAGACGATGAACGAGAGTGACACCTATTCGACTGCCACCGAGAGCAGCACTCTTTGGTGCGAGATCTGCGAGACAGGTGGTCATGATATCTTGACTTGCACAAATATGTTTGGCAACGATAACGCAAAGAGTTCCAAGAACAAGAAAAACGACCAAGAAGAAGAGGAGGATGACGAAGAGGGAGAGGAAGAACGTAGACAGGAAGCGGATAGAGACACCACTCATGAAGATCTCAAGCCTCTTACACCCACGGGTGACGATGTTATTCACCATCCCGCCGTGTTGACCCCCGGTATTCCCAAAGAGGAGCCCGCATCGGTTCCGGCAGTCAGAATCATTCCCAACCCCATGGAATCAGGGCCCGTCGCTGGCAAGGAGAGTGGCATTCTGGATCCGGAGAAGTGGTGCGCTATATGCGAGCGGGATGGCCATGATAGCGTCGACTGCCCTTTTGAAGATGCATTCTAAGAGCTTGTCAAATTTGAATGTATGACGGACTTGGAATATTAAAGCGGACATGATGAACGGCAGACATTTTATATTACGCAGAAGGCATTAACGACTTTGCCATATCTGTATTTATGGCTGCATTTTGTATTCAACACAAGGCGTTCATCCGTATTGATACCATACCAGCCTCTTCTTTGCCTCCCAGCGTGGGACTGTTATTTTTTTAGAGAGCCTTTAGATACTACTTACTACTAACCTTATGGTTCTTTCTTCTTCTTCTTCTTCTTCTTCTTTTTTTTTTTTTTTGTAATAATAGCATTGGATTTGTACACTTTCATTTACATTGCTAATAAGTACTTATATACCCTGCATCCGTTGCATTAAATTTACCCACTTCTGTCACTGCTACCAGGGCATCTATTTTGTGAGAAATTACAGCCTGACCTGCCCACCCGTCTCCAGACACACCTCCCGAGCACCCAGCAGGCAAGGTGCCTACAGGTGTCTCTCAAACTGGAGTACGGGTACCCCATCTCGATAGCGACGATCTTTTAGCCGGTACTCCGTACTAGCAGTATGTGCATTACTCATTATTTCCAACTACCTACTAGTAATGCATTTACTCTTATGTGAACTTGATATTACGAGTAGTTGGTTCTACGGCCTGGAAGAATGCGGGTACAATCGTAAGAGAAGAAGCATGGAAGGCAGAGAGGTATTAATAGCAGCTTAGGTAGGCATAGTAGGCAGCGCTTATTCGGTGTCACAGGGCCCCCAAATACATTCTATATTCATCCTGTACCCAAAGACGAAGTAGAAGAAGGCTACGGCTGTTGGATCCAACACCTATGAGGGGTAGGTATTACCAATTGCCTTTTGTTTTCTCCACGAGCGTCGTGTGGCGGTGCCAGCCAACCTGTTGTTTTCCATCCATCCCTTTTATCGGAGCATCTTCATGGGCATGCGTCAGTGCTAGTCTTCTTCCAGCCAGCAAAAGCGGGATGCTCCGCTGAGCGAGATCGATGATTTGATTAGGGAAAAGTCTACAGTGACGCCTCGTGGGGACGGACCCTGGTCGGCAAGCTGGTTTTCTTCTTTTTGCTTTTCAAGTTCGGGTCTTCATACTCGTACATTGTACATGTTGTTGGGAGGCAGACTTATACTGCGTAGTACCTACTAGAAGAAATTGCAAAACCAAGTGAGAGGCGGCGCCATAATAGTAAGGCTCTTTCGGTGGCGTCGAAGGGGGTTCGGGATGCGGACTTGGGGCGGACTGTTTTATGGCTTTGGAGAGATTTAGTGGAAAGCAGAGGTGGAATCCCCCAAAGCCCACTATTCTGCTGTCCGAGATGGTACAGGTACAGAATGCAGGATACAGTAAGATGTAGGTAAGATGGAAAAAGCAGCGTCGGAAAGTTTAAAGTGCGAGGTATCTGAGCGGTAGCAGTACCTGGGAGTCGCGATGCAGCCTCATTTTTTTCTATTGGGTTCCAACGGAAGGATTGCCATGAGTCCACGAGCAGTGCTGCTAGTACTTTTGAGTGCCTGGTCTGTTTTGGTACCTGGTGCTAGAGCGGTGATTCTGACATAGCAGCCAATGGAATATACTGCCTGGTGCATATCACAGTTGCAACAGTGCTAGCAGTCGATCTCCATCGATTTGAGCCGAGTTCGAACAGCAATGCGGTCTTGAGCTGCCCTGTTTTGCGGTGTCAAGGCGCCGAGGCCTCTTCGGTGCTCTGTGCTCTGTACAGTGACCACCAGATACTCGGTGGTACCCGCTGCTAGTCGCTTTGCCGCTTGGTAGAACGAATAGGTTGCGCGCTTTGCATTATCGGGCACCGCCACACCATCGACTTTCTTCGATACAATTCCATGAGGCGCACGCAGCCTTGGGGGACCCCTGCAGCCGCCCTTTAAATCCTCAAGGCGGCGCTTGAGCATCTGCCCTTTCACCACGTCTAAACCCCAGAAGGCCGCTTTCCCTTGACCGAGCCGTTTCTTCTTCTCTTCTTTAAAAATAATCGACTGCAACCCGGAATTCTTTTCGATTTCCTGCTCATCGTCAAACATCCATCCGGCCACTGTTATACAGCTTTTGCGTCGCAGCCCGCAAATTTCTTCTTCGCCCCACTGACCCTTCTCTGTGGCTTTTCTAGGCACGCTATCTTTTTTTTCTGCTGGACTATTACTCAGGTACGTTAAAATCACAGGCCATATTACGCATTTTTGCCCCTCGGTGCCTTTCCATCTTCTTCTATTGCATCCCGCCATCAACACCAAAGGACTTGTCATAGGTCGTATCTGGAAGCTGCTTGAAGAGCGGAGATTGCTTTTTCTTTATTCGCCCTTGTTTTCGCTGCTTAGAAGTTTCTACGATCCGGTTGCTACGGACGCTTTTGTTCTTGGCTTTGACTAATTGCTGTTCCAGCAGAGCCTCTATATCTGCAGTAAACGAGCCGGCCGCTTGTCGCTTTTCTTGAGTTTTTGGCGCATACACGACTACTATTTGAAAATTTATAATCCCAGACAAAATGGTGAAGGAAACAAAGCTTTACGAGACACTTGGTGTATGTATTCACCTTACATGGCGCCCCACGGGTGCTTCAATCTTATGCGACGAGATGAACTAACATGTCTCCTACTAGGTCTCTCCCACAGCTACTGAGCAGGAGTTGAAGAAGGCTTACAAGATTGGTGCCCTGAAGCACCATCCTGGTATGTTTTCCCCATACTAACTGTCCAGTGGAGAGAAATTCATTCTAACGTCCACGGTATAGACAAGAACGCCCACAACCCCGCTGCCGAAGAGAAATTCAAGGAGATCTCCAGTGCTTACGAGATCCTTTCCGACCCCCAGAAGCGTCAGATCTACGATCAATATGGTGAAGCCGGTCTCGAGGGTGGTGCCGGTGGCGCTGGCGGCATGGCTGCTGAAGATCTGTTTGCCCAGTTCTTCGGCGGTGGTGGCTTTGGCGGAATGGGTGGCATGTTTGGTGGCATGCAGAACCGTGGACCTCCCAAGGCTCGCACCATCCACCACACCCACAAGGTTTCTCTCGAGGATATCTACCGTGGCAAGATCTCCAAGCTTGCGCTGCAACGATCCATCATCTGCCCCAAGTGCGACGGCCTTGGAGGAAAGGATGGTGCTGTTCGCAAGTGCGCGGGCTGCAATGGTGCTGGTATGAAGACTATGATGCGCCAGATGGGCCCCATGATTCAGCGCTTCCAGACTGTCTGCCCCGACTGCAATGGTGAAGGTGAAATTATCAAGGATAAGGATCGCTGCAAGCAGTGCAACGGCAAGAAGACCACCGTTGACCGAAAGGTTCTCCACGTCCACGTCGACAGGGGTGTCAAGAGCGGCACCAAGGTCGAGTTCCGAGGCGAAGGTGACCAGGCTCCTGGTGTTCAGGCTGGTGATGTTGTTTTCGAGATTGAGCAGAAGCCTCACGCACGCTTCACCCGAAAGGATGACGACCTCCTTTACCGATGTGAAATTGAGCTCGTTACTGCACTGGCAGGAGGTACCATCTACGTTGAGCATCTGGATGAGCGATGGCTTAGCATTGAAATCCTGCCTGGAGAGGCTATTGCACCTGGTAAATACGCCCCCCCCTTTCCTATCATCCTCTAGGACATCAAGACAAAGAAATCAAAACTAACAAGCTTTTTCTAGACTCTGTGAAGATGGTTCGCGGTCAGGGTATGCCCTCATACAGACACCACGACTACGGCAACCTGTACATCCGCTTCGATGTCAAGTTCCCTGAAAAGAACTGGACCGACGACGCCTCTGCATTCGAATCCCTTCGAAAGCTCCTTCCTCCTCCCTCAACACAGGGCAACCCCCCTGCTGAGTCCATGACAGAGCCTGCCGATTTGGAAGATTTGGATAGCGGTGCTCAGAACAAGGTCTTCGGAGACCCCAACGGTATGGGCGATGATGAGGACGAAGATGGCCACCCTGGTGGTGAGCGCGTGCAGTGCGCTTCGCAGTAAACGAATTACAAAAAATAAGCTTATATATCTCTATATAGCTTGGGGCTCAAAATAAAAGCAACGAGCGAATAGTGGACGCAAGATGACGCCTTGGAGCTATTGGATCGCTACGACGTCCTTTTGTCTGGAGGCAGCAAACGAGTGAAGCGGATGGAGTGGTGTTGTTTGAATTAATGAAGGAATCGGGCGCTGCTTCGTTCTAACCTCTACCGCTGCATTTGGGGAGTTCTTTTTTCGAAGTCTCATTGATACCATCTGGAGGAGGGAAATAGCTCTCCCTTTCCGCTGCATCTGGGAAGGCAATGGCGAACCAGATGCGCAGAGGGATGATCACGGGCATGTTCATTTTGCCGACCATTATTATGGACCTGGGTGCTTTTTGGACTTGCATGACTAGGCTGGAGGGCGTTTAGAGGGACATAGACGATTTTGACGAGTTTTTTTTTTTTTTTTTTTACTTAAGTTGTTGCAGACTTAGACTATGAATATGATGATTTCTAGCGATTTCTTTTCTTTTTGGTATTAATCCTAAAAACAAGTGACTGGTCATGGAATCATAGAGCAAGCACTATACGTATACATTACTACATCCCGCAAGATCACTCTTCGGTATCACCAGTATCTGCCGCCATATCGCTATCAGTGTTTGCCTGTGGCACTTCTGAGCCAGCTTCTTCAAACTCCGCATTTGTGACCACCTTTCGTAAGCTCTCAACGGTATACAGCAGACTTCGAACCTCCTCTTCGCTTATGTCGGATTCGTTTGCCTCTACCGCCTTGTCCTTGAAAGAGGTCTCAACGTCCACGGCCAGTCTGCCATGGTTGATGGTTAGGCGGAATGCATGGAGGCTCTGCGCCTTGGTCTCCGCGTCGGGGTCGATTGCGGCAATGATTGTGGGGGCGGCGTCATCGTTGCTTGGAGAGATGGCGAGGGAGAGGGGCTTGCCGGGGAGTTGGATGATGCCGGGGCAGTGGAGCTCGTTGTTTTCGAGCAGCTTCCATGAGAAGATGGCTTTGATGCTGTGGAATGTTGGTTAGCGATACCTTGGGATCTCATGAGTGAAAGGACTTACTCTTCGCAAATGGCTAGTATATATGTGAGCGGCCCATCTTCAGAGGGGTAAGTCAGAGTATAGATGCTTGAGACGGCAACAGCTGTAGTCTCAGGGGCGATTTCTTGGGCGAGGGATAAGACGCTTGTCTTAAAGAGCTGCTTTCCGGCGAGCCAGTCCCAAACAAAGATGTATTCGTCACCGCCGCCAGAGACAAGGATGTCTTTGTTGCTGGGGGGAATGACCATGTCACTGATGAACTCCTTGTGCCCGAAACAGAAATTTTCGATAATATGTGCGTGGGGGATGTAGCGAGACACTCTGATGTGCTCATCTCTATCAGCAGTGAGGATATACTTGCGTCCTTCCTTCTCTCCGAGAACCAGGGCCGTTAGCATAGAGACGTGTCCGAGTAGCAGATTGAGTTCGAAGCCCGGTCCATCGGCAGCGGCAGCGTCTTTGGATTCGTTGAGAAGTTCAGCTTGCTTAATCTGGTTGAGAAGGGCGATTCGATTGCCCTTGGAGTGAACCGTGAGCGGGTTTGCAGTGGGCTTGAATGCCTTTTTGGTTGGCATCGGTAGGGCTGATAGTGACGCGGAGGTTTTTGATCCATCAGCTGGGATGACTAAAGGCAAGGCGTAGACATCGCCAAACTTGTCTGCGCAGATGATTTGTGAATCAGGTCCAATGGCGACTGCACTTGGTCGTTTAGGCATAGTTCTATGTATACAAGATTTAGCACGTGTCGCCTTCTCAAGGTGAATAATAGTAATAATAGGCGCTCATACCTCTGACTGAGTTCCTCGATTTGACCATTTCCATCATGTGTAAAGACCCAAACGACCTTGTCATGTCCACTTACGGCCAGCAGGTGGCTTCCATCAGGTGAAGTCGTCAGATGCGTGATCACGGGCCGGTCAGGTACACGAGCGAAACGGGTTTTGCCATTGTCAATGTCCTTCCCAGCCTTGCCTTTGCCCTTCTTCCCTCTGCCATCGAAATGGCCGGATCGTGGCTTATCGTCTTGGGCTGCTGTGGGTGTAGATGCCTCAGCCTCAGCTGTCACTGCGGCGGTCTCATTCTCACCACCCAGCTTCTGTCGTTTGGCTGGCGGACCGTCACTTTCAGTTGCCGGGGTGTTTGCCTCTGCTTCTAGGGCAGCTTCAGCCTTGGCCTCGTTGATGGCCTTTATTGAGTCGGCAACCTTATCGACGTCAGGGTGTTTCCATGATGAGATGTGGGTGCCGTCTGTGAGATTGAAGGTATGAATTGCGCCTCCACGAGCGGCAAAGAGGATTTGCCCTCGAACATGGACCTTGTTATAAGGAATCTTCATGGTTTATAAAATAACTAGGCTTTGGCCTACTCCTAAGAATTGGGGGATCAAGGGAATGAAGTCCAATTGGAGCTTAAAGAAGCCATGCAGTCTTGCAGCTTATCAACCTGGAACTTTTTTTCTGATACCGATCTAGCTCCTCCACGAGGCGCAAGAAAAAAAAAGATACATCTTGTTGGTACCTTCACTTCGACAAAATGGTACGTACCTCTGGTCCCCACTGCACCTTGAGCTAACAGCCAAAAGCTGTTCTGACCGCTTACCTAATTCAGCCATGCCCTAGCCATTCGACACACACTTTCTCACTGGGTGCAAAATCCCGGAAATTTTGGCTCCTCTCTTTTTTTTCCTCTTTTCCGCGATAAGACTTCGAGTCACCAAATAATAAACACCAAAGGATACCCATTTGCCCTTAAATAACCTGCCTTCAGGAAATAAGAAGATATGGGGGGCAAATCAGCGAACAAGGCCGGCTACTTCGACAAGCTCAAGGGCTTGCTGCAGGACTACAAGTCAATCTTCATTGTTGAGATTGACAATGTCTCGTCCCAGCAGATGCACGAGATCCGACACGCCCTTCGTGGCAAGGGTGTTGTCCTGATGGGCAAGAACACCATGGTAAGACTCCATCGCATATCGTCTTTTTGATTTTCCTTGACAATTTTGAAAACTAATGCGTTTGATATAGGTTCGCCGAGCTCTGCGAACTTTCCTCGTTGATACTCCCGAGTACGAGCGTATCCTGCCTTTCGTCAAGGGCAACGTCGGTTTCGTTTTCACCAACGGCGACCTGAAGGAGATCCGTGACCAGATCCTGGCCAACCGTGTCGCCGCCCCTGCCCGTGCTGGTGCTGTCGCTCCCGTCGATGTGTGGGTTCCTGCTGGAAACACCGGTATGGAGCCTGGCAAGACCTCTTTCTTCCAGGCTCTCGGTGTCCCCACCAAGATCGCTCGTGGTACCATTGAAATTACCACCGATCTCAAGCTCATTGAGGCTGGCAACAAGGTCGGCCCCTCCGAGGCTTCGCTGCTCAACTTGTTGAACATCTCTCCCTTCACCTACGGTCTGGGAATTGCTCAGGTCTACGACCAGGGCCAGGTCTTCCCCCCCACCATCCTCGACATTGGTGAGGAGCAGCTCCTCGGCACCCTGGCCAAGGCCATTACCACCGTTGCCACCATCTCTCTGGCTCTCAACTTCCCCACCCTGCCTTCCGTCATGCACTCTCTTGTCAACTCCTACAAGAAGGTCCTGGCTGTTGCCATTGAGACCGACTTCAGCTGGCCCGAGATTGAGCAGCTCAAGGACCGCATTGCCAACCCTGACGCTTACGCTGCCGCTGCTCCTGCTGCCAGCTCCGGCGCTGCTGCCGCTACCGAGGCTGCCCCCGCTGAGGAGAAGAAGGAGGAGGAAGAGGAGGAGGACGAGGAGGGCTTCGGCGGTCTCTTGTATGTCACACCCCTGAAATCTACTCTGGAACTAACACTAACATACTTAATAGCGACTAAACAACCAATAACGGTACTGGATCGGTTTTCAGGGCTTATTCGACTTGTTTCACGGTATATGGATCTAAATCTATGGGTACATAGGTCATTGGTTGGCCAAAATAGGATCAACGCAATGATTACATGAGACACGAATGAAATTCAATGAAAGCTACGAGTCAACTGTTAGACACTTGATGAGAATTCGACCAACTTGTGAATATTGAAACGTGATGAATAGCGTCGACTTGAGAGATTACTCACTTGCCAAAAGGTTAGTTATTCCTCCCTTGGTTTTCCCCCCAACTTCCTTCGAATGATTATAAATTTATTCATGAGCTTTTTAACCCTGAAATCTCCTGATGAAAACAAATATTCAACAACACCTTATGACTTTACACTATCTTGTTTACCAATTTTCTATTGCTGCTCTTTAGTAAAGATCACAATGGCTAACATACGAAAGATATACAGGACATTTGTGCGCAGAATTTCTATGGTACATGTGATTTGATCCAGTGCTTATCCAGCAAGTGACTGGCGGTTATCTATCGCCTCTGTAGTATTATCCAACACCCTTTTGGCAATATTGATTGCATGTTGCGGCAATCCTGCCAACCGTGCCACCTTCAGAGCATGGCTTCGGCGATTAATACCTCGTCGTAATTTGTGAATGTAGACGAAGCCTCCCTCGTTATCCTCCTGTACATCAGTACAGTACGCCTGGACGGGTCCAGTCTGTGGATTGCAGAATCCCTCAGCGGCCGCCATATCAGCCACGTCGTGGAAGTGTGTTGCGAAGAGGGTTCGGCATTGGTTAACTGTCACAAGATGGTGTAGGCAAGCAAACGATATTGCCGTGCCATCCTCTGGTGTAGTGCCTCGACCTATTTCATCCATGATGACAAACGATTTAGGGGTAGCCTGCCGTAGTATCTGGGCTGTCTCAAGCATCTCTACCATGAAAGTGCTCTGATCATGATATAGGCTGTCGGCCGAACCTACACGACTGAAAATGGCATCAACAATGCCGATTTCAGCATAGGTAGCGGGCACGTAGCACCCTATTTGCGCCATTATCGTAATCAAGGCATTCTGTCGAAGAAACGTGCTCTTTCCGGCCATGTTCGGTCCAGTAATGAGCCAAAGGGAGCCATCTGGCGGCGACCCAATCACACAGTCATTGCGAACAAACCGGCGCCCCTGTTCCAGCAGCCCTCCTTCCACCGTAGGATGGCGACCACCCTTGATAACATGGGTTTTAGAATTGTTCAACTTAGGGCGGACAAGGTTCTGCTCGACGGCGAGTTTTGCAAATGATGTCGCAATGTCGATCTCGTCCAGCACAGACGAAATGCGCCGCAGCTTGACCAGATTCTTAACAACGTGTTCACGAAGGGCCTGGAACACTCGCTGTTCCTCGCGGCGAATTCGAAATTTTGCTTGATCAATCTGTTGGCCAAGAGCGGTCCACTCAGGAATATGGAACGAGCTTGTACTGCGAGTCGAAGATACGGTCTTTACTGTGGTTAATTTTTTGGTCTCTTTCGTCTTGAGGTGGACTATATGTCCTGAGCTCGATGTCCATTTAAGCGCCAGACTGGGTGCTTCCAGGCGCACTCGAAGCTCCTCAGCAAGAGCACCTTTCTCCTTCACAAGTGATGTGAGGTCATTGTGAAGGTTCTGGAGTTCCTTGCTTGCAGCTGGTTTCATAACCCAAGGCTCATTATCTTCGCCGTATAGCTCTTTCAGACTGCTTGTTTTCTTTCTCTTTGCTTTTGTCACGAGACTTGCGTCTTCACTGGAGCCTTCCGGGGAAACAACATCTTGGGCTAGGGCCATCATCGCTTCGGCTTCAGATTCTTCGACAGCCTGCTGCTGGGCTATTCCTTCCTCATCTATAGACTCTTTAATTCTATCCGCGAGTTCAAGGGGCTCCCCAAGATGAATACGAGATGCCAAGGATGCAAGGCAATCCGGTCCTGGTGAAGATGGACTTTGCTGCCCTCCTGATGCCTCTTTAAGTAAACGCACGACTTCTTCGGCAGCATATATCGTGTTAGCTATTCCAAGCAAATCATCCGGATCACCCCTCCCCAAAGCAAATTTCTGAGCAAGTCTCTGGCAATCGTAGCTCCGTCGCAGCATAATGACCATGGAATCATTGAGATCTGCAGATTCAATGAAACGAGCAACAACATCTTGCCGCGCTTCAATTACGTCTAGAGAGGTAGATGGAGAACCAAGCCATTCGTTGAGAAGTCTAGCGCCACTCTTGGTAACTGTGCGGCGTATCGCATGAAGGAGACTGCCGCGGAAGAAGCCATCGCGAATGGTCTGCTTAATTTCCAGCGCTCTCAGGGTATTTTTATCGATGGTCATGGTCTGCGTGTTTTCGAAGCGCATAGGCGGCTGAAGCTTCATGCTTGTCCCCTGAAGTCGGTTCTTCACATAGTTTAGTACTAGTCCTCCCGCAACAACCTCATTATCTGTGAAATCTTTTCTTGAAAATTCGGATATTTGTGATTCTAGAAGGGGAGACCAGTCATCGAGGTTTGTTAGACTCTCGTGTGGCGAAAATGTGACGAGATGTCGATCATCTGTTAATATCGAGAAAATGTCATGATCTTTTCGAAGTTCAAATGTTTGTTCAAGGACAACTTCTCGCGGAGCTATGCGAGATAAGATGGATGAGAGAGATGAGAGAGTCGTAGATTGGGTATAAAACTGCCCCGTAGAGAGATCCAGCCATGCCAGGCCAATTGGCGAATCATTCACACTTGGAACATGTAAGTGTTCGTTGGGTGGAGAAGAGTCCAACTGCAAAGAGTCAGAAGGGGCATCTTGAGAGATGTGAATTGCCATGATGTAGTTATTGGCGTAAGGGTCGATGAAATTCTCATCGATGAGAGTTCCTGGAGTGATGATGCGTGTCACTCGACGATCATGCATGAGGCCGCCCGACTTGACTTTTTCTGAGGGTTGGTTGGGGAACTCTTCAGCCACGGCGACATGGCTGTTCAAATCTTGCACCAAAATCTTGAGATATCGGTCCAGCTGGAATACAGGAAACCCTGCCTGTAGTACCACGGTTAGCCTGGTAAGAATCGGAAGAGCTTTATGAGTATGTATATACATAACAAAAGGAAATAAGGACAGGGGCGTGATTACCATCGGCACAGGCCCAGGGTTTGTTTTCTTGGAAGTCAGCTTTAGATTTAGCAGTGGTGCATATTCCTCGGCATGCTCGAAATAGAGCTCGTAGAACCCGCCCACTCTTGTGAGGAGGATGCATTTCTCAAATTTGTCCATATTCCGGCGCGCTTGGGATAGGACGGGAGGCCAGGCCGGTTCATTTTGCTCTTCTTCCGTGGGGAGAGGCTTCGCCGGGATCTTCCCTTGAGGCAAATCGGAGAGCTTGACCGTAGTTTTCGATCTCGATCGTTTCACGGCAGCTTCGAAATGAGCAGTTGTACTGAGTTTTGCGGCAAATACAGCCGCAGGAGAGCTGCATCGCAGAGACGCAGGGCTTAGAGCCAAGGCCAACGAGCGGCGAGTGTTGAGGGGCCGATGTCGCAAGCCATGAGCTGTGCGTTGTCGAAACATTCCAGGTCATTCGACAGGATCACCTGTCTCCTTTGCAAAAGGCTCTTGGGATTTGAAAGAGCATTGACGGGGAAGCTCGTGCAGAGGAACAATTTCTTCTAATAGGACCATTTTTGGAGCCCTGTGAAGACGGTGATTTGCGGCCCCACCGTAGGCGGGTTACCGGTGCCTGAAGCGCCGCTGCAAGCGCTACGGCGGGAGATGGGGCACTGGCGGCGGCTCGCCAGCAGCTACTGAGGGGCGATATGGCGCGTCTAAATATATATCTGGGGTGTAGCAGGATACTGCTAATAAATACCTAGTAGAGAGAGAGAAAGCACAACAGCACTCTCACAAGTACTGTGTAGGTACACAGATTCACGGTGCTGAAAAGAAAACAAGGATAAAACACATCTCATCTGACAAGGCATACTGGAGCACAAGCCGCGACCTCTTGAATATTGGTAGGTACATGCTCCTTTGCGCAACCGCATAAGCTGCCTCCTATACCTTCTAGTAGAGAGCGCTGGTTGGGCAGCAGCAGAAGGTCGTCTCTTTCCCAGAGTGCGGAGGTAGTCGCAAGTGCTCGTGCCCTATTTGTACCGAGTTTTCTCTCTGCATCTCGGCAGCGTCTCTTTCTTTCTTTCTTCTTTCTCTTCCACTCTCTTCATATCTCTTCCTGTCAATTATACTCTACCAATAGCAGCTTCTAACCCCTACCCTCCCGTTGTCATAACTAAACGCGCTGGTATTACGTTAAGCGCCCACTCGAGAGCGCCTGTGCTGTTGTTGGTGGGCTTTCGGTTTCACGGTGCCTCTCTCTTCACGCTGGCCTCAGGCTGGGCAGACTTTGACGATATCGGGCCTCTACGGGGTACGTTGGAAGACTCATATTCAATCGATTCGAGTTGAGATACCCCTTCGGATTCTGTCATCTGAAACATCGAATCCCAGCCCTTATCGGCCAGCTTGGACCCTGTCTAACTGAACTCGACCCTACTGCATTCAATTTTGAATATTGTCTCCCTCTTTGTGTTTTTTATTTTCATTCATTTTTTATTTTCTTGATTTCTTGATCTACTACCTCTTATTCCTCGGAAATCAATTGAGATTGCAAATATGAGGTGCGTACTTTACCATTCAAGAGGTCCAGGAAGAGCAGCATCAGCCCATTCCAACTCGTCACCCCTGAGACAATGGCTGGGGATCGGGTCCAAACTCCCCGCACGCTACCTCCAACGCAACACCGATTTTCCCTCCCTTAGCGCCCCCCATGCTTGTTACATCGCCTAAGAAACTGGGAATCTTTGTCTTTGGAGCGGTGTCTTCCCCACCACCTCCCCACAAGCAGTGACGGTATCAGAGCTTCCCCGAAGCTGCGCAAGCTATGCAGGCGCTGGTAACTCGGCGCTATATTATTATATAATACCGAACTGCTCTCACATCCTCACGGATCTCGGCTCACTTTGCGACTTCTCCCATTCACACCACCGCTTGAATAATTGACCCTCAGGTTGTCGCTTGTTTCAATTCGCTGACTGCAATTGGTAGCTATAACCAGAGCTTAATTGACAACCCTCTCCCCGTCTCTTCCGACTGTCCTCAGCACTCGCTCTTCCCAGACAGTCTCCAGCCTCTCCCAGGCAAGCTTCGGCGACTGTCCAACCGATCAGCACCGCCCGCTCCAGGACACGCTCTCGACGCTCATATAATGGGTGGCGGCGGCGAAGTGAGGAGCAGCGTCTCCTACCCTGTCTTTGCTCAACGGCCTGTTGGCGTCCCCAAGACTAGCATTCTCAAAAGCCGTATTGAACCATTCTATAAATCAGGACAGTATGATAAGGTGAACTTGCTAGCGTATGTTTTCCTGTATTTTATCCATTTATCCTGATCCCAATCGGTTGACGCCCGCCATGTAGGAATCTCTACAATGCCAGGTACTCAGGCAAACCGCACGTTCAGATCTCCGTCTGGAGCGCTCCCGGGCAAGAGCGACCGACCTTTGAGCATGCGGTTTCCCAACAGTTTAAAGAGACACACACCGGCGCCGCCTTCGGGCCCTCATGGTCTACTCATTGGTTCAGAGTCGTCTTAACTGTTCCCGAAGCAATCGCCAATGAAGAGCTCCTTGAGCTTCAGTGGGACGGCAATAATGAAGGCCTTGTGTGGACCGAGGATGGCATGCCGCTTCAAGGCCTGACTGGAGGAGGCGAGAGAATCGAATGGGTCATTCCTCGTTCGTTCCGCGACGGTAAACCGCACACCATTTACATCGAGATGGCCTGCAACGGCATGTTTGGAAATGCGCCCGGAGGGAAAGCCAGCATTATGCCACCGGACCCAAACAAATATTTTGCTCTTGGAAAGGCCGACATTGTAGCTGTCAATGTCCCTGCCCGCGGTCTCTTTTTCGACATGTGGGAGCTTGGCGATGCCGCTCGAGAGCTCCCCGAGAATTCGGCCGAGCAGGGCCGAGCACTCGCTGTTGCTATGAAGATTATCGATACCTTTGAGGTAAATAACCAGGAATCTATCCTCGAATGTCGAAAACTAGCACAGCAAATCATTGGTCCCGATGTCGACTCTCATCGGGTCTATGAAGTTGGCCCAGAGCCTGTCGTTTTTGGTATCGGCCACTGCCACATTGATTCTTGCTGGCTGTGGCCCTTTGCAGAGACAAAACGAAAAGTAGCTCGGTCATGGTCGAGCCAGTGCGATCTAATGGACCGCTATCCAGAGGCTCATTTTGCTTGCTCCCAGGCTCAGCAGTTCAAATGGCTAAAGCAATTCTATCCCAAGGCTTTTGATCGTGTAAGGCGAAAGGTTAGCGAAGGCCAATTCCACCCCATCGGTGGTAGTTGGGTTGAGCATGACACCAACATGCCCAGCGGTGAATCGCTTGTGCGTCAATTCTTCTATGGCCAGCGTTTTTTTGAGGCGGAGTTTGGATCACGTTGCCGCACTTTCTGGCTTCCTGATACATTTGGATACTCAAGTCAGCTGCCTCAGCTCTGTCGCCTGGCAGGCATGGACCGTTTCATGACTCAGAAGCTAAGTTGGAACAATATCAACAACTTCCCCCACACTACGTTTATGTGGGTGAGTCCTGATGGAAGCCAAGTCATTTGCCATATGCCTCCATCCGAGACGTACACAGCTGAGGCCGATTTTGGTGATTTGAAACGCAGCATCTCCCAACACAAAACCCTGCGTGTTGACAACACCTCCTTGCTAGTGTACGGCAAGGGCGATGGTGGTGGCGGCCCTACCTGGCAGCACCTGGAGAAGCTTCGACGAATTTCAGGAATCAGCAACACCATTGGAGGAATTCCAAAACTTAAGCTAGGCTTTAGTGTCGATGACTTCTTTGACCGCCTCGCTCCCAAGGCCAACGAGCTTCCCACGTGGTATGGTGAGCTGTACTTTGAGCTACATCGAGGCACTTATACCACACAGGCAAACAACAAGTATTACAACCGCAAGGCTGAAGTTTTACTGCGAGACCTCGAACAGCTTGCGACACTTGCCTCCCTCAAGAACAAGACTTATAAATATCCTACTGAACAGATCGACAACATGTGGGAGGGTGTGCTCCTTTGCCAATTCCACGACTGCCTCCCTGGCAGCTCTATCGAAATGTGTTATGATGACTCTGATAAGGTGAGAAGACAGTGCTTGTTTCCCGTCGAATAAATAATTTATATGCTGACTGGCTCCTAGATATACAAGGAGACGTTTGAGACGGGGCATAAGCTGCTCGCAGAGATTTACAAGGCTTTGGGTGCCAGCGATTCGCAACCCGATGGTCTTTACGAGTCCACTGTTCTCAACACGTTGCCCTGGCATCGCAAAGAACTCGTTGAGGTTTCCGATACCCAGGTTGGCATTGCTTGTGGAGACGGCCCGCTGCTTGCGCTTCGCACTTTTAAGATCCAGGAAGATAAGCCAGCTGTTTCAGTGCAGCAAGTGGGCACCCAATTCGTATTAGAAAATGACGATCTCCGCGTTGTCGTCGAAGACGGCTGTATCACTTCATTATACGACAGGGTCAACGAGCGCGAAACTATTGAAAAGGGCGGTAAAGCCAACAAATTTGTTATTTTTGATGATATCCCACTCTTTTGGGAGGCTTGGGACGTCGAGGTCTATCACCTCGAGACTCGCCGAGAGCTCAGCTACGGTCAAACTAGTCTTCATGAGGTTAAACCTCACCGCGTCACTCTTGCTACCGAGATCAAGATTAGCAAGAATAGCTCCATCAAGTCTTACATTACGTTGTCGGCAGCCCTGAAGGGCCAAACCTCTTGGGTCGAGTGCAAAGCCGAAGTAGACTGGCACGAGAACTCCAAATTCCTCAAGGTCGAGTTCCCTGTCGACATTGTTAACACAGAGGCGTCGTACGAGTCCGCATACAGCATTACCAAGAGGCCAACTCACTACAACACGAGCTGGGATATGGCCAAGTTTGAAGTTTGCTGCCACAGATTTGCCGATCTATCGGAGCACAACTATGGTGTTTCCATTCTCAACGACAGCAAGTACGGTTTCGCTACAGCTGGCAAGTTAATGCGCCTATCGCTGCTGCGATCACCAAAGGCTCCCGACGAGCATGCGGATATGGGCCGTCACTCGATCCGATGGGCCATCCTTCCTCACAAGGGAGGTCTCTCTTCGACTACTGTTAGAGCAGCGTATGCCTTCAATACCCCACTCAAGGTGCTATCCGCACCAAAGGCTACCATTGAAAGCTTAACCAGTGTTCCTATCAAGCTTATCAATGCAGATGAATCCGCCTCCATCATACTGGATACTATCAAGCGAGGCCATGATGACGAGGACGTTAGCCGTCGCGAGGGCCTTCGTGTCAACAGCGGGCGGAGCATCATCCTTCGTTTATACGAGTCTTTGGGCGGACGCAGCCGAGGAACTATTCAAACAGAGTTCGATGTGAAACGCGTTACTAAAGTCAATATCCTGGAGGATGAAATTGAAGAGGTGTCATTGGAAGATGGCAAGTTTGACATTACCATGCGGCCCTTTGAGGTGGCGACATACAAGCTGCAGCTATAGGGAGGTGAAGAAGCCAATTGTATTTGCCCTACCTCCAGCATTCGAATTATGCTTGGGGCGTGAGATGATTTGATCGCCGCTACCTTGGCGAAAGGGGGAAGAGTTAGAGCTATACGCAATCAGTAATAGGTTGTCGTTGGAATTACAAGTAGGAGAATTCACGTAATAGCAATGTTGACTACTTGGTTGCCCTGTTAATGATCACAATTCATGCTGGGATGCAATATAAGTTGTTGGGCATTCCTCCTTATGAGAGTATCCTGCTCTGTTTGTCTGTCTTTTGTTTTGCTGTGCTTCTCTAAATCAATTATTTCATTCAGCCTGTTTAAACGCCGACGCCTTGTGCAGTAGATATACAGATATATATGTCCACAGCAACGATAAGATATCATAAAATACGAGACAGCTCCCCCCATCAGCTAGTATAGAAACACGTAAAAGATTCTTGTCTTAGGCTCACATTATATCCTATTGCCCTACAACCCATAGAAAAAGAAGAAGAAAAGAAGGAATAAGACAGAAACCCACAGCTTGAATGGCATATTCGAATATCAAGAGTCGATATTCAACGTCATGATGAGAATTGGAATTTTAAGTTGAGAGGATCCGGCTTGGCACGGAGCAGTTCTCATGACAGGTCATCGGGTAGCTCCTCGATGACTTGCTCAACCATGGTAATGAGCTCATTGATGTCGGGTCGCTCCGCAGGTTCGACTTTGAGGCACGCCCGGACAATATTGCGAATGGGTTCGCTGATGGAGACATCTCCAGAGCCACCAGCGCCGCCGGCAGCAGAGCTGTCCCCCGAAGTCGCCTTGGCCTTGGCCGCCTGGATGGTGTTTGTGCGCTTGGGTGCGCCGCCGGGATTCTCGTCGGGGAAGCGCCAGTCGCCGCCGAGGACGCAGAGGCTGAGCGTGCCTCCAGTCTCGTCGGATCGCAGCTCAAAGGGGGACTTGCCGACGAGGCAGGCGTAGAGGGTGCATCCGAGCGACCAGATGTCGGTCTTTGTGTCGATGACGGTGCCGGTGCGGACGTCGAAGAGCTCCGGGGCGCGGTAGGGCATGGTGGAGTGCTCGGCGGCGGTGTCTTGGATCTGGAGGGCGAGGGATTGGGAAGTGACGGGGACGGGGGAGGCAGCGACGGAGCCGAGGTCCATGAGGATGGGGGTTGAGCCGGAGTCGTCAATCATGATGTTGCCTAGCGAGGAGAGAGACGTTAGTCAGAATGAATAACACAGTAATACTTGGCTTGACGGTTAGATTTCACGGCTTCTCACCTGGCTTGATATCACGATGAGCATATGATTTGATCTTGCCGCCTGATTCGCCTTCGATGCGATTTCCCGAGTCCATGAGCGGCCGCTCCTGTTCGCCTTGCTCTTGCTCTTCCGTCCGTTTCCCCCTCGTGCCCATCTTTCGTCCACCAGGTCGCGAGGAGCCTGCATTCTCATCATGGTCTTCCTCCCGGCCCATCTCCATGCGTTCCGCGGGGGCGGGCTGATACTCGTGCATCGCACGCAGAGCCTTGCACACGCCCAGGAACAGCATCATCAGATGGCGCTCGGGGAAGTGTCCGTGGTTGACGAGGTTGGCATTGATCATGTCCTGCAGGTTTCCGCGGCGATAGTACGGCAGCAGGACGTAGACGGTCTTGCTGGCATCGTCGCCGCTGCCCCCGCCGCGGTCGGTCGCAACGCTGTGGTCAAAGGCCGAGATGATGGTGGGGACGTGGTCGAAGAGCCGGTAGGCATCGACCTCGCGCATGGCCTGCTGGACGGACTCGGCGCCGAAGGGGCATCGGATCTTCTTGAGGGCGAAGAGCTCGTGGCTGGAGGTGTCCTCGACGAGGTAGACATATGAGAAGCCGCCCTATTGGAAATGATTTCGTCACTGTTAGCTGCTGCTGCTGCTACTGTCACACCATGTCCTTCTTCAAGAGAGGGGAATTATCTCTTGTCTTTTTTCACGAACCTCACCCAGCAGTCGCTGGATCTTAAAGCTCCGGCTATTAATCTTGAGGGTCGGAGATCCCGGGAAGCAATTTAAGCAATTGCCAAAAGAATAAAATAGATCCGCGAATATCTGCGCCATGATGAGGAGTTTTGCGTCAACGCTATGCCTTGAATAGCAAATAATAGCTCTGCAGCTCTTGATGTGGCCTCTTTTCTTCTCTCTCTGCCGGACTCCCTCTCTTCTTTCCCGCAGTATCCCTTCTATGTTTGGGCCCGAAAACGGTCAGCTCGCTCGGCCTGGCTCGCAGCTCAGCTCTCTACTAGCTCTCCAGCCTTTTGTTTTGATGTGGCCTATCGGGTCGAGATTTCGGCTTGTCTGCGAATGGTTGCTATGGCGCTGAGTCGTTCCAATGGCGGGGTAAGAGCAGCGCTGATACGGAACAATCAATTCAACGTGTACCAGCTGGCTGAGAGAGAGAAGGGCTCGGTCGCGGTGCTGATCCGGGAATTGCGACTTTGTTTTGTTTAGTAAGTGTTGAGTGAAGGACGGCTTTGGGACAGCTTGACGCTGGTGGGCCTTTGGCAGGTACATTGTGTATGTCGGCCAACCACGCCTCTGACCTCAGACACACTAGCCCTGGGGATGCTGAGCTAACGTGGGCTATTTTTGGGCGCGCTAGTAGTCGCGAGAAGGTATTGACAAGTAGCCTAATAGTTGACATGGTCGCTTAATTACATAGAATTGGATTTCTGCTGGTACTCACGGGATACTATAAAGTACATCCTCAAGGCGCTGATCCTCGCAACCACAACTCCGCCCCATTGGCTCCGCCTCACGATAAAGGTCCAACATGACCAGCAGCAGATCATTGCATCACAGCTCTGTACTTTTATTTGTATTTTTTTTTTTTTTGTAATTTTTATATTTTTTGTATTATACAGAAATCCAAATACTACATTAGTGCCGTCATTTCCAATAACACGATATACTATATAACATTCGATAATGCACTTTTCCCCCCAAAGAATATGCATACTGCATTGCCATCTATATTTGGATGAAACTATTCAAAAGCCACGATTGTGTGGCCCAACTCCCTTCCTTTACTTCTCCCGTAAGCTCTAATTTCGAGACGGGGTAGAGAATTTCTCTAGATTCACGAATGAATCTGCTCAATTGTACGACATAAAAGCAGCACTGGTCTCTCAGGTCCTCTTTCGACCTATATTAATAAATTTATCGTTTTAAGTGAAAAGAAAAGCAAAAAGGACAGGTTGTTTGATGCATATAACCGATCGTGTCCAAACAATACAAAAAAAAGAAAAAAAGAACAATAACAAATACACCAGTATATATACGTATAATTTAGGCCGACGAGCATTAGCTTCCACTGCTACTGCCTCTGAGTAGACTCCGTAAATGAAAGCTGGTCAAAATCTTAAGAGAGTAGGTTGCGAAGTGAAGGATTCGTGCTCGCGGCTGTAGCTGGCCTGCTTTCTGGAGGCCGTGGGGCCATAGGAACCGACGAAGGAGGCAGCTCATGAGGCTGGGGCGGCGGCGGCGGCGGCGGCGGCGGTAACCCATTTCTCACAATAGGAGGGCTAGCATGTGAGGCTGGTGGGTATGAGGGTCTCTGAGGATGTAGACCATGCGAAAATGCATCTGATCGTGACGGCGGCGGCGGCGGCGGCGGCGGCGGCGGCGGAGGTCCGTTATTCATGAGGTGAGCCGGGGGATGGATAGGTCCTCCGTGGCCTGAATGTCCGCTGTGGTAAGGGGGTACGTATGGAGCGGGGGCAGTTGGTCCACTCATCCGTCGTGGGGAGGGGGGGAGCCCGTTACTATATCCATGTCCATGTTGATGACTGCCGGGCAGCGGTGCAGCTGGAGGCGGACCAGCCATGGCAGGCGGCCTCAGAGCAGAAAGATTTGATACTGGCGGCGGTTGGGGCGGGGGCGGGCCGCCGTGCAAGAGAGGCGGGGGAGGACCACCGTTAATGTGACGAGGAGGTGAGTTATGCTGGCTGCCGGGACGATGAGGTGCCCACTCAGGATAGGCTGTCGTTCTACCTGGTGGTGGTGGTGGTGGTGGTGGTGGTGCCGGCGGATATGGGTGTGCCATTGGAGGTGGACGGTGCCCTGTCACCTGAGCTGGCGCATGAACCGGTGCTGGTATCAGTGGGGGAGTAGACACGGCGGGCATTGTGTGTGAGCCTGGCGGTGGTTGCGGCCAAGAAAGGGGATGGCTCATATGGCGTCCGTCACGATAATCGACCACATTTGGCGGCGGGGGAGGAGGCGTTGAGCCTCTCAGGGGTGGTACCGGAGCCATAAGAGTAGCCTCCAGCGGCTGGGGACGAGCAAGTTCGGGAGGCGGGGGCGACGGTCCAGTTCGAAGAGTCAACCCCGGACTACGGGGTGTCTTTCGTAGCTTGTGACATTTATGGCATTGGAACTTTCGCTGCTCAACAAACTTTTGTGCTTCCGATCCAATGACCCCATGATGGCCATTGGTTAATCTCCGCTCTTGGAAGTTATCAATCGGCCACCATCTCAAGGCGATGTCTATACCGCATGTGATGCAGATTTTGTCGCCCGGATGCTGGGCATGGGATCCAGGATCAGCCACATCGGCGTTGCGCAGCGGAGCCCAACCACCATTAGGTGTCGTCGTGGTAGACGCTCTGCGATTCCATGCCTGAACTGGTGCTCCGGATATTTTCGCGGCTGTTGTCATCTGATTGGCCTTGCGAACCGTACCAGTCAAGGTGAGGTCTGCCTGCTTGAAATTCTGGACGTAGAGTTGAAGGGCATTCAATCCTGTCTCATTCACAACATCATGAATCCGATGGACGATCGTTTTAGCCGGGGCGTGCTCTTTACACCAAAGCACTGCCGACATGATCCCGCTCTCGCCGTTAATGGTGACAATGTTAAACTGGTCTCGGCGGGAACTCTTGACCGGAGCAATATCAAATCCAAGAATATGCCCTTTTTGTCGTGCGCATTCGACGTGGTCTATATATTAAATTAGCTTGCTGAACGCCCAACTTGCTCTCTACTAGCACAAAATCAAAATAAGGGGAGGAGAAAATAGAAATGGGAAAGGCTTACAAGATGCACGACATTGATGGCAGGGCACACATGCCCCGCCCTTCTGGTTACAGGCTTGGCAGATCTCGTCATACTTTGCTCTCGAGACAGATGGGATCCCCTCAGACGGTTCCATTGCCTTGGCGTTACCAAACTTGACTTCAGGCGTCCATACGGCGCAGGTGACATGCACCCAGTTATTGTCAGCTGTGCGCTTGAGCGGTTCGCGGGGGTTGACTGGGCGATTCATCTCCTCCTGCTTCTTGCGGTAGTATTCAGCGGCTTTGCGGGCTTGTTGAACTTCTATCTTTTCTCGCTCGCGGTCTTTCTCAGACATCTTCTTCTTGTGGTGTGTGAGTTTCGGCAGCTCGACAAAATCATGTTCAGTTTGCTCAACAGGGCACAAGACACATTTGTATTGCTACACAGGGGTTGTTAGTACATGACTTCTAGTGGGGGAGAAAAAAAAAGAACAGGGAGAGAGAGAGAGAGAGAGAGAGAGAGAGAGAGAAATATGCAGGACTTACGATCGACACTTGTGGGCTCTTATCATTTGCACACATGTCGCATATCCATTTGCCCTGGACTTTATTGTCAATAATGCCGTAGCAGTTACGGTGGACTGTTAGGCGACACTCTCGACATGAGAGGTGCTGGTCTCCCATTGGTTCCATCTGATCACAAATGGCACAAGGAAGAGTTCGAGGCTTTGGCATTTCAGGGGCGGCTGGGGGTTCCACAGCTGCTTTCTCCTTCTTCTTAGTCGGAGCTACGCTGGGAGTGCTGCCGGCATCCGAGGGTGTTGCTTCGGCTTCTTTATCAACTGCGGTCTTGAGCTTCTTCCTAGGAGGCTCCTGAGTCTCGCCGGGCTGGGAAGCAGCGGCTTTGGAAGGAGTTGGGGCTCGTTCGGGCGTCATATACCCCATTTCTTGTGCAAGCTGGAGTTCTTTGAGAAGTTCCTCATCTTGCTTGCGTTTCCATGCACGGCCACCAGCCTGCGCAACCTTCTTAGCCACTTCTTCAATAACTTCATATCGAATAGCATAGCGTCGCCATAGCTCGGCACAGCGCCGACATAAGGCGACAACGTATTGGTTCCCAGCTTTGTCCTTTCCAGTGCCCTTGAGACCCTGATCATTAACGAGTCCAGGAAGCGGATTCGGCGCTCTTCTCCATTGGCGGTCTTGCGTCCTGTTGCAGAATTGGCAAATAAAGCTTCGCTTCTTCTCTACCGCCTTCTCTGCGTCGAATGCAGAATCGTCGTCGTCGTTGGCCACATCGTCAGCGAGCTTTGAAGCTGCAATGTCTTCGCGTCTGGCCTGCTTCTTCCCTTTTCGACCGGGGAAGCTGCCCCACACTTGCTGCCCCCTTTCTGTTTTCTTCCAAACGTAGTAATGGCGGACAATCTCTCCCGGCGGCTTCGACTTAACGTGTTTCATGACAAGATGCAGCTCAGAGCCGAACTTTGAAACGCCTTCTTCGAACTTCTTGGCCTCGGCCGGGCTAAAGTTGGGCTCTTTGAACTCACTCCTAGGCTTCTCTGAGAGCACAGTGAGGGCCTTGGACTCATCAAAGTTCTCGCGAAATAGTGATTCGACGGCGGCATCTCGAAGATTAGTAGAGCGCTCGGGAAGGTCTAGCTTTTTGGCTGTAGACATAGCTTCGGCAACATAATCATTTATCTTGTCAACAGACGGGGTATCTGAGGTTGGTGGCTTCCATAGTAATGTGGCCGTGCAATTGGGATCATTTTCGTCCAAGTCTTCGCCGCGAGCGACGTATCCCGGTGGCTGATCTTGGACCCACTTCGGCCGCTGTCCTCGGCGAGCCTTTTCGGCCTCTTGCTGTTCTTTGAGCAACTTCTGATCTTTCTTGCCGCCCTTCTTAAACTCCAGCGGCTTGACATACTGAACAGGTTGTCCGGGCCACGCGCCAACAGAAGCCTGGTTTCTCGGGCCAATACGGGTGCCTGCACGAGGGTAGATGCGATCATCGTAGTCCAGGGCATCCTCCGGCTTGCAATGCATGCCGAGATAGCGCCATGGCCAGAGACTAGCCTGGTAAATCTGCTCCGAGGTTCCCTGATGAGGCGCATCGTCGTCGGCGGGGCTTGTCCTGTCGGTTTCGATGCCCTGAGCATCCTCTTCGTCTTCGTCCAGGAGCTCGTCGTCGTCGGCATCTACGGTGTCGATAGTATTTGGCGTATGGCGAGCTTCCAACTTGCGCTCCTGAGCACGACTGCATGCAGCGCAGGACCAAGCAAAACCACGAGAAGGTTTTTTGAGCAGCGGTGGCTTGACGCAGTTCATATGGTATGTGTGCTGACACACTGCGCAGTCAACGGAGTCATTGCTGTTGGTGGGGAATTAGTGTTAGTATGAAGAGGTTATCAAGTTGGGTTGGCTGTGAAAGGCACGAGAAAAAAACAACAATAAAATGGGGGTAGAAATGAAATGAAGGGAAGTGAAGTGCTTTCAATCCGTATTCAATCTTCACCCAAGTGCTTGATGATATAAAGAAAAACTCAAACTCATGCCCCCCCCCCCCCCCCCCCTCCCCTGATGTGGCTCTCTTTGGGAGCCGATGGGGTGATGCGCTGCATGATGCTTCTTCAGCGGCTCAAAGTGACATCGGACAGTGCCTGAACGGGCTCCCGGAATCGCTGTCACGGGCAGTAGCAGTAGTGCTTGCCAGGCATCGGGTTAGGCTCTGGCGGTGGTCCGACCCAGGCCAGCCAGCAAATTGCATGCACATGCACGCACGGCAGAAGCACACGGTGGGAGGGGGAGACACGCAAGGTGAGGCGGAGAATGAAGGAATGGGAGGGGGGTGTGTCGACGGCTGTGGTAACTGGGGCTCCCCCCAACTGGAGGGGCGCCCAACCCGGCAATCCCTGGCGCAGTTGTGAAGGTACCTGAAGAAAAAAAGGGCTCTCCCTGAAAGAGGGGGGTAGACGCATTGTACTGGTGGGCTGGCGACCAAGTACCAGCTACCACAGGAACCTTGTCTTGCGCAAGGGACTTCGGCCGAATGGAGCCGGGCATGGCAGGTACCTGAGCGAGAAGAGTGCAAAGGGCGCCACGGGGACGGGTACGGCGCGGTACTTGCAGCGCTGCAGCTGGAACTGGAACTGAAGGCACAAAACAGATAGGGCAGGGCAGAGACAGACAAGACAGACATGGCAGGAAAGAGAGAAGGAAATACAACCCTAGGCCAGATGGGGCGCCTTGTAGGGTCGTGTTGACGGTACGTACCTTGCGCAATAGCCGCTGCATCTCTTGCAGAGCTTAACGGCGCTAGTCAGCTCCTTGCCACGCCCCTGCTCGACTAGCACGTACTGCCAGCGCTCGTCTAGCACCTTCTTGACCTTTTCGGGCACGTTGACAATGAGCCGGGTGGGAATCAGATCGTAGTTCTTCTGGATGTACCTGTCGTACAGTTTCTCGTACCAGAAGCTGTCCGGCGTGCGACGGTAGTCGTCCATGCTCTTGATCTCCAGCCGATGCCTGATCTGGCACTTGCCGCGCAGGGCCGTCAGGGGGCTGATGTCCGAGTGCATGCTGGCAAAGACCATTCGCGTGTCGCTGGCCTTGCGCCCAATGTCCTTGGGGCGATAGTACCAATTGATGCGCACCGCGTCCACCGGCCGGGAGGCGTCGTTGTTGGTGTGCATGAACTCCATGATGCGGCCCAGGTAGTAGGGCTCTCCCGGAGGCTCGCACACGAGATAGACGTGATCTGCCAAGATGCTCTGTTAGCAGGTGCAAATTGCCCTCTGGCAATAAATAGGGTGGAGGTGGATCCCGGCCGTGCTACCTACCATTCGCCTCCAGCACCGTGCCATCGTCGGCCACCATTCGACCATTGTCCGGCAGGCCTCTGCACGTCTCGAATGTGAGCATGTTGGATTCGGGCCATGTCATGCCCTGGAGCTGGGCCTGCGCGGCCAAGGCGTTCTTTTTTGACGCTGCTGTCGTCGACGCCGGCGGCGTTGCTGCAGCCGATGTTGCGGTTGATGCTGCCGCTGCCGCGCCGCCGTTTTGGTTAGCTGCCGCCTTGCGTTTCCGTGAAGGCTGCGACGTGCCAGTCCCCGACGTCGCCTGTGATGCGTGAATAGTTCCGCCAGATTTTGCATCCTGGCTGCCATTTTGGCTGGGGGTGGTCTTGGAGTCGTCGGCCGCAGCAAGAGCATTTTTGCGTGAGCTGCCGTTGGCGCGAGCCGTCTCGCCGTTGCCGACGCCGTTGGTCTGCCGCGAGGGCTTCTTGCCGGCGTCGCTGTCTTTTTTGTCAGGGTAATAATCATACATGTCCATCTCGATGTCCTTATCCTCAGCATAGTTGGGACGAGAGTTTGCTGTCCTGTTGCGGGAGCGAGTCCCGTAGGGCATGGCCTCAATGACTGTGTCTTTGTCTGCGGCGCCAGAGGCAGACGACATCTTGGTCATTGCCTCGGGCGTTGCCTTTGCTTCAGGCTCAGCAGATTTTGAATCCTGTTGTGCGTGTCAGAGCAAACGTTGGCGACGGAAGAAATATATCGAACATGGACGCCAATGAATCCAAAATAAAATGAAAATAATGAAAATAAAAAATCGCAGTTGTTGCCAAATGCGGCTTGTAAGAGAGCGAAGTATAAAAAAAAACAGAAAACCGAAAAAACTCACGCTCGGTTGCACCATATTGGCGACAGATTAGCAGCGTGGCCGTGGAACGAGGCAAATCGAGCTTTGTGAAGGCATGCCCGTCTTATGCCTCGAGCAGCGTGTAGGAGTGAAAGTGAGTTGGGAAAGGATGAGAGCGATGGAGGGCTTCGGTGTAAAAGACGAGAGCACAAGACCGAAACGCAATTTATAGCTTCCGTAGTGTCGTGGAGAATACGGGACGATGGGTTGGCACGACAAAACACGCGATAGAGAGCAAGAAAGGTCGTCTCTCGCCCCGAAGACCACGGCGTGGGAAGCGAAGGTTGAATGAGAGAGGAAAAGAGAGTTAGTATAGGCATGAGTCTGAAGAAGACATGCCCTGGCACTGGCGCCGTACAAGCATGGGGGCGGCAGACACTACCTAGCAGGTACTAACCCGGTAGCGTTCCCAGGCCCAGGTAGCCGAGGTAGCGCAGAGGTATGCCTTAGCAGGCTGTGGCGAACCGCGCCGCGGGCTCTGCGCGCATGAGGCTAAACGGCGATGCTAGTGACTTTATATATACCTGGCGCACCCTTGATTGAGCGGTGCTCCACAAGCCCGCCTCTGGTCTCACACCATTGCTGAATGGACGGATCGTCTCCCAGCTTTTTTTCTACGAGGCGTTCATCAGCGCCCACCCACGGACGACGCACACGTTTGTGTCGATTCTGTGGCTGCTGCGTGGCTGTTCCGTGCAATGCGTTGGGACCTGGGACAGAAACCACATCGGCCAGGCTGCTCTGCTTCGTCTGCTCTGCTTCGTCTGCCAGAGGGCAAATGCCATGTGCATAATGCATCCGCAATGCAGGGCGCTGGGCAAGGCGGGAAGCTACCGAAACGCCTCGATGGCCTCCTAACGAGAGGCGCTGGTTGGTTGGCCTGGCCACACGATACGGCACTACCTGGCATCTATTGTGTGTGCTAACGGCTCTCTGGCGATCTTCCTTGCTAACAGGTTCCATTTAATAGACCGCTCTCCGCCGTGGCTAGGGGCGATGAAGCTGCAGGCCTCGTGGCAGACCGCGGACAGCATGATATACTGCTTAATACAGGCACTGCTTCTTCTCGGACAGCCGCTGCTGCCTACTAATGCAGTGTGAGTTGTGTGCTGTGCTGTGCTTTGATTTGCTTTGCTCTTTTTTTTTTTTTTTTCGACCTCTGGCAGCACGTATCACGCGTGTGGGCTGTTCTGGGCGGAACCAAGACCGAGACGCAGTGCTCTGGCCGCATCGGACCGCATCCAATTCTTGGGTACGAATTCCCACGCATGTGCAAAGTACCGCCGGTACAAGTTGACGTTAGCACGAGCAGCTGCCTACAACTCTTAGCAAAAATACACCCGCGGACAGCAAGCCACCGATTAATTGTTTGCCCTCTCATCACAATTTCTTTAACTCATTCTGGGAAATGAAGGGCTTGGGACGTGTATACAAGCTTCCCACAGATCGGTGCGGCTACAGACACTGACTCGCCTCGAGAGTAAACCACAATCGGTGTATAAATATACTCGGCTAATAAACCAACCCCATGTACACTGCCATTTTTTTCCCTAGGAGACCTTGTTGCGCGTGGCTGTCTCGCGGGTGTTTATCGCAGAAGAGTGCTTTAAGTTCCGGAGGTGAGGTCATGAGCAATTCCTAGAATGGTCAGCCCCCTAGCAGATTTATGGGGCATCTTGTAGGGACGCCGGCACACGCAAGATGGGAACTCTTTTACTGTACTATGCAATATCCACCCACCTGACCAGGACGTCCAAGGAGCACTAAAGAGCATTCGCTCGCGTCGCCCTTTTGCTTCCCTCGCCTTCTCTGATTCTTCCAAGGCGAATGGTGACGTATGTCGCATATAGCGTGTGTTACCGGCTAAGTGTCTAGACTACATGTCTGTACAGACAGACCCTAAGCTACTACTACCAATCTTGTTACGCCGGAGCCGTTGTTTGCTTGACAGACAGAGACGCAGGGATTGAGGGAGAGACGCCCCCCTGGCACCTGTGCATGGCTGTGAGAAAAGAGGTGAGAAGGTATAGGTAATCGTGCGAAACTAGCGGCATTGTTCCGGCCAGGCTGGCTCATTTATTTTTCGAATAAATGAGCTGCTGCAGTTAATTGGCATGCGGATACACGAGCGTTGTCATGCCGGTCGGATATTGAGGGTACAAGTGGCCAGGTACCTCGAGTATTCGTACTGTCTGCTCCGCAACACGAGTAATATCCGCATAAAACGATAGATCTGTGTTGTGTGCAAGTCGCCCACGCGCCGACAACACCGCTAAACCTACAGCACCAGGCATCTTGTGCTTGGTGAGCAATGTGCGAGAGACTAATCGCAGGTTGTCTATCAATCGTTCTATACAGCTGACAGTTGTTGGCTGCCTTGTACATGCAGAGTAGCTTGCCGGATCTGCTTCTGGGGATGCGAATCCGGATGTGCTGCCGTCATCATCACCATTGCCACGACGTCACAACCTAGGGCCGGGGCCGTCTGTCACAATCCGATACTGCTGCTACCACACGTTAATAGCGCAGCAACCGCGAAAAGTCCGAGCAAGCCGCGGCAGCGACGATATTTAGGCCATCATCGCACCAGCAGGCACTTATTAGACGACAAGGCAGAGTGGAAAGTGGCGACTTATCGAAGAACTGGGCTCCGGCGGAGAATAAAAAAAAAGTAAAAGCAAGCTAACGGCAGCATCCCGTCGGTCACAGGGCAGCCTACAAGAAGTACCTACTCGGGAAGTGGTTTTTTTCTCTTTTGTGTGAGGGACTGGCGGAAGAGATGAGAAACAGAGTCTAAATAACAAAGAATCGCCCGGATCGGCTTTGTGGAGCCCAAGCCTGAAGTAGCACGACTGGTGGTAGTAGTAAGCTCCGCTAACAGCGCCACAAGAAAAAGAAAAAAAAAACTTCGATTGCCAGCGGTGCTGGTGCCAAGTTCATATGATCGCGCTAAAGCCTAAATGATTAGGTAGGCAATAGCATTATCTAGTAGGCAGCTGGCATTCTGGTGCAGTGAAAAGCGCCTATCGGTAGGTTTCGCATAGCAGCTCGCGTATAAGCACACACATGCGCTCGTTGGCCTAGTTGATAGGCAGCTGAACTCCATCTGTGGCGAGATTGTGTTGCCCAAGATTGCGTGTTTGGACTGTCGCCCGACACACACGCACACACTTATACTATACATGCGCACGCCGGCCTGTTTGTTCATCGACGACAGCGCGAGCGAAAAGCCTGAGCTTCTCTTCCCCTCGATTGTAAAACCGCCACAGCCCACCAGTAGCGGGCGGCAGACTTTGTTGAGGACAGTCTCACCGATAAGAGGCCAGAGTAAGATGGAAACCATTCGTGCGGCTGTCAGACAACTCATCCACATCGCCCGTTCTGAGGCACTGGGCACCACAGAGAGGCACTGGTGGGATCGAAGAGGGCCCTATGCAACGCACGAGTTTCGAATGGCATTTTCTACGTGGATGTGAAACAGAAACACTGAGTGGTGGTCTGAGCAAACCGCAACACGGGGCAAGATACTGAAGAATCTCAATTTGCTGGTAGTCATTACTTTTACACGTCCATGCATAGGCCGATATTCTCGCATCACTTATCAGCACTGATGCGCCAATAGCAGATTCGTGTTACCATCAAAGCCGCCATTGATTTGATTTAATGGCAGCTTATTCCAGGTGCCTATGCTGTAGTTGCCTACCTGTATTTGCCTGGGTCTAGCAGTACCTCCTCAATCCCCTGCTACTTATAGGTACTTCCAGCAGGTATCTCCAGACTTCAGTGGGAGTTCTGGAAGCGGAATGGCGCAGGGTTCCTTTGCCGGCCAATCACCAGCCGCGGGGGGCATCCTTGGAAATCGGGGCTGCAGCGATTGGGTGTGGGTGTGTGTCACTGTCAGGTTCCAGGAACGCCCCGCAGGTCTGGAGGAGCGACTGCAGAGACGTTGGCAGGCAAGGGGTTTGGGTGCCGGTCCACGTCAAACTCTGGTAAATGGCCGTCGATTGCACTGCGGCCCTTGCCTGCAGCCGGCTTTCTTGCCGCGCAGAGGGACTTTCCGGGGGAGGAAAAAAAGGAGAAAAAAAATTATAGGAAACGAAACGCCCGAAGCTGGCAGCTAATCTAGCATAGCCGCATGGACGCATCGAGACTTGGCCTTGTCTCGATGCAGTCTAGACGTCTTGCTCCCGCACTAGTACATAATAACATTCAGTCCGGTGTCCGCCAGAACGGGATGCTAAGATGAGGTACTTTGGGCGAGTGCGGCGCAGCGCCTAGGGTGGAAGTACCAGCGCCGGGTGCCGTGCCCTGCTCTCGGGTCACTTGTCTTGCCTCTGTCGGCCTCCAATTACATAAGTCTGTTCACGTGACTTCGCGTGTTGGTGCCGCTCGTAACGACCCGGCCCTGTCACCTCTGCCTAGCAATAGCGCGCTTCTCTCTCCACCACGGATCCCAGGTCAAATGGTGCCGAGGATATGATACGCGGATCATGAGATTGCTGACTGATTGATACCGTCATCGCCCATTACTCTTTTGTTCTCTATCTTTCGCTTCCCTGTTCGTTTTGCGTAACCAGATGATTCTCTCTTCTCCGTAGGTGCGTGTCGCCGCCTGCTTCCCTCGCAGCCATGGAGAGCATGAGAGGTCTCCTGCACAAGACGAGCGTTCAGGAGGCTCAAGAGCGGCAGGCAGGGGCTGTCGGGCCGCCGCCGCTGGCTGGCCAGAAGAGGAGCTGGTCGACGACCCTTGACGATGCAGATACGAAAGGCCTGCCTCTAATATCCGGCGCCACGACTACATCTGTTTCGGCGCCGAATTCTCAGGGCCCGGTTCGTTTCCAAAAGGCGCCTCTGTTCTCCTCTCCAGCTGCTACTAGGCTTTCTGCCAGTAAAATTGTTTCGCTTAATGCCTCGGAAGATCCTTCCGAATATACCCAGCGACGTGTATTTGCCGCTACGCCATCCTCTTCCATAGATGATGAGCTGGATCTTGCTCACCCAGTATATAATCTCCCGCCTCAGCTTGTTCATAACTTTGCCTCGCTTGGTATCAAACAGATATACCCATGGCAGAAAAACTGCCTCAAGGGACCCGGATTGCTTACAGGTGCTAAAAATTTGGTGTATTGTGCTCCCACCGGCGGCGGGAAGTCTCTTGTCGCTGATTGTGAGCCATCTTGTCGTATCTACAATGTAGCCATGGACTGAGTAGCTGATGTTTTGCCCAGTACTTATGCTTAAGAGGGTAATGGAAGAGCCCGAGACCAAAGCCCTCCTCATTCTTCCATATGTTGCTCTAGTGCAAGAAAAGGTTCGCTGGCTACGGACCGTAGTCCAGGGACTGAGTGCAACTTTGGACCCTGAAGCCTCGGAAAAGCGAAAGGCTAGCAGCATATGGCAAACTCGCCCAGATCACGACTCCATAAAAGTTGTCGGCTTCTTCGGAGGCGGCAAGATCAGATCCACGTGGCAGGACTTTGATATTGCTATATGTACCCTGGAAAAGGTTTGCCTACTGTACTTGACTTGTAAACCAGATAGATCTAACCTTCTTCTCTGTTCCTAGGCGAATATGCTCATCAATACCGCTATTGAAGACTCTTCCATATCTCAATTGCGGGCCGTAGTACTAGATGAGCTTCATATGATTGATGATGATCACCGCGGATATCTCCTAGAGCTGATAGCAACAAAACTTTTGAGCTTGGAGCAGCCGATTCAGATCATTGGCATGAGTGCTACTCTTCCCGTATGTCCTATTCATTGCTATGCACTTCTATGGCGTCTAACCTTTCTAGAATGCGAATTTGGTAGCCGAATGGCTCAATGCACACTCATATGAAACTAGATATAGGCCAATACCTATAGAAGAACACCTAGTATGCGACGGGAAAGTATACTACGTTGGCTCCAACGGTGCTTCGGCGCAAAAGCATCTAAAGGTCGATGAGATTTCAAAGGGCCAAGTTGAGCCCACAAGATGGATTCAAGGATCCAGCCATAGGGAGTTCCAAGATCCGGTTCTAAACGCAGTGGTGTCCTTGGCCCACGAGACCGCCATGATGGGATACGGGTCTCTAATATTTGCAGGTAGCCGAAGCATTTGTGAGGCGGACGCTCGTCTAATCAGCAGAGTAATGCCTCAGCTGGATGAATTGGATAGCGCAACGATGGGCAAACGGATGGATCTCCTGAGCGAGCTGCGAAGTCTCAGCACGGGGGCTGATCCGGTATTGGAGGAAACTGTCTTGTATGGCGTTGCATTTCACCGTAAGTTTTCTTCCCCAGCTATATTCCCCTCTATAGCGATCTGGTACTGACTGCTAATATCAAAGATGTGCGTATGCCGTTTCGTCTCACCAAAAAAAGTACATATTAGCTAACTCAATAGGCCGGATTAACGAGCGAGGAGAGAGATCTCATTGCTGCGGCGTATGATGCTGGCACTCTTCTAGTGTGTGTTGCTACCTGCAGCCTGGCAGCAGGCATCAATCTGTACGTACCACACAATAGCCATTACCGGGATAAATATGACTGACTGACCACATCATTAGCCCCGCACGAAGAGTGATACTTCATAATGCAAGGATGGGACGCGATTTTGTTGGACCCTCTATGCTGCGGCAGATGAGAGGCCGCGCCGGAAGGCAGGGCAAGTCACCTGTGGGTGAGACATATCTTTGCTGTCGCCAAGACGACCTAGAACAAGTCTTGGATCTCATGTATGCGGATATTCCAGAGATTGCCAGCTGTCTCAACACGGAGAATAAGCGTGTTCAAAGGTGAGACAGCGACTAGCCTATTTACGACTATTACATTTGCTAACAACCCCTCTAGAGCCATCCTAGAAGTCATTTCCGTGCGCCTAGCGACCAGCCAGGAGTCCCTAACGGAGTACTTCTCCAATTCCCTCATCAGCTATACTCATGATAAAGAATTTGTGAAAGACTGCTTAAAATCAGGACTAGAAGAAATTCGCGATCTAGGCTTGATCGTCATTGATTCTTACTCTACCTTTGCGGCCACACAGCTGGGCAGAGCCATCGTGGCCTCTTCGGTCGATCCCTATGATGGAGTCTTCATACATGCTGAACTTACTAAGACACTTAAAGCATTTGTGATGGATGGAGAGATGCACATCCTCTACGTCTTTACTCCGGTTCAAGATTTTGGAATCACACTCAACTGGCAAGTATTTCGCAACGAGATGGACGCCTTGGACGAGAGCGGACTTCGCGTCCTTGGATTTTTGGGGATTAAACCAACAGCGGTCCAAAAACTGTAAGCAATGTCTTTTCAAGAACGCCACTTTCCACATCTATATGACCCGCTAACACACGCCCTCAAGTGCTCAGGGAGTACCTCTCAGGGAAAATACACCTGAAGAGAAGGAACTAGCTCGTGTATATCGCCGTTTCTACCTTGCCCTTCAGCTACGAGATTTATGTAATGAAATGCCGATACACATGGTCGCTCGAAAGTACGACTCTCCTCGAGGCTCTGTGCAGACTCTTGCACAGACTTGCCAGGGTTTCGCTGCGGGAATAATCAAGTTTTGCGAACACATGGGTTGGGGGTAAGTCCCAACTAACGAGGACCCTCTCGCATCTCTATTATTACTCATGGAGTAACTAATGTTGGGACTTGCTGGGACTTATAGGATCATGGCCGCTGCTCTAGAGCATTTTTCAGACCGATTAATGGCCGGTGCAAGAACAGATCTCCTGGCGCTCGCTAAGATTCCGTTTATCAAGAGCCGCACCGCGTAAGTAACATGTTACCCACCCGCAATTGGGTGACCCAAGTGGAATATGCTCACATGTAATCCTTCCAGCCGCGTCTTTTGGGAGAACGGATATCGAACCGTCGGTGCTATTGCAAACGCTGATCCTAAAGAGCTGGTTCTTGTTCTGATGCAGGTACGTTTTTGAACAATCGTGGATGATGGTAAAACGATCTTGCATTGGCTTTTAGACTAACAGACTTTGAATCATTAGGCCCAACCAAATAAACTGCGAATCAAGGGAAAAGCCGATGAAAAATATGAAGAAAAGCTACTTGCTAAGGCGAATGTAATTTCCGCATCGGCAAATCGACTGTGGCGTAAGCTTGGCGTATCCTTTCTTTCTTTCTTTCGTGATATCAGTCCACCACATGTATACTTGCTACGGTTCTTGGTTTGCTAACTATTGGTTTCAGAGGTACAACTACAGGCAGAAATGGCCGAGGAATAAGGACAAATAATTCGTATCTACATATAGGTGGCTATATTCTAGTAGGAGGTGGATATAAGACTTTTTCTCGCACAAGTATTAACTTGAAGTACCAATACCAACTTGCTTTTTTTTTTTTTCCCCCGTGAGGGAGTATGGCGGCCTTGCTTCTCTTGATATCAGTACATAGCCCTCCAATCATCCCTCTAGAAATTTCGTTTTCCCAAAAAAGGGGGAAAAAAATCTCCAAACACACACACACACACACACACACACACATATATATATATATATATACAGAGACAACGTGCAAAACCGAATACACCCACCATGACTATCGAATCCTTCCGACACGCCTTAATCATCGTCTCACTGCTCTGCCACTTCTTCTTGTCGGTGAGCCGTGCGAACCTGCCAATTCCGCTATATCTAACCGTCTTCGTGATGGACTTTTGCCTGATCATGTCTCTGGCATTAGATATTTTGGTTCCGGGGGAGTGTTCGCGCTATGGATAGATACATTGGATATATATGCATGTATGTATATTATAAATATGGAGCAAGGTTTGTTTTATCCTTGGCTATCTATCTTCCTATCTTCACATATGCAGCTTCTTCCCTTTTGCTAACAGTTCATCTTATGGACACAGAGCCTGAAAAGATACCTTTTCCTTTTGATATGACTGGTTTTCGACGAACCCCCAACACCTACCCCCCTTCGAGAATGAGCGACGTTAACAGATTGCCGATAATAATATCGTGGTACGAGGGCAAATGGCACTTAATTTAAAGTTTACGCTGGATCTTGCTGGGAACTACCAGTTTCTTCATCCACATGGAGCGGAGCCAGGCTATCCCACGAGTTGGTATATAAATTACCATAGGGCGTTTACATACATAAAACGTTGAATTACCAGCTAATCAATTCATACTATAATAACAAAGTTGGCCCAACAGTCTCTTCTACAAACTCAGTGCATGCTAATAGACAAAATGGGACCGAGTGCCCTCTTAAGTCAAGTCATCTGATCTGCGCCCCCCTTAGAGTAAACTCTGCGCTCTATAAACATTTCTCCCATCGGCCCTTTGCGGGCACCAAACGCGTCGCTTGCGTAACCAAATAGAACAGAGTAGGCCATCATTCCTCCCTCTAAAATGCATAATCGTATTCCAATGTATTCGGTTCCACCTGCCCAATCTTGTCCAATGTTGTATCCTCTAGTCAGCCAAAACGTTCCTCAGCATGATTAAGAAATTCTCCTCCAGCTTGTGAACCTCGGAAACCGGCGGCTTCACGGGCTCTCCCGCTGAACGACGCAGGCGATCTCGCCTCTTAGCCCGCCTTTGCCTCTCGGCTTCTATGGGATCCAGGTCATCATCTTCTTCTGCTTCGGACTCCGAACCATCGTCATATGCCAAGTCTTCTAGGTCATCGCCATCGAGGCCAAAATCAGACGAACTGAATCCGGTCGGCATCATATCGCTTCCTGGTTGTCCTTCTGCGGCCATCTTCTGCTGCGTCTTGTCGCTGTGCCACTTCTTCCGCGCCTCTTGCCAGGCAATCAGAGCATTGATCTCCGCAATGGCCTTGTCCTTGTCGATGATGCCGCTGCTGACACCGCCCTCAAACAAGGCATTGACGTTGAGTGTCCCGTTCTTAGGGCCCTTGCGGAGGAATTCCAAAATGCCCTCTATCCACTCCATAAGTTGAGTAAAGAGGCCGTTATCATGCGTATGGATCTCATGTACAAATTTATAAAAGTTGTGCTCATGTCTGGCACATAGGTCGATAAACGCCTGAACTGTCTGATTGGGATCCGCAGATGCATCGGCTTCTCTGCACTTCTCGACAACCTTGATCATGTCATCGATGAAAACGGCAAAATCAGTTACACTATTGTATACATTGGCCGACTTGTATACCCTCACGAGGGGCTCGTAGAAAATGGTAAACAAGTCCCTGAAGAGTTTCAGTGTAACGGGCTCCTCAATCAGTTGTAGCAGCATGCTCTTATCTCTGTGTCGTGTGCAAAGCTTGAGAAGCTGTTTGAGATATGAAAAGAGCTGAGCACCCTGCTTCAGTTCTTCGTCAATGTTCTCGACAGCGTTGTTAAAAGCGACATAGGCATTAAACAGTCGCTGGACCTGCTCGCCAGTCAATTCTGGCTCAATGAGGTCCGATCTCAATATCACTACGATGATATCAAGATCTTCATCTTCGGCTTGCCGCCGAATTTCCAGCTTAACATCTTCCGTTGCATTTGTGTACTTCTTAATCTTCTCAGTGAAGACAGGGTCCTCGACTTTTACATCCAGTGCGTCAATGGATCTCTGAAAGCTTCGGATGCCATCATGTAGCGCTAGTGAAAACATGCGCTGCATCAAAGATCGAGCTCCAAAGGGTTGCGCGAGGAAAATGTCCAAGATTCCAGACATGACTGCCGCAGGATTCGCAATTCGAATGACATTTTTGATGACGGTATATGGAACAAGAGAGTGGATACGCTTGGCTTGCGCAAACATGTCGGCTGAGTTATCTTCGGCTAAGAAAAGGTGGTATACGACGGCGGCAATTTCGATCCTCAGCCATTCGGCGAATTTTCGATACTGAATGCTAAGGTCACCAATTGTCTCCTTCTCCTTGATCTCTTTGAATAGGAGTGTGAGGCCATTTCGTTCAACGATATCCCTTCGGAACCTATAAATTGCGGTTAACAAATGGCCGCTCAGAGATGGCTACCATATTAGGAAGCCTGAGGGTCACTCACTGTTCCATATACTCGTCAAGCTCTGCAGCTCGTCGTCTGGCAATTTCGTAAAACTCCTTTTGCTCTTCCATACGCTTCTCATCAAGCGCTTTTCGTCGTATGATGTCCTCCACATCTTCGTCTGTGGGTGTTATGGGATCGCCACTAAGGAATTCAACCATTGCCTTGGTATTGGCAACTTGGGGGTTATGCAAAAGTGATCGTAAGAAAGCGCGCAGGGATATTCTTTGGTTTTCCCGCCAAAGGACAATCTATATATGCCATGTCAGTCTTCCAACTCTCTAGAGACCTTGCGAGGGTAGCAGCTTCTAACCTCTTTGTTTCCGTTGGGAGTTGCAAATCCCGGGCTTAATTGGCCATCCACAGATGGTCGAGGGGAAGTCCCCTTCTTCGAGCGGCTCGATCTAGCTGATCTAATGGATCCTGGGCCACGCGCAGCTATTGGATCAGTTAGTCTCGATTGTCGCCCTTGCTCCCATCATAAGAGAAAAGCATCGCTGAATACATACCACTGGAGGCAGTTAGCAGCGATGACGCACCGCCAAAATTTTGAGATTGTCTCGTTCTACGAGTCGATATGGAAGACGCAGAGGAATCATCGGAATCGTTTGCTGCGCTAGTAAAACTTGTGAGCAGCCCGCTAGCCCTTGTGTCTGTCTTGTTCTTTTTCGGCAGCGCAGGCAAAACCCTGCCAGGCAGCTCAGTACGCAGCTTTCGGTGCAGCTTGCTAAAATCACCGTATCTACGCCCGACAAAGTGTTCCAGCTCTCCTTTCCTCTTAATTCGAAGAATGAACTCGGCGTGCTTGTGATATCGGATATTGCGCTTGACTGAGGTAACGCGGACTCCGGCAACGTTTACGTCCCAGCCGTTGATGTAGTTTCCTTCGGGAAGAGTGTTCATGACACCTCTATCAATGGCATTGCTATCCACAATCTCAATTTCTGAGAACTTGATGCGCTCTTCGAATCCGGACGAGGTGGGAATGCCCGACACCATCATCAGCTCAACAAGCTTCTGCGCCTTGATGGCCAGCTTCCGCCGCTTCGTTTCTTCCAGGCGATCCTCGGATGAAGAAATCTGCTTCGTCGCAAACGATTCGAGAAACTGCCCTCCGAATGTCAGCACAAACCATCCATAGCTCGCAGAGCAGTCCTTGGGTGACGATGGCGCAACGTACGACTTGGAGCTTGTCTTGCCAGAACTCCTTCTCTTTTGCCTTGTCCAAAAATGGAAAGTCGCGGATATGCTTGACGAAGATGTACCGCAAGATGGGGAGCTCGGATTCCTGAGGAGGCACTTCGCCCTGCTCCGACTTGAACGGCGCGCCGAAGCGCTGCAGCGCCGTGGGGGAATTGAGCTCGTTGATCTCCCATTTGACCTGGTCGGAAATAAGTTCTCGCTTCAGGTCTACGCAGTGTTACCTCCATGGTTAGCCTTGCGGTTCAGTGTAGAGGAGAGGCCTTCAGCAATCTCTCCAGGCTCAGGCGGGAAGACACCTACAATGCTCCTGTTTTCCGGTCAGCGCATTGCTCGACGCCAGCGCTGCACCAGCGCCGTTTGCGCGAATGGGCAGAGAAACAACAGCGCCGCTATCGGGCAATCCTTCCTCGGCGGCTGTCATGGCGCAAATCTAGCCCGGCAAAACAACGAAGCGTTCCTGAAGATCAGAAAAAACAAAGGCAGGACAAAGAAGGGAAGGAAAAGAAAAATCTTGGATCGCTCGCTCGTAGGTTCGAATGACGACAGTTCTCCAAGGTCAGTCCGTTCTGAGGAGCCCCAGTTGAATTCCGGCGGGGTAGCCAGTAAGGCCTAGAGAGTCGCCGTAGCGCGATTGTATGTGTCAGCGCTGTAAGCTCGAACGAGATGGCCAGCACGTTCGCCTAAATAGCAGAGCGCAAGCAAGCAAAACTGCCAGGCGCAATTGCGGCTGCGGAGAGACGATGAGGAGGGTTCAGATTTTATTCAACGCCCCCTATCGCAAAAAAGCGGCAAGACACAGACGATGGTGGTGTCCGTGCAGAGGACGAAAAATTTATGGGTTGGCTGCAAGTTTCATTTCACCACGAAAATCAAAGACAAATCCCTACAGTAGTCGAGCATCTGGCAAGCACACAGCCTCCTTGGCCCCATATTATTGCCATCATGATTGCCGCAACGTCTGGGCAGTTACAGGGACCGCTGCATGGGCGCCCTTTGAATGTAACCATTGGCGGGCGCGTAGCAGCATCGAGCTTCATCTGGGCATGACGTTGGTCCGCAGCATCCAAGCCTCTGCTGCTGCTGCTGCTGCTGCTGCACTGCAGTTGGAATCTCGGCCCCCATTTTCAGCCCAGCGGCTACTACAGCGAGCTACAGGGGAAATTAGAGAAGAGAAAAGCCGATGTCCGAATGGATTCCATGGACTGATTCCATGAAGTCGAGACTCGGGAAACCTTGATCAGTTCTATCAATCTTTCCCAGGCATAAATAAGCATAGCTTCAGTATGACATCACCGGTCCGCAGCCAAACCCTGATGGAATACAGGGTAGCCATATCGATAGGTAGGTAGCCACGGGACAATGCGGAAGAACAACTCAACGCCAAGATGCTCCAAGCCGCATGCCAAGAATAAAATCAATCATTGAGAGGAATGGCATCTGGAGAAATTCTATATCCGCTGCTCTAGACCGATTGCAGTGGGATCCCATTCGTTAGCCCCAACAACTCTGGCATACAAACAAGAAGAAAAAAAAAGGAAGCCAAGACCAAGCTAGGAAATGATTATTAATTTCGCCTAAAACGGAGAAATGAACCTTTTTTTTTTTTTTTTTTTTTTTCCTCCAAAGTTTTATTACTTTTTGTAGTTTTAGCAGCATCTCGACCTGCTAGACTTCTCCATTGACTCCTCTTTAACTGAACTCAAATCTCCCTCGCAATTGACTTATCTGGGCGCACTTGGAAGCCCAATATGACTGTGTGGAAAGTATACCGGACAAGCCGCGATCCTTGGCGCCAAGTGACAGCTTGACAGCCGACAAAGAGACTTGCGTCCAGCGAGTACGCAGTACTTTATTTTTTTTGTTCCAGGTACCGGAGTTACATGTAGTTATGTCTTAAAATGACCGACATAAGACCGGCTTTTCTTCAACAGGAGAGATCCTACGGAGTACTACATTACTTCTTCTTTGGGTATTCTGAATATGTGCATTATGTTTACAGCTATATACTGCCACGCTTATTATACAAAAGTTCTATAACCAGCCTTACCCTAAGGAAATCCCCGAATAAAATTACCCTTTCTGTTCGCACGCAACCGTCTCCGAGGGCAACAGGTAGTGTTATAACCACCCCCACAGTAAACTAATTCTCAAACCGCCGACTCTTGAACCAGATGCCTATCATGCTTTCCTTGCTGGAACGGCCGGCAAATGATTTGCAGTCGGGAGAATAAAACTTGTCCTTGAAAATGACCTACTTCACCGCTCCTTAGATACCTACATAGTATATCTCGAGGCGTTGCATGATGGCTTCATAACAAGAGGCCCTGCTATGCAAGTGATGTAATTGGGCAAAGTGCTCCGTGTCTTTCACACGCCCCCAGCCAAACTGTGGCCCTTGGAAACCAGTATTCTCCCCAATTATCCATATAGAGAGAGAGGAGCTCAGCTCTTTGTTCGAAAGAAAAAAAAAAAAACTTGCGCAAAATCCAATAGTAAAGCAGCTTTAAGCGCGCCGACGTAGTGGCCGAGAAGCAACGCGCACGACCCTCACAGCTTGGCTGGTTCGCTCCACTGTGGCAGTGAAGCGGGAGGTGCACAAAGCAGTGCTACGTCTCCGCAGATTCTAGACTAACGCTCCTCGGTGATGCCGACAAATGGTCTCGTGTCTAAAGCGTTTCCCGTCCCGGGCTATTGACGTAAATCTTGATGGCGCAGCCGCACCCGATGCCTCCAAGGGCCTTCCTTAGCTGTTCATGCGTCTCGGCGGGCAAGAAAGAACAGTGCGATAGCTTTTGGGTGTATCGGCGTGTGTTGCTCCGTACAGTGTTGATAAACAATCCGACTATCAAATGTCTCCGTTGGTCAGGTCATAATTCGTCGAATATGCGCAATGGCTCGTCGTCCGCTAGTGGTGCTTCCCATGCCAGCTTCGCCTCTGATCTTTCGTTGCTTGTGGGAAGACTCTGCTTGGCGTCATGATGTATCTTCAGCTCTGGCGTAGTATTTCTCCACACGCTCTGAGTGGCCGGCTCAGTGACCAGCTCAGCGTTCTGGGAACTGTAGTTGAAAAGCATAAAGAGAAGGGTAACAAGGCAAAGAACAAGAGATAGCGCCGCCCAGGTGATTCTCAGCCGTTTGCGCGTCTTCTCCTGCCACGCCCTATCTGCGCGCTCCCAGCCCTCGACGAGTGCTCGGACCTTGTCCACTCGCGCTGCCAGCTCGTTGACACTTTGTCTCCCCTCGTTTATGCGGCTTTGTAGAGCATCGATCGTGGATTTCTGAGAATCAAAGTGCCCGATGTTGTATATCTGTTTGGTAATGTCCGTCTCAAGCTCTCGCGCAGCCCTGTCAAATCCCACCTGTAGGTCACACGACGCCTGCGCAAGATCCTTTAGGGCACTGACCATAACCTGCAAACCGCTCGTCTTTTCCAGCAACACATGGTGAATCTGCTCTACTTGTTGAGAAACTTCGGCCGAGAAGTTGTGGAGATCGGTCACAGACTTCTTTAAAGAGCTAAAGGAAAGAAATGCGTAATTAGCATGCGAAATACTAGCAGACATGTAGGTGTGTGGGTGAGAGAGAGGATATGTTGTGTCTATGGCATGTCTTGTCTTACTCGGTGCTGGGAGAGAATTTCTCCTTCTCCTTCTCGTGCTCTCCCTGGAGCTTCTCCTTCTCTTTGTCCTTGCCCTTGTCCTCCTTGACGCCCCGTATCAAATCCAGCTTGTCGTCGCCAAAGGATGGCGACAAAAGGCTCGCTCGTCGACTCTGGATCGGGCTGAGGATCGGGGTCACGGCCTCCGACCGCGGTATGTCTATCGAGCGCCGCATCCTTCGTGTCGACGGTATATCGGCATCATCCAGCGTCCTCGTGCGGTGGAGTTTGTTGGTCAACATGACATCCGTCAGCGACCGCTGGATGCGATGCCGCCTGGGCTTGGGCGCGAGCGTGATTGGAGGAGGCTCCATCGGGTTTCGGGTCGTCATTGCCGCTGGTTGGACCACACGAGTAAGAAGGGGACCCCCTTTCTGGTTCAAGCATCGTGCATGCATGCATTATCCACAAAAAGCTGATGTGAACATGCCGCTTAGAGCCAGGAACAAGTAGGTGGGGCCGAGGCGAGCAAACGAATGACGACAACGCATTCACATGCCGCGACTTGCAAGCAGGTTAGTACGTACTAACAATCTACACACTGTCATAGCTGTATACTAATATCAACAAACATAAAGTCATTATATAGACTACCTGGTAGAAATCTCAGCAGGTTCTGTAAAGTATCTCTGATTTGTGTCATTTAATGTTGAGTTTCAATGCATTTCCTTGATCTTATGCTTGAAATATCGCCATTTCTACAGGTCTGTTTAAACCTTGTGCTAGTAGTATCGGTGTCCTCCCAACTCCATGCGATGCAGAATGTCCAAAAAAAATGAAAAATGGGAAAAATCAGCATGCGTATACCACTACCAGTCACGACCATCACTACCAAGGCATTTGGTAGCAACAGCAGCACAAGTTGTAGATACATGCAATGCCGACTATTCCTATTCGTCCATGACCACCAAAAGCCAACGCAGCTTAAAACAAAGCAATCCCAGCAAAGTTACACAAAATTTGGTTCGGCAAACCAAGCACAAAGCCATGCTAGCATGATGCAGAGCGCACCCCAAGAGCTAGCCCCGTTTTACTGCATAATAGAAAAAAGTAAGACACGAGGTAAGGAATGCAGACTGCCACGAGTACTGAGCGGTCGAAGTTGATAGCGGTGAGAGGGTGTTGCGACCCCCATCCGGCTGCGTGTTGCTTCCATGGCCATCCAAGTACGAGTAGTGTTGTAACGTGTATCCATTGTAAGCACTTCGGAAGAGATGCATGACGCCATAGAGTATGCCGATGCAGTGTATTCCCAATGTCCTTCTTCGGTGTGGGCGTTGCTTTGCCTCATGAGTTCAGCAGCTTGTTTCGCTTCTCCTTGCGCTTTAGTCGCTCCACTCGCTTGCGGTGCATCTTTTCGGCCATCTTCTCGTATCGTTCCTTCTCCTCCTTTCTTGCTCGCTTGTCTTTGATTGCTTGAACTCGGCGCTGTGAATATAGTGAGTAAAGTGAGTGGATGGAAGAGAGGGTCTTCTCAAAAAAAAAAAAAAAAAAAAAAAAAAAAACAGGTCGCCACATACCTGGCGCTCTTCCTCCTTCTCCTCCTTCATCTCCTTTTCCTTGGCCTTCATCTGAGCCATTGCAGCGCGCTCCTTCGTCCGCTGTTCGTAAGAGGACAGTCCCCTTGTCGGGCGAAATGCCTTCTTCGGTGCATGCCATTGTTTTCCTTGTAGACCGAATGTTAGTAAGGGACGACGGCGATGGTGACGCCCAAGGCTGGACAGCGCATACCATTTTTGCGCATACCAAGCGGCTTTGTCGACTTCTCAGCCACCTTATCGGCTGATCCCTCCATTGTGGACATTTTCCTTGCTTGGATCCCTGGTGAATTGGAGACCAAGTGACGTTTGAGCTTGTCGCTGCTTACGCTGGTTCGTGAAGCTTTTTTTTTTTTTCTTCTCGACTTTTTTTTTTTTTTTTGGCGCCAAACACCTGCAGATGCGGGGCCAAGGCGGTGAACACTGGTTGAGCTTCTATATTCTCCACTCCAGGGTCTTGGATCTTGATTAGGCACTAGAGCACGCTGTAGCGGTCGCCAGATTGTGAAGGAACGTATCAGTACTAGCAGTACGCTGAGCTACTAAGGCGTCTCCCATGCGACGCGGTACCTACAGGTACCAAGGTGTCGCTATTATTCTGCAGGCGGCGCGGGCGATGCTTCTGGAATTGACGTTTTGGGCTGCTTACCCCGTATTGTGCCATCGAAACAGGTTGCATTTAATTCACGACTGGTGGTTGCACAGCAGCAAATGACACGCGTCTGGCTCTCGGAAATACATCACTCCAGCATCAGCAGCAGCAGCAGCAACAGTACATAAGGTTACTTGGGATGATTGTCGTTCGTCTTACGACCGGCGGACCGAGCCTCTACTCCGTAGACGGATACAATTTTCACAGCTGAAGGCCGCGATCCACCCGTCCAAGGCGTCGCCGTCCACTCAGGCTTTGACAACGCAGACGTTGACAAGACGAGTCCCGTGTTGCGCTGCAGAGTGGTGGTATCCGGCAGATGCAGGGGCTTCCGTAGCGTGCCAATCGATACGAAGACGAAAGCGGCCGTCGCCCTTGTCAGGTAAAGATCTGTCCGAATAAGCTGATGTCGCGTGTGCTTTTACAAGCTGAAGGAGTTGCTGCTACCAAGTACTAACATGGATGGACGGAGTTGTTTAGGCGTAACATGCCGGCTAGTATACAAACATGAGTTTGCCAGGTACGCAAGCAGCATTGGATGATCATTGCTAAAACTGTCTCGATTTGCGGTAAAATGATTTCATAAGGGAATACGGACACGCGTGTTCAACGTTGCTCTCGTTTGGCCAAAGGGCTAAGCGCATTTACTACTGCTCATTTATCCCGTACAGCAACAATGATGAACACACAGGGGTTCATCTCAACCTCTAAACCAAGCATTGCCGGTTGACGACGTGCTAATATGTCCTGAACATGTCTATTTTTAATTTTGCTTGTTTCAGGCTCCAGGTTAATCTTCATACATCTGCTGGGCGATCGGTGGATTCCCTCGCATTTCCCAACACGCGCGAAAAAAGGGTTTATGCCACGTACTCCCTTGTTGTCCACGTTATTAAGCGAGGCTGAGACCGATTTTAATTGCGATCATACATGGGGGGACGTCTATCAATGCAGGTACTGCCACCAAAGTATGGAGCTTTTTTTCGGCAGCATGCTCCGCTCCGTATTCCTTAGCCTGCGCAGAGTAGATCAAAGGAGTAGTGCTCGTCGTGTCGATAATACGAGTGCACTAAGAGCCATATCGTGAACCACTTACAGCGAATGTATCGCGGCTGAAGAACTACGGCCGTGGAGCAATGAATGCTATCTGTAAACGGCTTGGGCGAGCTTATGGAGTGCATACTTGTCCATTCAGAATCCATGTCTGGCGGACGGCACAGCTCCATCTGCCACTGGAAAGATTACTTCCCCTCCCTGGCGATTTGAAAGAGATGCTGACACTCGTACCTGGAGACATACATACTACTTGTACAAGAAGTTCGGATGACGACGATACAGGCGGACCCTGCATGAGAGTGGAGACTCTAACGGGCAGCATGGCCCCTTGCAAGCTGGGACAAACGGCCTCCCATTGGAAAAAGGGCAGTGTTTCTGGGCCATCTACTGGCAAATTGGCATAACAGCAAGTGTCTTATGCGGCGTTCAGCTGAGCACCAGCAGGGCTAAAATGTCCGTCAACCTGCATATCCTGCGTCAAACAGGAAAAGTCCCGTGGCTTTCTGTTTTGGACAAGCAGAAAAAAGAAAGGATCAAATGTTTATATGAATACGGAGTACGGGGTACGGGGACTTGCGCTCAATGGAGCAGCACTTGCAAGTTCCTTGTACTACGAGTAATACGGGCAGCTGCTAGCACTGGCGCCCCGATGAGGCGTGGTCCAGCAGCAAGGCCATGAAACACGAAAGGGCCGGCGGGCCGTCGCCAGGCTGCTGTTGCCAGCACCAAAAGGCAGAGAGCAAGTAAAGAAGAACACGGAAAAGAAAGAATTAGTGCAAGAGAACACGTCCGGGCCGCTTCTTTGGGCTTGCCCGATGCAAGCTGAAGAACGAGGGCCAAGATTATCCGAACACCAAGCAGGTGTCAATTGCGGCCTCGGATAGGTGCAGGCCAAAACCCTTTGATTATCGACTGCAGCTTGCACCCAGCCGCGGCCAGAGCTTGCGTTTCTGGTTGGGCCGGGGTAATTTGTTGTGCATGCAGGCCTATTTGGCGCCTGTATGCCCCTGTCTGTGGAGCCTGTGTGTGTGCTGCATGAATCTTCTGTACCCGTACCTGGCCAGATGCTACTGTATAAGGGCAGAGGCTAAGCTGAGGTACCTTCACGAGAGGCTTCTCTCCTTCTGTCTTGCATCCAAATGTCGATTGCCGACGGGGCTGGTGGCTGAGAACAGGCAATGGTCTTGTGAGGGCCGATGATTGCCCAGCCCAGCCCCAGCTGATGGGCCTCACGCAAGGGAGGTGGAAGAAAAGGAAGGCCTGCGTATGTTAGCTGAGAGACAAGATGGTTTGTGAACGTGGCCTTGCACTGGGCAGGTACATGTACATGCGCTCAATTGCAATCTGGATGCCACCGTCTGGCGAGCTGGATGGTCACGAGGAGACAATAAGAAGGGCAAACACATCATCAGGCCGCATAGGAAACCAACATACATGTAGCAATAGTATCACCGCGGCAGGCGGCCCAAGCAGTGCTAGGCAATATTTACCCATGGATCAATAGCGTGCTCGTAAACGCCTGCTCGGATCTACCATATGCAAGCTGACAGCAATAGGAAGGCGATTTGCGGATGGACTCGCTTCCAACTCTGGCTGCCACGTCGAATCGGTGCAATGGCTGCCTTGTGATCTCGATACGCAAGGGGCCTCGCCAGGACAACCGACACTGTGTTGTCAGAAATCCTACAGCACCTCGAGTGAGCCAGGCCAGGCCAGGCCAGGCCAGACGGGAACCGTGATGCTGCCTCCACTCGACCCGGTTGCTGCTAGCAGCGTTTTGCAGTGATATCTGATCTCGGCGTCGTTGCCCTGGCGTCCTGGTTGCGAGATCAAAACGATGTGCCAGGTCCTTGTCCGGATTGACAGGCACTCCGCAGCCTGGCACGCCGAGAGGCTTGTTGTTTCTGGCACTGGGAGGCTGCAAATAACGACATGCATAATACTGCTAGTACAGTAGTAGGTATTACAAAAAGGCCGCCACGCTATGCATGCATCTCGCATGCAAGTTTGTTTTTGGCTGCGCACGCTCGGATGGTTGTGTCCAAAGAGGAGAGCAAGTCTGAGTCTAGTTGAGTCCCGTGAGTGCAAACCCAAGAAAAGGCGGCCGCCTCTGGCTGTCTGGTGGCCTGGGCTAGTGCCGAATGAAGCAAATGTGTACGAGTCTTGGCAGTGCCAAGGATGTACTTCTTACAGGTACCTGCGACACGGCTGCCGGCCAAGTACGGAGACAGGTACCAACGCAAAGGGCTGACAGGGACGTTGCGAGATTCAGGCTCCCTATCCGCCAATGGCAGCGGGGGATGGCCAGATGGATGCATGCCTAGAATAGATCAGCCTGGGGCTCAGGGCACTATTCTGGCTTGTACTGTACAGGATAATCGTGCCAATGTACGGCGTGCTTGGGAACTGGACGTGCCTTAGTGCCGTGCTAGAGGCTGGCCCGCACCGTCGCTAGCCCTGGGGCACTGTGTGGATGCGCTGAGAATCGGGTGCCATCTAGTGAGCGTTCGTTCGGCCGGAGGAGGCATTTAATGGGGTGGCAAACGCGCCGCAGTTGATCTGTGCGATACTTTCTGCCAGTGAATGAGCACTAACGGCGCCGTGTGCGCGCGAGTACTGCTGCCGTTGGTACTGGTACGGGCAGCTCGCTGTGCATGTACCTGCCCTCGTGCCTGTACATATGGTACAGTTCGCAAGGGGCTGCTGAGATGTCTGGGGGATGGCAGCCGGAGCCTAAGAGACAATAATCCGCACTTGGCTGTGGGGACCACAAGCCCTTTAGCGCTCATACCCCGTGCCTGCAGCGCTGAGGTACTTCGTGCCTGTATGGCTACTAGCAGGTACCTTGCGCCAGACAGGCACCGCGGCAGGGATCTGCTGGCAGGCTCGTACTTGTACTTCCCTGTTCCGTAGCGCCCAGTTTTTGGCTCGCCCCCCCATATTCTCCCAAATCTTCCTCTTCTTCTTCCGCTCCAGATTTCCTTTCCTTCTAATTCTCTATCCGCGCCATCGAAAACTTTAACCACCTTTGGTGCAATTCCAGCGACGCTCTTTGACTCGAGTTGTTGCTGGTTTTGGCCGTCCACTCATTTGCCCCGATTTTTGAACTTGATCTTCTTCAGCATTGCATTCTTTCTTCGATTCTCTTCATCTTTTATTTCGCGACAGATCTCTCGTCTTTGCCGCATCATTCGAGCCGCCGTTGATACGCTGGTACGCATCGCCAACATCTAGACGCAGCCTCCGTCTGTGAACCGGCCGCTCATTTCTCTATAGACTCAAACATTTAATCCAAATCTTATTCTGCTTCGGCTTGTTTTATATCACCATTGTACTTTTCAGACGGAACAGAGAGAGAGAAAGAAGGACGACGACAAGACACAGGACAAAATACGCATCAATCGACCGAAAAAAAAAAAAATCCGCCAGTCACCAGAGCACAACCAAGCCCTCCCTATGATCCAGCCTGCCTGCAATCTAGTCGTTCGTCGATGTTAATGCCAAGCCACGGCCGGAAGCAATGATGGCAACCGCACTCTGTAGCCCCGAGCGAGCAGCCGTTGCTTCGCCAGTCCACCACATCGAGGGGCCTGTCGACTATCTTGCTTCCTTGGACGACGCGACTGCGTCTCGCCATGGCACACTTCCTCCTCCCAATCCTCATTTCGCGTTTCCAGCGGCGTCACCTTCATCAACCCTCCACGATCCGACAACGAAGCGGAGACGGCCTCTATCTGCAGTAGAGATGCACTCGAGATCCCTCAGCATAGCCGTAGATGGCTCTGACTCTCGACACGCTGCGCTGCCAGCGTTCAGCTTCAACCCCGGTGCCTCTCTTCCTCCGAAACCACACAGCTTTCTCAGCCCACCGCATTCTCCAAGCTCTGCTCAACCCCCAGCTCAGCCCGCTGCTGCATCTAACCGACCAATGGGTCATGGACATCGAAGAGGCGGCAGCGAATTTGTTGGCGGTCGTCTCCGTGAGGGAAGCACCATTGCGGTCATGAGCACCAGCCCGCCAAAGAACGAATTTGACATGAAAGTGCCCACTCTCCAACCACCACCGCGCAGAGGACACCGTCGAGGCATGTCTGCTACCATCCCAGCGACTGATCTCCCAATACTTTTCGCGCCACCAACCATTGGCTCATTACCTCAGGGAAACAGCGCCCCCAATAGCCCTACGATATTCAGCCGGAAAGACGATTTACCCATCATTGGCCCAGACTTCCCCTTACCGGAGCCCGTGCCATTGGGCCAAGACAGTAGGAACACAGGCAGCCCAGGAGTAGCTAAAGCCACCCCCGAAGACCACTTGAAGATGACCAAGTCTGGTATGCGTGCGAGAGTTGGATTTTCAGATACCTTGGAATTTATTCCACGACCACTCTCACTTGTCTCGAATGAAACATCTAGCACAGTAACAGCACGACCAGGCCATTCAGGATCCGGCAGCGTCTCTTCAATCATATCGATTTCATCGCTCAATGGACGCGACGGCTGTAACTCCTTAATGCGGGCTCCGACTGGCGAACCCTATGACTCGAGGCCAAGCACAGCAGGCGCTATTTTAGAGCGCACAGCAGACCTCCAGATGCCAGATGAACCACCAACTTCTCCCCGCCGCCGAAACTCGATTCCCGCCCTTGTCAACATCGCCGATGCTGATGGTGTAGAGTCGAATGTGTCTACTCCGACCAAACCCGCCAAACGTTGGTCTTTCTTTGGCTTGGATGCGTTTGCTTCTGGATCCCCAATGAAGAGGCGACCAAGCACTTCCAGCTCTTCAAGCTCTACGCCCCGACCTATTGATGGCATTTCTTGTTCTGATCGCGGATCGGAATCATCACTAGATACGACAGAAGTCATCCCCGCAAAGTCTAAGAAAGGAGGCAAGAGTGATAAAAAGAAGAAGAAGAAGGAGAAGAAGGAGAAGGAGAAAGAAAAGGAGAAGGAGAAGGACAAAGATAAGGAGAAGGAGAAGGAGAAGGAGAAGGAGAAAAAGACCAAGGGCTGGGCGGGCTCGATTCTGCCGTTGAAGAGCCATAAGAAGCGTGGTAAATCAAACCTTGTTCGGCCACCAACTCCACCCGCCTCTGTGTCTCACCTGGATGACGAGGAAGAGGATGAACCCGAAAGGGACATTCGCCAGCCTTCTCTTGAGCCGCCTATTATAAGCATCACCGAATCTCCATCCTTACCTGAGCAGTCAGAGCTACCGAAGCAGTCTTCAGAGGATATGTCTTATCCCATGATTGACCTGGACGCTGCACTTGGTCCTTTCAACACCCCTTTGTCTTATAATGCCGAGTGGGAAGCTGCTCAGCGCGCTGCGGGTACTCCGGGCAGCAGAAGGCGCCTCCACAGTGCTCAAGGCTTGAAAGGTTTCAGTGGTCCTGGCATGCATTACCACCGACGTGCCGAGTCGGCTCCTGATCTCCCACCTTTTGATTTCCGTTCCGCTATTCACCGATTCGGCAGCAGCTCAACCATGGCTGACGTGTTTGAAGAGGATGAAGAGGATGAAGACGGAAAGGGCAATACCAAAACAGAGCTAGAGACTAGCGAAGAAGTCAGCGAAGAATTCGACGGCGACGTCACACCTCCTGCTATCACGCCTGTCCTGCAAGAGCCCTTCCTCGGCCCCAGTGACAAGGTGCTGGGCAAGATGCGACGCGGAAGCGCTGGATTGATTGAGGGAGAATCTTCCAGCTCATATGCAGTACGGGCTGAGGCATCTAAAGTCTCACTTCAAGACGAGACCATCACAGAGGAAGATTTCACGTTTTTCCGAGCCCCAGTATTCCAAGGCCGCAGGGATTCCGTCGACTCAGGAGCACCCTCAGCTCCGTCACCAAGGCAGGTCCCTGCCACCGCTGACCTGCCAGTTGACGATCCTCTGGTTCTCCCTAGCGCAAGCGCTACGCCGCTCAGCCCTTACTCGGCTAGCTATGTCTCTTCCTCTCACCCCTCTCCGCGATCTCCAATGTCGGTTGATGCGCAACGCATTTCCACCGCACCCTCGTCCATCACTGACGATAGCTTCCATTCTCTGCTTATGGGAGAACCGGGACCGGAAGTCAGGATTTCAATGGACTACGATGCCCCATCACTCGCGTCAAGCCACTCAGCCATGACCCGTGACAGCACCTTCATTCCTGTACCACGACCTCGCCAACTTGGACCATCTCGTGACCAGCGCCCAGTGTCAATGTCAGCTCCATTCGGACGCAGACGCTCGAGCTTGGCGAGCCTCAGCCGACTTATTAGCAGCTCTCATGGTGAGAGAAGCAAGCTCTCCATGGAAGTGACTTTAGATAATGAGCCAGAATCGAAAAAGTCAAAGCACAGCAAGACCAAACGGCTGGGAAGGATGATGCAGTTCTGGAAACCAAGTAAAGAAGACAAAGTCAAAGAAGAAAGAGCTAAAGAAGATAAAGCAGCTTGAGTTTCCAGAGGGAGGTGACAGGGGACGAAGAATTAAAAAGCAGCGTCTCACGGTTATTGAAACGCTGCTTTGACGAACTTATATGTATTCTATGTAGCGCATGCTTTCACCAAAAAAAAAAAAAATCTTTTTTTTTTCCGCTTATGCCTCATGGATGCTGGACCTATTGAAAATTTTACAAGTGTGCTTGCGTTTTTTTTTTGTTCATGGAACACAGTTGAAAACATCTTGAAGCCAGCTGGCGATAGCTGAGAAATGATTTTCCTTCAAAGCAAACTTTATGAGGATTATGATGCTGCTATTTTCTCACATGGAGCTACAAGAGAGCTGACACCTTCACATTGCCGGCGCAACCAGAATTGAGCGTTTGATGACAAGCATGAACCTTGCTATTTTTGCGTGATGAGTGCATTTTGGACTCTTCTTTTTTTATTACTATTTATGTTTGGACGCTTGGCGGATTGGGACGGGGAAGGTTCCTCGACGCTGTGTATGTCGAAATATTTTCTTTGTTCTTTTTCTTTTGTGATACTTTCTCTGAATCTAAGGGAAACTCTCATCTTGAGAAAAGCACGCCGGATGGATATATAAGCCATATTTAAAGGGGAAGGGGGCTTCATTTTTTGCGTTGGTCAATTATTTTGATCCGAAAAGGGGTTTTCTCGATTTGGCCGCGGATAAGGGTTGCTTTTTACGGAGTATGTATAATTTTTTTTTTTTACAAAGGAAAAAAAAAATTAATTCATGGTAGGTTTTTTTCATTAAGTTGAATTGAGAGAGCCCGAAATGGGCGAAATAAAATAAAAACATTTATATTCACAACTTTCGGATGCCCTTTTTACTTACGTGATAATTTGAGATAAACGATTTGTAAATATGGTAGTAGTATGGTTTGTCTTTAATTGTAGGTACCAGGATATATATACCTATGTAAGTACCCAGCTATCGATAGGATTTAGATATAAATACTTCGGAAACATCATCTCGCCTTGTATAGTCATGTCATATACACAAAAAAGAATAGTCATAAAGCCGTAACACATCATAATGAGAGATAGAATAGAAAAAAAAGGGGGAGTATCAGAAGAAAACCATCGTATCCAGTCATATGCGAAACACAAAAGCCTCACGCTTTTTCCAACGCCACACCATTGTGAGCACAGGGTCACATCATCAAATTCAGTGCTTGTATGCAAGACTCCCGCTTCGGCTTTGCAAAAGGTGTTTAGACAACGTTCTCATCTCATGAAAAGAACTTCGATACGCCGTTGCGGATGCCTTCTACCAAGCCGCCGCCTTGTCGCTCGATGTCATCGTAGTAGCTGGCCTTGCGCTCCCACCGCATGTCGCCGCTGCGGCCGCGCTCGACGCGACTTCCCCGGACGTACGACTGGACGGCATTGCTGCTGCCGTTGCCGTACTCGCCCGCCATGCGGACAGCGTCGTTGACGGCGGTAAAGGGATCGCCAGTTGCGGCGCGTTTGGCCACGCCCAGCATGCGCTCGATAGATGGCGGGATGCGGAGGCCGAAGCGCGCGAGCAGCGCGGTCAGGGCACCTCCAGTGACGAGAGGCACGATGACGAGGAAGAAGACCTTCCACGGGTGGCGCTTGGCGTAGTGCTGGAGGTCGCGGAGGAGGCGCTTGAGCTGCTTGAGGCAGCGCTGCATGAAGCCCTCGCGGGGAGAGCGCTTATAGTACGAAGGGCGGCCTGAGGGGGTTTTCACTGTTAGTTATGATACTAGGTGCCTACGTGATATCACCGGAGAAGCACACTTACGGTTTCCAAACAGGCTGGAGCGGCTGTTGTTGCCGCCCAGGCCGAAGAACGAGCCGCGCGAGCCATTGTTCTTGCGGTAGCTGCTGCCACCGCCGCCGAAAATCCCACCGCCACGGGTCCGGGAGCGAGATCTGGATCTGGATCTGGATCTTGATCGGGAGCGCGGCGGCGGCGAGCGCGACTCAGAGTGCGAGCGACGCTTCTTGTGGCTGTGGCGGCGGCTGCTGGTGTGGTGGTGGTGACGAGACGAGCGGCCGCTTTGACTGACGGCGTCGCCGAACTGCTCGAGGAGGCTTGACGAACCCATGATGGCGATCAGGGGAGGGTTTTGGAGTGTGTGTGGTTTATGGAATAATGCGAGACAGGATGATAAATGAGGTGAACAAGCAATGCAAAGTGAAAAAAAATAGACGAAGTTGACGCTGTTTCAGGAAGCGGGCAGGGTTGCGCGCATTGAGCCTTGCTGTTGCTGAGCTATGATGAGAGCACTGGCTGCGCAAGACCAAGACCAAGACCAAGGCTAGAGATGGTATCGTCTGTCTCTGCTACAGTGGAAGCAGCGCCCGCTTGCAACATTCAACGCGAAAAAGAGGTGGTTGTAATAATACAAGTCGCAAAGCAACGTGCTGCAAGAAGTTCCGGCCTGTTGACAAGAGCAAGGGCCCAGCTTAGGTATAGCAACCAGCTTTACTCTAAACAGTAAGAGATAAATCCAGGCCCCCAACCAATCCTTACGTGTATGCAAGGCACAGACGGTACCTTCGCTTCCTTGTCTGCCTCTACCTTGTCTGTGATCCAGTCTCTCTCTCTATCTCTCCATCTCTTTGCCCACTTGGAGCTTCTCTTACGGATATCCGTGCAGCAGGGCGGGATGCAGGATGCAGCGATGAGGTGCAGCTGAAAGCTTCAAAGACGGCGCAAAGTGGAGAAGCGAAAATCGCCGTTGGAGACAAAAAAGACAAGCGCCTTGGCCGCTGGAAAATCGGGTGGCTGGGGGGGGAGAGCCGGTAAATTAGAGCGACTTGTTCTTATTTGCTTTTCTCTCAGCTTATTTGTTCACAGTGAGGCAATATTTCGTAGGTACGGAGTAATACAGCACAGGGGCGAGTGCGCGCTGCAAAAAGGGCCTGAAACAGCTAAGTAGGGCGAGAAAAGCAGGTGGCGCAGCAATCCATGGGGGGGAAGAAAAGTTGGCCAAGTCAACTAAGTGAAATACGAGGACAGTGAGGTGCTGCTGCTAGTTGGCGAGAAAATGCAAGGAGTGGAAAGTTACTAGTGGAAGCGAGCGAGCAAAGTGCAGATCTCAATACGTGATGCTGCAGACAATGCCATGTAGCAGCAGTACTTGTACTTGTCGATACATTCACAAAGGCTGACGGAAAGCCAGCTTGGCGGAGGAGGACAATTGGTCGTTTCGCCTTTGTAAATGAATGACTACTAGTAGTACTATACCTGCAAGCCAAGCTTATGTTGTTTCTGTCGTCCTGCGCCACAGCAGCTACGCCACACCCCAGATTTCAACCTCCGTAGTACTGTCTTGCATGTCATTCTTGCTTTGTTCGCGTAAGAAGAGCGCGTTCAAAAGCTCAATATCGGGAGTGTTACTGTATAAATCGCTTCTTTAAGTGTTGCCCAAACTGTCTAGATATTCATCTCCTCAACAACATTCCGAACCAGAGGACGAATTCTGCGCCGTAAAGAGCATAATTCAGAGCATATACCTAACCTAGTCACAATGTCTGGTGAAGACGATGAAGATGATTACATGAACATGACGTTTGAAGATCCTACCCCAGCGAAAGAGTCCTCAGTTCAGCGCGCTCAGCGTCTTAAAAAGGAATCCCGCGCTCGGGGCATCATTAAATCCAAGGCAGAGCTCGCCCAAGAAGAAGCTGCTGCGAGAGAAAAGGCACTCTCAACCTCCCTGCTGGATGACCCACGCTCAAAAAAGAGTAAAGGCCTTGCCATGATGGCAAAGATGGGCTTCAAGGGTGGCAGTCTGGGGAGAAAGACTGAAGACGGCCAAAGCGCCGGCAAGTCAGAGCCTATCCAAATCAGCATGAAGGAAGACCGTGGCGGCATTGGCTTGGACAGCGAGAAGAAGAGAAAGCTTCAAGAAGCATTTGAGGAGCGAGATGCCAAGTCCGTCAAAGTCGATCCTAATGAGTACCGCGAGAGGATGAGGATGGAGAGAGAGGACGCCAGACTGGAAGTGCAACTCCATGCTGCACAACGCACGGCGGAGAGGTTGGACGATGAAAAGGCTGGAAAAGAAGACACACCCGAGCCAACGTCATCTTCCGAAGAAGCAGAAACCTCTGAGTCGAAACAGCGTCCGATATCATCTCGCCCGCTCAAGTCTTTCCCCGTTGTCTATCGAGGCTTGATTCGACACCGTGAAGAAAGAGAGCGTGATCGGCGGATGAGGCATGACTTGGAGCAGTCCCTCTCTCGGTTGCCGACATACGAAAGCGGTGACGAGGACGAAGACGACAAAAAGGCCCTGGGCAAGAAACACACTATATACGCCACTGCGGATGATCTGGATGAGGTGGATGAAGAGCTGGACGAATTTAATGCCCTTGATGCTGGCACTAGGTTGAGCCGTCTGGTTATGTACTTGCGAGAGACGCATTGGTATTGCTTTTGGTGCAAAATGGCGTATCCGAATGCTGAGATGGACGGGTGTCCGGGTTTAACGGAGGAAGATCACGATTAACAGAGTACTTTGTCAAATACATAGCATCTTGGTGTAGCCTCTTTCCTCAATATATACCCTCTACTGCCTCTACTGCATCTACTGACATTTTACATAGACAAGAAGACCATAGGCATGGATCTGTATAAAGCTGAAATATTCTTGCCCGTTCTCTGTAGCTGCTTTTCTCACTCAAGATATGGCCAAGTTTCTTCATAAGCTGTCCTCCCAAATCAAATTTTAGCTCGATATTTATCTCGGCCTCAAACCCGCGTTCCAGCTCGCTGTGTGCATATTCATTCCAAGACTACTGTTGCTTCCTTTTCTTTGACCACCACCACAGATTTGCAAAGTACCATGATAGAATCGAAATGCTGCCATCCGCGTTTTATTAACTTCCAGAAGGCCGGGCACTCAATTCCATCAACGCCGTAGCTTGATAAAGTGGTATCGACCCCATCTTGAAAAAGTTATCGTCGTATCTGGATCATACTTGCAAGCATCCTTATCATAGTTGCCTCCGGGCCATTTCACAAAAAAGATAGCCTTTGATCTCATCGTAGCGACGTAGATCTTCACTGCTTGTTTGATAGCTTCCCCCATATCTCTCTTGAACTTCTTTACCCACACATCAAGTAGGTATTCACTAAGAAAATCCATCGCATCTTTGACAGCGTCATGCTGCTTGGCATCTTCAACGGGGTTTCCATCTTGATTAGTGTTCGTATCACAGGCTGACTTCATATTGCTGATCATCTTCAGGTATTGGCAACTCGGAAGCGCGCGAGGATCTAATTTAGGAATTAAATTTATTAATTGCGATGTATCATAGCTAAGTCACTTCACATCTTGTCCTCCTAAATCAAAATCTCATTTCTTCTCCTGCTTATTAAGAAATCTGGTGGTGCTGATAAACAACTCCCATTTTTTACTTTATGTGAGCCTCATAATTTGAAATACTAGTATTGTTCATACATCTCTCCAGGATTATAGCTCATTTAGAGATAGCAATAACTATTCAGCATAGTGTTTTCCTTGCGCTAAAATTCACAACCAATATATTCCGTTCCCCAACGCCACCGTAGACAAAGTCTCACTTATGGAAATTAATCATCATCAAATTCGTCGTCCCAGCCTCCTGGCCCCTTTCCAGGAGGCACATAGGTGCCACTATTGTCGTCGCCAAGATGTCCAGCATGCCGGTGTGCTGCAGTGCCACTCTCGCTATAATCAGCCGCGACATTTTTCGATGCGACAATTCTGTCGTCGTGTGAAATCTCAAAATCCAAGGACACGCCGTTGGAAGTCATCTTGATCACATAGGAGAGTCTCCTGATGATGCGGCCCTTGTTATTCGTCCATGTTGGGAGATCATCGAATTTGGGGATCCTCGACCAGCGTAACTGGCAGAGCTCTTTGACGGTATCATCGCATCGTTCTGATGGTTGCGGGCTGTTGGAGTAGATCAGGTTTGTGACAATTTCGCTAGCTGGTGATTCGAAATCTTGACTGAATCCTAGTTCGATGGATTTACCCACGGTTATAGTCTCGCCCTTGATGACAATTAGAACTGTCCATTTCGGTCACATTAGAGGTTAATGACTTACAATACGCAGAAACCAGGAGGCTTGGTCAGCGGCCATATACACTCGTGCGATCGAGCACCACTCCCGATCTTGGATACTATGGTCTTTTTCAGACCACGGTATCACGTTGCACATTGTACCGTAACTGGCTCTGGCAATCCTCGAGCAAATCGCGGACTCGGTTTTGCCATCAGATTGTTCAAGCCCTCTGATAGCCGCGCCGCGGCAGACGGCCGTCCAGCTACGTCGTTGAGAAATAATGTCAGCCTTGTCTAGTATTAAAAAAGTCAGCTCGTACTTACGGCCGTGCTCCAGAGCTCTGTAAAACCTCTACTTTGCCCCTAAGACCTTCAATCAGACAGTTATATAGATAGTGGCATCGCCCAAAACCACCGACTAAGATCACAAACTAGTAATTCAATCAGTAGTCTATTTGCGCTAACAGCTTAAGCCTAGTTTCATACCTTGGCCTGCTTTTTGTACCGCATCTTCACTTCGTTAACTTGAGCTGTTACAAGTTCCACAATCTGGCTGGTTATGGGGTGAAACACGTTGACAATTTCATAACTGTTGGGTACGTTAGTAAACAGTCTCTATACCTAATCACTCTCTACCTTTGTGAGGGGCTTACTTGTGAATACTGATATCTGAAGAAATGTATTGTTCGTGATCTCTCTTCCGTGAACTGACGGGGGCTTGTATCGACCACTTGCGGCCATCGTCGTTGAACTGTGGCTTTATGCCATTCTCCCATTCATTGTTCATAAGACGAGCTATTCCGTCTTCTCCAAGTCTTTCCCAGGTACTTGAAGGGATCTTTTGCCTAAGGAGATTTCGGAAAAGCTCGTCCACAAACGTAGCGCCACAGAGCTTTCCTAGATACCATGTAAGCTATACAAATATGAACAAGAAAAGAAGATGTATTTCTTACCATCTCCTCTGACGCTTTCTTTAACTCTGATTGGATCTTTACTGACGATAGTATATGTGATCACATCCTGTGAAGCAAATAAGCTGTGTTAACGTTTAACTGGACTAAATAACTTACTACAGTGCCTCCACCAGCATCACAGACGACAAAATGATCACCGGGCTGTGAAGGTCAATCAGTTAGCCGCGATAATGGTTATTTCAGTCTGTGGTGATCATATAGACTTACCACCATATCTGCCCTATCAGACAGATCTTGCAAAGCTGCCAATGCCGCCGCTTCAGGCTCTGAAATAAACTCCAGAGCAGTATCAAAAACGCCACGAATGTTCAAGATTCCTGCTCTTTCAACTGCCTCTTTCATTCGAAACTGAGCATATGCAGGCCAGATCGCTGGTAGAGTGACAACCACTTTGAACGCGGAAACATCGACTATTGATGCTCCCTCAGCTCGCTCAATGCAGTTCATGGTATACTGCCATAACTCTCGTAGGTAGTCGCTGATAACATCCACAACATGGGCGTTGGACTTTTCTAGTGAAGCCATTGCGGCTTTAAGATGTTCTGAACCTCTTTGATACTGCGGTATGTCTTCTTTATCCAGAAGACAGAGCTTAAACCATTGGATGGAGGCCGATCCCTGTGGAGCGACATAGCCCCAAAGAGGTGCGCCATCTTTCTCCTCGTGAGAGATTATGGTTGGTACTTTTTCCTTGTCGCTGTTAAAATTGAAGCGAGATTTCCAGCTAGTTATTATATTGACTTGTTCTGGTCGGCTCGATCGAGCCCACGCGACACCGGAGAAACTATTCAGACTCAGTCTTGGGAACCGCGTCATCACGATAGAATAGACTTACGTGGTCCCAAAGTCTATGCCTATGACAATGGTAGGATCTCCTGCAGAAGCTTTCTGCACCCCTCTGGCGGTGCCTCTTTGTTTTCGGCCAGTTCCTGGCATGATTGAGTGCTGCTCAATTTGCAACGTTGCAGTCGAGCAATAACTGATATCAAAACTTTAGCTGATGGGGCAAAAGAGAATGTGGTGAGTTGAAAGGAAGAAAATAGAAACAATGGTAAGGCATAAGTTGCTTAAATAAGAACGCGTGCTTCACTGCAATGCCAGTTGGCAGCCATCTGGCAGAATACTCTGCATGTTACCGCCCCCACCGCAAAACACGCTCTTTACTTTTCTTCTTCTTCTCTCTCCTCTCTATCTCTCTCACTTCTGATATATTTCAATACAGTCTTCGTGAAAAAGTATTATCCAGATACGCAGAGGCCAATTCTCCTCTCATCGGAGAGGTTGCAACACAATGCCACCACGAGGTATCAGGAGTCCTGGTGGAGGACGCGGTAATAAATATCTGTTTCATGGGAATACATTTCCCAACTAGTTGCATCAAGCAAACTGAGTTGAGAGTTGAAGCTAACTTTGAAGCAGAAGTTTTAGAATCTTCGCAAATCGATGTGGAGAATCTAGTTATTGAGACGCCAACCGCGTCATCACTGCTGCGAGCTCAAGATAAAGAGTGCCAAGATAGTGATGGGGAAGACCGCTCTGTCACCGATGAAGCAGATGGAAATTATCAAGAAAATATTGTTTCCAGCAAGCCACTCATTGTACTTAAAACTTCGCGAGTCCTCCGTTCGAATGCGGTCAAACATGAGCCAATGCAACCAGGTTCGCCGACATCGAGTCAAACTGAGACTCCAAACTTGGCGAAACGGGGTCGCGAGAAACACGATGATGTGGCCACACGTCCTGAAAAACGCGTCAAGAAACCTGCGGTCGATGCCAAAATTAAAAAGTATGAGAAGGCCTTTGATGAGTGGCTGGAAGACTACAAATCGAAAACTCAAGGCCTTGAAACCTTCAAAACTAAGAACCAGGAGTTATGCATGGAGAATAATACTCTTAAGAAAGGACTTAAGAAGGCACAACAAGACCAGAAACGAATGGAAGCGCTGCATAGCTCGGAGATCTCCCTATTACAAAGCGAGTGTAGTAAACTGAGAAAAAAGCTAGAAGCTGCCATTGATGCTTCGAAACAGGACAATCTCAAGTATACCAAAGTTTCGGATTCTGACATCACTGCAGAATGGGGGAAATTATCCTTTAACATCCGCGACCTAGTCTCCCAGTGCTTAACCAAGCATCCCGCCAATGAGAATGACGAAATCGAGACCTTGATGAAACGGATGAAAAGGTTCTTGCCTCTATCCTATTGCAATGTTGCAAGCTTACGAGCTGCTGTGCTTCGGCGAATGATATGGTATATAATCAAGTCCGCTGTATTCTCGGGGATGCGGCCCATCTGGTACGGAGCGGCCGGGCAGATGTTGACACAGGTCGTGTATATGGCAAGTACGTAAATGCTTCGGCCTCTTATCTTGTACATGTTGACATAATCGGCTAATAAACTTTCTCGTCTAGGTCAAGGATATATCAACAAGTCCCATTGCCTCAAGATGGCCAGTCAAATGAAACAGAGAGCAGTCGCTAGTCTCAATGAAGACCCCCAGCTCCATGAAAAAGCTGAAGGAGCTATCTATTTATTGCTCGAAGCTACCAAAGCTACAGTTTCGAAGTTTATTCCTGATCCGATGATGGCGCTCTTTGAAGTCAAGATGAAGAAAATCATTATGGACGCGATTGATCTCCACGCCATGATGATGAATTCAAAGGCTATTTTCTTGCAGCGGTGGCTTGGAGATGATAACAACAGGAGCTTCACTATCTATAACCGAGAAATGATGGAATCTATGCAAAGCGATGTAGACACCTACACATCTCGCTATGTTGTAGAGTTTGTCGAAGCGCCAGGCTTAGTAAAATATGGTAATGCCGATGGTGAGGATTTTGAGTTTAATATGATCCTTTGCAAGTCTTCCGTTATAATTAGAGAAAATGGAGCTAGATCTACTTTGGAGGATAAGACTGTACACAGGGCGGCATGCGATGACAAGGATTTTGGCAAAGCCACAGCTGGATCGAAATCCGAATTGGAACAATAACTGGGACTCTTCTATATCTTTTAGACATGATGATTGATTTAGAAAATGGTTCGATATATAACAGGCTGACAATGCCATAGCTTAAATCGAAACAGAGAAATAATTGCCACCTCACAATATATGTAATTCAGAAGGCCATGATTTGAAGTCTTAAAGCCCGCAGCTTGGTCAGGGATTCATAGGCTGCATATATACAAGATCAAGTCCGTATTAGTGGTTAAATGCGAAGCTACCACAATTTCATTCATCTCCAATCTGGATGATGGTGAGTGAGTAATTAGCCGAAGAGTTGGGAATATTTTATATTTCTAGGCCCGGTGAATATGATTTATGTAGAAATAAAAAAAATTATTCAGCACCTTGTTTCATTATCCAGCATCCTAGCTGTAGCTGATGACATGAGTTTTTAGTTACATGTATTTTAATCTTCTGCTGCCTCTGCTGCCTCTACTTTTCAAGCGTTATATGGCAGCTAAATATTTATACGTAGGTATAGCGTGGACTGACTGCCTCGTTAGGGATACAGCTAATGTGCTGGATGGTAATTTTCCTAAACAAACAAATGCTTGATATTGCTATCTACATAACTGAAGAGTAACCATCCCCTAACATGCTAAGATTACACAACTTCTCTCCCGTCTCATAATGTTCACCAATCTCAAGAATCCCGGATATGTCGTAAAATCAAACCATCCCCAATCCATGGCCTCGGTATATGCCTACACTCATAAGGGTATCTGATGAGGCCAAATCCCGCCGGGCCACAGTCCATAAAACACTAAAGGCAAAGTACAGAAGTAAAAGATGGAGCTGCTCTCGTCATAAGATCTCCCTTCTCCTAGGTCAACTAATTCTCCTTTCTCCCAGCTAATTCTGATGCCTTGTTTAAATATTCTCGTCCTCCTTTTCTCTTCTTCTATTTCCTTTCTATCACATGCATGCTAACTTCACGCTTTATCTCCTATTAGGCAAAAGACTGTTTCGTCCGAACGGCGCCCCTGAAAATGCGGGTACTCCAGAGTTCCAACCTTGGCTTACGCTGTTCTTCACAATCAGCGCCGCGGCAGCTGTTGCGGCTTGGCGCTCCTTCTGACGCTGTCTCTCCTTGAGATAATTGGTCGCCTCGGGACGCATACGCAAGATTCGTAAGATCATATCATCACTAGCATCAGCTTGCATCTCGCGTCGCTTCGCCTCCTTGGCTTTTCGCATTGTTCCAAGATTTCGGCTCATCATGATACTCTTACCGCGTCGGATGGTGCCCATGCTTGCGAACGAGCCCGCACCACCCAGAGACGCCCCCAGACTACTCGGCACTGCGAGTCTACTCTGACTTTGTTGTTGATTCTGCTGTTGTAAAGCTTGCTGAGCTCGTTGCGCAGATGCTGCGGCCATGCGCTCCGATTCCCGAATGAGGTTGTTAGTATCCTCAAAGTAGAAAAAGTTTAGCGAAGCAAGCTCGTGCCACTTAGGCGATTTGAGTACTTCAGCAGGAACTCCGAGTTGTTCGCCTGAGTGCTCATCTTTGGCGTTGAAGAATGCAAAGAGCATCTCGAGCCAGTGATACACAATGTCGAGTTCCAGGCGCGTAAGGGGTTTCTGGGTTGATGGCTTCTCTGACAATGGTGGCACCAAAAGATTTTCAATTGTTATAAGCACATCTTTCCACAAACGGGTCATGACAGCTATCATTGTTGCGTCTGTCAGTGTCGTTTTCATGATAGCGAAGTTGTCATCGAAATAGGCAAAGAGATTGGTGAGAGCGTTTTCAATCTGCGACTGTGAGGGCGCTGTAGATGGGGTAGCAGAGGAAGTTCGTTTCTTCCAGAGACTTGTGATAGAAGCTCCCACGCCTCCAGATCCTAGGAGGCCCCTTAAGGTCTCGAGTGATAGTGTTTCGTTAATTTGAGCGGTAAGCTGGGATTTTAAGTTAGCCAACCTCGGCCACATTACATCGTGCAATAATCGCGCCTACCTTATCCGTAATTTTCCGGACCATATCTCGTTCTGTACGTTTCAGATGACGGAAAGCTTTTCCAAAATGGAAGACAATGTCATCACGCTCTCCTTCCATGCTGACTCTGATTAACAAACGGCCCTGTGAATCCAGATCAAGCCAGAACTCTCGGGGCAGATAGTCGCCAAAGTGATTAGGATCCAACTTCAGCGAAGTTCGTCCGACGTAATCATGGTCACCGAACGTATCGTAGTCCCATATGGTTGCAATGACGTTAACTGGGCCTTGAACTGTAATGTCGAATGATTCATCCCATCGGGGGTTCAAATTCCGATGAATGATACGCGTCTTGTGAAGTCGCTTCTGATACTCGTCACCAAAAACGACATATGGATCACTATAACCTGAGGGGTCGCAGGCTTTGAGGTCTTCGGCCTCTACTACCTTTATGGTAAAAGTATACTTGCTTGGCTTCCGAGACTTCTTCTTCACGCCGTCTTTCTTTTCTAATAATGCTGCACACGCTTCGACATTCATGGTCTTTTCTAGCTTATCAAGCTCTTGCATTGCGTACTCGATATTGTTAAGTTTTACAAAAGACTGGAAGAGACACAATGAGTTAGTGTAAGGGGGGAAAAAAAAAGATAACTCATTGTATCATTTGATGTAACACTTGCCTCTGGGAAGAACTGGAATGGTTCGGCCTTTTCCTTGTTGTTCCATGCATCTTTAGCATACTGCATCCACTTCTCTTGGGTTGTTTGAGTTTGTGCAGCCAGCTCCTGAGCAGAAGGACGATCCATTTCCTTTGCAAACTGCTGATCAACAGTCTCACAGTAGCGGCCAACGCCAGCGGAAAAGTTCCTTGCCAATGTAGTCATGAATCTGGCATGATGCTCTGCGTTACCCCACTCCAGCTTGAAAACCTGGTCTACCGTCTGGTTGAAGAGCATAAACATATCAATAATGGACACGCTATGCCGCTGCGAGTCCCCAGCTATTTGATCTGGGCTGTCTGTCCTCACTTGGAACTGATCTTGCTTGATTGCTTGATCGACGAAATCCGCCATTCGAGCCTCGGCCGATTTAAGCCAGCGCCATACAAAATCGACGAGCAAATCTTCAATATTGAAGGCGAAAGGCTCCTTAGGGAGGAACTCTTCGTGAATATCGCGGATTTCTTTCAGCTCTTTATACAGCTCAAATCCATCTTGAATCTCAATCTCTTGGCCACTTTCGCTGGCTCCTTGCATGATGATTTGGACGATGGCGCTTGCATCCTGCTCAAATTTGGGAAACACTTCGTAAACTAAGATACTCAATGGATCTACTCCCATGATAGTGGAAGTCTTTTTGTATCGCTTTCGAATTCGGTCGCACACCTTGGACACAGCTTTGCCAAGCTGCACAACATGAGCAAAATCCCACTCTTCTTTTCGCTCTGGTATCTGTTTTTGCATATTCTCATGATAGATTTCAGTAGCTTTCTGGGCTAGGCGGTCGGATAGAAGCTGTTTGAAGTCTTTCATCACATCAGCCCGAGGAGCAAAGGTTGGGTCTTGGCCAATATGATTTTCTAGAAGGAACATGACAGGCCCAATGTTGGGGGGTTTAGTTTGATAGCAACCTTCCAAGAGATCGTAGAGCTCTTGCAACAATGCATCGTGAAGAGTTTGAAGAGTGTGCTGGTACGCAGCAAAATCATGTAACGTCCAGCGGCTGGGGTCAAAATCAGTCAGGGGGGCGTTATATTGGTGAATATGGGGCGGCTTTTTCAACTCTTGTGATGGAGACTTGATTATATCAAAGGCAGCGTCAAGGTCTTCGGGAGCTATCTCTTTCTCAAGAAATTGATTGGCTACCCCCTCTAGAAGAACAATGAGTCGAGAAAATTGCGGTATACGCCACCGCACAGAGAGCTCATTCAGCAGGTCCATAGATTTATGCGACAGCGGCTGGTAGTCATTGTTGGGGTCGGCATGCATCTGATCAAACATCATTGCCTGCTGAAGAATATGCTTGTAAAACGACCTGGGATTAGAAGGGGTGAATGTGTATATCGTTTCATCTACGGTTCTGATACTGCTCGATTCCCCAATCGCTAGAGAGCTCAGACTAATAGACGGGTCAAAGGCAAAAGACGAGGCACCTGGATCAGAGATGACACGACTCAGGTCGGCATATGCCTGGTCATTTTCGTACATTGACGTCGGCCGACTCGTCATGGATTGGTCGATGGGGCCAGTTTTGGTTTTTGCCAGCTCTGGCTTGGCTGTTAAAATGTCCATCATCATCTGTGAGAGATGTGTGGCCTCTGACTTCTTCCATTCAAGAAAGGCATCTTCAACGTCAAAATCATGACTGCTCAGTGTGCCTGGTAGGTTGGCATTAAGCCGAGTCTGGTATGATTTAAGATCCTTGAGCGCAGCCTCTTCAGTCCAAACCTGGCGTTTTTCGTTTAGTATCTTCTGGGCCTCTGAGAGACCCATGCCGAAGATGCTCGCGACTGTCTGTACCATGGGCATATCCTTGACATCATAGCTAAGAGGCACTATCACTTCAATCGTGGTGCCAGTGCCAGCAGTGCTGTTACTAACCAGATCTTGGTCGTTTCTGAGAAGCTTGCTCTCCAGATCTGTAAGTCTAGACATGAGCTCGGGTCGATCTCGGTCATGTCCCAGATCTTTCATAACATTCGCGGCCAACCTCACAAACATGGCAAGGTGGCGGTCTGGAAGTAGCTTCCATGAATCGGATTCATCGTCAGGTCCTTTCCCCTTTTGGGCCGCCTTCGTCGCCGCAGAGTAGAAGATCAAGACCAAGGGCTCAAACTTTCTTTCTTTCTCAATCGTTTTCCGAAACGTCTTTTCTGAGAATGCCGTATAGGCCTCGGCAAAGCTTCTCTTGACAGCTGCATCGCTATACCCTGGTAAAGCCTCACTGCCCCTCAGGACGCCACCTACACGGTCAAGCAGAGCGGTGGCGAAGTTGTGGGGGAGCTTGATGCTCGAAGAGTTTCCCGAAACGAAATCTTGCACGAGCTGTCCCACGCTCGTATGCGCTCGCGCAGGTTGCTTTGGAGCCGGCACGTATTGCTTTCGTTTAGCTTTGGGCTGCAGCAAGTAGTGCAGATAGGCGGTGCGCAGAGCGAAGCTTCGAGCTTCGTCTGGGTCGACAGGGTGCTGCGGCGTAGACTGTGCCCGCGATCTTCCCGTGTCTCTACTGCTATTGTTGACTCCATGTTGAGACTGGTACGACTGACGTGACGCCATTGCGACGTCTCTCAACAGGCAGAATGATGCCCAAGCCCTCGGTGGATGCTAAGCCTCATAGCCTCTGGAACTAGGGGAGGGGCTCAGCAGGCAGCCAGCGCTGCTAGGGGCAGATGGCGAGCGAAAGTCGAAGGGAGACAGGCAGGATGGCCTCGCGGCAGGATCCGTGGATTTGGTGTTTTGGCAAACAAGCGTGCTGCGAATGGGATTTTTGGTGGTGCAGGTGTGTTGCAACTTGGACAGATGGCGGGTGGCTGTGGAGAAAACGTCATCTCCTGATGCTGGTCGGCTTTAGGCGCTTGAAGGCCCCTGGAGCATGGTTCTAAGCGCAGTGAGGTGCAGCGCCACGCATATGCCTGAACCTGAGCAATCAGGAACACGAGCTTTGTTTAATCAAGGCGCTAATGGCATCAAGCACACGCCAGAACGGGCCCGGATGTGATCTGCCACCGATTACTGTAAGACAGCTAGCTGTCAGCGATGATGCCTATTTCCCCTTACTCGGGCACTCAGAATCTATATCTGCATGTATGTATGTATTATTCAAGTCAAATATCCATTTGATCGTATATGCGAGTACATTTGCTCTAAATGAAAGCAGCCGCAGTAGTAGTATATAGGTAGGTAGGTACCTAGTAGGTAGTAGGCGTTATTAGCTGCTGCGCTGAGTACCTGTGTAGCACAGGCTTGAGGACCCCGAGTTTGCTGCTTTGTGCCTATCACACATCAAAAGAGGGGGAGAAGCTTTTCCCTTTGAGACTTTGAAGCACAGGCTGCCTTTGATAACAAGTGTTCAGTAAGGCCATTCATGCTAAGTGAAACATACGGCGACTACAGTGTAAGACTTTTTGCGTCCATTTACTAGTAGTAGTATCTATAATAAGCCTTTCTCTTCGTATAAACCTATATACAGTAAGCGTCGATCGCCAGTGGTCCATGCCGCTTAAGGAGAGCACGAGATACTTATGCACTAATACTAATAGTAGGTAGTAGCATGAAACCCGATAATGCCCCTCTTGCCTACAACAACGATCAAATAGTTGTTTAAGAAAAAGTGTTTACAACATGATAGACTTGGTACTGTAATCTTTTCTTCTTCTTCTTTTTCAATACACTATTTTCACTAATTTTTTTGTGGCACACTCCATTAGCTTCTTGCAGCATCGTAATTTCCAGAATAATTCGTCTAATTAAAGGTTTATAGTGGGGTAACTCTCGCGGTTTTCGTCCGGCGATTGGCAATCTGCTCAAGCCAAATCTACAACTCATTCCTTAATCCCGTGATTGCAGCAGCAGCTGGCATCAGCCCACCAAGACACCCGACCTTTTTGGACTACGTATTCGACATCGCCTACCTCCTCACACGTACCACCCACCAGACGACCACAGGAGCCAGGAGAGACGCAAAAGTCGCACCAATGGCCTCTCGCATATCGACCCCGTTGCGCCTTGCTAACCGCGCTGCGGTCCCCACACGCGCAGGAGCTTGTTCGTCACCGCTTTGCAAGTCTCGCGTCTTCCGCCAGCAGCGCTTCTACTCTTCGGAGCCCCCTCGCGGTGGTAACAGCCAGATCAAGTTCTGGCCTTTCTTCGCACTCTTTGGATTGGCCTCGGCGGGATATATTCAACTAGCAAACTCTCGTATCAAAAGTGAGTGCCGGCGATGAATCCACCCCCTTACGACGGAGTCGACAACATGGCTTGTGGCTAACGATTGCTTGCCTGTTACCAGAAACAGACGACATGCCTCCTGCGACCGAAGCCCACGCCCCGGCTGCGCTGCCTGCCCGGGACGCACCGGTATTCAACCCTGCCGATGTGACCGTCGTTTTCGTCCTCGGTGGTCCTGGCGCTGGAAAGGGCACACAATGCGCCAGGCTCGTTGCTGAGCAGGGCTTCACCCATCTCTCAGCCGGCGACTTGCTGCGCGAAGAGCAGGACCGACCCGGGTCTCAGTTTGGTCAATTGATCAAAGACTACATCAAGGATGGCCTTATCGTTCCCATGGAGGTTACCATCAAGCTGCTTGAGAACGCCATGACGGCTGCGCTCCGCGAGAAGGGCGCCACCAAGGGCCGCTTCCTGATCGATGGCTTCCCCCGTAAGATGGATCAAGCCCATAAGTTTGAGGAGGCTGTCTGCCCCGCCAAGCTCGTCTTGTTCTTCGACTGCCCTGAGAAGGTTATGGAGGAACGCTTGTTGGAGCGGGGCAAGACAAGCGGTCGAACAGATGATAACGCCGAGAGCATCCGCAAGCGCTTCCGCACGTTTATTGAGACCAGCATGCCCGTCGTTAACTTCTATGAGAGCCAAGGCAAAGTCATCAAGGTTGACGCCACACCTTCTCCCGCGGATGTCTTTGTGACGACGAGCAAGCTTCTTACCGAGAAGCTTGCGTCTTAATCTCGGACTGATGGGGGCTCTACACTGTATTCAATAGGCGAAAAGAGAGGGAGGGGGGCTTTACAAGGGTGATGGGTCTTAGAACTGGTGCTTTGGATCAAAGAGAGCGCATGTGTATTATTTATAGAAGGTATATTACTAGAAGGGAAGATTGGTTTGGCAACCTGGCCCCTCCACTGTAACCTGTAACTGTATATTAAACGAGGTTTCTCTACCAGACTCCTTGTCCACTTAACTTACTCTTTTTCTTTAGTCGTATATAATTTTTATGATTCTATTCTAAAGGAATGGTTCTTTGTGGTGTCAAAACCACCTCGTCTTTTGAGGCTTTGGCGATGCGATAGTGGGGCTGCCTCGCTAGGTAGCTGAGGGCGAGGGTGTGTGTACGTGTGCCTGTGACGAGGCCCGTCTACAGGATACGCGTAGTGTTAGCTACATGTATTCTAGTCGATCGATTGTAGATGATTGCCTGCATCGTGTCATGGGTCATCGTAGGAAGTACGAAGCACACGCCACTCTCGATCCCACTGGCTTGCCTAAAATAGGACTGCCAGCCGGGTTCCTTGTATGTACATGTGCATCGAGCATCAGTATAGCCTGCTTCGTGCGGAATAGAGCGATTAAACAAGGCGTCATAGTTTTAGTACCTTGGCAGTAGACGCATGCATTATCGATTACCAGGCTCATGCGAACCCCTAAATCCAACCCAAGAGATCTGCTCGTATCGAGCCGGCTTGTTTCGTGGCTCTGCCCAAGCCACTGCGCACAAACAAACCACGCCACAGCCATTGGCTTTTGCCTACCTGAAAGAGGCAGTCGTTGAGATCAGGCTAAGGAAGCGCTAAGCAGCCCTTGTCCCCTCCCCGTCATGCTGTAAGAGACGTCGCTACTGTTTACCTGGAACAGCCGCCTCCGTTTAAGTGGAGTGCAGCGATGGCTTGGGGCCCTCCAGCGGCCCTTTCAGGCGGCTCTGGTAGCGCGGTACCTGCACTGAAGCCACATCGCCACACGGTCTCTAGGTCACCCGCTACAGGTGGACACCGCCGTGGTTCTTCACAATTATAGCGGCGCGTGTGACTGTGGAGGGCGTGCAGCCATGCGCCGCGGTCTTCTCTTCTCTCCAACTCCATATTATTCACTTCCCCGGCCCTGCTTGCGGATGGCTCTTCTCTATTCTCCAGTCTGAACCTCATCGCAGCTGTCGGCCGCCGCATATCTTTGTTCTCATCACTTATTCCAGCATTCATTGCCGCCTCTCTGATCGGCTCTGGCCTCCAGATGACGATCCGCCTCCCGCCTCGAGCCCCGCGCCATCTTCCCTTTGCCAGCTCGCACATTTCCAGTATCGCCATTGACCAACTCCCACCGCTAGCCGCCGCCGAGCTCTTGTCGCCATGGGCAATGTCAGCAGCAGGCCCGACGATGGGTCGTCGCTCTACCTCAGAGACCAGAACCGCCGTGCGTCCCAGCTCCTGACCGCATTTGCGATGGTTTGATATACTGACCTAGGCTTGCAGTGAGCATCACTTCCATTGTTGTCACGAACCCGCGAAAGCGCACGTCGATTCACATCACTCCCAATGCTTTTCCGGCGACCAGAGTGAGCGCTGCGCGACCTCCTGGCGACCACAACCCAATAGAATATGTCCAGGTTAGATCAACAAAGCCTCTTTGTTTATCCCGCCTCCGGCAGACGATGCTAATAGTGGGCGCTTTAGGATCCGGAATCTAATATTAACGGACCACCCAACTTTCTCCTCAAGCTAAGCGGTGACGATGAGCTTATATTTACCTTCGCATTCGTTATTCGCCAGACACAACAACCCGCGCCCTCAAACTTGCCAATCCCAATCTCTGATGGCCTTATGACGAGAGATACCAACATATCTGGCCTCACTTTTGTGTATGCCTCTTCCTCGAAGGAAGTCGAGAACCTAGTCACTCGGGAATTTCACGCCGATCCCAACTTGCATAAAAATGAAAATGTAGCTCTTGTTGGCGATTATTCCACTGGCGGGACTGCCGCTGTTTCTTTCGAGTGGACATGGAAATGGAAAGCCCCTAAAAACTATGAGGACAAGGGCGGTGGCTGGAGGAACTGCTGCAGTGTTTGTCGCACACTTCCTCTTCTCTCAGCAGATCCAAAGCTAACTTTTCCAGTTTGTCGAGTATGATTCGCGTGCTCACCAACTACACACGCTGGCTACCTTTTCATACTGGGTTTCAAGTATGTTGAACCAGCTGATGTTTCAAGTGCAAACTGCAAGGTTCTCGTTGCTGACAAAACTTTTCAGGTTCATCTACACCACCAACCCAGCCGAGCTCGCCATCAGCGCCTTTTTCTTTGGCGGCCCCTCCCAAAATCCGAATTGCTTCAGCTCAATCAGTAGACTCTCGACTAGCCGCCGCGGAGATTGACGAGCAGCCTCTCTCTCCCATGTTCACTCCAGGAGAGGCCAACGTACCCCCTTTCCCACAGGCTAAGGAGCCTGTAAAGGTGGACGTACAATGCGTTCCCAGGCCGGCCGAAGATGTCGCTGTGGCTGAAGACGGTCCCGTTTTCCGCGCCACATTGAAAGCTCTGGAACAAAAGACGGGGAACATGCGCGCGCAGATGAAGAAAGTGCTAAAGAAAGCCGAGCAAGTTCATGCAACGCAAACTGAGGCCAATGATGCCTTCGTCGCCTTTATAGAAGCGCTGCGCGAGGCGTCGTCTACTAATGCAAATGCTGTTCAGCCTGCGTTGGAGCATTATTTCGACAAGATTGCGCGAGAAATCCTGGCCTATGAACGTCAAAATACCCTAAATCTCCAAAAAATCGTCATTGACCCTATTACAAAATTATATCAGCTTGATATTAAGCAAGCTGAATCCAAAAAGCGAGATTTTGAGGAAGAGAGCAAGGATTATTACGCTTATGTTTCACGGTATCTTGGTCAGCGTCAAGACTCAGTAAAGGCTAAGAAGCTTGCTGAAAGCGACTCCAAATATCAAAATAAACGGCGCAACTTTGAGCTCAAGCGCTTTGATTACTCGAGCTTCATGCAGGACCTTCATGGTGGCCGCAAAGATCAAGAGGTGCTGTCGCATTTGACGAAATTTGCTGATGCGCAGACGGGTGGATTTTTGACTACCGCCAAGAAGATTGAGAATCTCCGCCCACAGCTTGTAGCCTTGACAAACGAGGTTTCAGAAGCCGACAAAGAGTATCAATATCAGCGAAGGGAGCGTGAGGAAAAGCGCCGCCAGCTAGAAAAAAGCAACAAGCAGTACAATGAGCCAGAGCAGGCCAGTCTCAGCAGTGCCGCCACCATAGTAGCAAACTCAAACGGCAATCCACCCCATACTTCTGATACCGAATTGGGAAGGGCAGAAAGCGTAGGCTCTCAGCTCAAGCCGTCAACATCAAGCGGTGCTGTGCAATCGACGGCAGCCCCCGTGCCTGTCGATCTCTCAAGATCGCCGGGCAGTCTTGGACCGGCCTCGGCTATCGGCAGCCCCAGTCAAAGTTCCAAATTCAAGGGTATCCGTGACCTTGAGGAGCAGAATAGTCAACAGACAAATCTATCGCAAAGAAAGGAAGGACTTCTCTGGTCGCTGAGTCGGCCGGGGGGTCATGTTGACCCTCGCAATCTAAATAAACAAGGATGGCATAAGTAGGCCTCATAGCTCATTGTCCTAGATTTATCTGCCTTCACTAACACTTTATCTAGGTTTTGGATCGTTTTGGATCAAGGCAAACTGTCTGAATACAGCAATTGGAAGCAAAAGCTGGATCTTCACATGGAACCAATTGACCTCCGCATGGCCTCGGTTCGCGAAGCTAGGAATGCTGAGAGGCGATTTTGCTTTGAGGTTATTACGCCCAATTTTAAGCGTGTGTATCAGGCAACTTCTGAGGAAGATATGAACAGCTGGATTTTGTCTATCAACAATGCTTTGCAGAGTGCAGTGGAGGGCCGTGCCTACCGAGAGCGACAGGCGGCGTCAAGAGGATCCGATCACTCCATCAATAGGGACATCGGCTCGGTTCTCACAGGCAAAATCCAATCAGTTCACGGCTCGCACAATTCGCATCACTCTAACACAAATAGCGGAGTGCCATTCCGAAGAACGACAGTCGGTGCTCGACCCACTCCAGTACGGACGCCCAGCTCGGGCTATGACGAGCACCCTGACAAGCTTTTACAAATGCTGAGAGATAATGACCAAGGAAACTGCTGGTGCGCTGACTGCGGCTCAGGGGCCAAGGTCGAATGGGTGTCAATCAACCTGGGTATTATTCTTTGCATCGAATGCAGTGGTATCCACCGCTCCTTGGGAACGCACATCAGCAAAATACGCTCCCTAACTTTAGATATCAAGTCCTTTACGGTCGATATTGTCGAAATGCTCCTGCTTATCGGAAACCGAGTATCAAACATGATTTGGGAGGCAAAACTTGAACAGTCCCAAAAGCTGGCGCCCCAAGCAACGCGCGAGCAGCGCCTGAGATATATCACCTCGAAATACGTCGATCGCGCATTTGTTGATCCGGTTTCACCAACCCTTTCACGACACGCTACGGCAGACGAAACCTTGCTAGCTGCGATTAAAAAGAACGAGATCCAGCAAGTGCTCTACGCTCTAGCACTGAAGGCAAACCCGAATGTCGTGGATAAAATGAGAGGCACTCACGCTGTTTGGCTAGCACTTGCAGCTGCTGACCCGGCTTCGCCATCTTCCGCAGCCGCACAGCCGTCAACAGAGTCTGAAAACAAGTCGGTACCTTTTCCAGTGGCAGAGCTGCTGGTTCAAAACGGCGCGGAAATTCCAGCATCGCTCCCTGCATTCCCTCTTGGGCGATACGCGCAGCAGTATATTGAGCAGAAGAAGGGCAGGGCTTACACAGTTGGTGGCGATACGGTGCCATCACTACCCACCACTAGTAGCTCAACCGAGAGACTGTTGAGGGACAAAGAAATTCGGCTTCAGAAGCGAGTGAGCGCAGGGGGGAGGCTGGCAAAGTCGCCTATCCCAGAAAAATAGGAGCCCAAATTCTGGGATCGATTGGCGGGATTCACGCTATGCTACCACATGTACGAGATGCATTGGCTCGGCAGCTTGAGATGAGCTAGTGGTAACAATTGTACATGTATATTTGCTATTGGCGACGGTCACATTGTTGTTTAGGCTTTTTACTAGGAGGTGGACTGATACGATACAATGCGATGCTGCGAATTGGAGGCTGGGCTGGCGTTCTTGGAGCTATGTCTTGACGAATGGAAGAAAAGAGCTCCTGTAGGAGGAATTACTCAAGCCAATCTGGCTACGATGGAAAGGGTCTATAATGGGGCCCCAAGCACTATTGGAGAAATACGGCTTAGGGGCCCAGAAGATTATAATATTTGGAAAGGTATTTTCAGCTGGGTAGTAGGAAAACTAGTGATTAATGATTAATGGATACATGAGATGGGAGGAGGTTAATGGCTTCAGCACAAACCACCAGACGCAGGTACAGAGATAGAAAGTAGCCAAGTTATCAGTAGGTTAGATGCTATACGAGTACTCTATGCTTGCAACATTACCTTGGCGATCCGGCCGGTTACTTTTGAGTCAAGATCAACAATTATTAGTGAGCACCTTTTTATGCTGCTGACTGGTTATTACATTTCCTGGGTGCTGCGCCTCTAGTCACACCCCCGAACATGGACTACCTGTAGTATGCAGGTTATACCTACTTGAGCGGCAGGTGTTTTGTGGCGATAAACCCTGGTTTGCACCATGAGCCCTCTTACGAAGCTCGTGGCGCGGTCAAGGCTCTCGCATACGTTCACGCATGGGCAAGACATGGCCTAGGCGGTACGTCGGTGACGGCATGTGCTCCAGCATCATGAGTGGGATCCGCCTTGCTTGAGGCTCTGCACTTTAAAGACTTGATAAGTACCCAGCAAGTATCACGCATGTTGCATGTGCTTCTTGAGCGCCGTGAACGAATGAGAGGGCACTCAGGCGCAGGTGACGGCCCCGGTCCGGCAAAGTGGGCGATGGATGCCTACGGGGGCGGATCACCTGCAGGATGGGTCCAAGGCAGTCTTGCCGGGCATTGGATGGCGGGATATGGGGGATGGGGGAGGCTGTATCAGTCTCTTGGTTAAGAGCTGGTCTGGGCAGTTGTCGGGTTCTGTTGCATGTAAGTATGAGGTACATGAAGTTACGGGGCCGTCGATCGATGCTCCGCTGCTCATCAAGAAGTTATTGGAAGGGGAGTCGTGAAGCTTATTGGCAGTGCTAATGCAGAGCAGTTCTGTTAATGAAGTTAGCGATAAGACGAAGAGACCGGATCTCTAAGGCGGCAGCACCACTGGACCTGCGAAGGCTGGTCACAGTAGGTATTTACCACTTCCTGTGACTGGATATCAGTCAGCTGGTTGGTGCACGGACAAGGGGCGAGACGAGCGGGAACCCAGATATGGAGCCACAAGCTGAAAGCACGCACGAAAAAAAAGTCGAGCAGGGCAGACGCAAGGGACGATCTGCTCGTGATGGAACGACAACTAGTACTAGTTTCTCTGTGCCACCTTATACTCGTGTGTAGTCCTCAGATGGTCAGCATCAGATTAACCTCAGACCTGACTGCAGGCAAAAAGCTGGGTACTCTGGGGTAGCAGTACCTAGCCAACAAAGTCGCAGCTTCGCCCACCGTTCAGGTACTACCAGGTGGACATCCACCCGCGTCCAAACACTCCGTATCTGCCGCTGGGCCAAGTGGGATCATGTACCCAGCAGGTACCTTAGCGTCTCACCTGTGCCTGTAGTGCTATCTGACGGTGTGCTAGCAGCGGGCCCAGTGACGGCGAACCAGGCTCCCTCCTCCACCACCTTCATTTTGATTTATTATTCACGGTAAGGTACAGTAGGCAGCATCGCCCATCCTGTGTTCTTTTCACCTGCGAATCCCTGTGTAAGCACCCGCCTGAGGTTTGTCCGAAGCAATTACTCGCGGCCTCCGATCAGCGCCTCGGAGGACATGGCGCCCCGAAGCGAAAAGAGCCAATTGAAGCGGCCTCGCGTACGTTGTCTCATCACGGAGCTCCATCTCTGGGGACCGAAATACTCGCGATCCATTGGTAGCCTCGCTAACATCGCTCTCGCAGGGCTCGTTGCCGGAGGAAGGCACAGACACGAAGAAGCCCCGCAGGTCCGACCGCTTGGCCCAGGCCGACCCGGACAAGACGCCCGTGTCGCGCGAACATCAACTGCCATCGCCCGTCACAAACAATGCCACCGATGGCTCGACCGAGCTTCCCCAGGAGCACACGGCGACGCCTCCGGTAGCTGTGGCAGGCGAGCTCACTCCCAGAAAGGCGCCCGAGGGCCTGGGCCAGAGCCAAGCGCTCTCCTCTCCTCCGCAAGACACCCAGCCGCTCAGCCAGTACGTCGACCGACACCCGGCCCTCTCTGAAGACGTTGTGGACGAGTTGAAAGAGGGCGTCTGGGGCTATCTAGTCCCTCTGGACCCCAAATACGGTGATAAGCCTCTGGTGCTGAAAAAACGCGTCGCATGCCCTCTGCCTGGTGCTCTTGAAGCTGCCGCAGAGAGTGGAAAGAAGGACAAGGCCGACACATCGACGGCTACCAAAGAGGAGGAAGCATATGAGAAGACTAAGGTTAAGGGCGTCTCGGCAGGTGGCTACCTGATTGGTCGGCACGCCGAGTGTGGTAAGATGACATTGAAAATTCCGATCCTAGCTACCTAGTATTAAGAGAGATGACTGATTGTTGATGACGAATCGACAGATGTGGTTGTCAGCGAGGGGGTCGTTTCCAACCGGCATTGCCTTATTTTTGCAGAAGCTGTTGGAACAGATACCGTTGCATTCGTCGAAGACGTGTCGAGCAACGGAACATACGTTAATGAAGCTCTAGTCGGACGGAACCAGCGTCGCGAGCTGAAGGATCAAGATGAAATCGCCGTACACAGCAAAGCAAGATTTGTCTTCCGATATCCTCAGAGCCGGCTCACAAGCACGTTTCAACAACAGTACACGCTTATGGAAAAGCTTGGCAAGGGTCATTTCGCAGAGGTCTACCTATGCGTTGAGAAGGCAACTGGCAAGCGATATGCCGTCAAGATCTTTACGAAGCACCCTGGCCCTGAAGATAGGTCCAAGACAGAGGGCCTACAGCAAGAAATTGGTGTGCTGATGGGCGTCAGCCATCCCAACGTCCTCTGTCTCAAAGATACGTTTACTGAGCGCGACCATGTTTACTTGGTTCTTGAGCTCGCTCCCGAGGGCGAGCTCTTCAATTACATTGTGATGAAGCAGAAGCTGAGCGAAGATGAGACGAGAAAATTATTTGTCCAGCTATTCCAAGGCATCAAGTATCTTGTAAGAACCTCCAATGCCCCACACCTCGCAACCCATAGCACTGGCTCCTCAATAGTCTCTTGAAGCGTTGCCTAACATCCTGGTGTCTGTAGCATGACCGTAATATTGTACACCGAGATATTAAGCCAGAGAATATCTTGGTTGTGGACAAAGATTTGCATGTCAAGCTGGCCGATTTCGGACTAGCAAAGATTATCGGAGAAGAGTCATTCACCACAACGCTTTGCGGAACTCCCAGCTATGTCGCGCCCGAAATCTTGGCTGACACAAAGCACCGAAAATACACTAAAGCTGTTGACGTCTGGTCACTCGGCGTTGTGTTGTATATTTGTCTTTGTGGCTTCCCACCGTTCTCTGACGAGCTCTTCTCACGGGACTTCCCCTTTACACTCTCCCAACAAATCAAGAGCGGCCGATTTGACTACCCATCACCCTACTGGGACTCAGTCGGTGACCCAGCCCGTAAGTTCGATTATAGCCTCCTCCTTTGAAACAATGCTTTGTGCTAATCCGTATACCTATAGTTGATTTGATTGATTCTATGTTAATCGTGGATCCGGAGCGTAGATATACTATTGATCAGTGCCTCAAGCATCCCTGGCTTGTGTCCGGCGCACCAGCCGTAAATGATAGCACCGGAGGACTTGTTGGTGGCATCGAGGGATTGGAAGTCAACCGTAGAGCTCCTGTCCGAGAGAGGACACTGCTCTCATCGCTCAATTCTGTGTCGATCACTGCCCAACTGGACGGCGGCAACAAAGGAACTCCTATCAAGGTATTCTCGAAGAACAAACACCGCAACGTTAATGCCTCCCAAGAGGCAGGTCCGGCACATCAGCGGGCACCCGAAGAGTTTATCGAAATGGGCGGTAAAGGGGACCAGATACTCTTTGGTGAGGACGCCTCGAGCATCTATCCTGCGGGCGATATCGCGGCGAAGAAGGCAGGCGGCAAGCCAAACGGCAAATAAACGAAGTGACGATCTTTTCAGTTGGCAACAACAAAGCTTCCTTTTTCTGCTATAGTTGGTTGTTTGAGTCAATCATCGGAGTCTTGCGTTGTACATATAGAATGGCGAGCTGGTGTGACATTTAGGTAAGGGGGATAAGGTACGGATTGTTTTGGTAATCTTTTTTTTCTCATCCTCTTCTCTGCTTTACTCTCATATTGAGGATTTATTTTCTGTTTTTACTGTTTGTGTCTTTTTCTTTTCTTTGGTTGGGACATATGCATGGACTGCATAACTGTTTAAGGGGGTCTGTAAACGGAGACGAGCTGTCTCCCTTGGATCTTGGAAGAGGTCCTTCTTTGGCCTCGCGAGCTAGGAAAAGAAAAAAGGAAAGTTGTGTGTCAGGCATCAAAGCATCTATCTATAATAACGATCAAATATCAATAACGGCATCTTATTCGGTTAGCCTACGGCTTAATTAATATGTTTGAGCGCCATATCATACATACATACTGCTGCCGTTGATGATCACGCTGTTAGAGATGGGAATCTATATTTCTAGGATGCACGTGCAACATCACGTGGTCACACTACGCAACGTCACCGCCCTCGCTTAGCTCCCACACTTTGAGTGTGGCAGAAAAATCGGCGGGGTGGGCAAAGTTTGGATTGAGATTGATCACTAGGAGAGAGAAATCTGGCTCAGAGACCCCACCACAGGGCTATTCAGGCACCGACCCTGTCAAGGACGCTCAACTTCACATTTTGCGGTTGTCCAGTACCACGCCCACGCCTACGTCCACGCCCCCGCTCGCCCTCTCGACCGACCACTCGATCGAAGGATCCCAAGACCAAGTCATCGCCTCTCCATCATCGGTCCGAGACGAGACGATAAAGACACGCGAGCGAACCGACAAGCTTAGCCGGCGTTTGGACAGAGAAAGGAGTGAAAAAAATCGAGACAAAATGCCCGGCGCCACGATCAACGGGCCGCAGCCCCAGCTGCTCTTCGTCGACGGATCTTTCGAGGATCTTGCTCGCGAGATGGCCGAGTACCTCAAGTCTGATGAGGCCAAGCAGCTTTTGAGCGAGGACAAGGCCGCGCCTAAGGAGGAGGTTCTGTCAAAGCTGGTTGCCGCCTCCAGCGCCCTCAGCACCGTGCCGGAGAAGGAGTTTACCGCCGCCTCCAACCTGATGATCCATCTCGCCATGCAGTCATCCGACCCCAAGAAGCTGCTGCCCACCCTCTGCTCCAACCTCGCCAAACCCCTCATCAACTCACCAGTTCACGGCGCTGGTCTGGCACTGAATGCGCTCGTCACCATTTTCAATCTCCTCGAGCCCAATGATCCCATTCGAGCGCGCGTCCTGATGGAGATTCTGAAGTTCCTCAAGGTACACGGCCTGTTCGACGGCCTGCGAACATACCTGGATAAGCTGCCCGAGTGGATTGTGTCATGGGGAATTGATGCCGCTTTGGAGAGGAAGATTTACGAGGAAGTCGCCGAGGTTGCCCTCGAGTCAGGAGAAGAAACGTAAGAATTTATAATATCCAAGAAGAATGCTCACAAGCTGGAATTTAGCACTTTTTTTAAGGAAACGGTATGCTGATGTCTGCTGCTTTTTTTTTTTTTAGTACCGCCTACGAGTTCATCCTAAAGGCGCTGCGAACTTTCGATGGTGAAGGAACTACCTCTGAGGAGGCTCAGAGACTGTCTCTTCGCGCCCTGAAGATGGCTATTCTCTCCAACACCCACTATCTCTTCCAGGATCTCCGAGCTATCCCCAGCGTGCAGGCGCTCAGCGATTCTCAGCCCGTCTACTCTCAGCTTCTCGACATCTTTGCCGAGCAAGACCTCGAGGACTACAACGACTTCAATGACGAGCACAAGGGCTGGGTTGAGGAGCAGAAGCTGGATGCCGAGAAGCTGCACCGCAAGATGAGACTTCTCACTTTTGCCAGCTTGGCCGCCGCAACCCCCAGCCGTGAGGTTGAGTATGCCAAAATCACCAAGGCGCTCCAGATCCCCCAGGAGGAGATTGAGACATGGGCCATCGATGTTATCCGAGCTGGTCTCGTTGAGGGCAAGCTGTCACAGCAGCGCCAGATGTTCCTTGTCCACAAGGTGACCTACCGTGTTTTCGGACAGAAGCAGTACCAGGAGCTCGCCACTCGTGTCGACCACTGGCGATCAACTCTGCAGAACGTTCTCGCCGTTCTGCAGCAGGAGCAGGCCAATGCCAAGGCCGCCAAGATCCGCGAGGCCCAGGAGCTGGAGCGAAAGCTGGCCAACGTTAACGTCGGCGGGCAGGAGGGCGGACGACGAAGACAGCCGCAGCGCGAGAGGACCGATAATGACGACTAAAGGGTTGGTCAGCCTCGAAATTAATAACGGACACGCCAGGAATTTAGAAGGAGAAGGTTTTCCAACAACAAGAAAAAACTAGAAAAGAAAAAAGAAAATTCAACGGGCTGGGCAGTTCTGGCATGGAAGGGGAGAAGAGGGAGATTTGAATCATTTTGTGTTAATATAGTACATGCTGGGAATCCGATATCACGAGCTGAGGATATTGCGAATGGCGTAGCCGGTTTAGCATATGATGTTTTTTTGTTCGACTTTCCTAGTTTTTACGAGCCTAGGAGGGGTAAAAATAAAAGGAAAAGCTATCGGTACAATAGAGTTCCGAAAGAGAAGAAGAAAAAAAATATTGGAAAAAAAAGCAAGTCCATCATTTGTGAATTTAATATGAACTTGATAGTAATGTTGGTGTAAACAGCATCCCTTTGATCGAGCCAGCATCTTCATCTTCAAGAAGCTCATGATTTTATGACAATACAAGGTCACTGCTGCTGTATAATATCTACATCCCGCCTACCTATCTGCAAAGAATAGCAGTTTTCATTACGACCATAGCTAGCTTACATATTTTATAGGCATATCAGGGTGAAGGACAGTCTTGATACTGGTGATATTGTCATATGGAGTATAATGGTATTCGTATCATAACACAAGCATAGACTCAAGGCAGAATCACACGCTGTGTCACGCAAAGAAAAAAAAAAAAGTCACGCACCCTGTACCCTAGCAATAATGCAAGATCTGGGGGCAAAGTTGTCCTAGAGGATGTTCAGCTGTCACTGCTTCGTCGAATCAGAAGAGGGCTTGAAACGCTGCAGCCTCAGCTCGGCGACTAGCCAACCTCGCCTTTTTCATTCTAGACGGGGGAGTTGGGATGCTGTCACAGTACCACAATGCCACAATGCATGATAATCAGCCCAGAAAGCCCTGGTTTTAGCTACGAAAGCTGGGCAATCAATTATTGGCGATGCTGTGTGTTAGGCTGCCTGATTTTAGTGCATAGGGCACCTGGGGAGGCGGATTTGATCCCTGTTGAGCGCTGTAAACGCGCTGGCGAGGCGCTATCCAACGGCCTGGTCCGTTCCCACCCCCTCAAGCGGCTTTTAAACTGGTGCTGTCAAAACCGCCCACCCACTCATGCTCCATACCTGGTTTGGAGCTTCTGATCACCGAGTCAAATGTCATTTTTCGGTACTTTCTATGTGGAAAGAAGAATCGAATTACAAGGCAGACTGTTTTCGTGTGGATTGCGATACACTGTCTCGACTTTTTGGATTGGCGACTTGGCTCTTGCGGCCGTTTTGGCCTTGACTTGTTTTTGATCTTTTTTCCTGGGTTGCGCTTCTGGGCTCTAGGGTGAGGGTGACTGTCGCTTTCACCTTCTCTTCGGGAACTTCAGCAAGAGAAACAGACCTCGATCCCGACGAGATTGCGGGGCTTTGCACAAATCGCTATGGCGACAGCGACGCCTTCGAGAAATCGCTACCAGAATGTCTATTCTGGGACGGAGAAGAGGCGACTCAACGGCCTTTGGCATAGGAACGAGTGGTGGTGTACGTTCTTCCTCGCCACAGTCTCAACTCACACCTATTCCAGGATTGCACTCAGTGACACGTCCACTTCTCTTCAACCCCCTCTTTCGCAGTGCCCATCTACCATGTAAAGGTTTTAAGAAGGCTCACACACACTTGTTACAACATCTAGGCAACTGTGACCCCCGTAAACGCGCTGTCGAACGGGCAGTAACCAGAGACACCCCTAACAGGGGGAAGCACTTCTGGGCCTGTCCCCATCCTCCTCCCGACGGGTGTGGTTTTTTTCTCTTTGCTCAAGAAGCAAGAGTGCGAGAGATTGGTCTCACGCCCTCATCGTCTAATGAGGCAGTTGCTGTGCCATTAGCCGCCACTCCGTCAAAGGCGCCGACCCTAACGCAGACACGCCTCACCGATATTGGAGTTGAAATTCTTGGAGGCAGACGTCGGAGTAATCCAGAATATGCACGTCCCACTGAGGACGATGGTGACGCAGAGGCCGCGCCTCATCCCCAGCCCGTGAGTTCATCACAACCGGAAGCGGGATCATCGTCAGACAAGGGAAAAGGGAAAGCCGTTGCGGATCCATTCTCTACTTATGAGCCTCTTACTCCTGGCCCTAGTGGTGGTCGGAAGCGGGGCCGTGATGAGTTTGAAGAAGATCTTTTGAGCGATATGGACTCCGAGGAAGAGCGGGAGCTCGCTACCATGACGGATAGAAGCGCTCAGAAATTTCTCCGCGAGGAGGCTTACAGCGGCAGCAGTCAACAAGCAGACGATGATGAAGGCAATGCTGCTGCCAGCTCGTCCCGGCCTGTCGCGCGCACTCTCTTCCCTCAGGCACAAGGCGTCAAGCGTCGGAAGTCGGTGTCCTTTGAAGAACCAGAGCCATTTGTTCCTACGTCTAGTAAGGCCACTACTGCTCATTCGGATGACACTGGATCTGCGGCGCCGCCGCCTAGCACCATGCAGATATCTCCTCCTAGCAGCATGGAGGAGGCTCCCCCTTTCCCTTCGTCTGCCATGGCGGCGACGCAGCAAAATGACGGTGATGAAGACAAGGAGGGCGGTGACAATGACATTGCTGAGCAAGTCATGAACCTTCTCCAAACTCAACCCATCGACCGCTCTGTCTTAGAGTCCGTTCACAATCTCCTCCTCGTATCCGCCCGTCGGACCAGAGGCATTGCTATGGGTCGAGACTCTGCTCGTGCAGCCGTCAACGAGAAGAAGAAGAAGATTGGGAGACTACAGGAGAAGATTGCGGCGCTTGAGAATACGGAGCGGTCGCTGAATAGTCAGATTACGCATATGAAGGCTGGATTGATGAAGATGTACGAGGCTAATTGATCTTCTTTATTCCTTTGTTTCTTTTATTACTACTGTTTGGGAGTTCCGGGGTATAGGAGGAAGCGCAGGATAAACAAGCATATCAAGTAACGACAATACCATGTATGATCTAAGATAGTACAAGCATCAACGATGAAATTTGAAATTTAGTGAATCAGCAGGTGTATTCAATGCCTTCAAAGACGAGAGTTTTTGCTTCGTGAAGTCAACGGTTTCGACTGTTATTGGTCACATATGGCCTATTGAACAATAATTTCTTTGTAAAATTGCATCAATATATACTTTTTTATTATCTATCATTAAGCATTTCGCCAATGCTCTCGTACATATTTTCCGCGCATACAGATAATATCCTCTTATCAAGACTCTAGGGCACTGCTGTTGTTGGTTCTTCTCTTCTATATTGCTTATTTCGATAAACAACGTGGAGTAAAAGAGCTTTGGAGAGAATGTAATTTTCACATCTTCCATATATAAAGCGTCTAGTTCTGAAAAGTGCCCATAGGATGTTGGTATTCTACGTGATAGCCTCCTTCTACCCAAGTTTCAAAGTTCCAAGTTGCAGATTATTCAATTGGTCAAATGTTATGTTGCAAAGAGTTTTTAGAACAAGTTTGGCGTGAGATGGTGAGATCGATGAGTATAGATGTAAACGTCAGCTCGGATAGAAAATATAAATAATCTATGGATAATTATAAGTGTCTGGGTATAATAGTAGATAAGTACCTGCAGCAACTGCTATTCGTTTCTTGCAATATATCATCTCATCTAACGCTGCTATGAGTATGATAGAAGTTATTTTACTTGATATACCTACTAATCTCCACAACGTCACCAATAAACTTGAATATCGTGCACTCGCCACATATTGAACAACACTTTTTTTTTTCTAATGGGGACAGTCCATTTATGATCCAATGTGCGATCTCCTGAGAATTGATAGAAGACGTAAAACATCCACTCGTTCAGTACTGTAGCTCAATATACGTCTCATACTCTGGAATCGTCCTTTGCATTAAATAGTCGCCGAAATTGTCGTTCAACTATCCAAGTATCACTTCACGAAAATAAAAACTCGACAGCTTAAATGATTGATATCTCTTATATGCTGGATCAGTCAATACAAATACATGTATTATGACTTCTCTAAATACATTACATCTGGAATCATGCCTTGACATTATTCCATGGCCGGGCTACCTGTAGCACTTTTACAAGGGGTAAGTCATCTGCATGAGATCCTACATGAAACTATCGAAAGTCATTAAGCCTAAAAAAGCTCGTGCTGTGGTGGATAAAAGTCACCGCTCAGCGTACCAGTCAGGTGATGGCCAAGAAGACAGCACAGGCGTGATGCTGGGCTCCTGCACATCGTTGCTCGATTCGCCATGTACAGATTCAGATGAATGGGATGGGATAATCTCTACTGGAATCAGAAATTCGGTGCCTGAGCGAGGAAACAAAAACAGCCACCCCTCTCCTTAAGCAAGGATCAAGAGCTCTCTAGCACCAAGTACGGCATTCTCTATCCAAAACTGCAGAATGGCTTAAAACTGAACAGCTCATCGGGCGGGCTGTCACTGGATGGGTGTCCATTGGGCTGCTCTCATGTACAACGGCAGAGTGGCGTCCCATTTGAACCAGGGTGTGCTCACCGAGTCGGTGGATTGCAGACGCCCTACTGGCTACTTGCGGGCAGCTTCTGGGCCTGTCTTACTGGCTTTTGACTCGCCTCGAGAGACCTGTCAGTTTTCCCTTGCACGTTTGAGGCGACGGCGAGGAGGGTTGCACAGAGGCGAAAAGCGCTCGGGAGAGTGGCGGTTTCACGATTGGGCAACCACCCCAGCGTGTATTCGGGCGTTTTTTTTTTTTTCTTTTGTTTTTTTTTCTGTCTCTTCCCTTTCTTTTTCTTCCCATGGATCGTTTGTAGCTCATTTCTGGTCATGCGGACTTGAGGACGAGGGTTGTTAGCTTGTGTCTGTCAGCCCTTTTCCCTCCCGCTAACCAGCTTCTGCCGCTATACATTAAACACACACGCAAAAAAAAAAAAAAAAAAAAAGCAAGGTGCATGCACCGGCGATTTCGGCATCGGGCCCGAAGGCGCGGCCTGCCTGATGCCAAGCGCCAAGCACGGAGGAATTGCAGCGCATGGCCAATGAGCTGCATGTCTGGCAGGGCCAGCGTTGCCCAGCGTGAGAGATGGGATGGGATGGGAAGTGGGCGGCAAAGCAACAAAGAGGATACAGGCGGCAATGGATGCCCCCTCGTCCGCGGATAGAGGCAAAAACTGTCCCCCTTGTCAAGCTTGGGGTTGCAGCACATGTACTACTGTAGGTATGTATGTTTGTTTACTGTAATGCTCCGTATTGCTTGCGGTGCACTACCTACAGTACAAGGAATCTGTCCAGTCGCACAAGCACGGTGGGCCGATCCTGCTGCTCGTGCAGAGGCACACAAGTGCAAGAGCCGGGAGAATTGCTCCAGACGGTGGTGGCCTAGCGTGCAACCTGGCAGGGCTTCAACGTTCCTTGTCCGTTCTCGTACGAGCCAAAAGGAAACGAGGGAGATGAGAGAGGGAAAGGCCGTGTTCGGGAACCCGCATAAGATCAGCGCTGGCCTTTGGACCCGACCTGGGGGCCGACGGTCTGGGTCGTTCTTTTGAAACATGGCTCTGCGTGTTTAGTGCAGGCGCGGGCCACTGGTGATCAGCGCTCATGAGCGCGCGAGAAGGGCCCTCATTAGACGGCGTATATTGAACGGATGTCAAATCTCTCCATGTGCCCCAGATTTCATCATGAAGGACCCTGACCGACACTCGTCATACAAGCAAGAAAGGGCATAGCATGCGCTTTGTCCTCAACTCAACATGCTAGGGGGGTTTCTTTCCCGTTTCTTCACACGTGCTCGCCTCCTCGCGTGAGCAACCATTTGCCCAGCACTGCAGTAGTAGTAGGCACTGCAGTACCTACATACATAGGTATAGTAGTAGTCACTACAATGATAGGAAATACTCACAACGATTCAGCCAGTTCTTATTAACAGCCCTTGTTCCGTAAATAAAAAGGAGTAAAAAAGAAAAGAAGACAAAATAATCACGAGAGGACAAAAAGTCAGTCGGCTACAACGTGTGTACGAACGCGGCGCCCAGAAATCATTATGAACTCGGCGTACCCTCAGGGTCTTTTTCTGGCCCGCCCCAGCCGCTACTGGAGACCTGCTGCCCACTAGGGTTGGCGCTGGCCGCCGGTGACGTCTGTGGCTTGTGAGGAAGAAGTGCCAGCTCCACATGGTATACGGAGGCCCGCTGCCGTATCTGGCCAGAACCCTGAGCGCCCCCTCGAGCCCTCTGGGTTGGGGGAAATCTCCCTATATTCGCTCGCTATTGTTGTCGGATAGCTTGAATTCCTACATTTATTGTGTGGAGAACAGCAAATGAGGAGGAAATAGAAGAGACAGTCCGTGTACTGCTTCTATTATTGGCTACCTGCCGGGTATTAGGTACCTAGAATTGCTAATGAGCTTTCGGCCGATGGATGGCCACGGGAGGGGACGAGACAGTGCTGCAGCTCTCTCTCATGCAAAGAGCACCTTACCCGGAGAGCTTCGATACCTGACTGACTTAGCTCAGCGATAACCAGATCGGAAACGTTGGGTACTGGCACGGCAGCCAAGGGTTTGTTGGATGCCAGCCACAAAAGCCACCTTTGTTTGTCTCTCAGTACATGGGCATTGCTCGCAAAAATGTGTCGAGACCATGTATTGTGCATGTACATATTGCGGTACCTACTAAACTACTAACCTTACTTACGCAGCAAAGACTTGCAGCTTCGTGCTCTGCAAGAACTCCGAGCCTGCAGGTCTTTAGGCAGCTGCACACACATCTCGGCCTTACTGAGAGACATAGACATGCTTCTAGACCTGGGGCTGTCGGCATCGGATGTTGACGTTTCCTACATCTCGCTTCCTGCCGGCACCTCTGCCAGGAGCATGCCCATGTATAGTAAGAGCTGATCTAGATGGCAGAAGACAATAACGCAGCAGCAGGTACAAAGCAGAGAGGCTGAAATGGCGATGCCCCGAACGGCTGAGAGCGCCAAAGACGAGCATTGCGCCTCCGACGTCGATTAGGTATTGAGGAGCAGAAAGAGAAAAGCTCACAAGCAAGCACTGGGGTCAGGCCCAGCGCTGCCATGGCGTGCTGCCGCGGCACCTGATTAGCAGGCCCGAGTTCATGGTGGGTTGGGCTGAGGCAAGGGAGGAAATATGGCAAAGCCTCTTTACAAATCGAGGTTGAGAGGCTTGCAGCACAAATACAGTATGAGACCACGGCGCCAATGACACACACCGTCCATTCTGGCTGTCCTTATTCAGAAAGACAGAGCCCAGAGATGGCGACGGTGGCGGCAGGGGGTGACGCGGAATGGCTGCGCGCGCGAAAGCTTCGCATCTACGGGTACGGAGTAGCGAGTAGCTAATAGGAACTTATCCGATAGCTCTTTTACAGCTTCTTTTTGTTCTTTTTTTTTGTTCTCCTTTTTTTTCTTTCCTTTTTGGTGCTTCTTTCTTAATTTTCCGCTGGGGTTTGATATGCGAGCCCATCCATCACCCCATGCCGGTGGCGGGCTGGAGATGCAAGCGGCGTGATAGCAAGTAGTTCGGTGGCAAATTTAATAAAAAAAAGGAGAGAGCAGACACAATCTTTCACACACACACACACATACAAGTACAAAAACGCAAGGGAAAACTAAAAAAAAAAAAAAGTAAACGAGTAAAATAGGTACATAGAAACCTGCTCGGATGCCGGACCATCTTGCATAGGATATTGCCGCCACCTTTAAGATTGACTCCATAGCGGCTTGGGCTCCGTAATTTTTGTTTCCTGTGTCGATGCCTAGCCTCTTCGGTGTTCTCACGGTGAGAAACGAGAGGGCATGAATCCTATTCAAGCCGTAGTTGACCGCTAGCTAGCAAGCTAACGGAGGGCCTGATCGCCTAGCAGTACCGCACAGCAGCAGTGCTTGCTGCCCAGAAGCGGTTGGATGTGGTTTTCCTTTTTGTTAGCCGCACGATGTAGACCCTGGCCTCCATTCAAACGGAGCGGCCGATTTGCTCAGTAATAGCATGGACTTGCATTTCTGCCCGTTTTCTTTTTTTTTTTTCTTTCTTCTTCTTCTTTTTGCAAGTCTCACGTTCGTCACGTACGAGTGAAAAGTGGTCACTTGTGATCTGGCTGCAATGCTTGCGTTCCATCTCATCCTTCTGACCTGCATCTGAAGGCGAAGCGGGAAAGAAAAAAAAAGGCCTATCCACGTGCCGAGGAGACAAAAAGCCAGGATGCTAACTAAGGTACCTGCTAGCTTCAAGGTCCCAGGTACTGCCCGTAGCCTTCTAGGCCTAGCACTACCCTCCGAAGGTACCTAACGCGGTTAGCAATTCACCCCATCTATTGGGTGCCTGCTAATACTTACAGGCACATCCTTGACGCACACCACACAGAGCCTCTAAAAGCCTCTAAAAGTCCTACCGTACATTTCGATGTTCGCCGTGTCCATTCGCCTGAGACTTTGAGACCTGCTAGCATCATTGCTGCCGCCGCCGGTACGGAGTAGTGGCTCACACTGAATACCCCGTAATTGTATGTACCTACTATACTTAATCTACGTAGGTACATTTACTACAGGTATGCAAGGGAAACATGGACCGCCGTACCGCATTCAAAACTCTGGCAATTCCGGCACTCAAACTCGAGACGGGCGAGTTCGTAGACTCACGTAGCTGCCGAGTGCAGCTTGTAAGGTTTACATGCGAGTACTAGCTGGTACTCGACCGACTACCGTACAAGGTAATACTTTAGTAGCCCATCTCTTACTGGTGCCCGAGGGCAAATCTCAGCCCATAGTCGTATTCTCGCGGGCAGGGAGTTGCACCAGGTCGATCACCTTCGTATTGCTGCCAATAAATTCACACACACACACACACTTTGTTTGCGGCAGGACTTCCGCTCAGAAACCGGTGGTTGGCTGCCACGGGGTACATGATGTCCCCTACTGGCAGTATCATACTCCATTAGTACCTAGCAGTACAGAGCACTACACTTCAGTTGTCCGTAATTCTGATATTTACGGTGCTTGGATCAAATTCAGTGCGGCCTCACAAAAGGGTAGGTACATTGTCGCTCTCCCTCCCCCGCCTCAAAAGCCGCTCTGCCAGGGTCTGGCCTCGCTGTTTTTCCCGCTAAGAGTGCACCAGCCCAGCAGTGCCAGCTCCCCATACTACCTGAGCTGAGGTACCTAGCCCTCTACCAGTAATGATACTCCGTGCTCCTCCTCCGCCTACCTTTGAGCACTATTCCTATTCCTCCCCTGTCTGGGCCCAGATCTAGTCTTCTCCTCCCATCCATCTTTCAACGTTTCTCCTCGAGGCCATCTGCACTGGGTGCTATTCGAAAAAAAAAAAAAAAAACCTCTGCATCCCTACGTTAGTATTCTTCCTCAGCATAAACTCGTCCTTCGTCAACTTCCCCCGTTGACGGCTGCCTGTGTTGTGCTCTGCCCCGAACTTTGGTGGTCCGCGACACGGCGATTTGAGCAGCGTCCCTCTTTGCGCCTGTTGTTGTCCCCCTGTCCCCTGCGCTTGTTCTTGCTCTTATCCTGTTTCTGCCTCTCTCTGGCTCTTCTGCACTCTGGTCGGTGCTGCTGGCCGGTTCAGACGAAGCCAGTCCTCCCAGTTTCTTGCAATCTGCCTCTCTTCGCCGCCTCGAATGACGCTGGCATTCTTGCCTATGCCCCGTTGATTTATCGCTTACCCGAGCCGAGTGTCCAGGTCCCGGCACCTTGATCTCGTCCTCGCCCACCGAGCTGCCGCTGTTCCCCGCCGCCGAAGACCAAAAAGCAGGGACTCTGTTTCTCCTCTAGTTTTATTTTTCTACTCTTTATTTTTCATATCTTATCTTCTATTTCCCTCCTCCCCGCCCGCCGCTTCGCAGCCTCTCTCCACGATATTTCGTCCCTCCCTTTTTCTCTGGGGAACCCCCCCAGCCAGCGCCCGGCATGATCGAAGATACGGCGGCACTCGCTGCTGCCGCAGAGCTCATCGCCTCCTTGGCCTGTGACCCTGCCTCTTTCTCGTTAAGATCGGTCGGGGCCGGCTCCAGCATCAAGCTGCCAGGCCGTGAAAACCCCGCCAAACGCAATTTGGAGATTGAGCTTGAGAAGCTCGCCCAACGGATTTCTCAGCTAGAGAGCAGGGCGACTGTCTCGGCCACCGCCGTCTTCCCAGAGACGCCCAACGAGGTCAACGACACGATATTCAACGATGAATCTGACACTCCTGTCAATGGCCGCCCTGCGGCTCCCCAGCTAAAGCTGTCCCAGGCTCAACAAGGTAGCTTGGACAGTCCGAATTTTGTATCCCACCAGCTGACCAAGGAAGCGCTGCAAGGACTGCACGCCCACGTTGACGACCAGTCCAAGCTCCTAGACAACCAACGCCAGGAGCTTGCTGGCGTCACCGCGCAGTTATTAGAACAGAAACAGCTTCAGGAGCGTGCCTGGGAGGCGATGGAGCAGGAGCGGGTAGCTCAGCTAGAACGAGAGCTACGGAAGCACCAGCAAGCCAACGAGGCTTTCCAAAAGGCCCTCCGAGAGATTGGAGAGATCGTCACTGCTGTAGCCCGTGGCGACCTGTCCATGAAGGCTGGCATGGAATCGGTCGAAATGGACCCCGAAATCACAACCTTCAAGCGCACCATCAACGCCATGATGGACCAGCTGCAAACCTTCGCCAGCGAGGTGTCTCGTGTCGCCCGTGAAGTCGGAACCGAAGGTCTACTGGGTGGCCAAGCCCGCATCGGCGGTGTAGACGGTGTATGGAAAGAGTTGACAGACAATGGTATGGTTCTGCTTGCGTTATTTTGAATTATCACCCTCGTCTCTATCCCTCGTCCCCCCCCTCTCCTCCTGCGTCGAGCTGGTTACTATTTGTAGTAGCATTAATGGGCCTCAAAACTGACACGGTTTTTCTTTGTGATAGTCAACGTGATGGCACAGAATCTCACAGACCAAGGTATGTATAAATATGTCCCCATCTTCTGACCTTTTTTCTCTCTCTCTCTCTCTCTCCAATTCTCCGTTCCTCCTCTTCTCTATCCCATCTTTTCCTATCCGGCGACTTATTAGTTGAAGAGAGGTGGCTGAAGCTCTGGGCTTGTGATCTAACATGATGCCATCCAGTACGAGAAATTGCCTCTGTCACAACAGCAGTCGCCCATGGCGATTTAACAAAGAAAATTGAGCGACCGGCCAGCGGAGAAATCTTGCAACTGCAACAGACCATCAACACCATGGTGGATCAACTTCGAACATTTGCATCGGAAGTTACGCGCGTAGCCAGAGATGTCGGAACCGAGGGCATCTTAGGTGGCCAGGCAGATGTTGGTGGGGTCAAGGGCATGTGGAACGATCTCACCGTAAACGTGAATGCCATGGCCGACAACTTAACGACCCAAGTGCGCGACATCATCACAGTCACAACGGCCGTCGCCAAGGGCGACCTTACCCAGAAAGTCCAAGCCGAATGCCGAGGAGAAATGTTCAAGCTCAAGTCTACCATCAACTCCATGGTCGACCAACTGCAGCAATTTGCTCGCGAAGTCACCAAGATCGCCAGAGAAGTCGGAACTGAGGGCCGACTTGGTGGTCAAGCTACAGTCCATGATGTTGAGGGTACATGGAGAGATTTAACCGAAAACGTCAATGGCATGGCCATGAATCTGACGACACAGGTGCGGGAGATTGCCAAGGTTACTACAGCCGTAGCCAGAGGCGACCTTACCAAGAAAATTGGGGTAGAAGTCAAGGGAGAGATTTTGGAGCTGAAGAACACCATCAATCAAATGGTTGATCGTCTGGGCACATTCGCTGTAGAAGTGAGCAAAGTGGCCCGTGAAGTCGGCACAGATGGTACGCTGGGTGGTCAAGCCCAGGTCGCGAATGTCGAGGGCAAGTGGAAAGATCTCACCGAAAATGTCAACACTATGGCATCCAACCTCACTGTACAGGTATGTTGAAGATGAATCCTAACTAGCCATTGGCGGTGGCTTCCAGCTCCGTTGATGCCAGAAATCGTTTTCTTTTTACAGGCTGACCGTCATCTTCTAGGTGCGAAGTATCTCGGCTGTCACGCAAGCAATTGCAAACGGAGACATGAGCCAGACAATTGATGTAGAAGCAAATGGTGAGATACAAGTGCTGAAGGAGACCATCAATAACATGGTTTCGCGTCTGTCAAGTTTCTGCTACGAAGTCCAACGTGTTGCCAAGGACGTCGGTGTCGATGGCAAGATGGGGGCTCAAGCTGATATCGCCGGACTAAATGGACGATGGAAAGAAATTACCACCGATGTCAATACCATGGCCAGCAATTTAGTAAGTCACTCTTGCATATCTGAATTTGCATCCATAGCCGCGAAAGCTTCAAAGTACTATTATACTTACCTATGTTTAGACAACCCAAGTACGCGCCTTCTCTGATATTACGAACTTGGCTACCGACGGCGACTTCACCAAGCTTGTAGATGTGGAAGCCTCTGGCGAGATGGACGAGCTCAAGAAGAAGATCAACCAGATGATATCAAACCTCAGAGACAGTATCCAGAGAAACACACAGGCTCGAGAGGCTGCCGAGTTAGCCAACAAGACCAAGTCAGAATTCCTTGCCAATATGTCCCACGAGATTCGAACCCCGATGAACGGTATCATTGGAATGACACAGCTCACACTGGATACCGACTTGACCCAATACCAACGAGAGATGTTGAACATTGTCAACGATCTTGCCAACAGTCTGTTGACCATCATTGACGATATCCTGGATCTATCGAAGATCGAAGCTAGAAGAATGGTTATTGAAGAGATCCCGTACACTTTACGAGGCACCGTCTTCAATGCGCTCAAGACTCTCGCAGTCAAGGCAAACGAGAAGTTCCTTGATCTCACATACAAGGTGGACAGCTCTGTGCCTGACTACGTTATCGGAGATTCGTTCCGTTTGAGACAAATTATTCTGAACCTCGTGGGCAATGCCATCAAGTTCACCGAGCACGGTGAGGTTAGTTTGACCATCCAAGAACAGGAGGACAAGAGACATGTCGCCCCAGGAGAATACGCCATCGAGTTCATCGTGGAAGATACCGGTATCGGTATTGCCAAGGATAAGCTTAACCTCATCTTCGACACGTTCCAGCAGGCAGATGGCTCAATGACACGCAAATTTGGTGGCACAGGCCTCGGTTTGTCTATTTCGAAGCGATTCGTCAATCTCATGGGTGGAGACCTGTGGGTTAACAGTGAAGTTGGCAAGGGAAGCGAATTCCACTTTACTTGCCGTGTGAAGCTGGCCGACGTGCATGCGGAAAGCGTTCAGCAGCAGCTGAAGCCATACCGCGGCCACCAGGTCCTCTTTGTCGACAAGTCGCAGTCAAATGCGGCGACACACATTGGAGAAATGCTGGAGGAGATTGGGCTCCTTCCTGTTGTCGTCAACTCCGAGAAGAGCTCAGCTCTCACCCGACTTAAGGAGGGTGGTGCTTTACCATATGACGCCATTATTGTCGACTCGATTGATACTGCTAGGAGGCTGAGAGCGGTAGATGACTTTAAGTATCTCCCTATTGTCCTGTTAGCTCCCGTGGTCCACGTCAGCTTGAAATCATGCCTGGATCTGGGCATCACGTCCTACATGACAATGCCCTGCAAATTGATCGACTTGAGCAACGGAATGGTCCCCGCTCTCGAAAACAGGGCCACGCCATCTCTCGCAGATGTTACCAAGTCTTTTGAGATTCTGCTTGCCGAGGACAACACTGTCAATCAGAAGCTGGCCGTGAAGATTCTCGAAAAGTACCACCACGTTGTTACTGTTGTGGGCAACGGCTGGGAGGCTGTGGAGGCTGTTAAGCAAAAGAAGTTTGATGTGATCCTAATGGATGTTCAGATGCCCATCATGGTAAGTAATAAAGCGCTTCGTAGAGCAAACCGGTTACGTTCCTGTTAACTTACAAACTTTCTTACCAACAGGGAGGATTTGAGGCCACTGGCAAGATCCGAGAATACGAACGGGGCATGGGAACGCATAGAACTCCCATTATTGCCCTCACAGCCCACGCCATGATGGGTGACCGCGAAAAGTGTATCCAGGCCCAGATGGATGAGTATCTGTCCAAGCCGCTGCAGCAGAACCAGCTCATTCAGACCATCCTCAAATGCGCGACCCTCGGAGGTGCGCTGCTAGAAAAGAATCGTGAGCGAGAGCTTGCTCTGCAAGCAGAAGCTAAAGCATCTGGGCGTCACGATAGCGATCGAGGCTTGCCACGCCCGAGCCTCGAGGGCCGGTCGTTTACCGCCCGAGAGCCTTTAACCAAGAATAAGCCTATCACCAAGGCCACCACCAAAGCCCTAGAGGAAGCGCGATCGGCTGCGCTAGCGAACGCAAAGTTCAGTGATTTTTCTGAGCTTGGATCCGAATTCTTAGATGAATTGGAAGAGCTGACAGAGGGAACCGACACAATTCTAAAAGCACGCGAAGAACTTTCTGATAAACGAAGTTTCTCAAGTTAACTATGCACGAAGATGCTATTCGGATTGTGGCATCGTCAGATATGAGCGTCGCACTTTTGTTTGTCTGATATCGTCTTATCGAGTCTATGAGTCTATTGCCTGACATGAGCTTACGAGAATCACACTGATTTATTTATACCTTCCTTGGCTATGTTTGATGGCTAAGCTTTTACAACTCTCTTTCTTAATCTTGGAGAGTATATGAGCTCTGGGGATTGCCGGCCGTCGTATCATGTCAATACAACTCACATGGTGCTGGATTTTCTCTTCTCTTCAGCAGGGCGGTAGTATCGCTCTTGATACGAGTATCTGTGTGCTGATCATGTCAGGCCTCTATTTCTCTTCCTTGTTTTGACCATAGTTGTTCTTTGCTTTTTTTCTTTCCCAGAGCATCGCCATTGTTTTTGAGAATTTGTCGATATACTCCTCTACTTCTAGCCCTCAACATGGCGAATACGGTGTTGATATGACCTTGGACGAGAAAAAAAAGGCTTAAGCGGCCTGTCCTGTTTATGTGGTCTAGTTGCTTTCCCTAATTCCCTTATGCACTATTCATTTTGTATTTTACCTCGCAGCTATACTCGTCTCCATTGTTCTTTCTTTCTTTTTTTTTTCCCTCTTGATTTGTAGGGACGTTTTCCTCCCTTGCTAGCAAACGGACGGGGGGATTCGCAGGAATATTGCGGTAGCAATGGTAAGCAGGTTGCATGAGGCCATTGCGAGAAGGAAATGGCATAACGAAGGAAGCCAACTTTTCTTATCGTTCAGTGGCCGGGGGACGGGTGTGGATTTTTCTTTGTTTTTATTTTCCATTCCTCTTCTTGCCCCTCTTTTTTTCCATGGGAGGAAAAAAAAAGGCGAGTTTCAGGCTTGAACCATTTTCAGGCCTGAACCCTTTTCACCACAATCGTTGATATGACGATGGGAATAAGATGAAGAGAAGTTCTTGGAAGAGGATGATGGGCAAAGGGAATGGATGTGGTGGTTGGCATGGTGGCATGGAAGGTGGATAAGAGCAACAGAGATCTTGCTTTTTTTTTTCTTGCTTTTGTCTTGAAAGGAGTTATTAGTTATCATTTTTGGCAGCGATATTAAAGGCTTTCCATCTTCTTACCGTAAGACACGATGGTTCTTCTATATCTTTTACTATTGATGTGCCTCCTTTATGTGACGAATCATGGCGTATTGGACACGCAGCGTTGTGCATGAGTGTGTTTATTTCGTGACGAATACAGATTTGCAGGTAATTAGGTAAATGATGTTGTGCTATGTATTAAGACGTTTTGGTACACATTTATTGTGTGATATCTAAGTTGCAATGACTATTTGTATATATGCAATTTGTTTAAAACTCAGTGCCTCATATATATCCTCATGAACCTTGAATCGCTTACGAACACAGGTATACGGCCCAAAGAAGGAGAGAAGCAAAGAAACAAAGAAGGAAGACGCCAAGGAACAAAATGAAAAGGAAAAAAACGAGACCACCCTTCATTTCTCGTCTGGCTTGGTCTGCTGGTTAGGAGCTTCGTTTTCCGGGTTCTTCCCACCCTTTTCTTCTTCTTCCAGCTGCTCAAAGGCGGCGAGTAAAGCGTCGAGTTTGGATTCGAGGTTTGTGAGGTTGGCTTCCATTGCTGTGGCGGTTTGTTCGCCTCTGTGAGAGATGGGTTAGATTTTGTTATTCTTTGATGAATAGTTTGAGAGATTTGTCAATGATGATCGGCATATGCTTTAGTAGAGGAATAGGCGGTAGGATGGAAGGAGACGATTGTGGTGAGCAGGGCTGTAGAGCAGGGCTGCTCAGTGTAATCTAAGATGACGAGCTGGGCACTGTGGAGATAAGGAGGTGATAAATGACGTCGATGATGCTGAGGTTGTGGGATATGGGAGATGGTGACTTTATTTTTCTTCTTCTTCTTCTTCTTCTTCTTTTACCTTGCGAGCTCTCTGAGTGCCTGAGACATTGGTTAGCCACGGGTCTCAAAAACTGACATCATAGTATACATTCTCCTCCGCCGCCGATCTTCCCCGGCCAATCTTCCCCTGATTACTGGAATGACAGCAACCAAGGAAAACTTGAGAGCTGGAGTTCCGCCCCAGCGTGGGATGAAGAACAAGACAAACAATGAAGGGAGACGAAAGAAACCGGATTCATAGTAAGAAGGGAAATGGAAGTGGGAGTGCATCTATTCCTTTTGTATTATTGAGGGGCAGTGTGATGTAGAATGTGAAACCGCAACCGAGAAATACCCATTTTCCAGCAGGTTTGCTGTATACACATACCTGAGCGAGGTCAACTTCAGGAGCAGCCTCGTGTTGATCCGGCTTGGGCGAGTTGGCGACGGGGCTGTCCGATGACGCACCCATGGTTTGGTGGTTTCTCCTTTCTGGTGAATCTCCAACGACCCGCTCTGGATGTCTGGATCAGCGAAGCAGGCGAGTTACGGAGAGGGTTTTTGCATTCGTAGCCGCCGGGGACTGGTTTTGATGGGTCTACGTAACGAGGCCCGCAAGGCTGAACATTTAACGGCGTGACGGCTACTGGCAATACGGAGTATAAAAAAGCGCTCCGTAATGAATTGGCGGCTGCACGTGACGCGAATCGCCAAGGCCAGTTTTACATGCCGTTAACAAAACAAAACTCCGCCGAGTGTACTCTTATGATATCATCTCCTACACGTGTTCTGATATAATGAGCCCCGATGACCGTTATGGGCTCCATTATGTAGCGTTATAGCTAGTTTGACTTGACTCGATTTCTGTTTCTATCTTCCCCCCTTGTTTTACCCTGTGTTTTTTTCTTTCCTCTTTTCGCGCCCCTTTTCACGTATGTACTAGCAGTCTCACCAGCAGTAAGCCTGTTATTAATGACCGTTGGTTGGCGAAGAGTTTGGCCTAGGCTGGCTGACTGCCTCAGACAAGACTTGCGCTGCCTTACTCGTTCGCGTTCGTGGTGCGGCCTGCAGCTTCAACTAATATCACACGGGCCTCAAAGGTCCGGAAGCTCACTTATTGGAAGAAACGCAAAACAGCGGCTGGGCCAGTCCAATCAAGGCGAAACTGGGGCCTCAAAATAGGTATCAAGTGGTATTGCACTGCCAATAATTAGCTACCCAGGATCCCTGAGAACATCCAAGGCTGCAGACGGATGCCGTTCCGTAAGCATGGATTTGAATTGTACATGCACCAGCCGTGCAGTAGCCTCTTTATAGGCGCACGTTGACTAAAGTAGGTTCCACGGGGGTTGTGAAAAAGGCCAATTGATTTGGAATAGGGCGATTCTTATTTGGTCTTGTCGGGGAGCAGAATCTCAAGATGGTGCCCCGTTCAAGCTGTAACTAATCAAATTGCTTGTTTCGGATACATCCGCACCCGCTACTCAATTTGGGTCTCGTTTGTTGGCACAGACATCAAAGAGCCTCGACGATGAAGAGCAAAAAGCTCATGCAAGAAAGCCAGGCTTGCCCTTTATTAGGACGAGTGAGTTGATTTGCAAACGTCTCCTTGACTGCCGAGTAGCGTATAATTCGTACTCGGTTCCGTAAGCCTGCTGCCTCACATAAAATTTACCGTAATCCTCGTAAGTGCAAGGTAGGTGGCCAATCTCGGCCGCAAGATGCTTGTGTCAGCTCGACGAAGCGCACTTTGAACCCTTTGCCCTTTGCCCTTTGCCCTTTGCCCCTCGAGCAAGTGAGATGTGGGCTGTTTGCTCTGCGTCGAGCAACAACTAGCTCAGAGTGCGACAATACTGCAGAGCACCCTGTGATACTGCTCCAAGCACGCCTCTCCACCCATGCATAGCCGACGGTCTAGATTCTAAAAAATGACGCTGACTGTTCGTATGCCCTAGCTGCCATGTTCATGTATCTTCATGTATCCATTTGCCCGTCATGGCAGTCTGTAGAGGAGGAGCTATACTGTAGAAGAAAGACGGAGGCGACAAGACGGAGGCGAAAACGCACCAATGTAAAACGGAAGTTGACAAAGTCAACCACACTTCCGTTCAGAGCGACCGACAGATAAAGATGATCGTCGGGGGTAAAAGGCGCTGTCAGCGGCAGAGGGTGCTGATCACAGCTTGGTGAAGATACGGCGAATCGAGATGTGTTGACCGACCTACAGCGGCGTTGACATCATGAACTTGGTCTGGCGTGAAACTGTCTCCAAAGCCAAAGTGGGCCACCAAAGCTTTGCTCAGGGATATTAGATGGCCTGTGTTCTGCACTTACTCGTTAGTATGGCAAGTTATATGATTGGCTTTATGCCAGCAGAAACTAAACCTGCGCCCTCGACCCCCCTACTCATGGGGGCAACCAGTGTGGTGGGATCGAGATCTCCAACTCATTGTCGTATTTGCTGGAATTTCCCATATTTGCGGATGTCGTCTTCTGGAAATGCGCGCCATGTCGAGGTGTGGGCTGGGCGCCTTTTCTGCTGTGGCAAAAATGAGCCATCGTTTGCTGCCTTAAATGGAAATACCAGCACTGTGTCTCTCACCACACCTGGGCGAACTCGGCAAACGCAGCGGAGGTTTCCGCCGTCTCTCCAGCAAGCCAAGTCCCCTTGCGTTGCTTGCCACAGGCCGACAGCTAGGGCCAAACGGGATTCCCAGTGGGCAGCAACGTGGCAGCTCCGTTTCTGGGACGGGAGCGTGTCATTCTCTTGCCGACGGTCTTGGAGTACGAGACACTGCAGGAGGGCTCTTTTCCCGCTCCATTTTCGTCAACCTCAAGCGTGCCATCTCCTCCAGCCAAGAGTGGCGTGACCTAAGCACGAGGGGACGAGAAAAATAACGTCTGAGGACTCTGTGGACACATAAACGAGAAAACTACGCACACAAGCATCGCAGCCGGTGCAAAGCTAAATGGTGCCTGAATGCCGGCTGCGTATGCGTATATTCAGTTTGCGGTCCCTGTTTTTCTGCCCCCATTGCAAAGCTCGATGCTCAGGCTGGAATCCGATCACAGCACTCAGTACCATGCCCCATCAGCCTGGTTAGTGCCTGGTAGTGCCGGCATGGGTAAGGAAGAAGGAAGACGCCCTGGCGTGTGTGTGTGTCACGTAACGCGAACTGCACCTATGCTATGATAGGCTGCCTATCGTCGCCATCAACTTAGCCGGTGCCTGGCCCAATCCGCAGTCGCCCTCCGCTCTATTACCCTTGCCTAGCTATCCACTGGCCGCAAGCCACAGACCAGAAGGCTTTGACGGGATCGAGATTGCTGTCCTTTCAGACCAATGCCGCAGCCCAACGACAGCCTGTCGCCCAAATCGCCCGCCAGCCCAGTAACAAAGCTAGTCTAGCCTCCCAGCTGCTGAACCATGTTTATTTTCCTTCCTCCCCCCCTTTTCTCGAGCGTCAGCAGAGGCACCCCTCGACTTCAGCAAGCACACAAAGTAGTCTCGTAGCAGGAGGGTGAAGGAGGAGGAGCCATATTCCTCTTGAGTAGTGGTATCTATAGCGGTACTCCATCCCGATGCACGACGACTCGCGGCACCAATAGGCCCAAGGCTGAGTCCTGGAGAAGCTGGACAAAGCCCGGCGCTTTAGTCCTTGTTTTAGACGCCCTCGTTAGCCCCTTTCAGCCCTCTGTAGCTATGTACAGAGTAGGTGGTCTGTTCATGCTTGACCTCAACTTGTACATACTGCACAGAGGTATTCCATGGCACCTCGAGTACGCCATGGGCAGTTTTTCAAAGGGGGTGTGAATATAGTTCTCATGTGTGGCGTTGTTGCGATTCAACCGTACGAAGCACCGTAAATGGCCGCCCCTAGTCTGTAGCTATTCTGCCCATTCATTCTAAGTATGTGGTAGCTGCCCTGCACCATCAGTATTATATAAGCCTCGAGACGGAGAGAGCAGACTTAATCCTGCCCTTTCGAATGTTGTACTTGCACAACTAGGACTGTTTGGAGGTACAAAAGTAGTAAGAGGTGCTTGTAGTCCTTTTTTTATTTATTTCGCTAAGAAATTGGGCATCTTGGCCTTGGTTACTGACTTTGGTGTTCGATTCTTGGTTCAATTGGTGCGCAGGTTACATCATTCTCGTTATACATCCTCAATTTGTCCAAGTATATGAGACCAAATGCTGATGTTCTCGTCTACCAAATGGAGTCTCGCACGCCAGCTTTGCCTGCCGCCCTGCTAAGTTTTTAGTCAAAACGGTGTAGTTCCGTTCCGTTGGCCTGTCTGCAGTAGTATTAGCTCGTGGAGTACAGCTCCCATGTCCGATCCCTCACGTCGCCACCGATCCCCCCCAGCCATCGTCTACCTGTGGTAGTGGTCTCTGGATCGAAAGAAGTTTCCTCCATCACCGTGTCGTCGGAGTCAAGACATACATACAACCCTGGAAACGGGCCGGGTTCTTCTCTGATAGCGGCACACCTACCCTCGGCATGCCCTAACACTTCGTAAGGTATCTGCCCAGAGTTGCACGAGAGCCCCCCGTAATCCGTCCGTCGCTTTTTTTTTTTTTTGCTTGCTGTCCTTGGTATCCTAAGCCTCCGTGCCATTCCTATCTTTCGCATGGGGAGGGCAGTACCTTTTGTTCTCAGTCTCTTTTCCCCCATAACAATCTCTTCTCGCCAACCCTCTGTGTCTACCCCCCTCCAATTCTCTCAACCCTAGGCCAGGTTTGATCTCGTTCCGCTGTTTCTGGAGGAGGGAACAAAAGGTACATACTCGTACAGTTCTGTGGGGACCATTGAAACCTTGCCGTTCTGTCTAAGGAGGTGCTGACAAGTAAAGTGGCCATCATAGCACCGCCATACCGAAGCTTAGCCTGTCCCATGTCTATGCTGTGAATGTTTGGCAATAGTGGTAGTTTCCCATCTTAACCACGAATCTCGATTCATTATTCGCTGCGTTCTCCGCTTGTGCGTTTCTGGAAAACCTCGTGGCTATCTGCAGTCGCCTTGATTATATCATTCAAGGCTGAGGGGCTGGGCCCATCCCCAGTTTTGACATACGAGTTGCAGTCATTGGGTTTTATTTTCCAAGTCGCTCGAGTCCCATTTGAAGTAGCAGATCCAGCGTCCCGTCTCAAATCGAGATGGTAGATTCTGCCACTTAGGTGGCAAAGCTTGCTAGATATAGCTCGCTTAGCATTCGCCCTTCTTTGATATCAACTCCTTCAAGTCTATGTGCCATTTTCAGGCTCATTCTTCCTACAGGTTCAGGTTGTCGGCGAACGTTTTAGCCCAAGGTCCATAACCTCGAGACGCTGACAGGGGCTATATCTTGGCCTTTCATCTCGTGGTGCTGGCTAGACCTTGGAATTTTGGCCTCATGAATGAAATTCCTTGATACTTTTGGAGGCTGTTATATACTCTCCATCCTACTTTTGACGGTAGATTCGCTGCACCCCAAGGAGCCATTTGCAGCTGTGGATCGACTCGCAGCAATATTACTGCGCAAATTGTTTCTCTCGTGGATATCGCAGCCAACCGACGCCATCTGCGATAATCATCATTCCAAACGACCGCAAATAATCGTCGAGCGAACCTTTTGGAACACAAATAAGCACGTGGCCGAACCGAATATTGCCTACCGCCGTGCCTTTTACCTTTCTTGATTTACATTTCCCGGCTGTACCACCTCCTATTATCTTTAACGATCAATTCTCCGAGTCGCATGCGTACTTATGGTTTAACCTAGCTCCAATCTGTCTCCCCTTCAGATGGAAATAAATGTCAGATCAACAGGACCATCGAAAAATAACGTATAACTTTTAATTCAAAAATGAGAACGCAGCCTGCTCAAATGAAGCAAGACTTGGAGACTATCTTTAGAGAGCTGGGAATCTCTCAGTATCTCGATACCTTTGTGGAGCAAGGCTTCGATACCTGGGATACCATTCTCGATATTCAGGAGTCTGACCTGTGGGTAAATCGATTTGATTGTGTGCTGGCGCAAAGCTAACCAGATTCTCAGTGATGCTTTGGGTGTAAAGCTGGGCCATCGAAGAGTATGTTTAGCAACGATTGGCTGAATTGTTGTGGCATCACTAACGGTAAACGTGTTTAGAGACTCCAGCGACGAATCGCCAACGCAAGGGGGATTGACCCCAGTATCTCACTGTCATCAATAAAAGCCGCCATCGAAGAGGGAAAACATGATGGTACTTATAAAAGGAGAGAACCAGGTCCTGGTGATGGTAGTAGCGGGCCAAAGCGCAAATACCGCCGGCATCCTAAGGTATAGCTCGCGGAGAAGTCTCTTCTGCCGAAGTTTCGCATGCTGATTAACATTGACTAGCCGGACGAGAATGCACCTGAACGTCCCATGTCCGCGTATGTGCTCTTCTCAAACAGTAAGTTCATTGACTACTGCTTCTAATGTCGCGAGACAGGAAACAGTTGCTGATAATTGACACTGTCGCAGAATTAAGAGAAAGCCTTAAGGGCGACCGCTCTCTCACATTTACCGAAATTGCCAAATTGGTGGGAGAGCATTGGCAGAACCTATCATTACCAGAGAGAGAGGTATATGAAGGCCAAGCAAGACAGAGCAAGGAGCGATATTATCGGGAGATGGCGGTTTATAAAGAAACACCAGAATATCGCAAGTATATGAAATACCTCGATGAATTCAATGACAAACAATCCAAACCCAGTCAACGTGTGTATATATGATTACATCAGCTTCCTTTCCGAACCGGAGCTGATTTATTCTCATTTAGGCAACGAGGATGCAAAACGAGCAAGGTTGGATCAGCATGAGCTCATGCACGATCACAATGGTTCTGGAAGTAGTATTGTGAGCGGTAGCACAATTTTAGGCGGTTCAACCTCAACCGCGAGCGGCAGCAGCAGCGAAAGAAGACGAGATAGCGAATCCCGCGAGTCTCCAAATCCTCGGCAAAACAGCGTCAACTTGGTCTTTTCTGGCCCAGAATCACATCATTCCTCAGCAGCCCCTATCCCATCTCCAGCATCGGCTTACTTTGAGGTCGACATGACAAAGAGAGGCAGCAGTTCGGGCCACTTACGGCAAGGCTCTTCATCATTAAGAGGGGTAACACAAATGGTACCACATCAAGTCGACATGCCACAACAGCAGCAACAGCATCTGCCATCGCTTTCCGATATGCTGGCCAGTGGCCAAAGAAGATTAGACGCCCCCGTGATCGAGCCTGCGGGACTCCCTCACGCATTTACAGCAACCCATCACAGGCCATCAGCGTCTCAAGGAGAACATGCATTGCTGCCCGTATCAGTACCAGCTCTTCACCACGAGTCATCATCAAGCGGCAGCAGTGTCCCAACGGTGGCATCGAGCAGAGCTAGTCGTAGATTGAGCGAGGGACCATTACCAATCCACGCGCTTCTATCAGACCAATCTCAAACGCCTCATCGCGGAGATGAAGGCCCGTTATATACAGCCAGCTACGTTGCTAGTCCAGTTGAGCGGGGGAGGTCAGCCTTTGGTCCATACCAAGGGCCTAAGGGATATGGTACCTAATCCTTTCAACCTGAAAAGCTTGAATAGAAATGCAGCTAATATAGGCCGCTAAGGTTTCCAAACTGCGTCCTCGGCTTTGCAGCACATGAGAGTCGAGGAGACGAGCGATGGCGATGTAATAATGACCTCAGCAGACGAGCCGCTATTTAGTTGTCATACTAATGAAGCAACCGGTTTTGACGGGGTGAATGCGTTGCTAAAAGCTGGCGAACTCTTTGACGATCGTTAGAGCCAATCTGGCAATCAACCAATGGCGGCGATATGCCCATAATACCTGCTTTGATAATTAGATACCAGCTAATCGCAGTTGGATATGGAGAATGCTATGAGTGAATAGTATACAAGCAGTCGGTTTTAGTTTATTTTTCTGCTTGGCTCTGTTCGCTGATGTCTCGTGCATCTTTTAAATTCTGTTCAGATACCCATAGCTCTTTTGTCTTCTTCAATTTGTTTATGTGTTGGATATATATTGATGTAGATATACCTTGTTCTTCTCTTCTTCTTCTTCTTCTTCTTCTTCTTCTTCTTCTTCTTCCTCTTCTTCTTCTTCTCCTTCTTCTTCTTCTTCTTTTCAAATATGTGAGAGAGTGTTCTCTTTTCATTTGTATCTGCGACCTGTGGATACCGATATCGGGCGACGGTAGGAGACAGGAGGCTGGCGTTGATGGGAATATCGTTATGAACAATAGGACCCAAACTTTCAGGCAAAAGTGTTTGGGGAAGTGTCTGTTTTATGTTCTTCATCTTGGAAGACACCTGGTATCAGGATTGCTAGCCGTATAGCTCCGCATTCTGTTGAAGGTAGCTTGCTGAAAATAATCACCTATGTACTTCTGCTTGGTTCTTGTTACATGTACGCAATTTGAAGAGCTCACAGCAAAGCAGGGTAGATCTGCCCAGCATCGATAAATTGATAAAAAGAGAGCCTTTGGGTTACAATTGTACACGTGAAGCTTTTTGCACCCAGGGTACAGAGAATTGGAATGAACTGTTGGAAGTGTGAAGTCAGCCAGAAGAAGGGGGTTTCGTAGCAAAGGTAAGCAAGCACTAAGAAAGACATGGTCACGGGTGGATGCCTGAAAAGCTATGCAAGACACACATTAAGGCACCCGATACGGCTCTTATAAGACAAGAGCTACTAATGGGTATGGCCCAGGAAAGTAGGGACCTGTAATCATCACCAGAGCTACGTCTCAGACAAAAAGGAACCTATATACGCTGCAAAATGATTGATGTGTTATAATCCTATGGCGTTATTTCTTTCACACCAAAGTTACAAGTTCATATACTAATCATCGACATCATAGCCTTTCCCAAAGCGCCTAGTAGTGCAAATGGCCACCGCAATCCTATCCATGCCTTGTTTGTTTTTGCTCCTTAATTTTTCTCTTTAGATGATCTCCTGTATAGCAAAGAGACTTATACGGCGCCCTCTGTGATTTCAGCCGTCCAGTCTTTCCGAATATCCAACTCATTCAGCCCCTCTGTATTTTCAATCACAAGTCCCTTCTCGTTTGCCAAATGAAGCAGACATATGAAGCAAAACGAGGTGGAAATGTCTGCCATAGCAGGTTTGGGGTATACTGACTGCAGCCCATTCATCACCTCGGTGAATTTGAGCGTAGTCTCTTCCTCTGAGTTTGGCGGTGGTGCAGGGGACTCCTACGCGAGGTATTGGTTAGCATAATTGTGGGAAGCCGCATCGCGGTGACTTTCTAGCGGATTAAAGAGCATTGAACACATACCTCTAGCTCTTCTAGGCCCATGCCTTTCCAGATTTCTTCTTTGAGTCGCCTTACGTCCACCTTCTTTGCTACCCTGGCAAACTGAACATATTCAGGTCGCACACGGCGCGTTTGAGTCACTAGTGTTGTGCCAAAGGCGCCCATTGTGTTCATAGTGTCTCCATTCAACATAGCGGTCATTCCCACTCCTTCTGTCATGCCCATATCTCCCTCAGCTCCTGGTGAAAGATGTTCTCGAGCGTCTGAAAACTCAAGATCATCATCATCTGGGTCATCGCCACCGGGGAATGGCAGACCATCGTCGTCTTGGAAGAAGTTGGCGTCATAATCGCCTTCAGGCAAGGCGGCGTCCTCGGGCGCCTTCTGCTGCGCCCAGAATGCTTCATCCAAGTCTCCCACTGGCTGGCTGTCTTGAGAGCCATAACCCTGCGCGCCTGTGCGTGAGCCAAATCCTGGCCGTTTTCGAGCTAGGCGAGCCCTGGGCTTGAGGAAGAGATTCAATAGGGATTTTGAGCTAAAATGTTTGTCGTCAGGAAGTAGGTTTCGAGACTTGGACTTCCAGTCCTTTTTGGGTAAACAGACAGCTGAATTGCTGGAGGCTTGTGTATAAATGAGGTCGGACTGGCTAGGGCTGAGAGGCGAAGAAAAGTCGATTTCAAACGGCTCTTTTTCTTTGCGCTTCTTAGCCTCCCCTGACGGCTTGTTGACGTCTTTAATCTTGCGAATTCTCCAATGCTCCGCGCTGGCCCAGTTCTTTTGCAATGCTTGGTCAAAGAAACTCAGTATGTCTTGATGCATCTTGTCTGCATTTTGCGAGTTGCCCATGGACACAATATATTCGCCGTTCTCGTCAAAGCCCTCCCCATCCCCGCCTTCTCCGCCATCTGTTCCAGCGTCATATACACGCATTTGAGGTTCAAGAGCAGCCTCGCGGGCCCAGGCTTCACCACCCTCGCCAAAAGCAACATCGCCGAGTGTATCAAAGTCGCCAAGGCCCAGATCTTCATCATCAAAGCCAGCCGGTGCATCTTCATCAATGAACATGCCAGATTTATTGCCAGGGGCGCCGGGCTTATCCTGGTCGTGCCTCCAGTCTTCAGGAGCCTTCAAAAAAGGGATGTTGATAGATCCAGAGGGATCTCCGAGTTCGAAGCTCTTCAGGGACGGGCAAATATCGAGTTCATCCAGTAGGCCAAGGTCAGGAAAGAAGCGCTGGCCGAGCGCTGTAACGTCAATCTCTACCTCGGGAACATCCGGCTCTTGGTCTTGGTCCTGATCTTGGACTTGGTCTTGATCTTGGTCTATATCCATATGGTGGTCCTGATCAAGGTCTAAATGGCTTTGCTGGACGCCTTCGCCATCCTCCACGGCTTGGTCTTCGTCTTCGTCTAGTTGGTCCTCTTTCTTACTCTTATCTGCATCGCCGGCATCATCGCTACTGTCAAAAACAATGCGGCCTTGTGAGTCAATCATTAGGTGGTTAAGTAATAGACCTTTGGCGCCTCCCTCGTCGAAGTCGGCAGAGGCCTTTTTGAAGAGTGGATCGACGGCGAATTCAAGCTCGAATTTTTTGAGTTGTAACGAAGCGAATGATGGCGCAAGCGTTGCTTCGGATGATCTCTGAACCTACAAGGTTGGGCAAGTTGGTTAGTATCCAAAGCGAGTCGCCAAAGGATTTTACTTGTTTCTGCTTCTTACCTTCTTCTTCGTCTTCTTTTTGACGTTGCCATCCGCATCAACCTCTTCCTCGCTCTCTTCACCTTCGCCGGCCCCCTCTTCGGCGTCGCGGTCCTTCTTCTTGTTATTGCTGTCTGCGAGGCCACTCAACAGCTTGCCCGTCTCGGTTGCTACGCTATCGATTCGATTGGTGTAGATCTTGACACAGCCATCAAGAGTACAGCTCGCTTTTTGGAAGTTGACACCATCGCCCTCCTTGAGCAGCGACATATCATGGAAGTAATCGATGAGGGCAAAATTCCACGAATTGGTCGCATTGATCTTGTTGTCAGTGGCCATCTTCATCCACTCCTCGAAGTTTGCCAGAATGGGGACGCGCTTCATCGGCGTCACGGAGACGCCTCCCACCATGATGGGGTCGTCGCCATCATCCAGCACTCTTGCGCCCCGAGGCGTGCCGGGATAGGGGCTTTGTGAAGCATTCTCAAAGTCTTCTAGCCGGAGGCTCTTGCGTGGGGTGGCCGCTCTCTTGATCTCATTTATCTGCTTCTCCTGAAGGGCCTTTCTGTTGTTCATTCGTTGACCCTTTTCTTGCGCGTCGTCGTTGAGGGGGATTCTATCACTCATTATTCGCATACAAGCCTCGACGGCGACGGGTGTTGGATTCCATGGGACAGGCTTACTTGACGGGAGATTTGAATGGCGACCCCGAGATGGACGAGGCGCCACCTGCGCGTGGCACCTGAGCGACCCGAGGCATCGTTGCAAACAGGCTTTTTGCGTAATGGTGCGCCGTAGGACTGTCCCAGGTATGCAAGGCAAAGCCTCTGCCGCGTGTCGACTCGGTGCTGTGGACGAGGAGTATTTTTGTTTACTGTTGACTTTCTGTGAGGCCGGCAACACGAACTATCAGCGGGAAACCCCACCTTGGGCGGCCAGCCAATTGTGTGATTGGAAAGCCACCTGCGCCACGCGCCACAACCTCCTGCAGTCGCGAGGTACTCCGTACTTGATGGTACTTTGTGCCTTGAAGAGGGCAAAAGATGCCCATTATGGCGCCGTCAGCACTCAATGCTGTAGAAATACGCGGTGGCCATGGGCGACTAATTTATGTCGTTGTGTTGTCATATCATCGGCAGTGCTGTCCTGACCTGATCCTGTGCTTTGCCTTCCTTGAACCAAGTATTCCAATACCCTCTGGGGACGCAATTGACCAGCACCCGACAACAGGCGTTAACGCGCTATTAGAACCTTAACTGGGGGGCCCTGCTGCCCGCCTTCCCCATACGGAGCACAGAAAAAGTCCCTTGGAGACGAGCCGCCACTGAGGCTTAGTTGACTGATTGCTGGCAGACGTCGTCATTGAATTGCCATGTTCCGGCCGCACCCATACCCGGTGGGACTTTGAGACATTCTCTCGCCAGCCCTCTTGTTCCAACCTCCGCTGCTTCAGCGACTCTGGCGAGCTCACTGGAGTCTTGCCTTGCGTTGCGATATGCCGATACGACCAGCATGCGGACAACAAACGCCAGACGGGGCCGTTTGAGCTCGCGGCCGTTCTACACGACGGTCTTGTTGCTGTCCTTGCTGGCCGCGTACTCGTTCTTGACGCACTCTCGACATCGTCATGACTTTCGAGAGGACAGCCCAGCGCTGCTCCGACGCTCCCACGACCGGCCTGAATGTCGCGAAGTGCACACGGCCAAGGACCAATGCGCTTTTGTCAAGCAATACTGCGTAGACGAAGATGCCGGGCTTCTTCCCTACCTGCGGCTGTACTACTGCAACCTGGGCAAAGCGCAGCCTGTTGCCTTTATAGTTCTTGTTGGCTGGCTGGGGCTGCTGTTCACCACCATCGGCATTGCGGCGAGCGACTTCTTCAGTGTCAACCTGAGCACCATCGCCACCATCTTGGGACTAAGCGAGAGTCTTGCCGGCGTCACATTCCTGGCTTTTGGAAACGGCTCCCCCGATGTCTTCAGCACCTTTGCGGCGATGGGGTCCAACAGTGCAAGTATGGCTGTTGGTGAACTCATTGGCGCCGCCAGCTTCATCACGGGCGTGGTTGCGGGGTCCATGGCCCTGGTCAGAGAGTTCAGGGTGGATCGCCGGACATATGCTAGAGACATTTGCTTCTTTATTGTCGCGGTCGCCTTCACGATGGGGTTTTTGGCCGATGAAGAGCTACGATTCTGGGAGTGTTGCGCAATGATCGGATACTATGCCCTGTACGTGTTCGCTGTAGTTGGATGGCATTGGTACACTACGAGGAGGAAGAGAAGACTGCGCAGAGAAGGAGAAGCTCGCAGCCATTTCTATAGCCTGGCCGGCCACACTGGAGATGAACTCGCAGGGGAGCCCTACCAGGACGATCCCGAAGACGAACACCAAGAAACAAGTCGACGGACAACAACAAGCACTGGGACTGGAGGCAATCTTTCCGCCTTGGAGCGCGGTCCTATCATAGAAATTGACGGTCAGATAGCTGAGCCGCCTGAGAGCGTGGATAGCGAAGAGACCGATGAGGACCATGAGAGAATGGTCGCTGTGGAGGTGGCCCGGAGCATGCGAGTTTTGCGCCCCCAAGGCAGGCGGAGGAACACCATTACACCGATTCGGCCGAGCTTGATCGGTGCGTTGGAATTCAGGTCTGCCTTGGCACACTTGCAGCGTGAGAGCAACCTTCAGCTTTCAGCAATCCCAGCGCGGAGCTATTCTGATAACCACGCCCGAAGAGGACGGCGGGGGAGTACTAGTGCCCTCTCCAGCTTGGTATATTCCGATGACAGTTCCGCCACTACCGTGAATGGGAGGGAAAGGGCCAGGTCGCATGGAGCCAGCCCAGCCTCTTCATCACCTCCTCCGGAATTACTAGGCCACAGCCGAGATCGATCAGACTCCAATTTGCACCCTCCCCAAGACGGCACTATCAGCCAAAGAACAGCAAGTCCCGCGCCGTCATATCAAATTGGCGGCAAACTTGCACCCCCTCCGGTTGATGGACCAACAGCAGTGGCTGGCAGCCCTCACCAGGAATCACACGCGGCATCTCTCATTCCTCGCCTCCGGTTGCAGATACCCAGTCGACGCAGCAGCGTGAGTACTCGATCATCGCCTGTTTTGCCCTTTCCTCAGTATACCGACTCTCCTTTGGCGATTTCGCCCAATACGCTGGCCATTTCTCCAAACACGCTGGCGCCTTCTCCAAATGCGCAGCCAGAGCAAGCCGGGCTAGGTTTATTGCCACCTCCAGCTACTGTTCGCGAAAGCCCCTTTGTGGCCCTCGACAACGCAGCAGCTACCTCGCGACCAGTTAAATGGTGGCCCTATTCTATTCTCCCTGCTCCGCATGTGCTCCTTGCTACCTTATTCCCAACTCTGCAGGGATGGAAAGAAAAAGCATGGTGGGACAAGCTTGTTAGTGCCATATCTGTGCCAAGCATCTTTCTCTTGGTGATAACACTACCGGTTGTTGAATCAGAGACCTCGGAAGAAATTGATACCTTTGACGATGTCATCACCGTCACAGATCGTTCTGCCCATAGGTCGATTGGACATATGGCTCCGCCCATTTCAATCCAACCAGGAGAAATAGAACCCGAGGATGAGTGGGAGCGATTTCGAAGATATTCGCTAAACCGCAGAAATAGTGATATTATGACCGAAAGCATTCCGACACCATATTTGGCGCTACCGGAAGAAGATATTTTGGCTGTATCCCCCCGAACCCAAGAGCCTGGCGCGGCAAAGCCCTTGTCCGAAATTCGCTCCATTAGCCAAGCAAGCGAAGAAAAGATGGGATGGAGCCGTTGGCTTGTCTGCCTCCAGCTCTTCATGGGGCCGCTATTTGCCGTCATTATACTCTGGGCAAACATTTCTGAAGACTGGGAGAACCCAAGGGGCTCATTGGTGCGCATGATTCTATGGACGCTTCTAGGATCTTTCGTATTGTTAGGGGCCCTTCTTCTGCTTACTACAGAGCAGAGGCGACCGCAATACCACTTTCTGTTCTGTTTTTTGGGCTTTATTATCAGCATAGCTTGGATTTCAACAGTGGCTGGCGAAGTTGTTGGAGTTTTGAAAACATTCGGCGTGGTTCTCGGCATCTCAGAGGCTCTGCTGGGACTCACTATTTTTGCTGCCGGCAACAGCGTAGGTGATTTAGTTGCTGATATTACGGTGGCTCGACTTGGGTATCCCGTCATGGCATTGTAAGTGCAGCCCAACGTCCGGAAAAAAAAAAAAAACTTTGCTTTGGTTGCTTTGGTTACTGACTACGTTTCTTTTGCACAGATCTGCCTGCTTTGGCGGACCAATGCTTAACATCTTGCTAGGCATAGGCGTGGGTGGTGTTTTGATGATGGTCCAAGATGCAAATCACCACCATAGAAAGCATCCAGGGGACCAATACGCTTACAAACCGTACCGTATACAAATTGGGGGAACTTTGATGATCTCCTCCATTACGCTGCTCGTAATTCTGGTCAGCTTGCTAATCTCTGTGCCCCTGAATAAATGGATCTTGAGCCGCAAGATCGGCTGGGTATTAATAGCCATGTGGTCGGCCAGCACGATAGTCAACGTTGTTGTTGAGCTTACGGGTGCTTTAGGCGACATCTCCTAACCGAGTGCCACACAAGCAGGATAAGCTCATGTATATTTATATGGAATACTGATTTTGATGGGGAAATGACATTACGAGGGCTCGATTTGCATGCATGCGTTGCATTTGGATTGTTTTAACCTTGTATACCATAAGTTTGCTCGTCCCTTCTTCTTTTCTTCTCTCTTTCTTTGTTTTCTTTTCTTTTCTTTTCCTCCTTTGGATATGGAAACGGTTGACACGCATACGAAGAATACCTAGCAATGGAATACGTGTATAGGCCACGAGGTTGGCGTTATAAAAATAGACACCAGACTTGACAATACTGCATGTACTCTTATCACCCTGATACTATTCGCTCGTGGTGCAAGCACCAAGTAATTGACTTTCTTCATAAGCTCAATTAAGTTCTGTCAGCCATACGCGCCAAGTTTAAACTGTACTGCCATGTCATTGGAACTTGACAGATTTCACAGGCCCTCCTCGTATTCACTTATTCATTGATCCATCACATGATGAACTCGTGCCCCAAAACGCAAGCTTTTAATCAAAACAAAACACAAAGGCTGTGTAGATCTACGTGTGAATCATTTCACTGGTTTCTGTCATTGGCATTCAAAAGAACAGCTGTCTAATTCGTCCCACGTCTTTGCCAATAGACTGTTGACAGGTATTCCAATTTCCTGTCCCTGAGCAGCAAAATCCTGCCGAAACGTGGCTCGTATGCTGAAATTAGTGGCTTGGATGTTTCATTTCACCGGCTGGAGCTGGTGCTGCTAGCGGCCGCTTGCACCGCCTCTAGCCCACCCCTGTAGCACCACGCTGTAGACCCTGATAGCACAGAAGCTCCAAAAACAGACTGGGCGAGTTCGTCACTGGTCTGGCCTTTTTGGGCCGTCAATATTTATTATCTAGCTTGACCGCCCAGCGATTTGACCCCTCAGGCTCTAAGTCAAGTCAAACACCCCGCCACGAAATACATTCGTTCATACAAAGAATAACTTCTTCTTCTTCCCTTTTTTTTTTTTTTTTTGCGAATTCTCGTCTTCGGAAAGCTTTCTGCTGCTTATTAGCGACTCTTCATCTCTTCATCTCCTTCTCTTGCCCGCCATGGCTGCTCCTGCTTATACCCCTCTTGAGGACCGTCCGTTGAAGGACACGATTTGCCTTTTCGACGTTGACGGCACATTGACTCCCGCTCGTCTTGTAAGTCAATCCATCCCAATACTCCCAATTGGTCGTATTTGGATCTCCAGTTCGGATCTACGTTCTTCCAGCTTGCCAATTCTTTGTCTTTCAATCAATCCCACCTCTCTCGATAACAAATTAACAAAACATCCCAAAAACCTCTAGGATGCCTCTCCCGAAGTCCTCGACCTCCTCCAGGCCCTCCGCAAGAAGTGCTCCATTGGTTTCGTCGGCGGTTCCGACCTCATCAAGCAGGAGGAGCAGCTCGGCAAGCCCGCCGGCGTGCCTGTCACCACCCTCTTCGACTACTGCTTCGCCGAGAACGGCCTGACGGCATACAAGCTGGGCGAGGCGCTCCCCTCCAACAGCTTCATCAAGTGGATTGGTGAGGACAAGTACAAGGAGCTTGCCAACTTCGTCCTGCACTACATTGCCGATCTGGACATCCCTGTCAAGCGAGGAACCTTTATTGAGTTCCGCAACGGCATGATCAACATCAGCCCCGTCGGCAGAAACGCCAGCACCAAGGAGCGAAACGAGTTTGAGGCCTACGATAAGGAAGCCAAGGTTCGAGAGAAGTTCGTTGCTGTTCTCAAGGAGAAATTTGGCGACCTGGGACTTACGTATGTTACTACTCTCTCTTTTTCCCACCCTGAATTCATCTCTCTGCTTCTGCCTGTGCTCTGCTAACAACATATACGCAGCTTCTCCATCGGCGGCCAAATCTCCTTCGATGTCTTCCCCACCGGTTGGGACAAGACTTACTGCCTGAGCCACCTCGAAAACGAGGCCAAGAAGCCCAACGGAATCGCCTACAAGAACATCCATTTCTTTGGAGACAAGACCTTCAAGGGCGGCAACGACTACGAGATCTTCAGCGACGAGCGAACCATTGGCCACACCGTCAAGGGCCCTGAGGAAACCATGCAGATTCTGAAAGAACTTTTCGACCTCTAATTTGCTTATTAGAGGAGGTGAATACCCAACACGAAGAAGAGAGAAAAGCGAACTGAGGGGGAACAAGAGCGCAAATAAATCGCCAAGGACAGGTCCGCGGCGATAGTCTCATTCAATCAATCTAGATAATACCAAGATACTCCGATTTGACAAATTTTATACATAACTTTATATCATCAAGTTCCCCCCCCCCCCCCCCCCCCCCNCCCCCCCCCCCAAAAAAAAAAAAAATAAAAAAAGGAAAGAAAAAGAGTAACAAGACTACCCATAACACAAAGCAGATACTCAAAATATAGGATAAAAAGAAGCATTCTTGAATCTCTATATGCAAATTAGGTCAAACCAGACGGCCACAAAAAACAAAAGTATTATAAATTGCTTTTCCCAGCAACGAGGCTACATTATTCTTTGTAAAATCTAGGTCTCGATATGATTTACAATAATCCGTCTCGTCTAAAGAATCTTCGCGGGCAAATGTGTGCAATTATGGAAGCAGTAAGTGCAGCAATCTAGTATGAACGAGTTTCTGGGATTTTCTTTTTGAATTGAGACGATATTACTATAGAATCTAACTGGGGCTGGATTATTATACAGTCTAATATCCCCTCTAGGAGCGCCAGGTTTTCGCATTGGACTAGTCTATTGATGGGACAACATCAATTAAATACACAATTTAAAATCAAAGCCAAGTGGGAGTGAAGTGACATTTCCCCTTCTTTACATGAAATACGCTAGCAAATCAACTCTTATTTCCATCTCTTCCCTCTCATAACCATCTCGTCCTCTAAGTTCTTTATCTTCCATACTCCAAGTGAGGAATAATCACAGGTCCATATTTAGTCGTGGCTGTAAAAGCACCATCTCCTTGAACAACGAAATCAACCGCAAGGCTAAGCTTAGACAAGCCTTGCTGCTGACTATGAAGGCTTGGGTTAGGACTGAAAGGCGCCTGGTTCTGCGCCATGACAGCGTCGTGGTCATAGGCAATGACTGCCACATAGTTCCTACGGCCCATAAGCTTCTTCAGCTCCCTGCCCGCTCCACTAGCATCTGTATGGAAAATCTCCATCATATCTTCTTTGGTGTCAGACACTTCGTGTGTGGATTTCTGGCCATTGAGTGGCACATAGAGCGTCTTCTGATTATGGAGTAACTTCAACACGTAGGTGCTCTGAGGCGCGGACACAATTGGCGACGTAATAACCTGGTACATTGTCTTATGATCTCCAGGGTGTGTTGGGTCGTGCACAAGACCAGCTCCTGCACAGTTGACATCTGCCGAGATCAAATAAGTCAGTATAAGTGGTATGATGAGATGGAAAGATTATGTATTGCAGCTTACCTCCAGATAAGAATGTCATTCGAATACCCTTTTGCTGTGAGATGCCCTGGAGAGTACGGATAAAATATGTCCTTTCAAGATCCTTAGACTCATGTGTCCACATATCTTTGAGCACCTCCTGGATGTCCAGCTCTCCAAATTGATTGAGGACGTTGCCCATGAGACCACTCTTACCAACAGCCTTCTTGACTTGACTAAAGCCCTGCGCTACCATTTCTTTGCCGCCGACAACACCTGCCACAGAGCTGGTGACTTTGCCAAGTATATTGTATGTTGTATTGACAGCCTTCTTGCCTGCAGCAACGGTATTGGCCAGGCTTTCCACGGTATCCAATCTGGGGTATATTAGAGGAACTGATACCATCCAAATGGCATGCTGGACAGATGGTGGTAAGGTCGCGACCTTGGGAAATATTCCTTGGTAGGTTGGCCCGGCCATTACACGAGCCTGAGTCCTTTCGGATCGGCAGTCTGTGCCAATCACAACTACTGCTGGGCCAAGATATTTGACGAAATGCCATCCAGTGCCAGTAATAGTGAAGATGTCATGATCAGTGCTGACGTTACGCATCATCTCTGCCGTAGTGTGATGTTGGAAGAGCAGATACATGTCTGATGCTACGCGGCCAGTATTTTTGAAGATAGCAGATGACTGCATGTAGTCAGGGTATGATCCAAATCCATCAAAGCTAGGAAAAGTTAGAAACGTTATCAACGATGGATGGAGCCCCTTCCCCCTTCCCTTTGCACTTACATATCGTGGTCATCAATTTGCAAAACGTGAGGAATTTGTGCAAAAGCTTCTCTCAAATAAGGCTGGTCAAAATGGCTGGTATAGTAGTGGAAGTAAGCATGGCTTACGTCCTCTTCATGTCGGGCAGTCCATTGTGTGTTTCGCTTGTTGTCTCTTCCGCTCATAGCTAGCCACTGCTTCATCAGTGGCACCTCTCTCCACAGTCGATCGCCATAAATCTGGTCGCCCAGTCCAAGCTGTACGTGAAAACCGCCGCATTCTACATTCTTCTGGAGGACATCTTTCCACATGAAACCCACGCCACCCAGCTTAGAGCGTTCGTTTTGAGACGTGCTGACCGCGAAATCATTGCCTGAGTGGGCTATGAATCTCCATCCAGTTTCGTGTCTGCCTGCTACGACAAACTCGTAGCGTGTACATCCAAGGTGCGATGTAACGGCATAAGTCCATCGTTCAGTGGCCTCTCCCATATCGATGTCAATCTCATATTTATAAAAAGTCCAGCGTTGGTGGACATAGATGGCGTGAGGAACAAGCTGCCTGGGATTTGGAGAAAGATCCATACTCTGATGTAAATGAATTGTAGGCGGCTGTGGCGCGTCTGTCACAATAAGTATGCTACCAAACCATTTCCCAGTCTCAATGTTCATATTGACGTATTTCAGGTAAGGGCCAAAATACACTCCGTTGGTTGGTTGGATCCTGTACATGTCCACACCAGCACTTGGTGGTGGCCCTGTAAAGCCAATGGTCGGAGCCTGTGAAGCTGCAACACTCATGATACTTTCAGCATATCCGGGAGTGTGTGGAGGAAACATGGGGGAAGCCATTGGTGTTTTTCCAAACATGGGAGATACCAAGGGGTTTCCGTATGTCGAAGCCGTGGGCGAGAGAGGAGCCTGATCATGCTGGATAGGATTTGGCCCCTTGGGAAACTCCCATTGAGTTGCCTGGGTAGCCAAGTGGATGTAGTAATACTGGCCCGAGTTCTGATCGAGGTGGGCAATCCATCCCTCAGGCAAAGGTGGCGGAGAAGCAGGGCCAGCAGCTGCGAGATTCGGAGGCATTGTCACGACTTGAGCATGTTGACCACTGGGCTCTGGCCGGGGATCATTTGCAAATGCAGGGTGACCCTGATTATGAGGAGCTGTGGAAGCAAGGCCTGCAGCGGCGGCGGCCGTGGCTGCGGCCGTAGCTGCAGCTACCACTGTGTCTTTAGCTGGCGTTATGGAACTAGTGGCCACAGGGGCTGGAGCAGCGGCAACAGGAGCAGTTACCGGCGTTTGATTAGCTTGTTGTGGCCGCTGTTTCTCATTTGGATAAGAGGTTCGTCCGCCAGGATTCACGCTGGAGTAAGCTGGTGGAGGAGAACTGGTGCTCAAGCGTTGGAAATCTTGTTCCAAAACACTGACTTGAGCTGGGGAGTTGACCTGATTCTGCGCCGGCTGTTGCTGCTGCTGTTGCTGAGGAGGCGGGCTGCTGACTGGATGCTGTGGCTGAGGGGATGAAATCGCATTCATGCCCTGGTATACAGTCGGCGGACCAGAGGGAGCTTGGTCAGGAGACTCCGTGGGTGTCCAGGGACGTTGAGGCTGCGGCGTTTGATTATTGTATTGTGCCAATCTCTGTGCAGCAGCGGCACTCTGAACCTGAGAAGCTTGAAGACTGGTGAGGGTTGCCGTGCCGGAAATGCCCGACGCAGCATATCGGGCCTCGATGCCCCCGCCAGGCACGTTGCCAGGCTCTACAATAGGAGTCTCTGGAGGTGGAGGTGAGCCCCTGCTGGCTCTGGTGGTTGAATTCGAGGCCGTTGAAGCAAACCGATTGACACCGGGATCACTGGAAGCCAGGTTTTCAACCTGGGGAATCTTTGGAGGTTGAGGTGGCGGCTGCGCCTGCTGTGGCTGTGGATACTGCTGGGGTTGTTGATACTGTTGAGCTTGGGGCGGCTGTGGGTATTGCTGTTGCTGCTGCGCGGGAGTGCTGCTCGATGACCCGGATGCAGCTCCCCCAGGTGGCGGGTAGTATGTTTTTTGGTAGGTTGGGTAGTTCGTTGTCGAAGCAGCAGGCTTATCCTGCAAAGGCCTCGCAAAGAGGCCATAGTCGGCATCAGGACTGGATGGAGAGTGTATGGGCTTCGGCGCAGCACCTCGTCTCTCGGCAAGGCCTGGCTTCTTTTCGGCAGCAATGTTCGTGTCCAGTCGGGGACTCGTGTCGTTATAAGCGGAGCCGTAGGGTTTTGGAGCAGTCGGCTTTCGGATATCGTCGTCATCTGGAAACGGTAGAGGAGCAGCAGAGCTCGATGCGCCAGGAGGCAGAGGGAAGGTCAGTCTGCTCGATGAAGTCGAAGATACGCGAGAATGAGGCTCGGGACTCTGTGGTTTGAAAATGCGCAACGGCTCTACCGTTGGACTGTCGCAATCTTCTGGCGCAGGTTTGCTTAGAAAAAGCTCATTGTCAGGGACGCCACGGCTGCGCTCCATTTTGCCCGAGGCAAGAAGAGGTGTTTTTTATATGCTACAAGCAGAGCGTTTATCAGTAAATAGAGCGGTAAAAAATAAGAAGAGGTGAGAAGCATACTTGGCGTGGAAGACAGCAGCAGAAGCGAATATCAGAGCGCTCTAGAATGAGTATCCACCGCTTTGGCAGCGACCGTGACGTGCGGGAGAGAGGTAATATTTGTGGATAGGAATAGGTAAAGTGACGAATAAACTGCAATACCACTGAACACTCAGGAGGTGTTCATGTACTTGAGCTGCGTGAGATTGTCGACGTCTCCTCGTACAGTCCGAGTAAGTATGGACGTGGCGGCACCCTGAAGCTGGTGGCGGGGTTGACACAATCCGGGTCTGTACCTGTACTCAGCCTAGGTGCCCCTCTAGTTTCCAAAATAGCGGATGGGTCGCAGAACTGGCCGCACGGCCCGCTGCAACAAAAGCAGGTCCTGTAAGTGAGATGCCGAAGCGTGTAGGAGGAAGAAGAATATAGAAGCTTGAACCGGTTGGACGCGAAAAAAAGAGATAAACACGAAGGGAAAGTCAAGGGATAGAAAAGAAAAGGGACAGAGCGCCAAAACGGGTGGCTATAGAGTTTAATGTGAGATTGGTTATGCTTAGGTAGGTACCTAGTAGTAGTCAAATGCCACTTGTTAGCGGCAGGGTCTGCATGTAGTACCAAGTACCGGGAGAAATGCACGATGAGGCGGTAGGATGCAGGTACTGAGTACTGCCCAAAATATCTGCATCGCTATCGATATCAGGCCATGCATTGCAGCTCCATGCCCGCATCACCAGGAACAGCGACGGCACCCGCAACGCGACCCCAAACAGGGGCCCTCGGCGGCAATGCGAAGCTGTCTTGGTGCCGTGGCTGAAGAGTCAAGAGGGTCTGCTGAGCCCGCAGAGTTAGTGGCGGCAGGCTTGCACGTGGAGAGCCGTGGCAGACCTGGCAGCTGCCGCTGATTGGCTGCGCAGCTCCGTTTCGCTAGCCCTGTAAGCGCCGCGACGTGGACAAAGGCTCCATTGGATACGCCACCACGAGACCCAATGGCCTATGAATGCGAGATGCAAGCGCTGGCATTTCGACGCCGAGACTTGCAAAGGCCTCATCAGCTGCGACAGCCAAATGAAATCGTACAATTAAAGCGGAGGCTGTGCTCGCTGGCGCTCTGCGTGCCTCCGTCCCCAGATAGGCAAAGGAGCTACCTATGCAAGGTGATCAGATGTCACTTTGACGCTTCAAGCTGGGGGTATGAAACTGGGCGGCAAGAGCCAAGTAAGATGCTTTGAGTAGCCAGGAATATTTTTAATTAGATGGCCGATGCATCAGATGCCATGTTCGAGGCACCATTGTTGCCCATGCAAGTATACTGTCGCTATGCGCTTTTCATATACCTTAGTACCTACCTACTACTAGTAGGTGCTGGTGCTCCAGAGGCTATGCCCGGCACATGTCGCCCGAAAGTTCATGGGCGTTGTCATCATCACCGGCATCTTGTTTCCGATAGCTGCAAGAAGTAAGAATATTCGAGTCTTTAATGCCGTCTACACATGGATACTGAGTTTGGTTGGCTCGGGCAAAAGGCCTGGGTTACTGAGCACATCCAAGCAGCTGGACGGCCCTAGCCCTGGCGTGACAAAGACCTCTCAACCTTTCAAAAGCGTCAAACCCGATGGTTTGACCTAGCTACTATAATAATTATTTTTTTCTGAATAAGAGAGGGCAGGTTTGTGAATATTCCAAGTAGTTAGAATCAGCTAGCATTTGGAGGCAGTTACATACTAATGTACTGAAGTACAGTGGCACGTCGTTAGTTTTCGACCCCCATTATGTAATTTGAAAATATGAGCTATTTTAGACTGACAATTTAGTACTAGTGCTTATGCGCTAGCTTAGAAAAAAAAGAAGGTCCCTATATTATAGTGGCGTATCACTATATTATAGCGACTTACTCACTATATTACAGTGCATTTAAGCGCTATACTATAGCGAGTGCATCGGAAATAAAGCGGCAATAGATCTTTGCTACCACTAGTACCATAAACGACTAGCCATCAGTTTTCAGTACCTAAGGGGGGTCGAAAACTAACGACGTGCCACTGTACTACTTTCATAGTGGCGTGTGATAAGATAAGAGCTCCCCTGACGTCGACATTTCCTAACCAAGTAAAATATGGGGCCTCTCAACGCGTCTGGCACGCGTTGAGAGGTCGACACTACCTTAACATTTTATCATGTTGTAGCAGTCAGTACTTTGTAGGTGAGAGCGGTACTTGGCTACACCAGGACGGCTCTTTTCTGTAGCTGTCAGTTTCATCATGGCGCCCGTATCGAAAGCACCAGAGAAGAAGCAGAAGTCCTTAACCGCATTCTTCACGCCCAGGGCCGCCAATGGCACTGCGTCATCGTCTTCCCAGAAGCCTGCAGTGCCATCTTCGCCGACTCCCGCAAGAGACCCGGATCTGCCCTCACGAAAACGGCCTCTCGAAAAAGACAGTGAACAATCCGACAGCAGTGCTGAAAATGCAGTAAAGAGAACCAAGGCTACTGAGGCCAGCAACGAGAAAAGTTCTTTTTTCAACAAAGATTCTGCCGTTGCCACAGCTACTAGCAACCAAAGTCCCGCTTCCACACGAGTACGACGCTACCATTACAATGAATCGAACTCACAAGAAGATATCGGCGAAGGGAGCGATGACGACGACGAAGTAACGAGAAGGAAGAATGAGGAGCTGCACAGGAAGTTTGTCAAGAAACTGGGCCATCCAGATGCCTTGTCGTGGGGTTCCTTGAAAGCACAGGACGGCGCAGCAGCCGGTGATGATGAGGATGCAGACGCAGATCCTGAAGAAGACGAGGCTCCGGTTGCCACCAAGGCCAAGAAGAAGGGGTCAAAATCAGGAAAATTAACACCTATGGAGCTGCAATTCCTGGAAATCAAGCGGAAACACATGGACACTATACTGATTGTCGAGGTCGGATACAAGTTTCGATTTTTCGGTGAAGATGCTCGGGTGGCCGCCAAAGAGTTAAGCATCGTATGCATACCGGGTAAAATGCGATATGACGAGCGTAAGTATTATTATCTGATGCCTTTGATAGAGCCTCGCTAATTAGCATCAGATCCTTCAGAGGCTCATCTGGATCGATTTGCGTCCGCCAGCATTCCGGTTCACCGATTACCCGTTCACGCAAAGCGACTCGTCGCTGCCGGCCACAAAGTCGGAGTCGTGCGTCAACTCGAAACTGCGGCCCTGAAGAAAGCCGGCGATAACAGAAATGCCCCTTTCGTCCGCAAGCTCACCAATCTCTACACAAAGGGAACGTATATCGATGAGAATGGAGAGTTGGACAACCAAGACACCTCTACCCCGTCTGGTGGCTACCTGCTTTGTATCACCGAGACAGCAACCAAAGGTTCTGGCGCAGATGAAAACGTGAATGTCGGGATTCTGGCTGTACAACCCGCCACTGGAGATATCATCTACGACACTTTTGAGGACGGTTTTATGCGAAGTGAGATTGAGACACGTCTCTTGCACATATCACCCTGCGAGTTCCTCATTGTTGGCGATCTCACCAAGAGCACAGATAAGTTGATACTGCATCTATCAGGCAGCAGTACCAACGTTTTTGGCGACCGCAGCCGCGTTGAGCGTGTGCCCAAAAGCAAAACAATGGCTGCTGAGGCCTATTCGCACGTCACTCAATTCTACGCCGACAAAGTAAAGGAAGCATCAGACAATGAGACAGCGAGTGCTCTACTCGACAAAGTCTTGAAGCTTCCTGAGGCGGTCACTATCTGTCTGTCTGCCATGATTAACCACCTACAGGAATACGGCCTAGAGCACATCTTCGGCCTTACAAAATACTTTCAGAGCTTTAGTACGCGATCCCACATGTTGGTTAATGGTACAACCCTAGAAAGCCTTGAAATCTACCGCAACTCCACAGATCACTCTCACAGGGGAAGCCTCTTCTGGGCCGTCGACAAGACTCTCACCCGGTTCGGTCAGCGTCTTCTCCGAAAATGGGTCGGTCGCCCCTTGTTGGATCGAGAGCGTCTAGAAGAGCGCCTTGCCGCCGTGCAGGAGCTTCTCGACAAGCAATCCACCTCTCCTGTCGACGATTTGGAAAGGCTTCTATCCACGACCAAAGCAGATCTTGAACGCAGTCTCATCCGTATCTATTACGGCAAATGCACCAGGCCAGAACTCTTGTCCGTACTTCAAACTTTACAGAAGATTGCTAGCCATTATTCCTCTATCAAATCACCCTCTGATGTCGCCTTTGACTCGCCACTAATAGTCAATGCCATCGTCTCCCTGCCTAAGATCCTGGACACAGTCATCTCCTACCTTGATCGCATTAACCTATATGCAGCCAAGAAAGACGATAAATACGGCTTCTTCAGAGAGGAATTCCATACCGAAGAAATTCAAGATCACCAGATGGGAATAGCCCACGTCGAGCACGAACTCGACGAACACCGCGCTGTCGCCGCACAAAAGATTAAGCAGAAGACCGTTGAATATGTCACTGTCGCAGGCATCGAATACCTCATCGCCGTCCCCAATAAGGACATTAAGAATGTCCCCGCCTCCTGGAGCAAGATCTCCGGCACCAAAGCCCTCTCACGCTTCCACACCCCTGAGGTCATCCGCCTCATTACCGAGCGTGATCAGCATCGCGAAGCCCTCGCGGCGGCCTGTGACAAGGCCTTCAAGGACTTCCTGGCCGAAATTGCTGCTGAGTACCAGCCTCTCCGGGATGCTATATCCGCCCTCGCTACTCTCGACTGCCTCCTCTCCCTCTCCAAGGTCGCCGCTCAGCCAGGCTACAGCAAACCCACATTCCTCCCCTCCACCTCCGAGCCATCCATCTCCATCTCCCAAGGCCGTCATCCCATGGCTGAGCAGACCCTAGAGAGCAGCTACATCCCTTTTACCACCACCCTCGCCCACCCATCTACATTGGCTCACCTCATCACTGGCCCCAACATGGGCGGTAAATCCTCCTTTGTCCGCGCCGTCGCCCTCATCGTCCTCCTCTCCCAAATCGGCTCCTTCGTCCCCGCCGATTCCCTCACCCTCACCCTCTGCGACGCCATCCACACCCGTGCCGGCGCAAGGGACAACCTCTTCGCCGGCGAATCCACCTTCATGGTCGAAGTCTCCGAAACAGCTCGCATCTTGCGCTCCGCCACCCCTCGTAGTCTCGTCATCCTGGACGAACTCGGCCGCGGCACCAGCACTCATGACGGTGCCGCCATTGCTCAGTCTGTCTTGCACCACGTCGTGACCGAAACGAGATGCCTCACCCTCTTCATCACTCATTATCAAAATCTTGCTCGCATTGCAGACGGCCTACCTGGCGTCACCAACGTCCATATGAAATTTAATGCACAGAAAGGAGAAGATGGCGAAGAAGAGATTACCTTCTTATATGAGGTAGGAGAAGGTATAGCCCATCGCTCTTATGGACTAAACGTCGCTCGTTTGGCCCGCATACCTAAGAAGGTGCTTGATATCGCTGCGGAAAAGTCAAAAGAACTGGAAAATGAGATGAAGCGACGAAGGTTACAAGGGGCATGCAGAACGCTTGCCGAAGTCGTACAAGCAAATCCGGATCAATTAGATCATCTGATTTCCTCTATTGAACAACTGTAATGACTGGGCTCTAACAGCGAGAAAGGGGTGATGTTTGTTTTGTAATATCCTTCATAGCTTTTATTTGATACGAGATCTATAAAGAGCGAAAGTCTATTGTATTTATCATGTGCAAATAAGAGAAAGTACCTATGAATCTTATGAACGCCAAAATTGTTTCTTTGTGGTCTAATTTGCGTTCAGCCACTAAAAAGGCAAAATAACTCTTCAACGAGGCTGTCTTGTTCAAATTGATTATGATTGCTGGTAAACAGTCCCTGTCCCATATGAAACCCAAGTCAAAGAAATGATTGTAGAATCGCCATATGCCACCCAGAAAGAAGTTTTGTAAAAAACACCCACCCTTGTACCCGCAGTCGCCAAGAAGAAAGAATGCGCCATCAGAAAGCAGTTGTCTCTATAATGCAATGTATTATCACAGCCTAATGACAGTCGCCCATTATGGTGATCATAGGATATAATAGAGCGTGGCCAGCTGAAAATGACCAGTCGTTGAAATAGCGGCCGCTCGGTTGCATGTGGTTTCACAGTGAAAAGCAGCATGCGTACGAAACCTGTACCAACATATTAGCGACTAGGAGATTAAAGGTTTCTCCATTTCCAGCTTGCCTTGTAAAAATATACCGAGAATAACTTCTGAAAGGTGTTTTGTAACTCGAAATTAGAGGAACGCCAAAAAATAAAAGATAAAAAAAATACGCCGATAATATCCCCCAAAATACCCCAGATAGACGCATGTTTAAAGTAACGGAAGGAAGGCATATTTTATCAGCATGTAAATAGCTGGGTCATGTCAAGGAGACATTAGAGCTCTAATTCGTCGTGTCGGAGCTCTTCGTTGATATCTACGCCATTTTCAGAGCCTTGTGACTCCCAAATACCGTGTAAGGGATAGCGTGATTCTTTTTCGTCGTCAATATTGCCATCATCTAGAACATCGCAGAGCTGTGGCTCAAGTTTGATGCTTGCAGTGGATTGAGATTGGTCATGGTTTTGGCGCATCGAATGGGCGGCATCTTGATTGCGATTTATCGATGTAAATCCCAACGAAGACATGCTTTGTGCAGAGCTCGATTGACCGCAGGACCCAAAGAAGAGACGATCTTGCGAGAATAGCGGATTCGCTCCGGGCATATCAAGGAACTGATTTGCCGCTGCGGCTACATCATTAGTACTAGGATTAGAGAAATCATCCATCTTTTGCTGAGCATGGTGGCCCGAAGAAAGACGAAAATGGTCATGGCTAAGACCATTGAAATGGTTGCTTGAAGAGAAAGGAAAGCGCGGTGGGTTATTATAGATCGATGTTCCATTCAGAGAATATGATAGGTCCGAGTGGTTCAGAGCGCCTGATAAAAATGATATTAGTACTGCACAATCAGACTCAGGAGTTAGGAGGTAGGATGTCTAACCCAGCCCTACATGTGTACCCATGTTGAGATAAGGCTGCTCTTGACCTCCTCTACCTCTCGTAAGCTCCCGTGCTGAGAATGATCTATCTGGTATATCCCGCGATGGCGGCGTGGGGGACACAAGATTAGAGTGTGATATCGGGTTCAACTGGTGCAACCCAACTCGACTGCGTAGATCAAACCTAGAAGGCAGAGAAGAGTTAGTACAACATTTGGACTATGTGAAGAATTTCCCAGATTGATAGTACCTTGGTTCTCTGTGGGATGAAGCAGACAGCGATCGATTATCGTAGAGGCCTATGTCAGATCAGTAACGAGATTTCGGGGATCGGAGGCATGCATACCAGTGATCGTATCTTCATCTCGGAATATGTCGTGAGAACGTTTAAACTGTCCAAGGGGTGTAATATCGGAGCTTGAAGTCCGGCTGTACCCCAGAAGCGGCTTAGAACCTTTTTCTTGGCCAAGATTGCTGCGTGTGATACGACGGCTATTTCCTCGAGTAATGTTGGCAGAAATCTCGGCCAAAGGCTCCCCTCGCTTCCGTCGAGGCTTCGCTACCTTTTTGGGCGGAGTCTCTCCAAAGTTAGTTGTAAAATCATGAAAAGATTTGGGGCGTGGAGACCAACCGCTTCCTCCTGGTCTGGCACCGGGGAAGAGCTATCGTACACATCTTTGATCCTTTCAACCTCAAACTCGGCCGTCATCACAACTTGTGTGGGCTCAATGCCTTCAGACGTTCTCCTCATTTTCTCAATGACAGATTTGGGCTTCCTCTGGTTGCGAGTACGCTTCATATCCTCATTTGCCAAATCCATCTTGCCCATCCCTGGCCAAACTTGACCTTTCAGTGCCATCATGTCGGCCGATCCGAAAAAGTCGTCTGGAGTATCGTTTTCATTATCGGATGGGAAGAATCCTGGATAGACGGGGAATTCTAGGGGATATTCTTCGCGCTCATTCTTTACAGGAGTGTCGGACTCGGTTCGCTTGAGTCTTCTCTTGGATTGCTGCTATCTCATTTAGTATGCCAACGTAGCTAAGTCGCCGGGCTCAAACCCCCCCAAAATATACCTTTGAAGAAGTGAGTGCTGTTGTAGCCCCCCTAGCTCGCTTATTTCTTGCAGCCTCTTTCAGCTGTTTGGCCTTCATTCTCTCAACGAGCAGCCCCTCGATGCCATTTTCTTTGTACCACTGCTCGTACTGCTGAAGGGAGATGGAGGCTGAAATATCCTGATGGGCCTTCAGCTTCGTCTGAGTTTCATGATGAAGATGGCCTTTGGAGGCAATATGCGTGAGGAGGTGCGATACGTCAGAGAACCGGGGTGTCTCAGGGCAAACGCTGCATAGCAAAGGTATTTGCTTGCTACTGGACCCAGAAGAACTGCCCGTTGTAACAACCGACGCCATGTCCTGCTCCAATCATTATTAGCCATGGCCGTTGATACAAGACTATTCGGAAAATAAAACATGTTGCTTCGCAGGCGCAGTTAATTTGTCTGCAATTGAGAACGTTGCTGAGTGGCCTAACCTATTCATGACCCAGAGGGCCGGGCTGAATCCAAGTGGTGATGTCGGGGCAGGAAACAGCAACAATAATAGCAATAACAGCAGCGAAACGAAGATGCGGTCTTGGGGTAGCCTCAGATAGCAAAGAAGCAATGGTAGAGAGCGACGTGATTCGGAAAAGGGCAACTGGGTATGCAGGGATTGGAGGGAAGAAGCAAATGGGCCACCAGGATGCAGAAAGATCCACACAAGCTCAGTTCAGATGGAAAAGAAGATTGGGAGGTAGGTAGCGGTATGGGTAGGGTGTGAGTAGGAAAGGGAGGAGAGTTCGGTGAAACGCAACAAGAAGCATAAACAGAAGTCATGAGGCTCACTATTGGATAGTAGCCGTCCACATCGGGACATGGCATGATGATCGACAGCGTCTGAGGCAGCAGCGCCCCAGAAGATTGTGTCCATTGAGGCAGCTGGGGCATTGCGTGAAACTCTAGGCCCGGTTCGCTTCCATCCCACGAGAGCGGCGAAGGGCCAGGACGAAGAGAGAAGCCCGAGAGGCGTCGCGAGTTCTGTGCCAAGAAGGAAGAATCCATGATGTCGATGCCGCAGCTGCTGCTGAGGTCGTGTCTAGGCAGTGTTTAGGCAGTGTCCAGGCAAGAGCCTCGTTTGGTAGGAGTCCTTTGGCTACCACGCCGCAGAAACGCTGCTGCTCGATTCTTGGAATTGTGGTGGATGGAGGAGAAGACGAGCAGCTTCGTCCTTTGAATATCAGTTTCCTTCCATCATGCATGGATAAAGGGCCAAAAGATGAGGCTAGCCCTTCTTGGGTGAAAATATTGCGTAGCCGTGGTCTTGCATCGTGCCTTCCTTCTTTATGGAATCCGTTGCTGATATCGATACGGCACCTAGAAAAAAAGATGGCCAAACAGGTACCTAGGTACTAGTAGTACATTATATGAATGCAAATCATCTTATTTAGTAGTTGCCCATATCTACTTAGTAGTTACTAAGTACTATAAAAGTAGGCGCCGGCACTTGTACTCTTCAGTGTTTTCCTTTATTTTGCGAATGCATCATCCCCTATTCTCTTCTTGAAGTAGCCTGTAACACCTACCTACTACGTACCTGCTATTTGTCTCACTGCTGATTTTCTTCACTAACATTACCCATTTAATTATATCATCTCAATCAAATTATAGGCTTGGCAGGTGATAGGTTGTAGATTTATGGCGCTGAAAGTATTTTTTGGTGGTTATCGCAATGCAAGCTATTTCGTGTTGCTGAGAAGAGCCATAGCAATTTACGCTGCACAGTATAATAATATCCGGATACGAATGCGTGCGTACAAAGACTTTTGATTTACCGTCTACAGCGTGATTTTGTATACAGGATATAGTATTAGATGTAATACTAGTTGCCCAGTTTTTGTGCCCTGCTTTGGATAGATACCTACTCTTATTCGTTTCTAGGGTAATGCTAATCCAAGGCTATACCACCTCACCGCGCAAAGGTTATTGAAACACAAAGCATAACCAATACATGTGTCGTATTTATGTTGGATATTACAGGGTAACTGCTACTTATGGGAGCAAGTAACCTTTTCTCCTTTCCCGTAGTATTATATTTTCCATGATGCCGTTGCTCGATGCCTGTTAATGAGAATCACCTAATAACTAGGTAGTGCGAGGGCAGTTTGTCGATATCGCAATCTATCAGACACGGCAAGATATACTTTGAAGAAAAAAGGGGGAATCTTAGATGGACAATTGTAGTCCAATACCTTTCATCCTCCTCACTCTCCTAGAATTCTTGCCACAATCTTCTTGGGCATGCAGTATCTCGGATCCACAGGCTCCATGCCGGGGTATCCAAGTAAACTCAGCCCTGCGGTGCCAAAGCATGTATGCCAAACGTCCACCATGTCACCGGGCCGGTCGGAAAAGCCACCGTTTTCAGGATCCTGGCAGCCCAAGATGAAGTCTATCAACGCCTGGCGGTCGATCCAGTGCACGCGATCGATAATCTGAAGACTACTCAAGACCCACCAGCTATAGCAAACATCTTCCTTCTTTTCAGGTCGGCCGTTGAGTCCGCCGCCAGGAAGCTGCCTCTCGCTAAGCCAACGGCCGAGTTTCTCATGGTCCACGAGATCCAGGCGCCCTGCGATGGCGAGAGCAGCGACGCAAGTAAAGATCTGGGCAGAGTGGGATTCTGCCCCAGGCTTCGCTCCATAGCCGCCATCAAAATTCGCACAGGATACGATGTGTGATACGGCTTTGTCAACGTCGACCAGCGACAAGAGACCGAGGAGGGACAGGGCGTTGAGAGCTGCGTATAAAAATCTCGTGTCCTCTTCACCCCACTCGTCGCCATAAAAGCTTCCACTATCAGGATTCTGAAGGTCCGCTATGACTGTGAAATATGTTAGCATCTTGCTGGTTATGCACTCAAGAGACATGCCCGTCAACACCTACACTTGCCAACGATGGCCTTTCCCTTTCCCCGAGCTTCCAGCTCTTCAAAGCCATCCACCATAGCGAGGATCTGTACCGCACTTACAGTAGAGAGGATGTGCGCATCATGCCCAGGGGCAGCTCCAAAACCGCCATTTTCGTGCTGGCAGGACAGCACAAAGTCGATAGTCTCCTTGCGCGGCAGAGCTTCAGGATGGCTGAGAAAATGGAGTGCACATAGGCCCCAGTATGCACCGTTTAGCCGCAAGTGCTCTGTCATCCAATAGTCCAGCTCATCGGTTTTGGTATCCAGAGTGAGAACATATTTCACATGAGCATCTGTGGCCAGCTCTGCGCCTTTGGTATGTGCAACTGCCTGTGCCATGGTGATATATTGAGTGAGTATTCCATGGAGGCAACATGTAGCTGTGAAAGTGTGGCTTCAGTGACGCAGTTGGAAAAGTTGCTTACTAATAAAAGCCATCTTCCCTGCCATGATACTAAGAACTATACGCGCACAGCAAAATGATAGATGCCTTGGTGGTAGCAAATATTTAATAGAGACTAAATATATATTTCATCTGCCAGATGTTTTCTCATTCTAATATCCATCTTCATCTTTTCTCCTCCTCGTTGGGGGTGTCTGGTTGAATGCTACAGGCGCCTGATCTGATGGGTGCATGTGCGTGTACACGGCCCTTTATATAGCCATTCTAACTTGTGGCCAAGCGTCTATTGTCATGAATCTGTATGGAGTCGTGCATGTCGGATTATTTTACTCAAACTAGTTATTATAGTCGATAACGTTGGGCAAGGCCATCAGCGACTAGGTACTACTAGGTAGGCAATAAGAGTGGCTATGCACTGATACATCCTGTTTGCGGCTCTGTTTTCCGCATTAGGTATTACCGCAACGGCATTTGTTCGCGTTGATGAGAAAATATGCGATGAAAGACTTGATATTTACTGTTATTATGTAGAAAGAAAATGCAAACTGTTTTACTAATACTTTTAGATCAGGGCTCGCTAACCATTCATGCGATTTTCTTGCGCCGAGCTTCGAGCGAAGCCAGAATCAAGATTGTTCGATTTAACGAAGCTGGCAAAAGCAGTAATCAAAAACTGGCCAAAAGACATGCAAGCTGCGGTATTGAAGACCTGCGTCTCGTTTCAATATTATTCCATAGCGTAAATCCGGAGGGTAAACAGGGCTGGAATCAATAGCATATAGTAGCGCATGGCATAGCTGCGATGACATTGCTATAATATATCTTGAGCGCCTTAAGCTCAGATGGTAAAGTTGCTAACCAAAGGAACTGTAAGGTGTTAATGTTAGTGGAGCAGGATTAGGTAGTATAGACGCTTCTCTTCTAATTTTGGGTATAATAATATGTTCCTTGTCCAAATTGTTCCGCCGTTCCTTCAGCTCTTTTGGTCCCATCATTGAGCCAGTAGAGAGAATTGTGACAAAAAAGCTGGTCTGGGCCATTTTTGGTCGAATCCATGCACAAGTAGTCTCGGCGGCCGCTTGCTTGTAAGATTTTAGAGAGAATCCACTTTAATGTGTGGCAGCCAACAAATCCACGAACTATAGATCTGAACTCCAACGTAGTACTACTAATTAGAATAAGAAAACAAATCCTTCATGAGCGCATAACTGACCCCTAAAGGTCAACACCTCATGAAGTGAAGAGAAAGCGCCGAAATTAGAGACCACTTATGTTTGTTTGGACTATAATTAACCATTTCGCGTAAGAGTGTCTTACAGTCATTCCTCATTGCTTATGCTGGCACCGTCACGGTCTGTCTGCAGCTCTCTCGATACCGCCGTACCTATATATAGGTGAACTGCCTAATATCCCCCAAAACAACACGCTAGTGCTGACGAGGCTCGAATGATAGTGAAAACAGGGAATTGCTATTCAACGCCCTAGCCGTAACTTGACGGAAACGTCAGTCTACTCACATCTATATATTTAAGAAATATATAATACCTAAAAAATGGTAAAGGCAATGGAGGCAGCAGAGGCAGTGCAAGATTGAACTACATGTAATTGTAATTGTATGTTCGGGTGGCTATGTTATTTGAGTTGTTGAGTAATAATGTAAAGGCACTTACAAGGGCCTATGTATAAGTCACTCCACCGCCGAGTACTTTCGATAATCAACTCTAAGAAAACGTTATATGGCTTGTAAACAGCTGAAGATATTTACTACGAGCACAATACATTATAGACATGCTAGCAAGTATGTCATAGACAATAATTCAAGGCTTGCAGTGCTCATATGGCACGTTATAACCTCTCAACCAGGTGAAATATTCGGGCAGTCAAGTTGCTCCGGCGCCATATCGTTTAAGGAGCCGCATGTCTTGATACCCCTGGTTGGGCCGAGCCGCTTAGCTGGCGGTAGGTTGTGGAGCAATACAAATAAGCCTGATGGATGGTATGGAATATATCTAGCGCAGAGTATATTCATAGTCTGTATTCTTTCTTTCTTTGATTCTCATCAAGCCTCAAGTTGCCAATGCTACCGTGATATGATGGTTGGTCTCACGAGAGCTCTGGCTCTGCTCGCCTTTGGCGGTACAGTGCAGGCGTCGCCATGTAAGTCACCACCCCAACTTGATAATCTCTTCAAACCAGCCATTCTTTTGAGTCAACTCTCGTATTTTCTCATGTGCTTTTAGTCTCGTTAAACGGAACTATTACCCAGCCTGTGACGTTGCCAACTACAATACCACCGAGTACCACTGCGTCTGGAAACCTTACATGCGGCACTATTGAAGTCAGTGTTCTTCAAGCTGTTGCTGTTGCAGCGTATTCGGGTCTTTCTAGGGAACCTGCTTTGCAATGTCAATGCATTGGGTCTGTGAATTCCTGGCTGGATGCAACAGACGCTCCTACTCGGACACTTACTAGGACCATTGGAACTGGGGTCACTACTTTCACGGAAACTCTTAGCAGTACTACGACGGTAGTAACAACAGTTTTGGATTTAACTTCAGTCATCACGAATACGGGGAACTTTATTGAGCCAGATACCAACCTGTGGTATGGATCTGCGACATCTCCATGTGTAAGTGGGCCTAATTGGCATGCCGTAATGTTTCTCTATGTTCAAGACGCTAATGCGTTCTCTCTATTCGCTTCTAGTGTTACAGCTGCACAATTCAAGCTTCTACGGTGGAAGTGTTCTACTGGACTGACGGTATGCCAAAACGCAGGATACTCTTAAGAGCGTGAACTTGCCATATTAATACTGATACAGCCACCGAGACGCCTGCTGTCACAGCTTTTTCATCTAATGGAATTTTATAGTAAGTAAATGCAGCGAGTTTCAGTCTATGTTCTTAACATGGCTAATATGGCCTCGCCATAGCGAGTCTCCATCCATCTATATCGGCTTTTCTTCCCTATCAGCATTCGACTACTGCGGATTGGTTGGATCAGCTTATGCGAATACAACCATCGCATTCGACCCAACAGAATTATCAACTCTACTGTTCACTGGAGTAGTTGGCACCCAGGATGTTGTGACTGCGGTAACGAGTGGCACTGTCATTACTAGTTAGAAACACTCCCGACGGGTCTGCTGTGCTTAACACAAAAGATCTAGAGAGAAACTGTTCGACAATATCGGGCTATTCATATATTCCCGGAAACCCCTCTAATGCTGGTTTTCATATTACTCCACGTATGTTCATGCTGATCGATTTTTGTCTTCTCCGGTTTCTCTTTTGAAGATCTACATATGAGTTGGTCACATCCTTGCTGACTTTGCATTCCTTGAATAGCTGACCCTTGTCATCCCACGATTGTCATTCCCGATAGAGTCAGAAGTTTACAACCGGGCTGGGATGCGTGTCTTAGTGATGCCATCGGAGGGTGAGTTAAGATGGAATTCTGCCTGTTTAAAGCATATTCTCACAAGGTGATTGTCTCTTTATCTAGGTTCTATGATCCTCCTTCGGCGCTTAGCCCCGTCTCTGCGCTCATACCGACGTCTTCAACGCCTTCTCAGGCGTCGACAACTCCTAGTCCACCTCGAAGTACGACTCCCGCCCTGCCTTCTTCTATTCCCCCTCCCCCTCCTCCTCAGACAAGCTCGCCGCCGCCTCCTAAATCATCTCCCACGTCTCTGCCACCACCGCCTCCTCCACCAAAATCATCACCACCTCCTCCTCCTCCTGCCCAGTCTTCCTCGGTACCCCCTCCGCCACCACCCCCTCCTAAATCATCATCTGCTCCTCCTCCCCCTATTCAATCAGCTTCGTCAGCTTCACCTGTTTCACCTCCACCGGTGACACCTCATTCTTCAGCACCAGCTTCTTCTGTCCCCAACAACTCTCCATCTTCACTTCCGGCATCTGATACCAATTCTGAAGGGACCAACCCTCCCCCTGCAACTACAGCTGGTCGCGGCACCAATGGCCCTCAGCCTTCCAGTTCTCCTGCTTCCAATCCCTCTTCTCCGGGTAGCAGCAGCGATACACCGCCGCCACCACCAACGGGGGGAGACAATAACAACGCTGGTGGTGGAAGTACAGAAACTGGCGGTAGTTCATTGAACAGCACCCCGTCCCAGACTCAAGATCAAGATGGGGGTGGCACCGGCTCACCGTCAGCTCTGCAGCATGCTGGAAAGGGGAGTCAGCCTCCCTCATCCGTCATCGTTGTCGGTTCAGCTACGTTTAGCAAGAACTCTAAGTCTGAGTTCGTATTTGGCTCTACGACTTTGATCCCCGGCGGGCCTCCCGTTTCTTTGGGAGGAACTACACTGTCACTGCCCACTCCTGGGCCTTCGGCCACTGCAGCTGTGTCCGGAAGTTCTGGCGCAGAGAGCAGTGAGACTGGAAGTAATACCACAGGAACCGGCTCAGGCGCTGCCGGCGAGACTGTATCCAGTGAAACTGGTGTGCCTGGCTCTCAAGAAACCTCAGCTACCAATGCGGGAAGCTCAGACGGAGAAGACTTTGGTTCAACCAACACAGCATCAGCTGGCCTTCCGTCTACGTCGGTGACTACCATCCCCAAGAGCGAAGCAGCCTCTGGATTGTTTTCAGCTGCAATGAGAAGCATCAAAGCGGTTGGCGTTACTATGCTTGTCGCACTCTACGTCCAACGATGAGATAACTTGCTTTTGTAGAAGAAGTCAGATGATGATACATAATGATGGAAATGAGATAAGAATAATATGTATGATACACGTTGAAAACATTGTTTTTCATACAAGAACTAAATCCTGTATGTACTAATAACTCGCATCTTTTACATAAGGCTCATCGTTATCATTCGAAGTGTTGATGTGTTTGGCGCCTTATACGATATGCCTGCGAATTCTGCCACCTCCGCATCTTAATCATGATGCGCGCTTAATCGATTACCCTCTGATAGCAGCGGTAGCATCCAACCCTTCTGGGTGTCATCGCATGCTGCTGAAGCTACGGCTTAATACTTGGCGCCATTCATCAATTAGGAATGGGTGTAACGCCGGATAATTGAATCGCATGGCCACCGCTGTTGCCCAATAGCGGCGTCCGTTTACGTGGTCACATGAATGGCATCTGCAGGCTAAGAAGCAAAATGATGCATCACTACGGATGTTCTGGCTGCCTCTGCGGTAAGGTATATGTACCTGTACAACTCGCCAGCTGCTACCTACTACTACTACTACCTACCTACTACTACCTACTAGGCAGTACCTGTATATCGTGATAATATTAGGGGCAGTAAAGAGTAGGAGGCATGTACTTCGTATGCAGTAGTAATAATTTCTTTCCCTTCGTTTCTCTTCGTTCCGTTTTTCTTTTTTTAGAAAAAAGGGGGGGTGCTTGCTGATTTGCGTAATATGCAATCTTCCAACTGTTCCTCTCAGACTTGTGTCAAGCCTCGTGTTATCGGCCGGATTGGGATCCATCTGTGTCGTACAATGCCCTAACGTCGCAGTGATGACGAACGACTGCCATGTACTGGGTACTCACATGCCATCCCGGCACTACTACAGTGGCAACTCGGAGTGCTGAGAGTTTAAGTTGTTATATTTGACACGCGGGTCGCTTGCATCACGTTTTGCATCAGAGGTACTTTAGCGCAGTGGCCACTCCATACATCCTGTTAGCCCTCAGTTGGTGCATCATAGACTTGGACTTCAGGTTGCTATTGCATAGTACTAGTATGTATACGATAGCGCCGGATAGACGCCAATACTATTATCCTATGCTGTAAGACATAAAAAGCGCTCCAAACAATATACGCGAATGCTGCGCAGGGCTAAGCTGACATGTTCCTGAGTCGATGTCTGATATACAGTAGCCCTGCAAGGGAGGTATCCGTCACATCGAAATGCTAGTCCCAGCAAGTACCACCGTCCTTTGTACAACGTGCTTCCTTCTGGGGGCAGGAGGAGGTGGAGCAGCCGCCGCTTACGCAGCCAGTAACGTGGGGGCAACCCCTGAAAGAGCGGTTCTTTCCCGGGGCCACCGAGGCGTTTCAGATACGATGGCGCGCGTGCTCCAGGAGAGAAAGGGAAAGCTGCGACCACTAAACGCTAGGTGCCTGCCCCGTGTGTTACTGGTGCTTTGGCGCTGTGGCCTTCTAAATGCGGTAGTCGCTGTCTAGCAGCCACTTGGCTCCGTTCTTCGTGGCTTCTTGCCAATTGCGCTTCCGTACCTGGCGCAGTTACCAGCGCCTCCACCCTGACGCTATCCGTTTTAGCCAGGCCAGGCACCGCAAGTATCGACATACGTGCCCCAGAAGGGATTGTTTAGGGCATGGGCTGGACCGGACCTACCTGCTTTTTTCTTTTTTTTCTCACAATCGCAGTATTACGAGTTCATACAGTACAGTACATGTAGTAATCTGAGTGAAGCACCACCCAGCCAAGCCACTGACGCCTGGTTGGCGCTCCAATACTTTGTAAATCGGACAATAAAGTACACAGGGGCGTTTGATGGCCCCGGCTGGCTTTGCGTTTCATAGATCCCTAGCAACACACGGTCTCTAAAGTACCTAGTATTAATGCCTTGCCAAAGAGACAGCACCAACAGATGGGATCAATTAGTGCCATCTCTGCAGGTGTATTCTATCCTCCCTAGATGAGATTTAGCCTTAACCTAGGGAGCAGGTGGTATCATCTGAGTCCCGCTACCTTACTACTGCCTGTCCTCTGCGCCTTAGCACGTATTTGTCGCCAGCGGCAACAGACAATGGAGAAAAGAAAGAGAGAGTCCAGGCTGGGGCCCAAGAACAGCCAGTTTGCTGAATCTCCATCCATGGCTTAATACGCACCTATTTGGAGGTACCTCGCGAGCAAGCACGCACCCACACCAGACACTCGTATTCTCCTCCTTTTATATCGTGTCTTGGGTGTGCCTTGCGCGCACGCTGCTTGACTTTTACACCACACACGATCCACGACTACGAGCCCTATCATTTACCTGTATATGCCACGAGCACCGGGGCCCTACGACCATCGCAAGGCAAGTAAGTACTGGTACGCAGCGCATTTGCTCGCACTTAGTCGATACAAGTTCGCCCCCTCTCCCTTCTCCACGGCCTGGGACACCGGCTCGCCAAGCCGATGCTGGGAGCGACAAGCTGCAGTCCATCGTTCGTCTCGTCGACCCCCACCGGCCTGCCCCTTTGCCATCTCCATCGTGGATTTCCAACACTCGCGGCACAGCTGAGGCACAGCATCGCCTGCAAGATCCGCCTCTCTCCTGTGCATTGCGTCTCCTGACGCCTCCTGCTCCTGTTCCCGCCTTGCTGCTGCGCTGTGCGCGCTCCGGAGTCTGACCGTCGCACGTCGTCTCCTATCCAAGGGCCAAGGGCCCCAAGGCCAAAGCGCCAACCCACCCCTAGTCGCAGGCTCAGCAAGCAAACCTCCCAGGAGTGCCAGCCAGACCAAGGCGCCGCTGCTGCTGCACGCCTCCATCTCATCCAGGCCAGAGCGCTCGACACTCACTGCCGGGGTTGCAAAGATGGGACGCAAGCCCACGCCGCAGCCGCTGATACTGGCAGATGCCAGCGCTCTGGATGCCGACCCGCCGCAGCCCTCTGCCGAAGCAGCATCGCAAGCCGCCGCGTCGCCAGTCGACTCGAAATCGCCCAGATCGCAGCGAATCTCTCCCTTCCCCATCAGCAAGTTTGCCGTTCACAGAAACCGGCCGCCGAGGACGGGCAGGTCGCCAACCTTACAGCCACAGCCGCCACGCCCTGCTACTAGCACCGGACCGTCAGACGAAGCCAGCCGCAACTACCAACAGCAGCAATTGCTGCAGCTGTGTCGCGCCCAAAACGCCCGCGATGATTCAGACCTGCTGCAGCCCTCGCCATCGACTGCTTCCACCCCAGATCCTCCTTCCGCCGGGCTGCCACCCCAAGAACTGCGCCAAGCCATGACGGGTGGCACCAAACAGGCCAAGCCCAGCTTCTTTCAGTTTAACAAAGCCCCCAAAACTCCCAGTCAGCCTCATCACGCACACACCCATCAGCACACAGAGTCGCAGAGCCAGCCAATGCCGAAAGCAAGTGAAGGGGGCGAAAGGGCAGGCCACAAAGGTAAGGCTTCAAAGGGCGAAAAGAGCATGCAGGATCCTTATTATAACAAACATCAGGCTGAGTGCGTACGCCAACAATGGCAGTGCGCGCTAGCTTAGCACCTTTTCCCTTGCATTACATCCTTTCATGGCACACTTATCCATTCGCAGGCGACTGTTTTTAATTTATCATAAAAATTTTTTTTCTTTTTAAATCTTGAAGGGGGAGAAGAGACAAGTCAGAAACTTTGTTGCTAACCGTTTGTCATCTGACTTTCTTAGACCCGATCAATATCGAGAACACCCAACAGAAATCCATATCTTCTTATCCGTCACGCTCTGATCTTTCCGCTTCATCCTCTGGAGACGCTGAGGCACCGCCACCTTTGCCATCTGCTAGGAAAAACAAGTCCAAGTCGTTTGCGCTCCTTGGCCGCAGTAAATCGGTTCGCGACAAAGAAAACGGTCGCCATAAACCCTCCCCCGCGCAAGTACCACTACCAGCCGCGTCAAGCAACCCCCCACCTCCTGACAATACCAACGCTTCCAATTCTACCAATTCTACTACCACTGCCGTTGCTCAAGCTGCGACAGTATCGCAAGAGCGAGCGCCTAAAGACGACGGGATGAACTCCCATGGTCGAGGTCGGCCTGAGGACCGAACGGCCGGCGGCACCTCTACTACTGCCGCCAAAGATGCTCCTCGAGAGAAGGAACAAAGAGCCCATTCCTCGTCAATACGGGAAACCAGCGCATCAACCTTTCTCAGCGGGCTGAGATACTCGTCGACCAGGGCTGCTGACATAATTAGCAAAGGTCTGTTTGGAAAGAGTTCGCGAAGCGGCAGCACAACAGAAAAAGAGCTGGTGATAGACGACGAACATTATGTGTTGAAGGTGATTAATCTACCCTTGGTCGAACAGACACGTTTAACTCGAATTTCAAAACGTTTGGAGGACTCGCGAGACAAGACAGAGTTCTGGATGCCAGCATTTCCGTGGAGAGCCATCGATTATTTGAACTATAAGGGGACCGAAGTTGAAGGTCTTTATCGCGTGCCTGGAAGCGGGCCTCAAGTTAAGAAGTGGCAAAGAAAGTTTGATGAGCGTGCGTTTCCACCACATCTTGTTCTATTGAGAATCCGAGCCTGGCTAACACAAATGTCTGCAGAGTACGATGTAAATCTCTTTGAGCAAAACGACCTCTATGATATCAACATTGTAGGCTCCATGCTCAAAGCTTGGCTTCGAGAACTACCTGACGAGCTCTTCCCCAAAGCGGCCCAAGAGCGCATTGCTCGCGAGTGTCAGGGTGCTGAAAAAGTCCCCCAGCTGCTTATCGAAGAGCTCTCGAATCTTTCCCCGTTCAACTATTACCTGCTTTTTGCCATTACGTGCCATCTCAGCCTGCTTCTTGCTCACTCTGACAAGAATAAAATGGATTTCCGAAATCTATGCATCTGCTTCCAGCCGTGCATGAAAATTGACGCCTTTTGCTTTAAATTTCTGGTTTGCGATTGGAGAGACTGCTGGAAGGGCTGCAGCAACGAGGCCAAGTTCATTGAAGAAGAGTACCGAATATTCGACCAACCTCCGCCGCGGGGCCTTGCTGAAATGCAAATTCCCAACCAAAGCGATGTCGAGCATGCAGAAAAACCAGCTTCGTCACATAGCAATATGCCATCGATCCAAGAGACAGGCGAACCGACAGAAGACGTGGGTAAGCACCAAAATCAGTCATCCAAGTCCAACAACAGTCTTTCGTCTCGTCGGTCATCCATCTCGACGGCCCTGAGCGACCATAGCGAGGAGGAGGATAACGTTAGCGACATGTTTGGCTTCACGCATTCACAAGCTACTACTGGAGCCGGATCCCGAGAACTGCGTCCTTTGTCTCCGATCCAGCCTCTATCACCCCTCGGCTTCTAAGAAGTGAGCCGAGCTATAGCAAACCAACAAAACTATAAAAAAAGAACAAGGAAAAGAAGAAGAAAAAAGAAAGGAATAAAAAAAAAAAAAAAGAACACCTCGCAAGTCTAAATTCACATGCAATCATTTACTCCTTCGGCAAAGATACCCAGCAGTTATCATCGGCGCCGACTTACGACATCACGCCGTTTATGACTCGTTTTTGTTTCGTCTCTTTCAGAATTTAGCGCATCTCTTAACACTAGAACGTCTGGTCCGTCATGGACTGAGCGCCCTTCCTGTCCTTTCTCAGTCACTGTGGTGTGGAAAAAAGATTATATATCTCGAGACGGGCTTCAGGGGACTCAGTGGTCCTCCCACTGCTTTCTCTTGTTTCATATGTGCCATCTGCCTCTTTGCATTTTTCGGTCTGGCTTTCCTATATTTTCCTATTTTGTCTTTTCATCACCCTACAGCAATGTCGCGACGACACTTTTCCCAGGTTTATTTTCTCGATTCTTAATTGCAGATTATTGCATCATCGAAACGACTTCGGATTTCTTTTTAGCTATTCAAAGACTCGACCGTGGAATATCGTATAGGCCAACATTTTCTCAGACCATTCTCCTTTGTTAAAAGCTAGGCCGTATGGAGAATTGGAGGCTACATATAGAGATTATGGCTGTTTGTGAGCCTTTAATTTTCCTTTCCCCCCCCCCCCCCCCCTCTCCTTCTATCTCTTTCTAGCTTGATTTAAGATTGGGAGTATGGACGGCAGTGTAAGATTAGAAGGGGTTGGTGGCTCTAAAGCTGCTTGAGTAAAGATGGAGAGAAGGAGTGGCCGGAATTTTTGTTGTCTTCTTTTATCTTTGACAACCTTTGAACCATTAGGGATTGGGAGGGAATCTGGCGAACGTGAAACAAAATTGTTTGCTGCTATGCTAGCTTTGAGGTTCTCTTGAACATCTATATAAAAATGTGAATGTGAAAACTTGAGCAATCCTTCCTCCAATAAGATGGATAGATAACGACTAAGCCGACATGTATCTTGATTTCTCTTGATGCAGGATTCTTCTTAAATCCCTCCCAACACGCCTATAACGCCGTAGCCATGTCTGACTGACTTTTGATTATGAATAGACCCTCCAATGGTGGAATAGCTGGATTCATGTATTGTGTACCGTCGTCTCTCGTCTCCCTTAGGCTTTCTTGCCCATCTTCTCTGCGGCGTCCCGCTGGTTTTTCCTCATCTTCCTCTCGTTGCGTTTGATCCTCTCGACGCGCTCCCTCCGTCCATCGGCCCTGATGCTGGTGCCCTCTTTCCGCGCGGCCTCCTTCTTAGGGTCAACCTCGACCAGCCAGTCGTCCTCGCCCTTCTTGTTCAGGCCCTTGTAACCCCACTTGCGCTTCCACTCGCCCGACTCCTCGTCGTAGGCCAGGTTGCGGCGCTGCTCCCTGGTCTTTGCCTTGATGCCCTTCTTGGCGGCGAAGCGCTCCCACTTGGTCGGCGGCTTGGGCTGGGGCACGGGTTTCTCGCGGGGTAGGCGGGTGGCGGGCGCGGGCAGCGTCAGGAGGACGCCGTCGCTGGTGGACTGGAGCGGGCAGGTGGTGAGGAGCTGGTTGATGAGCGACTGGGCGCCGTCGCGGGCGATCTCGGCGAGGGACTGGTCGATGGCGGAGCGGTCGAGGATGACGGGGTTGGGGTCCTCGGCGAGGAGGTTGCCGAGGTCGAAGGTGTAGGGCGTGGGCTTGTCGACGACGACGGGGAGCTTTGGTTTGGAGATGGGGAGCGCCATTGTGTGGAGGATGTCCGTATTATTTTATTTATATGGTATATTTTTGGGTATTAGGAATTGGATTTCTTGTAGTGTCGAAAAAGTGAGCGTGATTGGTTGGCAGGCGTTGGTTCGCCTTCTTTTATTTGGAAAAAAAAAAAATTCGAGGCGCAAAGAAAGAAGAATGGCTCTTGGATCACTCGCGTCTGCAGCCAACTTTTCTTGCGACGCTTCTCAATTTTTTTGATCGATAAGAAAGTTCGATTAAGCTAGTTTGCCTGCATCGGATCAGCGGCTTAGAATTTTCCGGCCAACGACAACCTTGCTGCTGTCCGTTTTAGCAGCGAAGCGTGCAAGGTACCTTTTATGTACCTTTAGTGCAATTTCCGTATTGAGCGGTACTTTGTCAGTTCCTCCTGCCACCAAGGTGCATTAGATTTTGAGATTTTTGGCCCAGTAGAGCAACTTCGAGCCTCCAAAAACGTGGGGGATTAAATCGCAAAAGCCAACGCCGCCGCTGCTCGGCCTCAATGCGGCGACAGGATATATAAAGGCCACTTATTTATTCATTGATTTCCTCCTTTCTCTATTTGCTCGTATAAACATCATCCATCATGGCTTCCGCACAAGCTCTGCGGACCCTCGCCAGGCCCGCGATCCCAGTGGCGCCTCGCATCCAGCCTGTCATGCGATCTCTCGTGGCAGCTTTTTCCACCACCAGCTTGCTGTCCGCGGCTCCTCCCGCCGTGAAGAGTCGCAAGGATCTACCGAAGAAGACGAAGAAGACATACAAGAAGAAGCAGAACATTGTGCCTGTCAAGAAACCCGGCCCCGGCGAGCGCAAGGCCTTCCGAAAACGAATCCAGCTCAGCAACAACAGCGCCCTGCCTGTGACTGGCATTGAGAACCTGGAGGCGCAGACCATGGCCAAGGGCGAGAGCAGCGGCAAGATGTTTGCCATTCCGGACCAGGTGGTGGATCAATTGAGAGCGTTGGAGGCGTTCAAGACGACACAGACGTGGAATCTGTTCCGGAAACCCCACGTTCTGGTGCGGAAAGAGACGGTGGAACTGATGAGCAAGCTGGAGGCTTCGGTAGAGAACAAGGAAGCTTTTAAGTGTGTTTTGACAGGAAGCCGGCTTTCGGGGAAGAGCTTGACCCTACTTCAGGCCCAGTCGCATGCGCTCCTAAACGAATGGGTGGTGATAAACATTCCTGAAGGTATTTCTATCCTCGATGAGATGACTTGGGTTCACGATTGAGATTGAGAGAGAGAAAAAGTATGCTAACTCACTGGTTTTTTCTCATCACATTAGGCCAGGACCTTACAAATGGAAACACAGAGTTTTCCCCCATTCCCGACACAGAGCCCATGCAGTTTGCCCAGCCGGTATACTGCCTGAAGCTGCTCCAAAACATCTACAAAGCCAACAAGGCAGTTCTAGAGAAGACGCCCCTGAAGATGGATTGGTCTCGCCTAACGAGTCTCAAGCAAGGCGCCACGCTGGCTGACCTGGCCCTGAGCGCCAAGGAGAGCGAATTCGCCTGGCCCACGCTGTCGGCCCTGTGGACAGAACTGACACAGCCCGGACAACCCCCGGTCCTGTTGACTCTGGATGGCCTCGCCCACATCAACAAGGTCAGCGAGTACCGCGACCCTTCGTTCAACATCGTCCACGCCCACGAGCTCGTCCTCGTGCGCATGTTTGTCGACGCCCTCTCCGGCAAGACGAAGCTCCCCAACGGCGGCGCCGTCATCGCCGCCACCTCCCAGAACAACACCCACTACCGCCCTTCGCAGGAGCTTGTCCTGTCCCAGCTCGAGGCCGGCCAGGCGGGCCGCGAGGTCCCCAAGCCCAACGCCTACGAGCGAAAGTACGACGACCGGGTCTACGACGCGCTCAAGAACAGCACCGTGCTCCGCCTCGAGGGCGTTTCCAAGGACGAGGCGAGAGTGCTGATGGAGTACTGGGGCGCGAGCGGCATGCTGCGCAGCGTGCTTGATACGAGGGCTGTGGCGGAGAAGTGGGCTTTGGGAGGACATGGCATTGTGGGTGAGATGGAGAAGGCTTCGCTTATGACGATGAGGATGTAAATGAGGAAAACCCAAAAAGGAAGAGGGGGAATATGAGGGGGATGAACATTAGGAGGAAGAAAAAAAGTAAAAAATGCGTTGTATGAATATGTATTATATATTATGCCGCCCTAGAATATCATTAGAGGACAAATGAACATTGATGGCCTTAAAAAAAAAGACTTCACTAGCAGCGGAATATTGGATACCTATGCAGTTCATTAGGTACTATATATTTTATTTCATTTAGCCTCTTACAAGATCTAATCGCAAGTCTACCAAATGCATTTGGTCAGTTCTCAACACCCTCCAATTGTGACAAAAGGGGGTCTCCAAAAAAAAAAAAAAATAAATAAAATAAAATAAAATAACGCCAAACCAATCGCAAAAATAGTTCCAACAATGTCATCGCTTTCCTGCAAAGCCATCCAACCTCTTCTCATTAGCCCTTAACTTTTACTCTCCTACACTTCCATACTGTCCTCTCTCTCATCATCCGCAGTAACGAATACTAGTCTTGAGCCACCGCCAGCAGTTTGCCAAACCTAAATAGAAGAAACAGCGTTAGATTATGAAGGGAGAAGAATGAGAAAACAAGCCGATTGAAAACACTTACGTCCAACGTGGTATATTCCTCCAGGGCATTCAGCCACTGGTCTTCCGTGAAGCCTTTGGCAATCACTCGTTCCTTGACTTTCCTCATACTGAGTTCCACACCCAGCTCGTCATCCTCATCTGCATCGTCAGGACGGCAAGCACCTGAATCGGCCAAAGCCTTGACAAGATTGTAGATCCTGCTGCTGGCATTAAGACCACGCCGAGGACCGTTAGCCTCAGTGTTCAAGCTGTCCTTACTGGCTTCGATCAACCGCAAGGCCTCATCAACGTCATCTTGTGTGACCTGGTTGCTGAAGCGCAGACGAGCGAGAGCTTGGGCCAGACGGACTACACCAAGCAAAGTACGAGGTGTGGTATGTGTGAACTGCTTGCCCTTCTTCTCTGCTCGCTGTTGTTGGTCTCGCAGGCGAACGTATGTCTTAATCATGTACTCGGAGACAGACTCAGGGACGACTGGTCGATATGTTCGAGCCTGGGCGACATAAGATCGCACTTCGTGCGGGGAGAAGACGACATTGTCGGTGCCAAGGTCGGGATGTCGGCTGTTCATGTGCACGTATGTAACGTGCTTAGCAAGCTGCTCATCGGCGTCTCGGGTAGGGGTATCGAGGATCAAAAAGAGGATATCGAAACGAGACAGGAGTGCAGCAGGGAGGTTGATGTTTTCAACGGGAGAGATGCGAGGGTTATATCGGCCATAGACCGGGTTAGCAGCAGCGAGGATGGAGGTACGGGCGTTGAGGCTTGTGGAGATGCCGGCCTTGGAAATGGAAATGGTTTGCTGTTCCATGACTTCGTGGATGGCAGTACGGTCATTCTCGTCCATCTTGTCGAATTCATCGATACAGCAGATGCCGTTATCAGCCAGCACAAGAGCACCACCTTCCAAGACCATCTCATCTGTGACTGGGTCTCGCATGACGGCAGCGGTAAGACCGACGCCACTGCTTCCACGGCCTGAAGTGTAGACACCACGAGGAGCAACTTTGGAGATGTATTTCAGCAGCTGAGATTTGGCAACACCAGGGTCACCCATTAAGCAGATGTTAATGTCACCACGAATCTTCATACCGTCGCCCATCTCCTTGTTGACACCGCCAATGAGTAGAAGAAGAAGAGCCTTCTTGATGTCCAGGTGGCCGTAGATCTCTGGGGCAATGGATTTAGCGAGCAGCTCGTAAACTTGGCCCGACTGTCGGTATCGATCAATTCTGCGGACCAGCTGTGCATCGACAATCATCTCACTATACGCCTTCTTGTGCTGGTGAATGTGGTGAGCCTCGAGGTACGTATCAGTCATGAGACCAGCTCTCATAGCCTTGAAGCCTGTGTAAGGCGTTGGTAAGAAGATTCCGGAAATGTCAACTACATCACCAGGGTTTACTTTTCTGACAAGACTGCCAAAGCAGTGAACGGTAAGTGATCTAGGAATCTGTCCAATAGGAACCTGTTCAGCCAACTCCTGAACCTTGACCTCCTGGAATGGTAAGAACTTGGAGGCTCTGGATGAGGGGTGCAGCTGGCCCTTGGCCTGGTTCTTCTTGCAGTCAGACGAGGGGCACATGGTCAGGGGCCCGAATTGCTTGTCAGTAATAGGCTGAAAGATTTCACAACCGCAGCGGTCACAGGTATATGCGCTGACTTGCACAATGGGCTTGACATCGGAAACGCGCGTGGCAATAGCTCGGATGGTGATGAGGTGGCCGAGGTGCTCGCCTCGAACGTGTCGGACAGCCAACGCCTTGGAGATATCCTCCCCTGTGCTAGTCCGAGGTCTGAAGACGAGAGTATACCGGCGCGTCAGCTCGGCCGGAAATTTATCCTCAGCGGTGGTGGGATCTCGTTCTGCCAGTTCGTCGAGTTCCCGATTTCTAGCTTGTCGTCGGGCCATCAAAACATCTAGGACATCGTCTTTGAAGCTATTGAGTAAAGTCAGCATCGTTCCCCTTCCCACCTCTGCATATGGAAATATCCATACTTAACCTCTTCGCTAGGCTGCGGCATGATATTGTCTACCGCCCTAGCCATAATCTCGACGTAGTGCTTTGTGTTCATCTCAATTGAGTCCACAAGCTTCATGGACGCATCTGTTTGCTCCTCCCACTAACTGCAATCAGCATGCGGACAATTCACAAAGCAAGCAATCCCTATTCCAACTCACAGTAGCTAAATCGTCGAGGTCAATCGCGAACTCGTCGAGCTTGCGGTTGGCGAGCAGCTGCAGCATATCGTTGTACTTGTGCTGGGGTGTTTTCCTCTTGGCCCTTTCCTGTTGGCGGCGATCGCGCGTCTGCTCGTCCTCGTCCATGAAATCATAGTCGTCGCTGAGTTCATCTTCGTCGATTGTGATGTTGCCAAGGGCGGTGGTGAGGGTGTGCTCTGGCGATGTCTTGAAGTCCTTGAGAAAAGATTCGAACGCCGCTGCATAAGATTTAGCCTTGCCACAGCTCAAATGGTCCACCAGAAATTGTGCCTACACTGCTGGGACTCGTAGTTGACCGGCGCCTTGAACTCGCGGAGCGCCATTTTGCGTGATGATGCCCGATTGCCAACGCTGGTGGGTTTGAGGCTCTTGCGATGCGAAAAGAGGAGGGACTCGCAAGAATGCAAAGCAGAGGCAATGCGATGCACAAATTGGTGGGCTGGGAAACCAACTTGCAGGGATGCGGGTGCCTCGAGGCTGGTTAGTCAGGAGCTGGATGGAGAATTTGGCTGGCAATGCAGCTAGCCTTGTGCTCAGGCTGGCAGCGTTGGAGAGAAAAAAAAGACACGAGACAGACGCGCGACGCGTCTGCAGAGCCAAAAAGCCAATTAAGAGGTACGTACCCCGCGCCGCGGGCATTCCAGCTGACAGCCACAGCAGCTCCAGCCTCCAGCCGCAGGTTTGCTAGCCGGTCGGTGGCGGTGCTCTCTCTGCTGTGCCTTGGTAACTCCAGCCGCACATGACTCTTGCCTCGGCATTGTTGCCGGTTCCCCAGGAACGCGGAATTGCTTCCAGCTAGCAGCCGAATCGGTGCCCTTTTTGCGACAGCGACTGTTCATGGTCTTTCCCCTGACCTGACAGGACGGAATTCTCCCCAATTCCTCAACCATGGCTCCCAGAAGGAATGCGCAGTCTACTGCTGCCGAGCTGTCGCTTGTGCATCTCAAGAACTGTCTTGTCAACCTGCCCACTTCATTGGTAAACTTGCTGGTCAGCGTAAACACGGTAGGTCACTGATCGGAGAGAGCGCCGCCCTTCTCTTTGTCCTCTTCGTCCAACACTATCTCCTCAGCATCGATTGGCGCTGTGCAGCTAACTGTCTTGTTCCCCTTGTAGCCCGCCCAGAATGTCATCGTCGAACTCTCCTACCGGCCATCTCCCAGCGCGCAAGCTGCTGGGGCGCCCAAGGAGCAATCCGTGTTTGTTGGGTGGACGGGAATGCCGAGCAAGAGGAAAGCTACCCAGATAGTAGGGAGAGACGGGCTGGCCAACTCGCGGAGCTCAACGCGGGATCAGGAGATCCAATTAGTCGAGATCGACGCGACGTTTGCGAATACTCTCGGCCTACCGGATGGCGAGAAGGTCATGGCCACCGTTCACGTCGACCCTCCGATGGCACACACCATCAACATCGAGCCCCTGACGCCTGAAGACTGGGAAATCATCGAACTACACGCAACATTCCTCGAGCTTAATCTACAATCACAGATACGAGCGCTCCCCAACCCAGCATATGTCCCTACCGGCGGCGCGCCCGTGCCGCCTCACCCATTGACTCTCCATTTATCACCAACTTCTACGGCTTCTATCAAGATTATGACTCTCGATCCCGCGCCCGCAGCTGACGTGGCCTTTGTGAAGCTGTCTCCCAACGCGGAAGTTATTGTTGCGCCGAAAACAAGAGCAAAAGCTACGCAAAACGGCGGCGATCACCGAAGTGTCGCAAGCACATCCAAGTCCAAACGAAGCGGCGCCAGCACTATTCGAAGACGAAGCGCCAGAGAGGAAAAGAAGCCATCTTTGCTGCTCCGTGCCATAGATAGGGCCATGTGCAATGAGTGGTTCGACGAGGGTCTGGTAGAGCCTGATCTCTGCGTCTGGGTGGATCGCGACAATCTCCTGAACAACGATTTCAGGGGCGTCAATTACGTTGTAGTGGATGTCCTGAAGCCTGCGGGACTACAAAAGCCACAACCAGAAGACGGGTCTGGCGCGATCACCAGCAATGCATCCTCCAAAATCGTCGCAAAATTGAAGCCTTGGGATGACCCGCCTAATGGCCAAGCTGCAGCGTTGTCAGCACCGCTATGTGCTGCGCTCGGGTGCACAGGCATTGTTGGAGGCGTTGTCAAGATTCAGGCCGCCCCTCAGCCTCTCGCCCGTGGAGCAGTCACACAAATCAAGGTCTTTCCCTTCGCAGCAGGCTCAAAAGTTGGCGAAGGCCTGCGATTCGGAATCGAAACGAAGGCCGAGAAAGAAGAGTCCACCAAGAGGTTTAGGCACATTTATTCGGGATCAAAGGGATCTGAGGGGCTCCTGCAGGGTCCGATCACCGACGGCATTGTTGTTGACGTATACGACGGTCTAGAGGCTCCACAAGGATGGGAAGGGGGAGTGATCAAGTTTGAGTACAGCTCAGATACTACATCCCAAGAGCAGAACAAGAACGCGGCCCTATGGTTAGCTGGCGTGGATCCCAAAATCCCAATCGACTTCCAGCAACCAGTACCGCGACCCCCTTGGATTTCCGAGACCGACATATTCGAACTCCAGCCGTCTCACGATGCATTGCTCGTCGGCATCGACTCGTTGCTCGCAAATCTACAATCGCATCTTGCTCACATGTCCTCTGTCTTGCTTACCGGAACCAAAGGCGCTGGAAAGACGTCGGTAGCCAGATATCTCGCTATGCGACTTCGCGAAGAGACTCTATTCTATACAATCTACTTCTCGTGCCGCAAACTAGTAACCGACGAAGCGAGAATATCCACTATCAAGGAAACCCTCAATCGAATATTCATGCTGGCTAGCTGGGGCGCAAGGTTGGGCGGCAAAGCCGTTGTCGTCCTTGATGATCTGGATAAGCTCAGCCCGGTGGAGACGGAACTCCAAGTAGGAAACGACAATGGACGAAGCCGTCAAGTCAGCGAAACAATCCGATCTGTGGTACGACAATATTGCACCAAGGACAGCGGCGTCGTGCTGCTGGCAACAGCAGAAGGCAAGGACACTCTCAACAGCGTTGTCGTCAGTGGTCACGTCGTCCGCGAGATTATCGAGCTGAAGGCTCCTGATAAAGATGGAAGGCGAAAAATCATGGAAGCTATTGTCAAACAGAACGCCGTAGCTCAGGGCGATGCTCCGGCTCAATCGAATGACGGCAGTCGGCCAACGACGGCTAATGGCACAGAGAATTCGGAAGAGGCCAGTGACTGGCTTCATGGGCACGATTCCACCAACAGACGAGACGATGGCGCAGCAGACAAGACTGGTGGTTTCATACTAGACGCTAATCTGGATTTCCTCGACATTGCCGGTTTGACTGACGGCTATCTGCCAGGAGATTTGACGGTCCTCATCTCTAGAGCAAGAAACGAGGCCATCATCCGATCCATCAGCGTGGCCCCTGAAGACACCATCGGAGCAGTCCATCTCGGCCGTCAGGATTTCGACAAGGCCATCAAGGGCTTTACCCCGGCTTCGTTACGCAACGTGTCTCTGCAGAGCTCGACCACGACTTTCAAGTCCATTGGAGGCCTAATGGAGACGCGACAAGTTCTCCTAGAGACCCTGCAGTATCCCACAAAATACGCCCCCATCTTTTCTCAGTGCCCTCTGCGACTTCGATCTGGTCTGCTCTTATATGGGTTTCCCGGCTGCGGCAAGACACTCCTAGCCAGCGCCGTTGCGGGAGAATGCGGCCTCAACTTCATTAGCGTCAAGGGACCCGAGATTTTGAACAAATATATCGGTGCCTCTGAAAAGAGCGTGCGAGATCTCTTCGATCGAGCATCGGCTGCTAAGCCTTGTGTCTTATTCTTTGACGAATTTGATTCCATTGCGCCCAAGCGTGGCCATGATTCTACTGGCGTAACTGATCGTGTGGTGAACCAGCTGCTCACACAGATGGACGGTGCCGAGGGTCTATCCGGAGTGTACGTCCTGGCAGCTACATCTCGGCCTGACCTTATCGATCCGGCTTTGCTGCGTCCCGGTCGTCTTGACAAGTCGCTGCTCTGCGGTATGCCGACGCTGGAAGACCGCGTGGACATCATCAAAGCCATGTTGCAGAAAGTCAGGCTCTCGCCCGAGCTGACCGAGTCAGACGAGGCATTGACGGCTATTGCTCAGCAAACAGAGGGATATTCCGGTGCCGATCTTCAAGCACTGGTGTCTAACGCCCAGCTCGAGGCCATTCATGACGTGCTTGGAGACATGAACAACCCAACGTCGACAACCCAGAAAGGGAAGGGCGGCAAGGGCGCTTCATCAGCCACGAGCTTTACGCAGTTCCGCTACGGAACTGATGAGGAGGCATCAGCCCCTCAGGCAGCCAAGAGCAGATCTGCTGCGCTGATAGAAAACGCAGCCATCATGTCTAAGCTGGATCAGATCAAGCTCGCGCGACGAAAGGCCAAGGAAGCTCGTAAAGGCCCCGGCGCCAACAACGATGATGACGGCCAAGGCAAAGAGTCGGCTGACCAGAGAGAGGTGGTGGTCGGACGAGCTCACCTCGTCAAGGCCCTTGGCAGCACGCGGGCGAGTATCGGCACGCAGGAAAAGGCGAGGCTGCAGAAGATCTATCACGAGTTTGTGGTGGGCCGCAGTGGGCAGATGAAGGATGGACAGGGGAGTATGGAGATTGGAGGCCGAAGCAGCTTGATGTGAGTGCGGCCTGACGAATTTTTAGTACAATATAATAGGATGGATATACAAAGTGGGTGCATGTATATATAGATGGCATGTTGATTTGAAAATTTTCTCGGTTTCCAAAGTTGGCATTAGAAGAATGACGACGGCATAGATAATAGTTATTGTAATCAGTATGGAAAGATGGACAGCATTTCTGAATAGCAACCAGGTCATCATTCGTTTATTCATATATTTCATTTCCAACATCCCCTAAACAGCCTTCATTGCTCACGGATCATAAACATCATTCATTTCGACGTCCCTGGCAATCCATTCCTGGACCAGCCTCAATATCCTCTCGTGGACAACCTCGGGCGCAGCAACAATCCCCCAATTCGCCGCCAGCGTCTTGCCAGCGCCAAAGTCGATATCCTTGCCCTCCAAATCCGTAATCTTGCCGCCTCTCTCCGTGTACACCAGCTGCGAGCCCGCATGGTCCCAGATGTACGATTTTGAAGGATCGCCCTTTCTCCCCACGGGGATCCGAATCATGACGTGGCTCCCCTCCCCTTCGCCAATCATCATGGCCGCATACCGCGCATGCGACGAGTAGATGTCGATGCCCGGGAACGGCACCGCGCCAAGCTGCCTCGCAACCCCCTCCACGAGATCGAGGCGGTTGGACTTGCTGGCCGTGCTGTCGACGAGCCGCAGGTCCTCGTACTTGGCCGGCACCGTGAAGCGGCCGAGAATCTCCCCCAGCCCGAGGCTGTAGTCCAGGGGCAGCCGCCGGTACTCGGCGCCCTCGCCGCGGATCGCAGACAGCATGATGCCGTGGCCCAGCCGGTCCGTGGCAATCTCGGACACAACGCCGCCGTACTCGAGGCTCAGGTTCGGATAGCACACCACGCCCAGCACCTCGCGGCCGTCCTCGACCAGCGCCAGCGACACCGCGTACTGCTGGCCCCTGAGGAACGCCGCCGTGCCGTCCAGCGGATCCATGACCCAGAACCGGCCCCTCGGCGCCGTCGCCCCCCGGCCGGCGAGGTCCAGCAGCTCCAGCAGCTGCTCCTCCGACTCCAGCGCCGGCAGCGTGGCATCCACCGAGTGCGCGTTGGCGCTGCGCCACTCGACCTCGCGGAAGTCCCTGCTCACGGCGTTGGCCAGCTTGAACACCGTCGTCCGCAGCTTGTCGTTGGCCCGCAGCACCGCGGCGTCCTCCTCGCCGACGAAGCCGTCGTGGGGGAAGAAGCCGTGCAGGGCCGCCATGATGAGCGCCTGGGCGCCAAAGTCGGCGAGGGTGACGGGCGAGGCGTCGTCCTTTGCGATGCCGGACACGCGGGTCATGAATCGCTTGGTGAGGACGGCGGCGCGGAGCACGGCGAGCTCGGCGATGTATCTGGTGAAGGGGAGCGAGTGCTGATCCATGGCGGGCGGATGATGGATGGATGTGTGTATGTATAATCTGATATATGGGGTTATGTAGTAGTATCTATAGGCAGATAGATGAACAGAGGCAGCGGGTTTTATATGGGGATGGCAGATGAGTCGTGATATGTAATGCAAAGCAGAGCACAGCCAAAGCAAAGCAAGCCAAGATGACATGCAATATGGAACGAAATGAAGTAAAATAAATCAAACGATCGCTCTATGCAGAATGAGTGATTTAACGTAAATATTTCCGAAGAGAAGAGAATATCCAGCCCCTTGCCCAGAAGAGAAGAAGAAGAAAGCAAGGAAAAAGAGTAAGAAACGAGAAAAAAAAAAGATAAGAAAACAATGGGATCGACAAAATGCCATTTTTAGGCACAAAGTGGTGGTAGTCTCATGTAGTGTCACCACACCACCACTATCGTGGCTCATCCACTTATACGGAGCCACACCGAGATGGACTCATACATGCTCGCCTCATCGCCATCAATTTAATTTTTTTTCTTGTTTTCTTTTTCAAATTCACTCCTACATTCGTGCCTAATCACCTGCATGCAGCAACTGAATAAAGTAAAAGATACACCACGACAATTAAAAAGAATCAGCAACAAGAAGGCTTATTCACAGATACTTTATTCATCTATCTCTCTGCCTCGAGGCCCTTTTTTGTTGTGTGTGCCTTGGCTAAAGGTCCAAACTAAATGCCCTTATCCATCAAACTTGTTCCAACTTACTACTCTAATTAACTACCTGTAGAACAAGATAAGGGGGGATAAGAAGAAAAAAATAGGGGGCAAATCAAATTCCCCTAGAAAAAAGGGGGCGCTGAGAAAATAGAAGACGATGAGAAGAGAAAGAAGACATATAGCCGCTCATATTACACTCGTTAAAACCCCAGAATCTCCGCCCTCTCCCCATTCCTGTATCCGGAAATGTTTGGTACAGCATGTACTTTCATCTGACGAATGAGCAAAATCCATATCGTCGACAGTAGAATAAAAACACAATTCAAATATTGGAAGAAAAAAGAAAAGATAAAAGCCATAGAGGAAAATAGGGAGGGGAAAAGAAGAAGAAAAGACAAGAATAATCCACTCGTCACACCAAGTCAAACAATTCAGCCTTGTGAAAATCAGCTCAGCGAGCAGCGGACCCGAGACAGACATCGAGGTCGTCGGAGAGCCGGCCGGCCGGTATAAAACAAACTCCTCAACGCGTGTCGTCTTGCTTTCTCTTTTTTTCCATGCAAATCCGGGTATGTTGTTGGAGCAAAGTCTTTGTGACTAAAACCATAATGCCACCTATTATTACCAAACGCCAGACGATGCAAATAAATGTCAAGCTCTTTTTATAAACTTGTCGCACACAAATCTAGAGGCCAACCCCAGATTTTTCTTTTTTTTTTTTCTTTTTTTTTTTTTTTTCGTTCTTTTTTCCCCTTCTTTAGCCGCAGCTGCTGCCTCTGCCAATCAATGGGCAGCATTTGTACCATTAACATTCGCAGCACTAGATTTAGAACCCTCCGCCACGTTGCGAGAATGAAGCGTACGATACATGGTGCTCAATCGGTCACCTGTGACCCTCTTACTGGTATCATCGACCGGCCAGAGAGCTGCCAAGAAATCCCTATCACACATTGTTAACTAATAAAACATGATGCTTGGTCTGTGTCTCTTGCTACTTACCAAAAGTTGTTTTTAAGGCGATCATCTGCTGCAGTTGCTGGCAGCTTATCATCAAGGAATGATCCTATTGCTACCAGTTCGACTTTGAATATGTTCGCGCGCTCCTTGCTCGACTTGACGTTGTCTTTAGTTGTTGAGAGAATTCTCTCAAAGTTCTGTCTCACTGGCTTCAGAAGGAACCAAATCATCGCATCATTGTCCATGGCCCTTTGGTCTTTATCATCGCCGATGCGCCTTAGCTCATCCAGCCTTCGGAGTGCCTTCTCTCTACGCTCATCCACAGGCCGGGCTTTATGGTCGCGATCCCGGTCAGAGCGATTGTGGTCGCGATCCCGGTCGTGATGGTGGTCTCGATCCCGATCACGGTGGTGTTCGCGGTCTCGATCACGGTGGTGGTCACGATCACGTTCCCTGTCGCGATCACGGCGGTCGTCGCGACGGTCATCCCGACGGTAGTCATCACGCCTGTCGTCCCGGCGATAGTCGTCACGACGATAGTCATCGCGTCGGTATCTATCATGGCGGCGATCATCATCATCACGGGACCGTCGCTTCTCTATTCTATCGCGATGTTCATCCCCAAGCTTACTTGACCGACGAGGATCATCAGAGCGGCGCTGCTTGGGGCTGCGACTGTCTTCGTGAGATGGGTACTTCCGTTTGAAATCGGGTCTGGCCAGCCCACCATCCTCTCCAGAGTTGCGAGGTCGCTGCTCAGATGAACCGTGATCCCTCTCACGCTGTCGTTTGATGCTTGTGGTAGCAGCTGAAGAATTGCTAGTGCGATGGCCGTTAACCGAATGCAGCTTCTTGTTGTTGCGGTGGTGATTCTCCACAGCCTTCTGGGCCAATCGATCATTCGAGTGTTTTGATTGTAATACAGAAAGAAGGTATTCAGATCGGCGTACCAGATGCACCGCGCCAGGGGCCTTGAGCTTGTCGTTACCTTTTGATCTTTCCTCCTTCTTGCCCACTCGGTGTTCTTCCAAGAAAAGCTTCTCCTGCATTTCCAAGTCGGAATCGTCACGGATTTGAGCCCATGCGCCAAATCCGTGCTTGTCAATACCAACAAGAAGCATGGCATCCTCCTTCGCTCCCCAGGGGCAGCTATAGTTAGCGGCCTTGGTGGCGTCGGGCACCCTAAAGGTTTTCCAATCTGTGTGGCCGCGAATCACTTGGCGAAGAAGTTGCAACTGCTTGGGCCGCTCAATTGCTGTCTCAGCATTGACCTTCTTCAGCTCGCCAAAGTCAATCAGAACTGCCTTCTTGTCCTTCTTTGTCAGCATCTTGCCAATCTTCTTCTCTTCTTCAGCAAGTTTAGCGCTGTTGTCATCTACAGCCTGCTGGGCAGCCTTGATAAAATCGTCGAGAACCGACTTGACAAAGTCAGGATCTCTCTCTTCAAGCTTGGCTTCCTGAATGATGTCGACGCTGCGATGTTCCATAGAACCGAATCGAAAGTAGGCCTTGATCAAATTTCGCTGTTCTTTGTCATTCAGCGGGCGCTTGGGGTCTCTCATCAAGGCGCGCTGTTCTTCCTCTTCTTGTTGTTGTTCTCTCTGGCGTTTCTTAAGGCGGTCGGCACGGTCTGTTTCTTTGTTACGACTCTTGATGGTTGCCCTTCGAGGTGCGCTCTCGGCCGCAATCTTAGCAAGATAATCTTCATGCTGCTTCTTTTCCTCTTCAGCCTTAATCTCGGCGAGTTTATCTGCCGGAATGATCTGATCCCAGTCAAGGTTGATGTCATCTACTTTAACATCAGTGATCTGCATAAAGTTATCCCAGTCAATGCCACCGCTGCTTAGGTTGATCTTGTCATCGACCTTGGTCTTGGTGACTTCAGCATTTTCGAGGATAGAATCAATATCGAGCTGCTCCAGTCGCTCTTGGTTACCGCTCTGTTCAAACATTTTGGATGAGCGCATCTTCAGAACCATTTGAATATCTTCAGACGTAGAAGGGCCATCAATCTTGAGACCCTTCTTGTTAAGCTCTTCCTTGAACTTGGCTTTGCCATCATCGGTAACGCCAGCCTGTATGGTCAGATACTCTAGGAGAAGCTTGTTGCGCGCACGCTCCAAAACTTCTTCCTCAACTGTCTCTTTGGAAACGAGACGGTAAATATTGACTGGTCGTTTCTGTCCAATGCGATGAGCTCGGGCCATGGCTTGCAAATCTGCTTGAGGGTTCCAATCAGAGTCGAAAATGATGACAGTATCTGCAGTCATCAAATTGATGCCAAGACCGCCCGCACGAGTGGAAAGCAAGAAACAGAAGTCCTCGCTATCCTCTGCATTGAAGTGGTTGATTGCCATGCGTCGCGGGCCGGCTGCAATGGTACCATCAAGTCTCTGGAACTTGTAGCCTCTTAGAGACAGGTAGTCGCCTAGAATGTCTAGCATTTTGACCATCTGGCTAAAGATCAAAACTCTGTGTCCGTCCTTTTTCAACTTGGACAGGAGTTGGTCGAGCAACATCATTTTGCCGCTGCTAGCAATCAATCCTTTGATTTGGTCCTCGCGCCGCACGCTGCCAGCCAAAACTCTCTCTTCAGCCCCGGGAAACATGTACGGATGGTTGCTGACCTTCTTCAGCTCCATCATGATGTTCAAAAGAGAATTCTTGTGACCATTGGTGGCATCGCATAGTGCTGAGTAGTTTCTCGTGAGGATGTTCTTGTAATAGTCTAGCTGTACATCTGACAGCTCAACTCGGATAATCTTCTCCGTCTTGGGCGGCAGATCAGATTCAACTGTTTCCTTTGTACGTCGCAGGATATAGGGGGCAATGGAGCGATGCAACTCTTGTAGCTTCTCTTGGGCATCAGCTGCGGAAAGTGAATCCAAGTCCTCATCGATGCTGACTTTTCCGGGATTTAAAAAGTCAAGAAGGGCAGAAAGCTCCGCTAGGTTATTCTGGATGGGTGTTCCAGTAATGAGAACTTTGCAAGGTATGCCGAAGCTCACTAGGCGCTGATATAACTGAGACTCGCTATTCTTGAGACGGTGCGCCTCGTCGACAGCCAAAACCTGCCACTTGATGGATTGAAGGAATTGCCAGTCTTGCAGAATAAATTCGTAAGAAGTAACCAGGACGTTGAACTTTGGCTTCTTTGGATTGCCTCCCACAAGGAGCTCGTTCTCTCGGATGATGCTTCGGGCATCCTCTGGTCCGAGGTAAACCACGTAGTTGATGTCTGGTGACCAGTTGTTAAATGTGTCGCACCAAGCAGGGATAACGCTAAGCGGAGCAACGACAAGGGATGGCCCTTCCTGGCGTCTAGCATTGCGCAGCCAGCTGAGGAACGAGACTGTCTGCACCGTCTTACCCAGACCCATTTCATCGGCAAGAATAACGTTGTTGCTGCGAGTCCAGTTCAGGCACAGAAAGTTAAGTCCCTTGAGCTGGAATTCACGAAGCTCACCACCAACAATAAACTCGGGCTGTTTCTCCAGCTTGGTCATCTTGGATCGGGTGTCTGGATTCGTCTCTTTTCGGTCAGACAGCCAGGATCTTGAGGATCGATCAAGGAACTGGTCAATCTTGTCCTGGAACAAAGGACTGATTTCCGATGCAGACTCCCAAGTGCATTCTTCGTAGGTGAGCCCCTTCCATTTGACATAATATTCGTCACCATCTTCTCCGTCTCGAACGGCAACGACACGCTCAACTTTTGTGTAATCTTCAAGTGCTTCCTCGTCTCGCTCACGATCAAGGAAGAACTGCTCTTTTGTCTCTGGGGGAACATCGTCTCCAAATCGAATATCAAGCTCTTGGTCAACAAATTTTCTAAAGTAGTTTTCAACCTTGCGAAAACCGCGGGTGTTGCGGAGAGCATCCAGAGACTCCCATGTGTCATGCAGGTGTGACTTTCCCTGCCACTTAATAAAGTATTCAAAGTCGTTGCGGGTCGAATCGTAGGCCAGCTCGTGTCCATCTCGGAGCCTATGTTTGACCACTTTTTCGACGTAAGGCGAGTCGTCGACATAGTCCGCAACGTAGTATGACGCAGCAAGTTCCGCGTCTTCCTCGTCCTCCTCTTCAAAATCGCTCTCTTCGTATGCGCCTTGCTGCACTTGCTGCGCCGCGCGCCGACTTGACCACCGCTTCTCGGCAAGGGCCAAGGCAGGCTGCATCTCTCGCTGTAATCTAGCTTTTTTCAGCTGACTTTTTGCGCGAGCTCCGCCATATGTATCAGAGTCCGAGTCGGAATCGTTTGTGGATGGTGGCAAAACGGGTGTTCCCCTTTTTGAGGCTGCGATAGGTACGGTTAGTTAACAGCTCTTGGAAGTATACAGGGGCTTAGATGGGCATGAAGACTAACATGTGAGAGAGCTTCCAACCCGGCGACGTTTATTCTGTCGGCGACTTGTTGGCGCAACGTCAGATTCTGATTCCGATTCGACCTAGACAAGTCAGTATGTAATGCGACAAGACAATAGAGTAGGAGCATGTGACATACAATTTTACGCTGCTCTCGAGGTCGAGACTATCACAACGAGGTCAGTCACCACCAAATAAATTAAGAGCATAGAATAGATGAGCGAAATAGGGTCATACACTTCTCCGAAGGCCGTAAAGTTCTGGATTTGCCTTGATGTATTCATCTTCGACAGGAGCTTTGCGCTTGGGTGCTCGAGCCGAGTCTGACGAGCTGGCTCGACCGGCTGTGGCGTCGTCTTCTTCGTCTTCGTGATCGTCTTCGTCGTCATTACCATGCTGGGAAGGCGAGGTGGCTTGCATATCAAAGTCGCCATCTTCCGACGCGTCAGCTACGCTTGATTCTTCGCTTTCTGACATGTGGTGGTCGACATCTGCGTGGTTCATAGCCTCATCGTTTGAGGCTTCGGGCTCGGAGGGAGAAGGGTGTTCGAGGGGACTGTTGGGGGCATCCAGGCCCTCGGAGATGTCGCTTTCGTTCTCTTGTTGGTCGGCGGCGGCTGAGAAAGTCATAGAGTCGTCCGGCGACAAATTCCCATTAGAGGGGTCCCCTTCGCTGGGAGAGGACATGACGATGATATCCGCGAAGCTGGACTTCTGAAGAAACGACGGCAGTTAGCACCATAAATCCCGGATTACGCGTCCTCCTGAGCGAACAGGCGGTGAGAGAACAGTCTGGCGACACTCAATCACCAGCTATAGATCCAATATTGCCTTGGAATCATGAAGCAAGGCGAATTTATAGCATCCCACGTGTGTAAGTGCTCGCAAGGCTGAAGGGTATTGGCACAAGCAATTGCATGCTTAACCACCGCCCGGAGGCCCATCTGGGGGCTCTGGATGCATCGGCATCACCGGCAGCGGCCAAATCCATCGAAATAAAACACATCTGCCTCCAACCCGGGCTCCAGAGAGTCGGTATATCGACGCGTTCAGGTCGTCTCGTGGCTGGATCGGCGGGCAGACGCAAGGCAACAGGGTTGCAGGCAGTAACAGCGAGTGCAAAGGAGACGACAGCGACTTACCAGTCATCAATGAATGGTCCGCAGCACCAGAAAGAATGTCGACAACCCCCAGGCTCGTTCGGAAGAGTCTGGCGATGTTCCGGTGGCGGATGGGCGACGAGGGTTGAGGTGTGAAGGCAACGGCCGGAGGTCACAAAAATGCGCTGGTGGAGAGAGGCAGGAAAGAATTGGAGGCAACGGGGCGGAGGGCCGAAGGCTCGGCCGGCGTGTTTGTACCCAAGCCTTACCCTGTTGGGGTGGGATGGCGCTCTGCTGACTGCTGGCCTGACCGCTGAAGAGGGCCACTGAGGTCACGTGGTTCGCTGGAACCTCAGAAAAATGGCAAGTGTCGATTGTTGGCAATGGTTATTGTTGATATTGGGCGATTATTCTGGTGATGGAGGATCAGAAACGGCGATTATTCTGTTGGTTGAGCACCAGAAAATAGAGCATGAGGATAGTATGGGATAAAAAAAGATTTTGGTTCTTGTTTATTCGGATTTCTTGAGAGAAACAAAACAAATTGCTATCCAGCACATGTCCTTTCTCCACCGTAAGATATTTTAACTTCAAAATGGAACTATAATATTCTCCTTGGCTCTAAAGTCGTTTTAATTTTAAATAGCTACATACCTAGGTATATATTGAAATATTAGCCTCTTGATTTACCTTTTCCACGGTGGAAGGAAAACACTATCGTCCCAGAGCGATTGCTAAGTCAGCCAAATCACGATACTTAGAGTTTCTATATAGCGCCACGGAATAACCCTGTGCTTTTTGGGGCTGAATAGCTGAATACTATCGAAATGAATTACTTGTAACGATGCTGATAGCATTGACAACCTCAATGTTGCCCTGAAAGTTATAATCCTGTAAAGTTTAGAGACAAGGAAGTTTGAATTCAATTCATTTGATACATGTATTGGCAAGGAATCATCTCGAGAGTCATTTAACTCGGTTCTAAACAGTACGTACCTCCTCAATTCTACAATCCATCCAGATATTTAATCTCCCCAAGCACGCAGCTGCTATGTAGTGCTAGTAGACACCTGGCTATAAGGTGGTCTAGTTCTATGTCGGCAACACTGGTATACATCTCGACTTCGGTCATAGATAGGTAGTGAATTGTTGGCTAAGGTGGTTATTGGAGCCTCCGCTGCCCGACTTCTCATCACCGTAAGCCTATAAATTGGCAATTGAGTTGCGAAGTAAACTATACGATTCGACCTGTTGAGACCAAGTGTAATGCAGATGGTATCTTAGAATCATACCTTCACTCATACTTTGCTTTTATCTTCTATATAGTTTATACTGGGACTCTGGCTCGGAGTCAACTTAGAGAGCCATCAGCCACACATACTAAAAGTGCCTATAGTTTCCAGCTACCTTTAATACTACTCACACAAAAGGCGACTCTCAAGGAATTTATGTGGTACAATCAGAGATGTAAACACTCGCTCTTGATGGCCATATGCAGTCTTTCTCAAAGCTTAGCCACTCATGGACAGGACAAACGTGAAGGTCTCAAAACAAGAATTTATTATTGCTACCAGGTAGCTTATTCAAGCACGTACCTACTAGAGGCAGCTAAGACAGTATTCTTCCCTCTACAGTGCCCACTGTAATGTGTAAGCCAAACTGGTACCCAACTATAACAGAGCTGCTTTGGAGAGCCCAGTTAGCGGCGCCAGCATAACGAGGTCTCTCTGCCCGCCAAATTTGCGGCGCCAGTACATCTGCTCAGCTCAGGTGCTTAACAGCCCGTCTAGCTGCCCGCTGCAGTTGCCCTGCCCCGCCATGCTGGCGATTCACAGGGCGAGAAAAATTGATGACCACGCCTGGTCTGTCCTTTTCGCCGCGAAGAGCTAAAACTTGCCCACCCCGTCCACTTCTGATTTTTCTTTTTACCTTGCACCCCTCGCGATCCAGCTCATCTGCATCGCCGCGTTGCAGATCCTGTTCAGCAGCCGCAACTAGGTCGCAGCGTCCACGTCCAATCCATCGCTACCCTAGACGGACCGGTTGATTGCCAGCAGTCGTCGCCATGTCGGACAAGCTCACTCGGTACGTGTCGACGAGACGATGTAGACGGGCTGAACTATACAAGCTCGTGACACATGGATATAGAGGAATTACTGCTAACAATTTTGATACAGTATCGCCATTGTCAACACTGACAAAGTTCGTGCTCTCTCTCTGTCCAAATTCTGCCACCCCGCGAACCACCCCGCCATCGCTCGATTTTGCTGACCCAGGCCCCTCCAAACAGTGTCGTCCTCGCAAGTGTCGTCAGGAGTGCAAGAAGTCCTGCCCTGTGGTTCGCAGTGGAAAACTTTGCATTGAGGTCACTCCCGAATCTCGCCTCGCCTTCATCTCCGAGTCGCTGTGTATTGGTTGCGGTATCTGCCCCAAGAAGTGCCCCTTCGACGCCATCACCATCATCAACCTGCCCACCAACCTCGAGAGCCAGGTCACCCACCGCTATGGCCCCAACAGCTTCAAGCTCCACCGTCTGCCTATGCCCCGACCTGGCCAGGTTCTCGGTCTGGTCGGAACCAACGGTATCGGCAAAAGTACCGCGCTGAAGATTCTCAGCGGAAAGCTTAAGCCCAACTTGGGCCGCCACGACAACCCTCCCGACTGGGAGGATGTGATTAAGCACTTCCGTGGCTCTGAGCTGCAGAGTGAGTGACAATTCTACAGTCTAACAAGATTACTTGTTTAACGCAAACATAGACTACTTCACTAAGCTCCTGGAGGATGATCTTAAGGCTGTTGTCAAGCCCCAGTATGTCGATCAAATTCCCAAGGCTGTCCGTGGCCCGGAGAAGAGCGTTCGCCACCTTATCGAGAGCCGTGCCACCCTTGGAAACACCGAGGAAGTGACCAGGGTTCTGGAGCTGAACCACATCATGGACCGAGACATCACTCTGCTCTCTGGTGGTGAACTTCAGCGTTTTGCCATCGGCACGGTTTGCGTCCAGAAGGCCGATGTCTACATGTTTGACGAGCCTTCTTCTTATCTCGATGTCAAGCAGCGTCTGAGCGCCGCCAAGATGATTCGCTCGCTTGTCCGCGACGATGACTACGTCATCGTCGTCGAGCACGATTTGTCTACTCTCGACTATCTCTCCGATTACGTCTGCGTTCTCTACGGAAAGCCCGCCATCTATGGTGTTGTCACTATGCCTTACTCTGTTCGTGAAGGTATCAACATTTTCTTGGACGGTCACATTCCCACCGAGAACTTGCGATTCCGTGAAGAGTCTCTTACTTTCCGCCTTGCTGAAGCTGCCGACGACTTCGCCATTGACAGATCGCGTGCCTTTGCCTACCCCAAGATTGAGAAGACCCTTGGCAACTTCAGACTTCGTGTTGATGCTGGAGAGTTCACCGACTCTGAAATTATTGTCATGATGGGAGAGAATGGAACCGGCAAGACCACTTTCTGCCGTCTCCTCGCTGGTGCTATTAAGCCAGACAGCAAGAGCTCTGTCCCAGACATGAGAATCAGCATGAAGCCCCAGACCATTACCCCCAAGTTCGAGGGTACTGTTCGCCAGCTGTTCTTCAAGAAGATTAAGCAGGCTTTCCTGTCTCCTCAGTTCCAGACTGACGTCGTCAAGCCCCTTAAGCTCGATGACTTCATTGATCAGGAAGTTAAGAACCTGTCCGGTGGTGAATTGCAGCGTGTTGCCATTATTCTTGCCCTTGGTATGCCTGCGGATATTTACCTCCTTGACGAGCCCTCTGCCTACCTTGACTCTGAGCAGCGTATTGTTGCCTCTCGAGTCATTAAGCGTTTCATCATGCACTCCAAAAAGACTGCCTTCGTTGTTGAGCACGATTTCACCATGGCCACCTATCTTGCCGATCGTGTCATTGTCTTTGACGGCCAGCCCGGTATTGATGCCCACGCTAACAAGCCTGAGTCGCTTCTCACTGGCTGCAACACCTTCTTGAAGAACCTGGATGTCACATTCCGTCGTGACCCAACCAACTACCGTCCCCGTATCAACAAGTACGGCTCACAGCTGGATCAGGAACAGAAATTGGGCGGTAACTACGTAAGTAACATCACTCTTTGTTTCGTTCTGAATTTTGACTATCGAATACTAATACCTCCTTTTCTTTACAGTTCTTCTTGGAGGAGAAGCCCGATGAAAGTGCTTGAAAAGGGCAATCATGATCAGAACTACAGACCTGATTGCCATGATGCATCTCCAGATGTTTGTAGTATCCATGTTTCTACTTCGTTCGTAATTTGCGGAGGTGGGAGTGATCATGAATCTGGGCTACGAACAGACGGCGTCAGCGAGGATGACGACCCAGATGAGTAACAATGGCGACGGCAGTCTACCCCCTGTTGTCTGGTCCTGCGGAAATGTAGTAAAATTGAAAGCGGTGTTTTGTGGCAATATTGATTTTGAACAACTATTCATCACAATAATGCTGCTGACCCGGAGCGAATCCGCAGATAGAGGGACAATGGATCAAGCGTGGTGACTGCCGTCAGTTTCCTACCTCGCGGGAAACATTTTATTTATTTAACAGTTACATGCCTGT